CATAGCGGCATCCACCACTTATCATCCTCAGACTGATGGTCAGACTGAACAACTCAATCAGGAGCTCGAAACTTATCTCCAAATCTATTGCCGCAATCACCCCGAAGACTGGGTGGAACATCTTCCCATGGTGGAATTTGTGCACAATCATCAAAAACACGACTCCTGCAATGCCTCCCCATTCTTTCTAATGATGGGATATGAACCGTGAGCCCTTCCTCATACACTCCCTGACTCTACAGTCCCCGCAGCAGAAGATAGACTTCGATCTCTCCAGAAATTGAGAGAAGAAGCGCTCTCTTGTCATAACCTTGCCATGCAATGAATGGCAGAATGAACTCATGGGCAGAAGTATCACCCATGGAAGATAGGAGATAAGGTGTGGTTATCTGCAAAGAACCTAATCACACAGTTACCATCACGAAAACTTGCACCTAAACAATATGGCCCTTTCCCAGTTACCGCCATCCTTTCCCCCATCACCTTCACACTCCAACTACCGCCACAGTGGAAAGTTCACCCCACGTTCCATGCTTCGGAACTATCGTCCTATCAAGAAACAGAGGTTCACGGTCTGAACCTCCCCCAGATGTCATTGATAACGAAGAAGAATATGAAATTGACGCAATCTTATCACATAAGGGCATGGGTAAATGGAGGCGTTATCTCTTATCCTGGAAGGGATACTCTTCTGCCAGCAACGAATGGGTTCCTGAAGAAAACCTTAGCAATGCTTCCGACATCCTTACTGCCTATAAAAAGGCTCACAGATTATAGACTCAGAAACAATGTCCTCTCTTGAACGACTATGCCTCTGTATATTACGCATTGAAGAGCTCACTGCCGCTATGAACACTGTCGCCGAAGGAAACGCTCACCCATTGACCCTTCTTGACTACCAGACTGCCACCACCGCTAATTTTGCCTGCGACGACAACACATTTTCCCCAGTAGTATCACCACCAGCCTCCGACTCAACCCTCACTCTTACTGACGACTCCACTCTCACTGATTATTTTTCGGTCATTGATCAGGTTGAAACCAGCGCTCTATTTGAATCCGCCATCATGTCTCAACAGTATGCTATAGAAATAGATTGCCTTCTAGGAGAAAGAGGGGTGATATCTAGTGGACTTATAATCAGGATTATCAGAGACACCAGCCTCATTGAGCGCACCACCAATCTTTTGGAAGATGAGCGTCATAAAACTATCTTCCGCCACCTTCATATATGTATTCACAATACTGCAATCCATCTACTGCCTGATGATACTTGAGAAGCTATCCAAGAAGCTATCCACATCGTCACAGAACATATCACCCTCGACCCAGTTGCACGTCCCCCTTCCCTGCACATCGCCATTCCTATCCCTCCACTGACCCCTGAAACAGTTACCACTGAACATCAGGATGATAATATCCCTCCTATTGCTGTACTTGACATACCAGCTTCTCTGTCACCTGCCCCCATCACGCATTCCACACGTAGATACCCACTCAAACGAAGATCCTCCCACATCGCCGCCAAACAAGCTGCATCAGCCTCTCCCCATAAACCACTTAAATGATCAAGATCCCCCTCTCCCCCTGACCAATCCACCTTGGTCACTATCATAAAAACGGCACCAGCTGATAATGTTGTATGTTGCAACTGCTGAACTGCCGGACATCGCCATAAGAACTGTCCTGTGTATTACTGTTGGGTTTGCAAAGAGTATGCACCCAGGCACTTATCGGTCTTTTGCAAAGACCTGAAAGGTGAAGTGGTTATCCCACTTATTTGGACCGATCCTGGCTTTTATGAAGCCCTCGCTCGTTGGGAGATTGAGCAGGATGCCATCTATCATGCTGCTGAGATGAAGGATAGATTGTACTCAATCAGTGAAGAGCAAGACGATTTGCTGCACTCGAACTACAATGCAGACCACATTTACTGGGCTAATCAAGATAACTGAAGTCAGTGACTTCATTCGTAAACACGGGGTAATGTTACAGTTACGTGTACCCCTATTCATTTTTCCCTTTCTTCCATTGTATTATGTCATGACCATGCCACTCCTTATCACACCATCACTAGACTTGTCTCTTGACCAATCTGTATTACATCATGATCGCCACTGCCATCGCTAGATGACTCACTCTTATCTCTGACTCAACCCTTATCTCTGACTCATCGATGACATATACATACCTGCCCTAAAGTACTTACGTCTATATAAACTTGGTCATGTACTTAGCAGATCTTCACTTTAATCTACTAGGTTTTCACCTGAATACTCTTTCGCTTAGGACCCCCAATCCTAAGTTGTCTAAGACCGATATTCAAAGCAGAGACACTCTTTCTGCTTTGTCTTAAAGAACCCTTGCATTTGCGAGGCTTGATTCAACCTTAGCCATTACTCTTATCGAGTAGCTATCATTGTGACTATCCTAGTTCATAACACTAAGTGCATCTAAGTGTATCTATGCAAAAGCCATGCAAGCTGGCAAGATAATTCCCACCTGTCACATCTTACTTTATAGATGTTGTTTGTTCTTGTTGCTCTAGCCCTCAAATTGTTGTGTTTGTCTTTTCATACATTTCTGTAGAGAATTTTATATTTGTTTCCATTGCACTGAACTACATAGTCACCTAGAGAACTTGTGTTTGCCTACAGAAGACCAGGGAGGGACTTGCTATGAAGAGGAGTGACTTGGCGCACTTGCGGTTGTTCCTTTGCGAGCATCCACCAGCTAGAGCAAATATTTGGAGATGTGACTCCACCTGCAGACAGTGAAGAAAACTAGCTCACACCTGTTGCAATGCCATCCAGAGACACATTATATCAGGGTCACAGATATTGATAAATCATAGTATTTTATCAGGCTTAGAGCCATTGGCCATCACTGAAACATTTGATGTTTGTAGCAAAGCAAGTAGTGGCTCACTGCCAGCATGTGACTTTGACTCACCACCATTTAGCCTGAGACTTGTTCACTGGTGAAGTCCTAGCACAGGAAGTCCTTTCTGATTGGTGAGTAATTGAAGAGTCACAGATATGCTTAGCAGTCACCGAGTGCTGAGTGCTGAGTGGTCATGCAGTTTGTGAATGTCCACCCAGGTTGGATGCAGGTGCCCATTATATCAAGTCAGATGCTTGAGCCTCCAGCAAGGTATGCATTGCAACAGGTGTAATATAAAAAATGTGTGCTGGGATCATTGGGTGCGTTCATTGGGAGTGATGTGCTGGCATCGAGGTGGTGACACAGATGGATGATGAAGACCTGCACAAGGGTGCATAGGGGGGTACTGTACCTCTGTGTATGGAGGCAACTGTGGATTACACATGACACACTGCTAAAGTTGCAAAGTCAGCAACCTTGTCTGATTGCCTGTGACATCAGAACAAAATAGCAACCAACATCCCTGTTGTATGTCAGAGTGGTGCTGGGTTCAAACTCCTGTGGAGGGATTTGACTTAGCAAAGGTAGACTACCAATTAAGCTTCACAATGAAACTGAAAATCACACAGGTATCATTCACAGCCTGGAGGATGAACCACCCAAACTTCAGCTCAATGCTGAGGCTGGTGGTGATGACACTGACATACCTTGTAGCACTGTCATTCTGGATACTTTTGGGATTGAAAGGCAGATGTTGCAGCTGCAGACATTGCACAATTTTGTGTCCATGATGTACAGTGAGGTGACAGGCATGAACTGGTTGCAGCAGGACACAATGAGAATATATGGGCAGTAGTAAACAAGCAGGAAGTTGGTACAGAGGTGAAAAAGTAGTTTTAGTGATTTTTGCAGCAGATTTTTTGATTTCTACAATGTACCTACAGTTAGCAACTGACCCCCTGTGACATGTTACAGTGGGGTAAATTAGCAATGCAACCAAGGCCCTGTGATGTGTTATAGTTGCCTCTATACACAGAGGTACAGTATTCTGAGGACATCTGGGAAATGGAAAGTTCAGGGTTATGTAAGTCTAAGATAGGGTATGTCTAGGGTGTGCCTGGCTACACCACCAACTGCCTGAAACCTATGGTAGAGCCCTAAAATAGTTGAGGTGTAGACTAGCCCTGAGAAATATTTATTACAAGGACTGCCCTTTGAACAACAATATATTGTGTTTACAGTAACAACTCAGGAAATACTATGTCAGCATCATCTCTGCAAATAGACACTGTGTCTGTTCTTACTTTCAACAACACTGTGCACAATCAACCATGAGCCAAGAGATCAATCCAGAGGTCAAGCACAGTTTGTATGGAATATATTGGTGCTATGCTCGATGACAATGCAATGAGCAGAGTCACTGTTTGGAATTTGAACCTCCATGTATATATATATCCTGCTTCTCTTTCTCACCTTCCCTCAGTTTGTTCCATCACACTGAGGGTAAGCCTTTTTATTATTTGGTCCACCACTAGATACTGACTACAGCTTAGGCTTACACAGTATCTAGGTATTCAATATAGTTTGTTCCATCACACTGAGGGCTTACGCAGTATCTAGCATTAAAAGGTTATGAGCCCTGCTCACTCGTAAATTGAGGAGCAGAATTACCAACTAGGTACTCAACAAGCCTCTGGAACGAACCCACCAGGTTATTAAACCCTTGGGGATCTTATCAATGTCTATCAATGTCATCTCAACATTTAATCTTGCCTTCTTAGGTCGAGGCAAATCACTTGCAGTTGCCCACGAGTATATATACCTGCACATTGCTCATTTTTGATCTCCTGCCTCTTGTCCTTATGCCTTCAACTACCACCCATACTCACTCTAAGAGCTCTGGCACTAAAAGCACATCTCTCAGTCCGCCATCTGTCATCCCACCCTCAGTCTCCATGTCTACACTTCAAGCTACAATCATGGCCATTATGCTGAGCCAGACTGATCTGGACAAGATTGAGGTTCTTGATCAAAGCAAGAACAATTGGGGCATATGGTCCAATCATATGCAGAATTACCTCTTACTCAAACATGGAGGGGGGTATATTCTCAGACTAGTTGCTCACCCTGACCCTTCACTGGATCTCTCCAGTGTGGGGCATTGGGATCTCAACAACTTGTGTATCATGGCTGCCTTACCCACCTGTTCCAGTTCTGAAGAACAAGAATTCCTTCATGGATACACCAATGCCCACCTAGCATGGGATGCCCTCAAATCATGTCATGAGAAGGTTGGACCCATTGCCCAGATTCTCCTTATTCAACAAGCATTGGCAATCAAGTACGTTTGTTCAGAAAGGCTTTCTACCACTAGCACTACTCTCCACGACTTAGTATGTTGCATCTACACCATCAGTATTCCCAAGGAAGAAGACTTCCTCACCATTATGATGCTCAATGCTATGGCTGAGGATCTTCTGCACATCCAGAATCATATTGCTGACACTCTCACCACCAGCACTATCACTAACCCTTATGGTCCTTCCCACATCTGCTCTTGCCTTGATGTTGAGCAACAGTTGCTTGATACTGCAAAATCCAAGAGTGGTGACATGGCCTTAGCTGCCACCAGTAAGGGGGGTAGTCATCACGAATGCAGTTCTTGCAGTACCTGTGGCAACTCCAGTCACTCAATGAGAGACTGCTTTGGCAAAGGAGGTGCTATGGAGGGGAAACAAGAGGAAGTGTTGGCGCATAGATGCACAGCTTGTGAGGCTAAGGGACAACCTGCGGGTAAAACCACTGCACCTAAGCCTACCGCAGCCACTGGCAAGCCAGGTGGTCTGTGTTACGACATGAATGGTTGTGCTTACCTACTCAACAGTGAGAGTCATGAGGCCATATATGTCGCCACTTCATCTGCTGCTGAAACTTCCGATACACCCACCTCCACTGAGTTTGCTGGACTGGCCAGTGATGTTATGACTCCAGTGTTCATCTGCAAGTTATCTGACACTGGGGAAGATGATTATACCACTCTCCTTGTGTCACCTGATAACCTTACCACCAGCCTGGACTGGCACCACAACACTTGTCCTGTGGACTTTGCTGGTCTCACATATAAGGCTCCCAATCAGTGTAAGCACACTATTGTCGACCCTTCTGTGGTCCCACTCTTCCTTGATAGCAGTGCCTCAGTGCACATCAGCAATGAGGAGGATGACTTCTTCTCCCTTCATCCAATCCCGCCTCGCTCCATTAACAGGGTTGGTGGTTCTTCTATCCAGGCTATTGGCATTGGTACTATATGCCTGGTTGTTGCCAGAGGCATCCACATCTCACTTGACAATGTCTTGTTCATTCCTGCAGCTATGGTGTGTTTGATCTCTGTGTCTGCTCTCTGTGAAGCACACCACTGTATTGCCTCTTTCAATGCTACCAACTGCTGGGTCCAGTCATGCAACAGCACTCGCATGCTATCTGGGACTCTCACCTCACGCCATCTTTATGCACTATCTGGTGGACAGCTGTCTGCAGATCATGCCTTCTTAGCCCACCAGAAGCCAACCCTCAAGTGCTGGCACCACTGCCTCAGGCACGCTAACTACCACGCTGTATATGACCTTACACATTCCAGTAATGCAACTGGTATGCCTATTGATCTTTCTCCCATCCCACCTAGGTGTGATGCTTGCATCCTTGGCAAACAGACATGTTCTAGTGTTCCCAAGTCACATCAGGGTGTCAGAGCAGGCAGAAAGTTGGGTGTTGTACATGTGGACTTGATGGAGAATCCAGATACTGTGTCCACAGCCAGTAATAAATACATCATGGATATTATTGATGATCACTCTTCTTATGCTTGGTCTATCCTGCTTGCTTCAAAATCTGACACATTTCCCACACTTCAAGCTTGGGCACTCACTCATGAAGTCAAAACTGGTACCAAAGTCGGGACTTATCACTCTGACAACAGAGAACTCAAGTCAGCATCCATGCGAGAGTGGCTCCTCTCACATGGTACTGAACATCAGTTCACAGCCTTGTATACTTCAGCACACAATGGTCAAGTAGAATGTCTGCACAGAACCTTAATGGGTAAAGCTCATGTGATGAGATTGGCTTGTGACATCCCAGTGAACAGATGGGACGAATTTGTCCTAACAACATGTTACTTATCCAACCATACACCTTCAATGTCTCAAGATGGTCACACCCCATTCGAACATTGGTATGACCACCCACCAGACCTTTCTCACCTGCGTGAAATTGGATGTAGGGCTTTCATCCTGATTCAAAATCACCACAATCCTAAAGTTTACAGCCACTCTGTTGAATGCACTCTTATCAGCTATTCACTCAATTCAAAGGCTTACCAGTGCTATCATCACACCTCTCATAAAGTATTTGTATCTTATCATGTGTCTTTTATTGAGTCACATCAACAAGGGGCTACTTTACCTTCACCTATGACAACACCCATTGCACAAGCATCTCATTCTGTTTCCATTGAGGAAATACCGGACATTGATTCCCCCTCATCAAACACTTCTCATCATGCTCCATCTATTTTGGCTTCACCTCCATGATGCTCAACCCATGCTCCCATGCCATCTGAACAACAATGTGCTTTGGACGGTAAGCCATATATCTCAGCAACACAATGTGCCATCTTAGATTCACTCTCGGCTGTGGAATGCCTTAAGGCGACATCCCCTGAGGCTATGACTACCATTTTCACTGAGGAGGAGCTCTTGTCCTTGGCTGATCTTTTTGCAGCTATGCCTGATAACCTGCAACACAAATACCCTGACAACCCATCCACATGTGCTAAAGCAATGGCTTCAGCACACTCAACTCAATGGCAGGCAGCCCTCAAAGACAAGTTTGATTCTTTATGAGACCTTGGCATTTACAAGCTCGTACCATGATCAACTATACTCCCGGGTCATAAAATTATGTGAGATCACCCTATCTTCAAGCTTAAATGCGACCAGCATGGACAACCTGCCCATTTTAAGGCCCATTACATCTGTCGTGGGTACTCTGCTGTTTGGGGACAGGATTATACCAAGACCTCTGCACCGACAGCATGCCTCAAATCCTTCTGTGTTCTCACCCACCTTGGAGCCGCCTTAGACTGGGAAATCGATCAAATCGACATCAAAACAGCCTTTCTTCATAGGTTACTAGAGTCTGACAAGGTTTGCTACATGTACCAGCCTGAAGGCTTCCTCAAACCAGGAAAAGAGGACTGGGTCTGGGAGCTTCAAAAGGGCCTCTACAGAATGAAACAGGGTGGTCTTGTATGGAACTGCACCATGAACAAAGCAATTATCACCTGGGGATTCATGTATCTTAAATGTGAACACTGCATTTACTATCGCAAAACTGACACAGGTATCCTCCTCATCGCAGTGCATGTCGACAACTTTCTCACTGTGGGCAGCAACAAAACCATCATCTCCGATTTCAAATCACAGCTACATACTAAATAGCAAATTTCTGACCTAGGCAACACACATTTCTGTCTCAGCATTGCTATTGACTGTGACCAACTCAATCATACCATCAGCCTCTTGCAGACTGCACTCATTGATCAAATTGTCACACAATTTGGCTTGTCCAATGCCTTACCTGTCTCTACCCCAATGGAAACTGGCCTGCATCTCTCATGCTGTTCACATGCTCCCACTACCAATGCTCAACACGACCTCATGACACAGACACCTTACCAATCACTTGTGGGTTCTTTAATATATCTTGCCATAGGTACATGACCTGACATCACACACACCATACAGCAATTGTGTCAACACCTTGATTGCTATGGTCCTGTACACTGGGATGCAGCAAAATGTGTCACCTGTTATCTCAAAGGGACTCATACTCTTGAGCTTGTCCTAGGCGGAGAACACCCTGCCCATCTACTGGGATTCACTGATAGCAACTATGCCAACTGTCCAGACACCCGTCAATCCATTAGCAGCTACTGCTTCACCATGGGCACAGGCATGATTACCTGGAGCGCAAGGCAACAGAAAACCATTGCTTTATCAACCTGTGAGGCAGAGTATGTCACTGCATCTGATGCGGCCAAAGAGCTTACATGGCTGTGCACCTTGCTTCTTGAACTCGAATTTGCACAATCATCCCCAACTCCTTTACTTTGTGATAACACTGGCAGAATCATGCTTTCCGAAGATGTGTCATACCACTCAAAAGTTAAACACATCAATATCATGGTGCATTCCCTATGTGAACGAGTCACTCATGGCCAGCTCAAACTCTCCTATGTCAAATGCATGCATAATGCTGCCAATACATTTACTAAGGCCCTCACACGAAAGGATTTCGAACATCTTCATGCCTGCTTGGGTTTACAGTGAGAAGTTGAGGAGGAGTGTGACTGCTCATCACATCAAGGAGGAGTATTGGTGCTATGCTTGATGATGACACAATGAGTGGAGTCACTGTTTGGAATTCAAACCTCCATGTGTATATATATCCTGCTTCTCTTTCTCACCTTCCCTCAGTTTGTTCCATCACACTGAGGGTAAGCCTTTTTATTATTTGGTCCACCACTAGATACTGACTACAGCTTAGGCTTACACAGTATCTAGGTATTCAATATAGTTTGTTCCATCACACTGAGGGCTTACACAGTATCTAGCATTAAAAGAATATAGTGGATGCAATGATTTTCAAATGTACAGAGAAGCTAGATTTTGAGGAAGTGACAATGCAGCATGATGATGCACACATGCACATTTCTGACCAACCCCATTTCTACCAAGAGGTTACATACTTCAGGAGATAGTTGTGTGTGTTCTGGTGCATTCAACAATTGAGTCTGCTCAGCTTCTTTCAGCCTGTCCAAGCTAAAATAAGATTCTGCATGGCTTCATGAGTGAAATGTGTGATTGATATCACTTGCAAAACTTCTGGAAATCACCCAGAAATTTGTCTAGAATCTTATCATCGAAAATCCATCAACATAGAGGAAAGGAATGCATGATCAAGACAGCTTTCAGTGTCTTCCAGAATTGGTGGGAAGAGGAAGTCAATGGTGTTGTTGAAGTTTGTGGTACAACATTGAACAGCACTGAGCAAAGAGACAGAACACACAATAACACCCATTCCCAGCAGCATCTCATGCTTAATACATGTAGATATGGTTTTCACACTATCTCTGTGAGAGGTTTCATGTAGAGCTGTGTGAGAGCTGGGAAACAGGCCTATAAGTGGTGTTGTGGCCAAAGAAAGAAATTGCACTAAAATTTAAAATGTAGCCTCTCTGATTTGAACTCAAGTGCTTGCTATTGACTAATATACATACTTTATGCACACAAACCATTAGGTCATAAGCCCTTGTATTTAATAGGTGTTGACTTATATATGACAACCAGCAGGTCATCTCATCACAAATTTCACTAAGTCTTTGCACCAAGTCCTAATCAGTCTCTACTGTCTAGCAATTATTGTAGTGTGACATGTATTTTGCAGAAAGCAGTTCTTGTGAAATTCAAGTTCTATATAATGTATTTGCATTCACACTGCTTAGGTAAATAGAACCAAATGTATTTTGTGTAGAATACAGATTGTTACAATCAATGTACACCCCTATTCTTTTGTTTCCCTTATCTCACATTGTATTACATCATGATCACTACTTGCTGTCATTAGATGATCTCATCCTGTTATCTCCTTACTTACCACTTTTGGATCCCATTGCATTCATCCTTATTAGGCATTCACTTGTATTGTTACTTACTTGTGCCTGCCCTAAACTCTCCTAGCTATTCACTATAAATAGGCAACTCTATACATTGTAGTTTTTTACTTGCCAAATCTTACCAGGTTTTACCTGATCTTTCACTAAGGACCTCCAATCCTTAGTTGTCTGAACCAATATTCTAATAGCAAGCACTCCTTGTTGTTAGTCTTAGACCTTCTCTCTTTTGAGAAGGAGAACTCAGTCTCTGAATGTTCTCTTTTGAACTTTGACTGTTTCGAACCATCCTAGTTCATAACACAGATGCTAGCTCAGCAAACTTAGAGCTCATTATAGAGTTCTTGGACAGGATGTTCATGCAAGCTTTTTCATAGGTATATCATAGGTTTAATATTTAGATCTATGGATGAGTCCTGGATTGGACTGAATATGAGCTATAACCAATCTATTACCCAGGCAGGAAAAAAACCCTTTGATAAGCATTGGATCTATGGGCTTTACACCATAATTTATGTATATATGTACTAAGTCTCTATTCAAACTCATATTGGCCTGTTGCCAAGGTGTTACAAATGGTTTTCACACTATCTCTCTACAGCCCAATGTGGCAGTTGGTGGTGTAGATTCAAGTGGAGTTTACAGTGCTTTTCATAATTATGCAGAATCCCATTATTTATTTGGGCTGGTCAGAAATGTCCAGAGCATGATACCAAGAGATCATGAGAGATGAGACAGCACTGTGGTCATCTTGCTTGCAAGGTCATATGCTACTAGGGGTCAGCATTGCCAACTATTTACCTTGCTCCAGTTGATTCTGCATTTAGTCCATACATGTACATTTTGCAGTAAGGTAACTTGTAAGGTAAGTTTCAATTTCACTTCTAGATTTTCATACTAGGGTGCCAATTTGTGACCATGTGGAGTTTATTTTATTTTATTTTTGCAATGATGACTACACTTTGTCACAGGCAATGAGGAGTTTCAGAGTTTCTAATTTTGACATGGTGCTTCCTAACATGCCACATATTGCCTCTTTCCCATCTTTATCCACTCAACATTATCTCCTGTGTAATTTTTGTTGGTTAGCATATGGCTTGAAGACAGTCTCCTGTTAATTGTCTCACAGGTGTGGGACATGGCTGTAAGTTTACCCAGCCATGATCATGCTCTGACCAATCAGACCCAGTGAAAATTGACAAAATACAGGTAGATATACGTAGATAGAAGCCTAAAAAAATAATCCCTATGAAAAATATCGATACCATTTGACCTCTTTTGACAAATGAGACTTTTCGAGATGCAAAAAGAAAGACATCAAGAGAAAATTTAGATGTTTAGATGTGATTCTCGCTGCACAGATATCCATTTACATATGAATTTATCACGTGATTTGTTACAAAAACAGATCTAATGAGAGCAAATAAGATTATCTGTAGGTATCGCCAGGGTTAGGGTGGTATCACAAGCATTACTAGATTGGGTATTGCTGTGCCTAGTGCACCATCCCGCCCTCCCTGCCCTCCTCACCCCCTCCCCGCCATCCTGCCCACTATTCATCCTGGTTGTCATCTGCTTGAGCCAGTCCTGGGGCAGACAGCTATAGAACATGCGGTCAGTACATGTGATAGCAATGCAAAAAACACTCACCTGAACAGCTGCTTTGCACTTGTATAACTAGTGTGATTGTAGACAGGTTAGTTAGATGTTAATAAAAGAAAATTAAATGAACCTCTTTGTCAGCTGTAGACAACCTATTCCAGTAAGTAGTGAAGACACTGGCTGGTTCCTTTTGATGGCCATTTGACTGCCACTCGAGGGCACAAAGATTCCTAGACAGATAGTAATGAGCTTAATTACTGAAAAATATGAAATAGGACTCACTGTGCCATGATCTTGGGGCTCACACACATTGGCTTGGTACTTGGCTGTCGCTTCTTGATGGCATCAGCCTTCAAGTCAATCGTGTTAGCATTGACGAGTTCCATTTTCACAGCAAGTGAAGCCAGATCGGCAAGTGAAGTCAAATTCGAGCTCAATGAGATGTCGGTCATGGATACTGGTGTGATGATGTGGGAGGGCAGGACTACAGCCAGGTTGGATTCAGAACTTGAGGAGATGATAGAAGTTGAGGAATCAATAGAAGTCAGAGGAAGTTTGGGTGGAATGGGTCTGGGCTGAGGTTTCATAAGAAGATTAGAACTACATCAATCGATCAGTAGGATGAATAACAAATTGATCAAGACTTACAGAGGGTTTTTGATCTGGTAAACAAGTGAAGTTAGTGTCTGGTTGGTGTGCTTACAATCCAACTCACCTCTACAATAGGCACCTCTTTGCCTTTGCCTTTATCGGTGCTGGGTGGTGGTGTTGGTTCACAGTCAAGGGAGGGGTGTTGCAGTGTGTCAGGTATCTGTAGATGCATTGATTAGCAAGCTTCAAGAATTTAAAAAAACTTACCGCTTCATTGGTACTAGTAGAAGGCTCAGTGACAGGCTCGGAGATTATATCTGAATTGATCTGTGCTCGCTTCTTCGTATGTTCCACTTTGAGTTCGTCACCAGGCTTGGCCTTAACATGCTTGCTGGCTTTCTTGCCCTTGACATGGTAGGTCGACCATTGAGAGTAATTGTTGGTCATCAGCTTCATTGCCTTCCAGTTGTCAGCACACAAACGAAATTTGATATACTCTTTGTGCAGAGTATGAATAAGCCACTGTAAGACTTGCAACAAGGCTTGGCCAATAGACACCGGTGCGAGGCCTTGGGATTGAAGTTGCCAGAAGCTTGAGAGCATATGATTGTGGATGCTCTTCACGTGATCAGCCGAAACAGGCTTGCCTTTCTCGTCCTGCAAGTAAGTACACGACATATTGATGCCTTGCACCATGTGCCCAGATCCTCAAGATGTGCATCTAGAACTTTCGGGTTCAGCGGATGTGCTTTTCGGATATTGTACCTGCCATTCCTTCTTCATCCACAATCGAATTGATGGATAGTCCTTCCAATCAAGTTCTCAATCGCATTCTTCAGTGACTATCTCACCCACTAACAAAGGTTTTTGATTGTCAGAAATGATGTTCGAGGTGTCGCATGTGGATAGAGATGATGATGTCGATGCTACAGAGCTCGTGGAACCACGGATATTGACAATAACATTCCTGTATTCGATATTTTCAGCATATATGTGCATGTACTCAATAGATTTACTTACTGTAAAGCTTGGCAAGTGGAATTGAGGCCAGCATTTTCATTGATCAGCCTGAGTCTATCAGCCTGCAGACTGGCGACAGCGTGCTGTGATTCTGTGAGTTGCCATTTGAGTTGGGCAACTAAACTTGTGTCAGAGTCTTTGCACACCAGCCGATCGTTTTTGAGAAGAGAATGAAGGCTATCTTGAAATAGCAGAGGCTTACCATGTATTCAACATCAGTTTCTGATCTTCGATGCATCAATGTAATTAATTTAATGACTCACACTACTAGCCACTGGGTCCCGCAAATGAAACATCTGGGCCTGGCTGGATCCAATATTCAGATCAAAGCCTGTTAATGACTGTGGATTAATTTGAGATAAGAGGTCAATGTATCCAGTGGGTGAGGTTGTGTCGTCGAGTGACATGATGGTATGAGTTGAAGTCAAGAAAGGAAACTCACCAAAAACACACCAAGTCCGGACATCTGTAATGCTACCACCAGCCATCCAAGATTTTCTGGACCTATCATCAGATCCAGACCTTGATGGTTATCAGGCTGATACCAGGTGAGTCTTTGCTTCGCGATTGAGATCTAGATCTATTAATCTTATGTACTAGCATCAATACAAATGATTCCAACAACTCCACCCATTCTAGCACACCCGTCATGACCTTGTCCGACAATTTCTTGCTGGATCCCAACAATTGGACTTCTGATCCTCTCAGGGCACGTCTGATGAGGCTGAGGGATTTATTACAACAAGAGTAAGTTTTAATTTATTTCTGTGACATTTTAATACAAGTTAAGTAGATCTACTCCTACCAAACCTATGCCCATCCTCCCCATTGATGACCCGAGCTGTGTGACCAAACTGGAAAGCGAACCCAAGATAGCTGCACCTATGCCCATCCTCCCCATCAATGACCTGAGCAGCATGACTGAGCCAGAGAGTGAACCCAACAACCCGCCCCAGCCTACCATACCAACTCCTACCCTCCCCATCAATGATCCAAGTAGTGTTACTGAACCAGAGAGCGAACCCAAAAACCCACCCCAACCTGAGTTCACCATGCCAATCAAGATCAAGGGTGCAACTCCAGTTCCGAAAAAGAAGGGCTTCTTCAACACTCCAAGTCCCCCAGGGCCTGATTCACTCTATTGGAAGTATGTCTCGCGCGAAGAAGATGAAAAATGGTATGATCATTCAAAAACAGACTCCAGCTTTCACACAGTACATTCAATGAAACAGCAATTCAAAGACATTAGTTAGAAATGCATTGTATTGTATGTAGTTGACATGATCACACTTAATGAAACGCTTTGATGCGATCAACTTCCGTCTGATGGGATCAGTGTGATGGGATCAAGGTAGTCTGATTGTATCAATGTAAGGTATGCATATGACATCATAAATGTACTCTACTAGTCTTCATCAGGGATATTATCCTCAATGCTGCCCATCCTGATGATATCCAGCCCTGGACGCTCTACAAGGTAAAACAACACTCCATCAATGCTGGGAAACTGATGTGGAATCATGGCGACCACTGATTGGATATGAGAAACTTCAATGAGTCGCAATGATGCATCGCCACGATATGTGCATGCAATGACAGTCTGGAATGAGTGCTCCAAAAGTTCTGGGTGCAGCGGTCCATATTCTGAAATGAGTGCGAAGGTCTTGTCTTCATCGTGAATCGTCATGTTGAAATAAAAAAGGACTTCTGCAATAGTCGTCATCCCATCAATGAATAACTGTAAGACACCAATGTCAGATCAGCCGAGTAACTTAGAAACTTAAAGCATACCTTCACATTTCACGCCATCCTTGGCTGCCTAGTCATTGCAAGCTCCTTCCACACAGATCGTGTGACCTGTCCATTGGGAAGTCGAAGTCGAGCCCACCTAATGATTTGAGGGGTAGTAGGAACATGTATGTCTTTTGCAGTGAGATATTGAAGAATGGCATCGGATTCACAGTGCCAAACTGTGTGAGGAGTGTGTTCTTGACAGCATAACAGCACGTAACTGTTGCCTAGGTCTTGTGAACCTTGTGGAAGGTTAGTTTTTGTGGGTTCAATTGAGGGAATGATGACTTTGATTGCATTGACTTGACAATGGCATACAGCACACTGAGACAGATTGGCATAGACAGATGTGTTGTGAAGTTGGATTTCTTGAGCTAGGTTGCCAATGGTCCGCTCCATTGTCCATTGTGATGAACAAATTGGTGGTCCCTTGTTGATAGTTTCAGGGGCAATATGTAATGTAGAATGGATCCATGAGCAAACAAAGTGAAGGCGATCTATGCGGCATTGGTAATAAATTTCCTCAAAGTCTTGCAAGAAATCAATGAGATGCTGGTGAGCATCAACAAGATCTGATCAGGGGATATGGTACTGTTGCATCAGATGCATTCCGCGCACAAGATGACACAGATTGGTCCAGTATGGGGTGGGAAGGATACCAAATAGTGTTGCAGGTGCCATTCCATATAAGTAAAGGAGCCATTCCTATGCCTTGTAACCACTATTAATCTTCTCGGCAGAGTTACGAGGTGGTTGGTCAAATGAGCCCAGCAGAAAGGGAGTTGCGCTAGCGATGATGGATCCATGTGCTTTCCAGGCATCCTTCATGAGAACAGCCCAATCCCATGTAGATTTGTTGTCCATGGGGTCTGCTCTGAAGGTACCTTGCCAGAGAGGTATGAGAAGATCACCAACGTTGATGGCAGCAACATGCATGATGTCCAAACCGAAACAGAGGGGAACAAGGAGGATGCGATCAGTGTCGAAGCCACAGAAAATACTCGGTTTGGTGATTCCAGTCTTGAGCCGTGTCTGTTCATACTCAGCCGTGTTTCCGCACTTAATAATGCACTGTAGGTTAGTTTCATAGTCAAATGATCCAACAGAAGGCAGCTCGCCAACAGGAATGTCAGGGTGAGAGTCGGTTCCATCTGGCCAAAGAAGAGCAGGATAGTATGTAGGCCCACCAGGTTTGTGCCGCCCAGGTAGACCACAGTAAAGATGGCAACCCATTTTGCCATGATGACCCACGAGGCCAGTCAAAAAGGCCATACCAGGGCCATCTGCTGTAGCTATGAATAAAAATGGATGTGAGGTAAAGGATATTCATTGTGCTCCATTCCAGATGATGGAGACCAGGAAATAAGAATGAGTCAAGGTTTTTTGGCTTTTTAGGGCCAGGAATGATGCCCCTGGGGATGACATACTTCTTCTGGTACTGTTCCTCTGGTGCATGATCGAAAAGAACCCAGATGTAGATCCAACAGTTGGACTGTTTAGACTCATAAAGCTGCACACCATCAATCGACAACATGAGCACAGAGTCTCCATCTTTGATTTGGCCTGACTGATAGGCTTCGAGATATTGCTTGCTGTGGAGTATGTCCTCGTAGACATCAGGTATGCCTCTGCTAATCTTGAGTTCTTCGAGAATCTTCTGAGTGCGTTCTTCACGCCATCTCATTTTCTTTGCATGGTTGGGATGATGCCATAGAGCTTGCAGTTGTGGTCCAACAGGAAATGAATTGAAGGTCTGACAAGGGACTTTTTGCGTTGGCTTGCTCTTCTTTGCATCCCAACAAGATTCTCCACATCAAGGGCACACATCAAGGTAAGTAAATGGTCCTGTGAATGCAAGACATGTGTTAACACACATGTCATGGATGATTGGAACGACACCACTCAGTTCCATGACAGCTTGTTTGACACAATAGTGGCTGAGGATGTCATCTTCAGGGTGACATTCCATAGTTGTATCATGTACGAGGTTGTATGCATTGACTGTAAGGTTGGCAAAATAGTATTTCAATGATAATGTAAGATCGGGGTCCATAGCATCAGGAAGTGTACATGGGGGATTTCAAAGTCGGTCAAGTGCCTCTGCAGGCAGACACGCGTGAGGATCGTCAAGTGAGGCTTTGCGAAGGGCTGTAATAAAAGCCATGGCGTCTTGAGCGTCCTGGAGGCATGCCATGCGGTGAAGTTCATCTAAGTCTTCATCAGTCCAGCCCATCATTCATGTCTCTGCTCCGTTCCCCTCTACTCCATTCCCCTCTGCTCTGTTCCCCTCTGCTCCATTCCCCTCTGCTCCATTCCCCTCTGCTCTGTTCCCCTCTGATCCATTCCCCTCTTCTCTGTTTTGATCAAGATCATCAATATGATCAATAGGTGCCGCCGGAGGTTGTTGGTCTGGCTGTGCAGCACCTTGAGAACCATGAGGTTGGTCGGAATTTTGGTCCTCTTCTAGAAGCGCCTCATCAGGAAGCCGATCGTCAGGAAGCACCTCAGGTATGGTGTCATACTCAAGGCCATCATACTGATAAAAATCTAGATAATGTTAAATTCTTGATCATGATCGAGAAGAAGGACTCATACCTTCATGAGTGTCATCAGGATGGGGGTCAGGCTGTTCAGAAATATGTGAGTGAGCCTCTGGAATAAAACAATCGGACTTACCTCAGATGTATGCACTAGTTCTGGGCTGTCAGAACATCCCTTTTTCTGATTTATAGGTCCCCCACCATCGAGATCTTCCTGAGGCCTCTTGCTGGACGAGGATGCAGCTGGTGGAGGGGTGTGTCGAAGATCTGGTGATGGGAGATCTGGCACAATGCTCAGAGCGATCGGAGGAAGGAAGATTGATGTGCATCTGCTGGGCTTATGTCTGAAGTAAGTAGCTTTGGAAATGCATAAATTCCTCCTGCCTGTTTTACGAAGACAGGATTTACAGTTGCACACATGGATGATAGTGCCATCATCGAGTCTGTGCACACCAGCTTCCATAGAGTCCATGATATGCCTTACGGTTTTGCAGATTCGGACTTAGTGATATTAATATTGAAATTGGCGATCTGATCTTAGCTTGCCTGTGCACATTGCAAAGTGCATGTGATCTTTGCTTATTGTATGTTTTTTTACCTTTGCAAAGATTCTTGACATTTTGCAGACAATTTCATTTTTGACGTCTCGAATTTATTGAATTTCTATCTATCTCGTTTGGTACTTAGCTATGTATCTACGTATATCTACCTGTATTTTGTCGATTTTCACTGGGAATCAGACCCTAACCCTGTCGCATTTCTACTATATATGGAAAAGTCATTAAGATACGTATCAGGAGGTCATAAGTATACCCCCTCCATTTACCGCGCGGGTTTACTGTGTTGTATTTTCCCACATCACTGGAGCACTGCTCGTGAGTGGAGGCTATAATATGAAAGCTCGGTTCTGGTCTGTTAAGACCATACTCGAGCAATACAAAGCATAGGAAGAGTGGCTGAAGAAGCACGTCGGCTCCTTTCTTATAGTGACACCCAGGTATGCACTTTCCCATGATCGTTCCGCCTTGCCATTCATCCAGCATGTGCTGCGTGGTAACGCACATCTGTGCAGTCACGACAACTGGTGGTGGTAGAACAGGGATATCTCATTCATAAATTTCGTGCACATCTACATCTTCGGAGTGTATAAAACCAGTATCCCTTTAGTTATTCACTGTATCTTGATCTTCTCAGCAACACCTGCACATGCCATCAATACTGATCCAGAATAAGATCGACCAATGGAACTCACCCTTCTTCCAAACAAGCCCATAGTTCTTCGCAGTCCGGGTGGTAAACATTCCCGCAAGAATCAGCGCGCACACCGCACGGGCGGCCTCTGGGTCCATAGGACCGACTTTATCGCCCGTGTTTCCGAGGACGGTCGAGATGACAGTGTGGAGCTCGGCCCAGAATGGCTGGGCTTGCGTAAGGAGGGCATAGAGCCCCGTGATGAACGGGGCACACCAGAGGTCCGTAGTCGTCCAGCCGTAGGGCTTGATCGCGGCGGGAGTCGTAAGTGTGAGCGGGGTAGGCTCCAGGAAGGAGAACATGCTGGTTATGAAGATGCCTCCATTAGCGATGACCTGTTGTAGGCAAAGGGAATTAGAGAGATTGAGACACGATTAGGAAGGGACAACGTACGAGAGAGGAGAGCAAAAGAGTCCATGGGGAAGATGCGATAACAGGGGAAGCATGGGTGATAATGGGTTTGGGTATCAGGCTGCAGAGAAGCAGCGCTCGAGTGAATCCGTCGACAATAGACAGCGGAAGCTCAGTGAAGAGCGACATGGGCGGTATAGCAGGGATATACTCTACAATCGCCTGTGCGGCGATGTACACACCCGGGGGGACACCTGAGAGCACGAAAGACGGAGGAACACCGAGTAGAGAGCCTGATCAAACGTGGAGAGTAGTCAGTATGCATAGCGTAGATTCGAGTCAGTAAGGTACTTATGATGGCCTCTCCTCCAAACTTGACCGTGAGTGAGGTACATGCGTCTCTTAGGAAGGATCTCTCCTCCACAGACTGTTTATCGCCAGCGCGGCGCTGATACTTGGCATATAAATCTTCCCTGGCCTGTCTCAGGGCAGTGCAAAGCCGCAAGGCGGCTACCAGCTCAATGGAGCAGACTTTGATACCAAACCAGCTGAAAGGTGCTATGGGTTCGAGAGCATACCGATACAAGGATATGAATGGCTGGAGAGACATGACGGAGTCAAGGAATGGTTAACGTTAAGGTCAAGGTTGCAGGAGGTAAGCAGAAGAAGTCCTGAGACATCACTTTCGGCTCAGCGCTCGAGCCTCTGACACGCCCTTGAACGGTAAGCCGGCAATATTAGCTGACAGTCGGATTTCGGAACAACCGCACAAGCCACGCCGGACATTCACTAATTAGGGATTTCATCGTTTTGCGTATAAGCAAACTCTCCAGCGCTGCAGCCACCGACGATATACAAGGACAGCAAAAAAACGTTCAAGGAAATGATCATTGACAATATCAATTTTATTCATACCATACAAAGCGCGGCCGGTCAACAGGGTGTGGAGCATCAAATAAACATGCACAATAATAATGGTCAAACCACGACCATAAGCAACGTCAACACAGGGTCGACTAGAATTGTGAGTGACAGCTGTGAAATGTCGTTAACAGGTTTCACAGAGAATCACTCATCCAGTCCAGCACTGATCCTAGTTCCTCTTCCTTGCACTGGCCAGCATCAAGACTGTCATCGACCGTCCCAAACTTGAGATCGTCCAGGACGCCAAGGAGATTCATATCCCAATTCTGGAAGTGCAGATTGATAGCCGGAAAGTTCGGACACTTCGAGAAAGTAGGAACGTCACCGAACAGCTGAGGTGCACGCTCGTATATGTCCATCTTCCGATCCTCGGAAAGTTCGGCCCAACATGCTGGGTCCATAGGGTGATCAAGAACGTTAAGTATAAATGCACCTTTATACGCTGCTTCAGGTTCCTTCAGCTCAGACCCCGGGAAGCTCGGAACCTCCATGAACACGTTGACAGCGAAGTTGAAATATGTTAGTTCCTCGGCGGAGTAGATCATATTACCGAATTGAACCGGAGACGTGGCCACACTCGGTTGACCTCCTGAATATGGCCTGTATAAATTTGAAACGCCGCGCTTAAGAGTCATGGACCATAGAGTGTCTTCTAGATTCTCGGTGTTGGGATGTTCCGTGGGGGGAACATGCACGATTACGCCATACATATACCAACATGGTGGATTCATACATATGACCTCGCTGTTCCGAATTATGACCATAGGAAGTGGCTCCGGGAACGCGTCCTTGTATATTTCAAGGTGTTTGTGAAGCTGTTTCAAGAGCCCGATGGGATAGATCCTCGGGCAGTCCAGGTCATCGGGAAAGCATGGATTTCGAGGGACTGTAGAGTAGTAGCGGCGGGTGACAGCGTCCTTGTGCCGGCAGAAGTTGCTGATGAATTGAGAGTATAGTCGAGTGTCGGGCATGTCAAAGAAAGGCGGCGGGTACATTGGCATACCGTGGATATCGACGAGCTTTTGGTGGATCATCTTCGGTATGATACTTTCCACCTCGATATATTCTCTCTGTATGTAGAAGGCAAATGGCGCAGGGGGAGCGGCTCGCAGGGCTGTCCTGTTCGATCCGGTTGGAGTTGGGGTAAAAATAAAAGTCGGTCGGTCTTGCCAAGGGATCGGAGTGGCACAGTCATCGCGTGCAAGTATGCTATTGAAGTTAGCGGGCATGGGTCGTGGTGCGTATAGCAGATCGTAAGGCACATAGTGAATGTTTCCATTAATGTCGTTGGAGTCCCCTTCCAAATCATATTGCGCGGGGCCAGGGTCAGCAAAGTGGAAGCTAGGGATCTGCACCATGTGTTCGGCTTGCATCCCAAGTACAAAGAACGATTCTCGTACCTGTTTGTGAAAAGCAAACGCGTCAGGAACGCTTGCGTGCAGTTCGTCACTACTTGGTAATCTAGGTGAATAATGAGCAAAGCTCTGAGAGGGCGCGATCGTGGTGAACTGAGTGTCATGCAGAACGGGGCGTGCGAACTCCTTCGAAGGAGAGTTTTTAGTCTGAGTTGACTGCATGATGTGATAATGAGCAAGAGGTGATAACGAAGCAGAGGAAATGCCTACTGTTTATATATCATGGCATGGCAGTGGATGTGGATCGTGGATGGCAGAACGACAATTCATGAAGTGGATGAAATATTGTCATGTCGATATTTTAATTGAAAGGTAACCAAGCATGGTACAATGGCGAAGCGGCTGTAGTGGCCCTAAACCGGGAATGCGAGATAGTTCTTTCCAGCGATCCAACCCATGAGTGCGCTGGTTCAAGACTGTCCCCTCCAGAAAACTTGGTGTCCACACGTTCCTTGCGCCGAAAGGTGTAATCGGACTTGGAATAATCGGTCCTTGATTGGCCAGGGAAGCAATTCCGCAACCTGCAGGATCTGCCGAGTTAGTCGTAGGAGATCAGGGCATGTCATCAGACGCGCTGTGGGTCGTGCTGCTCGCAAACCTTTTTGCCTTTTTCGTGCAAGAACAGCTAGCAATTGTCATTGTTTCCTTCACCACGACCGTCTCGAGGGTACACAAAGCAGAGTCCTATTAAGAGGAAGAAAAAATGTAACTATACACGCTGAACTACAGACACACCCGCCCAATTGCTACAGCAAAGGCTACAGCGACAAAACGCAACAGCAGCACCATCTAACAGCACTTGCTACCTGTTGCAGGTGTAGATGAGTCAATCGCTACAGGAATAGTATCACTAGTGGGTCCCTTGATGGGGTCAGCAGACTGCTCAAGCGACTTGCTTGAGACGATCCGGTAGATGTCTGGGAACACGTCAGTAAAACGCCATTTCATGCAGAGACCAAAAAGTACCCGTAAGGATGGTTTGAAAAGCTGACTCGACATTTGATGCGTCCAGCGCCGAAGTCTCGATAAACGAAAGTTCGTTCTCCGCTGTCAGAAAATCAGTACCTGAGCGATTCAGTCACAGTCGATTCGTGTCAGACATACTTGCAAAAGACTTTGCCTCCTCAGTGGGAACTGCCCTCAAGTGTTTCAAGTCACTCTTGTTTCCAACAAGCATGATAACAATGTTCGAGTCAGCGTGATCCCGGAGCTCCTTCAACCACCGCGTCACGTTGACGTACGTTGCATGTTTAGCAATGTCGTACACCAACAGAGCACCAACAGCACCACGGTAGTACCTGTAGACACATTAGCCTCAACAGTGAACTCTAACTGCGGAGAGTGATCACATACGCAGAGGTGATCGCGCGGTAACGCTCTTGGCCTGCAGTATCCCATATCTGTGCTTTCACCGTCTTAGCGTCGACAGTAATCGAGCGTGTCGCGAACTCGACACCAATTGTTGATTTCGACTCCAGGTTGAACTCATTACGAGTGAATCGCGAGAGAACTGGGTGATGTATATGAGCAGTCGCGCGTCCCCTGATAAATACACTATTCCTTACGATTTCTGTAGGCTACTGTGAGCTAGGAAATGATAAACGGAACTTGAAACATGCTTACGATTTGCCAACTCCAGAGTCACCAATTAGAACAACCTGTAGAGCGGAAACTGGTAAGTGCCGTGGAAACCATGTGCATGAGTGACTACGGACCTTGAAGAGAAAATCATATTCGGTCATATCGAGTTCTTGGGAACGTTGAACGGTTAAAGGGCTCTATGTACGAAGGAGTCTTGGTCGTTGAAAAGTACAAGCAGTGGTCGGAGTTCGAAAGTGACAGCAAGAGACTTGAAGTTGTTCCCGCCGTCACAGTGATCCTTGACTTGATGATGTGACTTCTGTTATACAGTGTCTGATTGGAGACTGATAAGTATTTATTTTAGGTCGTTCCAGTGTTACGAGGCTGTTGTCCACCGACAGATGTGACATTTTTATGCCCGTATCGAGGGAGATCATACTAGATGTACTACCAGTCTATGTATAATTGTCTGTCTTGCCGCTTCTCTCTTTCATCTCCCACAAAACTAGGAGGCCGGTGCCCCTACCTGCTTTAGCTACCACCGGGCCGACCCCGTAGTCACGATGCTCAGTTGGCCTGATTGGTTGCTAATTGGCGGCATCAAGGGTCTTAACGCCTTGTTACAAGGTTTCAGTGGTTCCCTCCATGTCTACTCCACATACCAAGCGTATTTGCCAGATAATCAAGGTGCGTACAGGTTCTCGCTTTCTGTAATAAATGTCCAAACCCCCTGACCGTTCATCACAGCTCAAACCAGAATGCGCGGACGAGTACAAAGAGGTCCACAGGAACGTCTGGCCTGGCGTCCTCAACGCCCTTAGACGATATCATATCGTGGACTACTCAATCAACCATTATCCGCCGTTGAATTTGCTCATCGCGAACTTCAAGTACACAGGTAGTGACTTTGAGAAAGATATGAAAGCTATTGGAGAGGATGAGGAGACGCAGAGGTGGTGGAGGCTCACAGATAGTATGCAGGAGAGCTTTAATGACGGCGCATCTGGGAGTGGAAGGGAAATCCCTTGGTGGACGGTGAGTCTTCTTTGTAGACTGGGAATTTTCGCTTCCTTGAACAATTTGGCAAATAGGACGTAGAGGAAGTCTTCCGTTTCGAGGGAGGCTCTTCAGCATGATATGTTGGCAGCCGTCGTTAATGAGATTGACTACCTCTTCGGGCTATTGACTAGTTGGAAGGCACTGTGCCAATATTGAAAAGGCAGAGAATAAGGCAAATTCGCCCAAGACGGGGATCTGACTGGTTACATTGCTCGAACTCGATGCGGAACTTTACTTCAAGATATGGTAGAATTCATCGGCGTGTACTTCGTATGTGTATACTTATCTCGAGTAACGTAGCTTCGACTTCCCCCTTCGTTGCGAATTCCGATGTTCATCGAACTGAAGCACGTTTCTAGACAAGGCAAGGTTCAAATTACATGACGAAGCGCATGAGTCGAGATAACGGAGCACTTACCCACAAAAAGTGACCTCTCCTACAACTGAGAGCAACGACTCAATCCGGCTCATGTGAGCTTTCTTCAATGGTGCGTCCGTTTGAAAATCTACCACTGGCACCCGGAAAGATGCCACCGCTAGCATCGACAAAAGATGATCAACTCGTCGTTTTTTTGGTGTTCCAACCACTGTCAATTTCCGGAAAATGGGAAGATGAAGGAGGCCGAACAGGCCTTTCAACTCTTGCCGGAGACGCGAGGAGGGGAGGGGGAGGGTCATCGACTCAAGTGTTGCTGAATAACTTCTAGCGGCAGGAACATTGACCAGGTATATTTCATCAACCGCGATAGTCTCCAGATGAGGGAAATCGGCTATAGTGGAGCATAAGGCAAACACGGAAGCGTCCCGGAGGTGGAGATGACGTAGATCTTTGTAAAAGGGGATGCGCAGTCTCATTGGGGAGACCAGATAACAGTGAGTGTTGATGTATAGGCGAGAAATATTTGGTGCATAGAATTTGCTGAGATCATTTGAAGAACAACATTCTAAGGCTCTCAACTGAGGTGTGTTGAAGTTGAAACCCCAGTCACACGGGTGTGGCATAACGACCGTTGCCCAACGCTTGCTCTCAGAAAGGAGGATATTGAGAAGTCGAGCATTTGTCTGTGTTATTATCCAGGGGTAGTGATTACGATTGGCGCAAGTGAAGTTGTGGCATGGGGTACTGTTAACAATGTGAAGGGTGAGGGGCAAACTACCAGAGCGAGCAAGCCAACACTGGAGAAGATGTGGAAGAAATGGTCCGAATGATCTAACTTGCCCGGGGAGCACGACTTGGATGCGCGACCAGACTCCTGCTGTTGAAAGTGCAGCAACTCGCCAAAGATGGCACACCCTGGTCAAGACTATGGGAGGGCTGGAAACGTTGGCCGAAATAGTGTAACGTCCGCATGAAAAGATACTCGGCGAGTCTGGCGCACTGTGAACGATGAACAAGAAGATTTGTCGTAGAAGTTCCGCCGGCAGCCTATGGATGTACGGTTCTGTCGGCGTCACGCTGACAAGAGAGATTGGACGCAAGAAGGACAATGCAAGGATTTTACGGAGCACTTTCATGCTCTTCTTGCTAAATGTTAAGTTAATCGATGTGGGCGTCATTAGGAGACCCGGTGCAGCCAGCCAGTATATAAGGAGATAGTACTAGTCTCCTCAGGACCCTATTCCAGGACTCTGTGGTCTCCGATCATCGATCATCCCGGACCTTTTAATTAATATTATTGTTCGCCAACTTACTATCTATGCCTTGGTCAAGAACTTCCCGATGTGACAGAAACTCCATCTTGTCAGCGTGCGTTTGATGGCAAGTATTTTGGGATTACTAGTACTCCAGGAATCTGAGTCGAGTTCGCTTGCACCTCATAGTAAGTTATGAAGTGCAAACGAACTCGATAACTCTAGAGTCATCAATTCACAAGTTTTCAAACTCAGCTGCCTGATAAGTGCTATGAGCCCCTAAATGATACAACGATGCAGTGCTATTACCATATGCCGCTGTAAGTGAAGCCTCCATCCATACAATCGTCTATGCTGCGCTATTCAGTTCTCCAAGCTTGTTCTAATTGGTGACTCGGGAGTTGGCAAATCGTAACTATGTTTCTTGTTCTTCCCTAGCTCACACAGGCCCTTACGTACATTGGTCCTTTTACAGCTCGTGCAGCATAAATTCACCGAGAAGGGCCTGATTGGCATCTTGGCCTCGACCACAAAATTTTCATGGTTAAAAATCTGGATGGCCTTTTTCAGTGGGCGAAGGGATGTATATATGATACTGCAGGCTTGGAGCGTTCCGACGCGATTTCCTCATGGTATGCAGCCACTCTGCGTTTTGTCATTGTTTAGGCTTCATCGGTTACTACTATGACGCTGTCGGTGCTCTGTTGGCATACGATATCACGAACGGAGCATCGCACGGGAACGTGACGCGGTGGTTGAAAGGGCTTCGTGATCGCGGAAAGCCGAACATCGTTATCATGCTTGTTGGAAATGAGACCGATTCGAAAGACTACCTGAGGATGGTTCGCACTGATGATGCAAAGGCCTTCGCAGGTATGTGTCTTACACAGGTCGAATGTGAGTCAACTATGTACTCACGAATGAAAAATAGCCTTTTATTTTTTATTTTGCAAAAGTTCGGCGTGAGAGCACTCAACTGTCGTCAAAGCTTTCTGCTCCGTCATAAATGGTGATTTTAGTTTTGTATGTTCAATGGACCCTCCGACTAAGGTATTTTTTCAGAGATTCATCGTATCAGGACGTCCGGGAATACAATCGTTCTGATTATTGTAACAAATTGTAGTGGCGCTGGGCCACGCCAGTCCCCAACACCCTTTGTGCACTGACCGACGGGCGATTTATCAGTCTGATCAGTGTCTATGCATGTGAATGGTACCTCTATATACAGTCGGGTAAAAATGGGACGGAAGATGTTGAGCTGTTGAGTGTGTATAGTAGGGATATCTGTGTCGACCATGTGTGCACTAGCCTTGGGAACGCGCCCAATCATACCCATATGTCACAGTATGCCTAGACAGTCCTTAGGCCCCAGTGTCTGTAGGGCTTCATATCTTTTGAAAATTTTCAACAGGCTCTCAGCGCACCGCTGGACCGCTCGGACGTAATATTCGTAGCAAAGGCATATCATTCATAAATATCATCATGCTGTAGATCTATAGCAAGTGGTATAAATCGATATCACGCTGGGTATTCACTGTATCTTCATCTTCTCAACAACGCCTTAAGAACCATCAGTACGGCTCTAGCATAAAAACAACTCATAGAACTCACTCTTCTTCCAGATAAGCCCAAAGCTCTTCGCAGCCCGGGTGGAGAACAATACTACGAGAATTAGCGCGCACAGCGCACGGGCGGACTCTGGGTCCATAGGACTAACTTTACCGCCTCCGAGGGCAGTTGAAATTACACTGTGTAACTCGGCCCAGAACGGTTGGGCGTGTGTGAGGAGTGCGTAGAGCCCCGTGATAAGCGGGGCGGACCAGATGTCAGTGACTGTCCAGCCATAGGGCTTGAGCTCATCTGGGGTCGTCAGTGTAAGCGGGGTGGGCTCCATGAATGAGAACATGTTTGTTATGAAGAAACCGCCATTAGTAATGACCTGTGGTAGGGGCAAGTGTGATTAGAGGTAAATCGTGATGGGAAACGATCACATACGAGAGACGAGAGAAGGAGAGCCCATGGGGAAGATGCGATGACAGGGGATGTGTGGGTAATGACGGGTGGTGGTATAAGGCTGCAGAGGAGCATTGCGCGCGTGAACCCGTCGACAACGGATAGAGGAAGTTCGGTGCCGAGTGACATGGACGGCAGGACAGGGATATACTCTACAATCGCCTGTGCAGCGATGTACAATCCGGGAGAAACACCCGAGAACATGAAAGACGGCGTGATGCCAAGTAGAGGGCCTGCGCATAGGGAGCAGTCAGTATGCGCAGTCCCAACATCTCCCTACACAAAAAAGTTAGTACTACCTATGATAGCCTCTCCTCCAAATACAATAGTCAGCATGGTACATGCGTCTCTCACGAAGGACCTCTCCTCTGCAAGTGCGAGTCTATTCTCCCCAGCAGTTCGCTGACAGTGTTTGGCATGCAGAATTTCCCTCATCTGTCTCAAAACGATGCAAAGCCTGAACACGGCTACCAAGTCGAGGGAGCAGACCTTGGTACCGAACCAGGTAAATGGTGCTATTGGTTCAACAGCATATCGATACAGAGAGGTGAATGGCTGGAGAGACATAACGGCGCGGGAGCGAAAATGACGGACTTAGCGCCTGAAGCACTAAAAGGGTTTTTGAAAGTGAGCATTTCAATGAATCAAGTCTAGACCAAATTGACAGTCCGCTCAGCGCTGGCAGCCAGCACACTAACTTACATGCCACTCACTGTGGTATCTACGGCCCGGCTCTTCTAGCTCAACGACAGCGCGTCGCAACTACATTTTGACTACATTTGCAAAATTCAAGGAGACTCTGAATGTCGGATTCGCCATGTCCTCCTTCGAGCTCCAGTACATCATCAAACTTAGTGGCCAACGGTTACTCCTTGTCTCAAATGCCATCACGAACAATCTCACTCCTGTTTTCAAGTACAATTCTTGAGAGATAGAGCCCATGCATGGTTCAACTTTGGCATCCATTCATTCAAAACTGGACCCAGCTCAAAACCTGATCGTGTTGTTAACGACAACACTCACGAGACGGTCAATAATATATCGACATCGAAACCCTGGATGGTGGCAATGTTCACCCACAAGCTGTTGGACGGAGACTGTTTCTGCTGGAGCCGCTCGCATACTACGACAACAACTGCAAAACGAGTACGGAGCTCAAAAGTTTTGACAGGCATATAGCCTTGCTGCGGCGCTTAATGTCAGTTCCATATGATGATTTAACCAAGGCTGAATTCGAGGAGATGTGGGAGCTGCAGATTTGGGACTGGCAACACTCAACGACATCCAATGCGAGCTTTGGTCAGAAATAGTTGAAAGACTGGATGGTTGATTCTCAATTTAGAGCGTCCTTATCGAGAAAAGCCACCAAAGATTCGGAATAGATTTTTGTTTTCTTGGAAACAAAAAGATTGCTGCAGGCTATTGATTTCAAATTGAGGCTCTCAGAGTCTCAATCGAGGTCATGTTTTAGACACCTGGCATGCTTTTTGTCGCCCGTCTCATCCCTGGAGAAATAGTACATCCTTCCGATGGATGATGTGGAGCATAGCTTACAGCCGCAGATGCAAGAAGCTCAACTTACGATGTAGGCCTCGGACCCTAAACATCAAATACTCTGCCTTATCACAATTTCTCATCATTTCCATCAGGGTTTTCTTCGATCTTGACGGAATACAGCAGCAAGCCCAATACAACGGGAACGCCGGGACCTTTCACACTCGTTTTTTTCCAGCGTCCATACGGATGCAAAGTTCACATTAGCGAAAATCGAGTTTTGCAGGCATTCGCACCTGTCATTTCAGACTCGGGTCGACGATAGGGTGTTCATATTACATAGGATGGACTTCAGTCTCGTGGGTGTGACGAATAGCCGAGGTCTGGGACGACTACTAGTGACAGAGCCGTCTGTGGTGGACTTCGCTAATACCACTGGCAAGTACAGAAGGGACTTGACGACATCCCTGCCTTATGTCAAGGTCGTATCGGATAGGAGGTTCAGTATTCAAGAGTTAAAGGACTTGTGGCTCGACAAGGATAGGATTTATTTGCTGCATTTGAACATCAGAGTAACGCCAGCATCCACCGCGCCCGAGGTCATTAATTTCTAGAGCAGAGTCTGTTATTAGCTAGTTACTTCAATGTTTAGATGGATCCTGACGAGATCTGAGAGCTCGTATAGGTTACAGTACTTCAAAAGCTGATAACTTCCAGTGTACACCCGGAGGCCAAACTATTAATAGCTGTAAACTCAATTGCCTAATTGGATGTTCGGTCACTTTGGTGGGACGTAGTACTCTGTTCGACACTCACTAACACTTAGACAGTGCTTTCAAATATGGCAAACTGCTTTAACCTGGAGTATGCATCCATAGATCACAGCAAATGGAGGAACCTTCCTCCTCCTCCAGGATTTTCAAGTCCTGCTTCAAGCGTCAGTCCTTATGCCCATTTCTAACCGTCAAAGCTAATTCTTCCAACAGTCCAGAGCACCAGCCAAGGCTCCAACACCAGCAGCGTCGTCATCATCGTATGCATCGCTGAAAGACAAACGCGCTTGGGATCTCGCCATCTCGCCAGCCAAGTCTCTCCCTATGCAGGCATTCATGTTGTACATGTCTGGGGGAGGTGTACAAATCTTCAGCATGGGTATCGTGTTCATGCTTCTCCTCTCGCCTTTTAAAAATATTGCTGGTATGAATGCAGGTATGCGTCTGTTCAATGAATGTACTCGCCATATCTCTTATTGTCGAGGCAGCATTCGCACCATTTGCGCCTACAACTGCAAGCGTCAAGTCACCCAAGGTCCTTCCTCTCCAGAAGATAGCATACATCGCGTGCAACCTGTTAACACTTGCAGTTGGCCTCTGGAAGTGTCGTTCTATGGGTCTTCTACCAACTGGAACAGGAGATTGGCTTGCATTCGAGAGTCGAGCGATGGTGAGTTATCACACAGCACCTCTGGATACCTCTCACACATCCTTACAAGGCACCTGAACTGTCGCTACTGTAATCAAAAAATGACCTATGTATGTGATAGGAATAGTATCTGAAGCCCTATTCAGATCTGTGTTTCCAGAGGCTCGCCAACACACAGTTCTGCCCTACTTCGAAACTATCTCTAATCTGTAGTGAATAGACACGAGAAGTCCCCGTCGTGGGTATTAAATTCCTATCAAACCCAACAATTTCCAACAATACGAACTACTCATCAATTGTGGAGTGAGAAAGACAGACAAGATCAGCTTCTCTAGGAGCATGAGCATAGCCTCATGATCCACTCAGCTCGTGCGGAAGAGAACAGATGCTACAGGACTGGGGAAAATCATGATGTCTTGGCGCAATGAGAGAAACGACATAAAAAAAGATGAGAAGGATATGAGGCAGAACAAGGCGTAAAGGAGTCATAAGAAGATAGAACAAGCTGTACCGTCGTGATGGATCATTCATTAAACGACGACGCATTTATGTGTCTTCTTAACCACGGGTGGCTCCAGCGCAGCAACAATAGCCTTGTGGGTTATCAGCCAATCATTCAGATGAGATTTGTCAAAGATTTCACGAACCTCGTCGAAGACGTTCTTCAACCCTTTCTGTGTCAGGGCTGAACACTCCACGTACTTGACAGCACCGAGCTCTCTCGAAAGCCTCTCGCCGTGCTCGGTCGGCACCGGTCGTTGCTTCTGCCTGGAAAGCTTCTCGATCACCTGAGCGTCGTCCCGCAAATCGATTTGCGTCCCAACGATAAGACATGGGACGCCCGGACAATGGTGGTGCACCTCTGGGATCCATTTCTCCCTCACGTTCTCGAAGGATGGAGGGGATGTTACACTAAAGCAAACAAGGAAGACATCGGTTTGGGGGTACGACAGTGGCCGGAGACGATCATAATCCTCTTGCCCTTTTATGTGGAAGTGATGTGTGAGCGATTGTATGAAGCGTAACTACGATGGAGACTACAAAAGACACGAACCGGCGGTGTCGAAAAGACCTAACGTGTAAGGATCTTCACCAATCATTACGGTGACTGCATAGTTATCGAAGACCTGCGCTTATTTAGCATATAATGTTGGGCGGTTTTGCGGAATGAACTTACAGTCGGAACATAGTCGCTTGGAAATTTGTTCGTGGTGTATGAGATCAACAAACAAGTCTGACGATATCGGGCAAATGGGTCAAAGTCCAGGACATGCAAATATAACACGTTACGCACCTTGCCTACAGCACCGTCCCCCACTACTACAACCTTGATAGTCTGCATGTCGTTGAGATAGTTCTACTTGACAAACTTGGCTATCAAAATGAAAAAAAAGCAGTCAGCACACGCGTCGACCATGCATTCAAGGGCCGCTTTTAGAACGCCTGCAGCATGCAGGGGACTGCATGACAACCACGCAACCATGGAGGGTGAAAACCTCGGCTGTTGGGTAATATAATAGGGCAAATGAAGAAGGATCTCACCAATTGTTCTGGAAAATTCAAGGAGGAGAGTTGAAGCGGGGAAATGCTATTAACCCAATCACGACAGAGAAGGTTGACTCTAATTTACGAACAGAACCTAAGTCAGTTGAATCGGTTAAGCAGCGAATAGTGGCGGCGAAAGCGAAGGAGGCGGTTGAACGTACGTCGGTGGAAGAAGTGAGAAAGTACGGTGTCGATGTTGGCGACGACGACGAGCAACGAAGGAGTTCAACTACGACTTCTGATCATGCAGTGCGCTTGACCCGACGAACCGGCCCTAATCAGCCAAATAATGCCAAACACCAGTACTAGTATTACCCTAGTTATTTGAGGGTGTCTAACTTGGAAAACTTATCTGTTCTCGTTGTCCAGGTTCCAAATCAATTATCCTAAAATCACCACAACGAATAGTAGTTGCATATTGTCCATACAGAAATTATAGAATGCTCATATCATAATTTAGACAGGTTGCACATGCAAAGTACTGGTACATCGCATCCTTCCAGAGGGAATTTAGGAATGATTAGCATGTTTCACCCAATCAATCAAGAAGGTTGCTTGACACGGAGACAATGTTCCTGATGAGCAAGTACGCTAAAAGTAGTACTGTAAGTTCTTACCTAAAGTCACTGATCGGGAGGGGAGTTCCACCACGACAAAAGGCCTTGTGCAGTTCCCGTGACGATGTATGAATGGGATGCACGGTCAAAGCCCTGTGACGCAATTCAATATCGCATATCGCAAAAGGAAACCAAGTGTACTGACTGCGACCGCCTGGGTTTGCTCATCTACATAAAGTCAGCGAGAAGCCGAGCAATAATCACAATTGACTCACCATCTCCATGATCCAAACCACTCAAGACCTCGCCTTTCATTTTGTTCCAGACCAAACAAGAAGACTCTCTGCTATGGAACACCACAGAACGACCACCGTTGACGAACACCGCAGGGGTAGATTGTTTCGCGTCACTTGTCGAATCTCCGTTCATCGCATATACCTGCTCGATTTTGCCTTTGCGATCCATCCCTTGAATGCCTACAAGATGAGCACGAGCGCCCACTTGAGACACAAGTGCCTGAGTTCCGTTCGGACTGACGTCCAGGTGTCGTCTGTCACATAGATCATGTCAGTCGTGACATTAGGCAATCAGAAATAGGTCCGTACATTTTAGCTTTAAGAAATGCGTAGGCTCGGAGGGTCCCATTGGGCACTTGACAATACCACCTGTTGCGATCTGTTATTAGGGGTTACCAGTGCAACACTTTAAGGTGCCCTTACAATACGCCGTCGCTAGTGCCTCCAAGTAATGCCTCACCGTCCTCGACGAACTTGATACACGTCACATTCTGTCGAAGAATGGACCGCTGCGGTTGCCATGTGCCTATGACAGATCTGATAATGTTTTCTGAAACTAAAGAGAAGCACAGACCTTTGATCCATAGCCACACCCTCACACCGAAGCGGGGAAACGCAACAGCCAGGCGATCCCTGTTGTACGTGAAACTGATGGATTCCTCCTTCCCCGCATCGAGGAGCTTCGCCCATTGCCAATGATTCTGGTTCTGGCTCAAATGGTCAGCCAAAGTCAACCTCGCGACCAAGAACGTCAACACTTGCGTTTCGTGTCCATTTACTGATCATACCATCTTGTCCCAGCGTGATGATACCATTGTCATCTGTCATCCAAGCAACAGATGATATCGGCGAGTTTTGCGCAAGACGGGCAGTTTCGACTCGATTTGATACACTCCATATTCGAATCGTTCGGTCATGACCTATATTCAAGAGATTGGCACAAAGTAGGAGAATGAAAAGGAATGACAGAGACGGACATACGACAGCCATTCGTTCACCGTCTGAGCTGAAAACGATCTCTCTGACGCCAGCATCGCTATCACTCTTGATCCGTGTGGAATACATGCTCTCTTGTGTGGGCCAGGGATGTGCACGCTTCCGCGGACGCGTGCTTTCCGCATCAGACGCTGTGGACATCGCCCGTTTCTTGCCTTTGCTGTCGGACGGCGGTGTTGCACTGTTGGACTGACTGGAAAATCGGAGAATACTGGGAGACGTGGCTGAAGCTGGCAACACAGGTCTCGGTGACTGTATTGAGATTTTCTGCTTCACAGTTGTCGTAGGCGTGGGTGGTAATGGAATATCCGTGAATTCTAAAAAGACATGAGCGAAGAGCGGAGATTCTAACAGACGCACTCTTACCGTGTTTGATGTTGGGCTCGCCGGAACTGGATGGAGAGTCTGTTGGTGGCTTATCCTTTAGCGACCTATGCAAAAAACCAGGAGGAGATGGGGAGGTATATGCGACAAAATTTGAGAGACCTGGGGGTGTCGTTGACGAGCGAGTGCTCTCTGGCGTGAGGGGTCGATGAGCACCTGTAGGTGGCGGTAAAGCCTTGGATGTCACGGGGGATATAGACGTAGAGCCATGTCCGTTAGCTTGTCGTGTGTGCGGCCAGCCATTACCAATTGTCAGCGGTTTCTTTGGGACATGCTGAGACTGGATTGGAGTAGCTTTGAGTGGGGCAAATCGTGAAGGACGAATGTTCAAAGGATTGGATATTGTTCCGGTAGCATTATAGGATATTCTCGCATCGCTGGCTGACGTTAAAGGTGAATAACCGGGCTTGTATGGCACCTTATTGGAGTAAGCGATTACAGTTTCTGACGGACGAGGGGGAAGAGAACTGGGGTATGCTTGAGTTCGTGGTGGCTGAGGCACAGATGGAAGGGTTGGAGGCAAGGGAGCTGCAGTAAGACGTTGCTCTTGAGCAGGTGGTCTTGCAGGTACTGCTGGAGGTGGGGAGGAAGGCTTTATTGAAAACTGAGATGAAGGTACGCAAGGGGACAGGGAAGTGGTTACAGTGCAAGAAGCAGGAACGAATGTAGGTGCTTGAAGTGGAGGATTGGGACGTGGGGGTGCAGGTGTTGAGATAGGCGTAGGAGTTGACTGAGTGATTGACGTATGTGAGTCCAATAGTCCATCATCAGAACTGTAATACTTGCCTGTACCTCCGACATGTTCGGTGAGCCGGTGCGAGACTTCGGTGGTAGCGATTTTTGGGCAGTAAGCGATGCAGGCGAACCAACAAACTCTGTCATAAATCCACCAGAAACGAATGGATTGACGATCGCCGGTTTCTTTGGAACACTTATTGTCAGTCTTGGAGGCAGGGTCACAAGTTTATTGGCGGCAGGAGGCACCGCAGAAGGTGGAGACTTTTTTGGAGAAGCAGGTATTCGTTCAGGAATAGAGGGCTGTGCAAAGGGTGGTACAGGGGGAAGAGAGGGAAGAACTGTTTTCGGGGGTGAACCTGGTTCATGTTCCAGCCCAGGTTCTATGGGGCGATGAGGTGGCACAGGTGCGCGCCATGATAGACCAGTTACAAGACCAGGTATATCAGACGACGACGAAGATGCAGAACTAGGAGAGGACTGAAGATCCATGTCAGTCTCAGAAGTGGGAGTGCTAGGTTCTGCGGGCAAACTGCTAGTATCCCCTGGGTGGCGAAGATCATCTTCAATCTGCTTCTCATCTTGTGAGTCGCTTGAGAGGTCCATACCGCTGTCTTGAGAGCTTCTTGGAGGTTCTGTTACAGGGCTTTGAACTCTGAAAACATTTGGTATGCGCTCGACAATGGGGGATTGAGGAGGAGTGCTAGACGGAGAGCCCAAACTCATTGGTGACAAGCTACGTTCACGATCTTCGTCCATTATCTACTGCGTCTCAGGATCACGCTTGTAAGTAAGTGAAAGTGCACTCACAGCAGCATTAAGAGCAGGAGGTAAAGATAGTTTTTGAGGAGCAGAATATAGTCCCACTACATCCGGCAGGCGTATATCGAGACTCAAATCTTCTCTATCCTCGGGAAGTGATAGGTGTTGTCCGATTTGAACAGGAGACGTTGGAATTGCCTGGACCGAACTCACTGCCCATGATGGCTGAGCCTGGATACCCACTGATACACGCTCAGGTGGCGGTGGCGGGCGGTGGGCGCTATCTACATGGTAAATAGCACATTGAAAAGTACCCCTCGTGGTCAAGCGTGTATCACTCACCTGGCACTACGCTCACCTGTTCATATGCCTTGTTCCAGGTTCTCCTCATTTTTGGAGGGACGAATGGAACCTCAATATGTTCGACATTATCTTGCGTTTCTTGTTCAGTTTCGGTTTGTGTATCTGAACCAAAAAGATCTCCTTCGAAAATGACGGCTTGGTCAGTGAAAGATCCATCCTCGGAAGCTACGGCTAGTAAAATCTCCTTGCCAGGCTTGACCTCGATTCTTTTCTGTGCGAAAAGGCTAAAGTATGCTACAGGTCTTTTACCAGTATCATTTCCGGACTCTTCTGAAAGTTCTACGCGTCGTAGGACGACGTGTGCCTTCTGACTTGCACCATGCCGGCGAAAACGAAGGGACCCCTTTATGCCGAGGACTGAGGAGACGGTAGGAGAAGAAACGGGCCCTGGAGAATCGCTGGTGGAGTCAACCATATAGTGCCAGCAAGTCGTGGAGTCCTGCGAAATAGGTATGCACAGACCACGATATAGAGAGACGCTTTGGCAGAAGTGTGTAACAACTGCACGAAATATAACTTTGTCAACGTGACGTGAAAATTCACACGCATAGTCTATACACCAGGCTACACTTTTCTTTTCATTCATGCATATGGCCTGAACAATGGCTTAGGTCGTCTACCGCTCCAAGTAGTCTCTAAATGACTCGTGTTCCGCCTCGAAGTTCTATGTCTCACAGTAGTGCCCTGAAAGGTCGTCGCAAAGTTGCCAAAAGACTATGTTGGGATGTCGTCCAACGAGTTCCGCAGGAGTACCAAGATACCAGTGTCAAAGACATGATCTATACCCCCTTCATTCTTTGGATGGTGTTGTCTTTCTGACCAGTGATGAGATTGATTGAGCCTTCTATCAGTTTGCCAGGTCCGAACACGTCTCAAGTTCAAGTTTTGAGCTTGATTCGTGGAACTGATCTCTCCTTTGTGGCGTCTACTTGCGCAATGGACAATTGTGAATGCACATTGGCAAAGCTCCGACTTCTGTTTCTGCAGCAGATCTATCAATCATCAGTAACCGAAGTTAACCGTCGCACTGTAAGCGTCCATTATTCTCGTTGACTTGCACCTAATTTCCTGCACCAGTAATAGTGACTTGCATTACTGACAATGCTACGCGCCACCTTAATGACATCTTCGCTATATCTTGTATTCTATTTTATGCGCTCTCAGTGCCGCTATTTTCGGCAAGTGGTCTGTTTGCCGAGGAAGAATACAGCTATCCGAAACCAGAGCATACTTGCTACCGACGAGCCAATCGTAGCCCACTACAGGAAAACGAGTATTCAGGTGACCGCTTTAGTTGTCCTCGCTAACTTCTCATCTATCTTTTCAAGAAATTCCGGAGAAAATATAGACTCATATATACTGGCACTTCACCAGATCAACGAGCCATCCGGCCAGCATCAAAAATCTTGGAACGCCTGTGCTTGATGCTCTTGGTATTTATTATGCTCTGAAGCCTCGTTCTTCAAATGGTTAATATACAGGTGCGGGAAGCTGCTGAAACGGCAAAGTATGGTGAGTTGTTGTCTCACAGCTCAATACACGGTCCAGGATGAAGCAGAACGGTGGGTTCAGACGTCAGAGAAGTGCGGAAGATTATGATTTTGGTATGTTTTAGAATTTCCAGCGACCAAGCATGTCTGAAGGGAGCCCCATGACCATGGTCCTTCAAGATACTATACCCCGGAAGGATCAACTACCAAATATAGAGCAATCAGGGACCAGGAGACACGTATGTTGCTCCAGATAATCAAGGAATTTGGTAAACGCAAGAGAACCAAGTATGTCCACCTTCTGGATCTGGATATGGCTCATGGGTTTGGGAGCCAATGTTGTGAATCCGCAGAAAGAAGTGGTTACTTTTATGCGGCGGTCCGCATTTCAGGAAGGATAAGGACTGAGGTTGACTCATACCCTCTTATCAAATCCAAATCTTGTTTGGCAGATTACACTCAAAATACTTAGTTCCATCCAAAACCATACACTTCCTTGGCTTCTGCCACTATCACAAGACTTAGATCGCGCGCGTAAGGTGAGCCTTATCATGATGGCGAGATGAGACCAAAGATAGAACTGATCGTCGCTGCTCGAAGGAGGGGTGCTCAAGTCAGAAAAGGTTTCGCCAGTGACGATAAAGCGGTGGAGAAAACCATATTCCTGGATCATGGGGCCAGGCTCACTATCACACTATCCAAGTCCTATAGACTATGATATATCTAGCAGACGGATAGCACCGCTGGGGAGACAAAGTGGTGTCTCATTTGCCCTCCATTTCAACCCGATAGCTTGGCACGGCGCCTGATACTGAGTAATTGTTAGGAAATGGAAAGATGCATGGTATCATGACCCGTGCCATGATATTACGCCCGGTATTGGTGGTTATCTTCTGATTTGGCTTCTATAGGGCGTTAGTCCATAATCACAAACCCAGCTCATATTTAAGTGCCAATGCAATCGTCTTTCTCGCCGGTGCTAGTCGACAGTCACACGATGTGAGTGGCCCTTTCACGATTCAAACGTACACTTGACATTGACCTCGATAGATGGAGATTCCTTTGCGCAACATCGCTCTGGCAGTTACCACAGATGACTTAACAATCGAGTTCGCCAAGATACTTCATAAGCCCCCTTTTCAAACCAGTTCTCTCATGAATTTTGAAATCCACCTCTCGGACGAGTCACACCCTGACGGACAGCAAGGCACCCTCACTTTGCCAACAAAGGATGCTGGGGCCACTCTCTTGCGTGCTCATGGTGGCGCAAGGATTGTCGTCAAAGGTCGACCAGTCCTCATCAGCAAGAGCACGCAGGCGATCCACGAGTCCCGTATTGAGAGGTTGAATAGCGTTCCATGGCGCGACCCAATACAGTTGCGAGAAGAGCAGGAAAGGCTTCTCAGGAGAAACCAGTCTTTCCAGCTTCTCCGCTACTCGTTCGGCCGCTTCCTCCGGGACGGATCTTTTGCTTCGCGAGTCTCCCCTCTTGGCACAGCTAAAGTTATCTGTGATCCAGAGCCGAGGCAGATACGCTTCACTTTCGAGCCTCGACAAAACACATCTAACGACCTCTTTGTGGATATTTTTGGACGCCTAACCCGAGTCACCACCGCATCTTATGCGCCTCACAATATCGCAACACTGATGGGTAACCGGAATGAAGATACCGCTATTGTGTTCGTTCGTGCCGATTAGCCCCCTGTGTATACCTTGGTTAATAACATATTGGACGACACTAGCCGTGTGGTTGGCTTGGGGCGTAATGATCACATGCCTCCGGGATGCCATAGTCTGATACTGGCCTTTAATAGCCAGTCAGACGCAGATAGATTCACTTACGCATGCTGCAACCGTCTCCATCTGCGTTACTCCACACAACACCATATCCGAATTCATGATCACACCTTGAACAGTACATCTGTTGAGACGCTTCACGAGTCACTCTCTCAGATTCCATACAAGCTTGGGTTTGAAGTAGAAAAGACCGTCGCAGGCTCTCTTTTGAGTGCGATGGACATTCTTTCGCTGAAGGAGGTCATCCTATCGTTGCAAGCTGAACATGGCGACGATGCGCCAGAAATATTTCGGTCTTTTGCCTCGGAGCTTGCAGGACGTAGTGCAAGCCGTACAAAACGTCGCAAAGGCCGGGCACGCGGCAATCCAGCCAAGAGAGTTTACCTTCTCTTCTTCGCCGAGTTACCCAAGAATTTATCAAGGAGCATCAAAAGCCCCGTCCTCTTCTAGCTCTGCCACCACAAAGTGGGGTCTACCTATCCTACCATCTCATCCTAACGCCGACACGGTATATCCTAGAGGGACCTGTCCCAGACCAGTCTAACAGTGTCTTACGTCGCTATGGACATCCCGAGTGCTTCCTGCGTGTCTGCTTCCAGGACGAGAATGGACCAAAGCTTCGTCGGGAAGCCGATTGTTCCATTATAGACTTTTTGGGAGTGCGATATCGCTCTATTCTCCTCAATGGCTGTCGTGTCGCTGGACGCCAATTCCAGTTCTTGGGATATTCTATGAGCGGCCTGAAAGAACATTCAGTGTGGTTTGTAACGCCATTCAAGGATGAGGATGGGAAATTGCTGAATGCACAATCGATCCGGGACAACCGGTGAGCTGTTGCCATTGGCCCTCATCAATCTCTTGCACTGAATGCAACCATTAGGGCGATTTCTCCAAACTTCACAAACAACCAGCTCGTTTGGCTGCAAGGTGGTCTCAAGCCTTCTCCGGCACTGATCCATCAATCACACTTCTTCCCGAAGAAGTAGATTTCCGTTGCCCCGACAAATACTCGCCTTCTGGCGGGCTTATGACAGACGGGTGCAGTTCCATATCAGTTGAGCTTGCTAAGGAGGTATGGAGGTCTATGCAGAAGGGGGAAAAGCGATCTGCAAAGCTACGACATGTTCCATCGGCTTTCCAATTTCGACTTGGCGGGGCCAAAGGCATGGTTGTTCAAGACCCCACCATTCAAGGAAGGCTCGTCTGCCTTCGTCCGTCACAGATCAAGTTTGATGCCCCCGAGAATCTCACTTTTGACGTTCAATCGACGTCAGCTGAACCAATACCGGTGTTCCTCAATCGCCCACTCATCTCCCTTATGGAGTTCTTGGGTGTAGACACTCAAAGAATTATTGAACTACAGGACGATGACATCCGCAAAGCTCAATCCGTCCGGTCGTCATGTACCAATGCCTCCAAAGTTATTCAGCAACATGGACTTGGGGCATCCTTCCACCTACCGTCTCTCTTCACAAACCTATCGTCCATTTTGCAACTCGAAATTGGAGACACGGAGGATGACCCGTCTCTGTGGACCAGCAAGCTCATTGAAAGCTCCCTGCAGTGCGTCGAAACATACATCCTGCGGGAACTAAAGTACCGTGCGCACATAGCAGTGCCGGGTTCGTATACCTTGCTTGGCGTCTCTGATGAATGGGGCTGCCTGAGAGAGGGAGAGATATATGCAACCGTGTTTAATGAAAGGACGGGATTTGTCCAGGACATCACGGGCGAGGTTGCCATAACGCGTAGCCCACAAATTCACCCAGGCGATCTGCAAGTTGTGACAGCCGTACAACGGCCAGAATTGGAACACCTGAAGAATGTCGTCGTTTTTTCCTGCGAGTAAGTCCTGTTAATGATTCGTTATAAAGGCACGCTAAACTGCATCGTCAACAGGGGCGAGCGAGCGCTTGCATCATGTCTGGGTGGAGGCGATCTTGATGGCGATATTTTCAATCTAATTCTTGATGTAAGCTCAAAGTTTTGAAACATCCATTCATGCCTGAACTTTCCACAGCGAAGACTACTACCAACGAAACAGTTCGAACCCGGAGAATATCCGGCAGTGACCATCAGATCGATACCGAATGCGTGTGGCATCTCCGATGTCGCAGATTTCGTAATTGACTATGTGAGTCGCATCCCGACTTTAAGTTTAAATGGCTGCAGGATGAACCGCGAGATATAGATTCAGGCCGACCTCATTGGTCCCATCGCCATAAGTCATCTCAGGTTTTCTGACTTGAAGACTCCAAATTGCACGGAATGCATTCAGCTCGCGAAGTTTGCCTCCCAGGCACTCGATTTTCCGAAGAGCGGCACTCCTGTAAACTTCAAATCCTTACCTTGGCTTCGGAGGACCCAAGCTAGGCCAGATTTTCTTGCCAAAGAAGGCGCTAATATCACCGGCGGGCAGTACTACACCAGCACAAAGCTACTCGGTCAACTTTTCCGTCGGGTGCCAATGAAGAGGGGGATACCTACTGCATGGAACGGGAATTCCTCTCCATCAGACGGAGCAACTGTGGAGACCGCGCTCTCTTACATAGACCTACGTCATCTTGGCCTTCCAGGATTGACTGACCCGAGTGAAGAGTTGATGGAGGAAATGACATATTTACTCAATGCATATTGCGAACAGCTACTGATTGTCGGACAAGCGCACACAGTGTCAAAAAACAAGAATATTCACGTCTCCGAGGCCGAACTGGTGAGCGGGACCATCATGGCGAATTGGTCCGACCATCAACGTCGGCGGAATGCAGTCTCCGCGATGAACTTGCAGGTCAGCGTAACATCCAGTCTGCGTTACGGGTTCTTTAACGATACTTTCAGACGCAAGAGCTCGTTCGTAGGGTCAGGGAAGAACTTCAAGGGGATGACCCTGGGAGACCAGAGACAGAAGCGCACGAGGAGGAGGACCAGGAGACACTGGAGACAGAAACGTATGAGGAGAATCCGGGGACACCAGAGACAGAGACGGATGAAGATGAGGACGAAGTCCCAGGTACACCGGAGACAGAAACGGACGAGGAAGAAGATTACGAAGATATGACCTTCCACGAACAGTGCGAAGAGTCAGAACAGCGAGTGATGGCAGAAACGTTCAAGCGCTGTTGGGCGGCGTGGTGTGTAGCAGAAGATAACCTAATGGAAAATCCCAGTATGTTTGGAGCTCAGAGTTTTGGTTTAATCGCCCTGGGCATGATACTCGAGATTGTGAAGACGTCTCGTCTCATGATGTAAAGGATCGATGACCAGAATTGACTGGTATGTAGTCCTTCGTGCGCGATATATACCCACATGTAATACTTACTAGTCATTATTCGTATGTGGAGTAGGTACTCCTGTAGCAGTGGGATTGTATACTATATGTGTTGACTATGAATTCATGTTTCTGAATTGAAAAATGCAGATTTGCGTCCACACAATCTATGCACTCTCATACTGTCTATATACTGGCCAATGGACTACTACTTATTAGTACTGGTTGCGAAATGCAATGTTACATGATGTGTCATCAACAATTTCATTCACAATACTATCACTGGCGGGGTTTTTCAAAGGTTTTCAATGTTTGAAGCGTAGCACACTCGTCAAGAGGTTTTTTTTTCCCGCTTCTTGACAGACCTGAGGGAAAAATCGTGCTCTATCACACCCAGGTGAAATCTGATTTTTTTGCGATGATGTTCGAGCGGCGGAAGGAATCCGGTTGTGCGATGTCAGTTTGGCAGGGACTGGATATGCTGTTTCAAAATTTGTCACAGCAATGTCACACTGGAGTTTTATAGCTCCGCAACGGCACACTCGGCAAAATTTTGAATCTCGATATCTGAACGAGTGAACGTTCAATGGATTCGGAGCGGAGATTATAATTGATGCAGCACTATAGTCACGGTGCGGGATGCACTCTTTCAACAACTTCACTAATAACATGGTTCTGCCCTCACTCAATCACGATATAGAAATCGCAGTGGTAAGCATCATTTGTATAGGGACAGAGATTATTTTCACATAGTTTTTGTCCTGTTTGACAAAGTATATAGATTGTAGCATTACAATCATTAACATTCAGTGGTGTGACATATTTCAATGGATGATTTATTGTGAACACAACTGCTCGATGTTTTCTATATGATCTTCACAGCTGTGTTCTATAGACACTAGAGAACACTGGCTAAAATCACGGAATATTTTTGTGCAGTGCGCAGCTCGCGATATGATGATCAGCGAATTTTGAAACCCAATACCCATTTTGAAAAACCCCGTCAGTGATAGTATAATACAAACCCCGTACTACCATCGGACGAAGTGCCTGACATGCTTGCAAGAGGATCACGAGGAAAGCCCGCTTAAAACCTACCTGCGGCAACATGATTGAATAATATCGTTGAACTTGATAATAGATTGTCACTCGTACAATGGAACATACGGAAAAAGCATCCGGTGCATTTTCATGTCTCGTTGTAGGAATACATGTAGTGCAAGTAAGAGATGAAAGGTGCTGATGATGCGGAGGAAATGCCTATACCATGGCTCAGGTCCACAATTTATTTGAGGTCACCGAACGTGGATGGTGAAACAAGTTGAAGTCATTGTGAATATTCTGGACATTGTTATACTGGACCCTCGATGTAGACTTGCGGCAAGTTGTCAAAACTACACCCTGAACCAATAGCCACCATCGTGACACCATTACACTCTTCATTTTACCTCCATTTTCTTACCTTGTTCTAACTTCTCACCTTCCCGATGGAACTTCAAATATCAATATTGTAGCATATGTTTCTGACGACTTTCCTTATTTGGTAATTTCATTAATCCCTTGGGCTGATAGGTCCTGCCGCAAAAGCTCAAGTGTAAGTGTACCGTTCGCCTCTTTGAGTTTTTATACCTGACATTGGGGGTTCAACGTCGTTCAACTCCTAGCCCCCTTAGAGGCTCTTAGATGGGATGCTGTTTTACTGTCCGTTAACAGTATAAATTCACATATATATACTGTCCTCCTCACCTTTCCGTTGTGTCTCCAAAGGGGCGTGATGGTGTAGCTGCAACATCCGCCTTGAATGGGGTTTTTACGCCTGACATCGAGGGTTCGACACTATTATTCCAAGACCCTCCTGTTTTGCCACCTGCGAGTGTATATATACATATATACTGCCACCCTTGCCTTTTGTTTCATTCTCTGAAGAGGCGTGATGGTGTAGTTGCATCATCCGCCTCGAATTGGGATTTTACACCTGACACTGGGGGTTCGACCCCGCTCCTTAGAGGGACGTCTTTTTGACTGTTATGTTCACGGGCGTCAGTTTGACGAAAATAGTTCATAACTCATGACTAGCTACCAATCGGCGTGTTGCTTCACTAGTGTTTGTCCGGTCGTGAGCTGCTGAGCCTAGTTACATGTTGCTCTTGCTGTTCTGAAACTCGGTCCCTCGGCAGCAAGTTCTGCTACAGCAAAAAGTTAGCAGGATCGACCTGCATCGACCCATCAAGAACATAATAGTGACGATGAGTACAGGTGGGTAATATACATGCAGATCCCACCACCAAGATATGGCTGGCTACTGCAACGAGCTTACTGACGAAGTGAGAATCAAATTGTAGAGCCAGAAAAAGGCGTTTCTTCTGTCGCCTCAAATTCTTCTTCAGCTGCCTCGTCACGCTCCGAGCTTTCACGTAAACGTTCGATCTCCTTCCGAATGAAATAATATATTAGGCTGTACAAGGTGAGTAGAGCTCCATTAAGAATAGCGGTGACGTGGGCACGAACGAGCTTGCCAAAACGGTTGACAGAGTACCAATGATAATTAGCAAGCCATTGATAAGCTTTGTTCCTGTGCGCCATGCATCAATGAGAGCAGAATGGATGACATGAGTTTTCACGGGTATACATACGATTTTTCTGGGTGCGGTCTGAGAGTTTGGCAAGACGAGATCCGACGAATACGTTTACCCAGACCTTTGGGAGGACAAACAAAGTCGCCACGAAGAACTGGAGCAACGATACCGACGCTATGCTCTGACGTGATGGCGTTAGATGTGAACCACTAAACGATTGAAAAGCTTACTGCGAATAGCGAGTTTGACCGGGCCCATGGCACAAGTGAAGACATGCGGATGAGGATGATCAAGGGCATGCCTTTTGATCGCTGTAGGCGTCTTCTACTAAGCAAATATGCCGATACTAATTAAACACACTGACTATGACAGCTTCCAGAGCCTGCCATTTCTGGTTAGTGGAAGTCTGCAAATGCAGCCTCTCGCCAAACATCATCCGAAGGGTAACAAAAACTATAGCGGAGGCTGCCAGCGTTCCAACTGCTGCAGGAATGAAGCCCTGCATGCCGTATATGAAACCGAACATGTGAAGGAGTGGGCCTAGTCCAATGAAAGGAGGGAAGGATATGACAACTGGGGAAAATATGTTCGAACATCGGATGAAAGCATACAAGACATGCTCACTCATGGCAACGATAAGAAGTATGTACCCATATGGAAGATGTCGGAGGTCTTGAGAAATGTCATACGTGAATTGAGTAATGCGAGCTGGAGTGACCACGATTGTGAATGCGGCTAAGCAGACATAGAAGAATACACTGACCTATATCAAAGGCTGGAGCAGCATCATGGTCAGTTGACACGAGAACACGAAAATCCAATACTAATGTCACCTTTTTAACTAGATATATCAAGCTAGGTGATCTTACGAGACGCTTGAGAAAACAAACCGCGTTCGCGGGCGTGGGCAATATGTTTGAGATTTCTTGACAAAAGAAAGCTTTGGTGATTGTAAGTGTCGGTGCTAACGTTCAGGTTGAGACCCAAGTGAATTCACCCCACAATCAGCGACAATCTCAAGTTCCCAGACGTCCTCTAGCAAGCAGTATTGAATATGGCAAAGCCAGCGGCCCGGGGCTGTGGGTATTCACGGCTTTCAACCTCGTCACCAACGTTGTCCACGTACAATTTGTAATTGTGAAGAGTAGTAGTTGAATGAAGAAATTTTCGTCATCGATCCAACTGTCCAGTTTGCTTTACGTTCATGTTGTGTCCCATAAGATCCTGGAACGGGCATTCAGACTGGTGCTTGCACAACCAAGATCTATTAAACAGTGGCTCACTTCTATGTAACTCAGCCTTTCTTTGCGCACATTAACGTGACCCCTTCTTCACCTTTCTGATCTCCATCAAGGCGCGTTGATGTTGCAACACGGACTGTCGTGCTCTGTCGTGCTCATTTCAATTCATATTTTATATGATCAGCTTCCTAGATCTGTAGTGAGGCGGAGGCTGAGGACTGAGATTAGCAATAACAAAACAATGCAACAGAAACGTCAGGCGAGTCCTGGACGATTGACGCACACTGCGCCTCACAATGTGCCGGGTGCAATGAGGGGCTCTTCATACTGTATAGCAACACCATGGAGAACCCATCGCTACACCTGACCATGATAATACTAATCATAGGCATCCAAGCGTGGTGTGGTCAATTAGTAGGACGCTGCGATGTTTGCTGAAAATTCAATAAAAAGGATACCATCAGAATTGTGACACAGATAATCATGGATGTCAGTTACCCACTGGGTCATCGAGTTTAATGTCCCGGCGTCGTCGTCAAGAACAAGCACCAAATATCAGTACACAGCCACGCTCAAACACGTCCAAAAATAGAACATCAAAGTTACCGACGTGGAAGGTTGCACACAACCGAAACCTCGACACACTAGAATTGGCATTAACGCTGGTCTCAACAACGGTACAACGGTCATTTAAAGGATGCGGCTTCTCAGCTCTGCGCTCATAACTCTCCTTGCACTCACAAAACTCAGCTTTGCAAGTTCGAATTCTGTTCTGGTGGTGCTCGACCCGTCACTAGACAGGGAGGACTATTCGATTTTCTTTGGTGGACTTGAAGGTTTGTGTTTAGTTTAAATGGTCGTTTGCTGTTGACTGGTTTATTGGTAGAACGAGGCTATAATTTGACGTTCCGTGCCCCCAAAGATACCAGTCCTGCGATCACCAACTATGGCGTGCCCAACTATGACCACGTCATCCTGTTCGCACCTGACACAAAATGTGCGTGCAAAGTACCAAGTACAAGCCTACTAACCTCAATCCAATCACAGCATACGCACAAGACATCACTCCGCAGTCACTCGTAGGCCTCCTCTCAGAGAACACCAACCTCCTCATTGCCCTCTCTCCAAAACAAACGCCCCTCACAAGCCTCGCGGCAGAGTTCTCCCTCATCCTCCCACCTCCAGAAACACCACTCATTTCGCACCACCCCGCTCGCTCAGAGCCCCCAACCACAATCCCTGTCCCCGTCTCATCAAGTCCAATCCTCACCCCAGGAATACCCCCAATCTGGTTCACAGGCGCATCCCACGCACTAGGCTCTACCCCAATGCTCGTCCCCATTCTCCGTGCCCCCGCAGAAAGCTTCGCAGCCGACCCCACAAGTGACGCTGACAGTGACGCCCTCGTATCCGCTTCCGAAAAAGGTGGCGAAGGCCTCTGGGCGGGGAGCCAAATGGGCTTAGTCACTGGATTCCAAACGAATGTGAACTCGCGCGTGGTGTTTGCGGGCGGCGTGAACATGTTCAGTGACGAATATGCGAGGAAGGAGCTTCCTTCTGGAGAGCTTCCTGGGAACGCTTTGTTCGTGACAGATGTGGCTGCGTGGGTTTTCCAGGAGAAAATGAAGTTGAAGATTGATGCGGTTGACCATCATCGGGTTGGTGAGAGTGAGGCGCCGGAGAAGTATACTATTAATGATGAGATTGTAAGTTTTGCTTTCTAGTTGAGTGGGATTTGGTTGACGTGACGTCTTGTGAAAGGTTTATACAGCACATATCTCTGCATACGATAGTGAAACCTCCACATGGAAGCCTTACAGCGGCATCGACGACTTGCAGTTAGAATTCACGATGCTCGATCCTCACATTCGTACCTCCCTGCCACCTGTTCCCGGTTCCCCTGGTACATACCAAGTCCAGTTCCGCGCTCCTGACAGACACGGCGTTTTCAAGTTTGTCCTGAACTGGAAGAGGAAGGGGTTAGTGCATTACTTCATCTTCATATTGACTTCCCAACTAATTGTTTCATAATCAGTTACTCATACCTCGAATCAAGCACGACCGTCCCTGTTGTGCCGCCGAGACATGACCAATACCCACGTTTTTTGAGCGCCGCATGGCCGTATTATGCAGGAGCTATCAGCACCAGTGTTGGATTTTTCCTCTTCTCAGCTTTGTGGCTTGCGGGAGACGTCAAAGGCGAGCGGAAGAAGGGATCCAAAGCAGAGTAATCACTCAGCCGTGCTCAGTTACGGAAGTAAAATATCCCACCAACGTGCGTCGATAATCGTTTTGCCTGTATCTCGCAAGTTTGGTATTCTATGTACATGCTGTTCGACAAGAATCCTCCGGTTGCGCACATATGTAGATGGGAAGCACTGAACGACAGTATGCATGTGCACGAAAGAGACGGGTCTATGTATGGTCAGACCCAAAAGCGTGCGACACACTACGACTTTGCCGGTGGAGCCCGGAACACTTGTCGAAGGTTATCCCAAACAACACTAGGACTTTGAGCGGCGTCGATACCATGCCATAAGCCCTTTGTTTTGTAGTACCCTGCGACAGGACCAGTCTGCTTGTGGAACGTGTCAAGACGTTTGCGTAGCGTTTCTACGTTGTCATCGGAGCGCTGGATGAGCGGCTCGCCTGTGACATCGTCCGTCATAGGTTTTTTGGGTGGGCTAGTGCGAGAATGTATTAGTGTTATTTGAGCAGATCGCGTTAGTGAGAACGTACTGGAATTCTCTGTGATACGTCCGTCCTGAAGCCGGGTGGATGAGACGGCCGGTGATTCGGGAGATGAGAAGTTGATCAGGGATGAGGAGCTCGACGACGCTGTCGAGCTTTTCACCGCGGGAGTCAAGCATGGAATCGAGTTTCTCAGCTTGAGGAACGGTCCTCGGGAACCCATCTAACACGAATCTAAGTTCCATATCAGAACTGACGCGAATAACTAAAAAGATATGGATAAAACGCACCCATTCTTGCACTCCTTGTTATTCTCAAGCTGATCCTTGATCATGTTAACCATGATATCGTCCGTGACCAGTTCACCGGCATCCATAACTTTCTTAGCCATCCTCCCCAACTCAGTTTTCTTGGCTATTTGCTCGCGGAGCATGTCGCCCGTTGCGAGGTGGCAGACACAGAACTCGTCGCGTATCCGGGGGGCTTGCGTTCCCTTCCCTGTGAACCGTCATCAATGTCAATATATTCATCTCACCAGAGAATAATTCTCCGTGTGTATAGATAAGAAAGACTGACCAGCACCAGGAGGACCCATAAGAATAGTCCTAAGCTGTTGAGCAGGGGTCCTGCTCGGAGGAACGACAGCCTTAGCTTTCGCCTCTAACGCGTGAATTTTGTCGTTGAGCTGCGCTACGAGGTGCTTGAGGTACTCGAGTTCATCTGAGGGTGCCATCTTGAGTACGGGTGACCGAGGAATACTTGAGTCTTGGTGACCGAGCAAGTAGGGAAGGAAGACGTGGAATTTCAAATGGGCGCTTAATGTACGTATCTATTCGGGATACAAGTGTGGTAAATTTTAGACGGAGTTTGAGCGCCGCCGCGTATAAGCTTTCTGCCCGAGGACCCACGACTACTGTTGATCGTGTTTTGAACATTAATTTTGTCATCTTTCAGCCTCACAGATGGTAGCTATTCGCATCGATTGCGATATCGATGCAGATATTTCCCATCTTTGAGTGTTGCATAACTTTGGTTCGTGCGGATTTATCACGGAGTGTGTGTATGTAACTTTCTTAATCCCCGCGTTAGTCGATGCAGGCACGTCAGACCTTGGTCCTTGTGGACGGAGATGGGTTTCGTTTCCGACTTTTGTCAATGCTCACTAGATCTACCAACAGCAAACCTATCAGCGAAGAGTCATAGATGCGGTTTGCCCTTGATCCGTTTCGACCTGCATACTAATGCAGTCTGAAGCCCACACAAGTATGGCCGTGAAAATACGTATGTGATTTTCGTTCGTCGCATGTGCTAATCCAAGTCTTCTGATCAATGATCTTCTCTCCGTAGTTGGCAAAATCTGTTTAGACTCTGGACTTCCAGTGAGTTATCAAACTTGACGGATATCTGCGGTGAGCCCTACATTCGACAATAACTGAGGGAAGAGTGGGTAGACAACTTCCTCACCTGCGCACTTGCATTATCCCCAGTCAGAATCGTGCATGCCCGGGACCTGTCACTAGAGGCAGGGATGCAGGTCGTAACGGGAGCAGGTTCAACACCTCCGCGTTCAGGAAGTTCCTGCAAGTACGTAGTACCCATGTTCAAACCTCAGTCCTCGCATTGGCTATAGGGTAGGTGATCATGATAAAGCTGAGTTGCGTATTGAATATTGAATGATAAATATTGTGGATCTGAATTTGCGACTGGTTATGCTTATCTCAGTCTAAGGCAGTCATGAACCTACATATGCATTTGCACTATCAGTGGACTACAAAACAAGATATCTTCGCCTCGAAGGCGCAAAATTGAACCCACAGCGTCAGGTGAAAACTCAACGAGGTGAACAGTACAATTAAATACCTATGCAGCCATGCCTAGCCGCATGGCCACCTTCCACATCCACATCAAATGGGTTGTGGACATGAGTCGTGGTGTATAAAGCATAGGCATTTCCTCTCCATCGTTATTACTTCCATATCTTGCTTCTTATCACTTCATGCAGTCAAGTCAGACTAACATGCTCAACGAGCACAGATGCATCTCATTGACAACCTCAGATGTTCCATGAAAGTATTGTTTCCGCAGTGGCTTCATGGTACATACGAGGTTGCCAGAACTTGGGCTGAAGAATTTGCAGCAGCATCTGAAGGTGCGTTGATACGTAGCGTTTTTGATGGTTGTGGACCCGTCAATTGGATCAGAGGACACGAAGGTGGACATGTACAAGTGCGCACCTCAGACGAAACACATCTTCGTCTACGATGACCAAGAGGAGTCGTTCGTGATGCTGAGTGTAACAATCGACCAAGGTCTGATCGCGAAACATGCCCGCATCGACGACGTCGAAGGATGGGAAAGTTACCCGCAATGACACAATGGCACACGCTCGACTTGATGTAAGTTATGCTTGCCGGTGAACTGAAAGCGTGAATCTGCACGAAGAAAATTTCTTGCAGAATGTAGTGAACAGGGGCAGTGATGATGGAAAAAGCGAATTGATATCCATGCCGTAGCAGCGTGGTATGGAGCCAGCTATAAGCGCCTACATGAGTTGGGTTATGGGTAGAAATCAAACTCTACTCACGACATATAAGATTGACGACATAACCACAAAGTAAACTCCCCTTTTACTTCAAACGCTACTGACCGTCTGTCTTCCTGTCCAGTCACAGGCCAAGGGACATGTCAGGGTTGCTTGATGTAGCAAAAAAAGCGCATCATATTGTGAGAGGGAACCTGCTGCAGGTGCCAACCTGGACCATGTGAGTGCATACAGACAGAGTGGAGGCAGTCGCGTTCTTCCAATCGACGGGTTGTCACTGGTTCAGACGATAGAACCCTGCAAATTTGGGACGTGGAGAAAGTAACATTTGTAGGAGGGTCATTCGAGGGATATCGGAGCGATGTGTCAATGGTCGCCATATCTCCAGACGACAGGCGGATTGCGAGCAGTGGAGTAAAGTACACCATCATTATCTGGGACGTCGAGAGCAAGCAGATGGTGTTTGATCCGCTCGTGAAGCATAAAGTCACGGTGTGGTCTGTTTGCTTCTCTCTAGATGGCAAGAGACTCGCGTGATGAAACAATTGTCATATGGGATGCGGAGACCGGCACTGTCCTCTCAACACTCCCCAATGGTTCGTCGGGACATTGTGTCGCATTCAACCCAGATGAGCTAAAATTAGCATCCGGATCACGTGACGTGGTCATCCGGGTTTGGCGCGCCGATAACGCCGGACTCCTTCTGAGGATCAACGCTTCACAAAGAATATGTTCGAAGAGTTGTGTGGTCGCCTGACGGCCAGCAACTTGTATCCACATCAGCCGACACAACAGTGAAGTTTTTGGCCTCTTCAAATGGAACCCAGGGCGGTCAAACTTGCACTGGTCACACCGACTACATTACCTCGCTCGATATCTCTTCTGATGGTTCCTTCATTGCCACTGCCTCGAACGACATGACTGTGCGGTTGTGGAGCACAAAGTCACACCAGCAGATAGGTTATGAATTCGACCATACGTCATGTGTTCGCTCCGTTACCGTTTCTCCCAATGGAACATTGCTCGTGACCGGAGGCGCTCTGTCAGCAGCAATCCAGCTGTGTTCTTCGTCTGGGTCATACTTTGCGTACTGCAGTAAGGTGAAGTTAAGCCAAAAGCTCTATCTGGAGGCCCTTTCCGATGCGGAGAAGGTGCGAACAACATCTGTCATTGTTTTAACAATCATAATGGTATTCATAGGTCATCGAGCTCAACACTTTGTCTCCTCTTGGATATGAATTGAAGCATGGAGCACTTCATGGAGCACAACGCTATGATGATGCATTCGTGGCCTTCAAAATCTTGCTCTCCAAACTAGATAATGCTCCTGGCGCACAGGTGCAAGGTAAGCCCAAATTAATTCATACGTTGACGTGGAGATCATTGATTCATTCTTCAGAGATACGTCAGAAATATATCAATCCATCTGGAGTACTGGAGGTTGCTGCTCGACCAATCATTCACGCTTAACTGGAAAACGCCCTACTTCGTCTAATCAACACCTCCTATGGACATTTATGCAAACGAGATGCCCAGATCAACGCCTTCATAGAAAGTACAGAGTACACGCAGCTTTTGTATTCATCGGTGATGCATGGGCCCCTCCAAATGGAGTCCATCACAGAAGCAGTCACAAAGTACTTCAATTGGGCGATGTTATCCCATTGGTGGGAAAGGAAGGAGCCACTACTGCATGACATTCAAGGCAAGATCATCTATGACTTGGATCCGGTCAGAACCATCGTAAAGTTGCAGCAGTTCTGTGAAGTCGCCCGTGATGCGGGGCTTCGCTGGGCGTGGAGCGATACATGTTGCATTGACCAGAACAACAATGTCGAGCTACAAGAATCAGTTAATTCCATGTTCACCTGGTATTATTACTCAGTACTCACTATCATTTACCTGTCTGACGTTTCGCCTTCGTCAAAGTCCGGCGCACTCGCAAATAGCATTTGGAACACCTGAGGATGGACCATTCAGGAGTTCCTCGCTCCCTGCATTGTTCTTTTCTACCAAGCAGATTGGACCCTATATCTCGACGACCGCTCACCCAATCACAAAGAATCTCTCTCTATTATGCAGGAGATGGAGCGTTCAACTGGCATCAGCGCCCAGGCGCTGGCTGCGTTCCGCCCGGGGATGACAGGTGCCCGAGAGAAACTTCAATGGGCGTCAACGCATGTCACTACGTTGCAGGAAGACACCGCGTACTCATTATTTGGCATCTTCGGCGTCCACCTTCCTGTAATCTATGGAGAGAAGAGACAAAATGCGCTGGGACGACTTTTGCAGGAGATCATAGCCCATTCGGGCGATATTTCTGCCCTTGACTGTGTCGGAAAATCATCCGAGTTCAACAGCTGTCTCCCAGCAGATATTACCTCATACAAGGCTTTGCCATGCGTACTGCCATCTTTATCCGAAGACGAGATCCAGGCATCGGTCTCCACATTGCGAAATACTGTGGCCATGGAGTCAGCTTCGAAATTGTATACTATCCTTGACAACCTCAGTGCTCCTCGCTTCGCCAACTGTAGATTGCAACTGCCTTGCATCACATTTCCAGTCACGCAAGTCAGATGGAAGGTTAGTACACGTTGTACCTATGATATGAAGGCAGATAAACTCCAAGACCTGGAAGTCACGATGGCGGACACGCTGACTCAATTCTCGCCTGGAAGTCCCACTCCACAGACATCCTTGCTTATCCGTCCGTGGAATCGTCATGATCTCGGGCTGCCTGACTTTTCAGACGGGACGCAAAGCGCAGGCGATTGGCTCGAGCCTCCGCTGACATCAGATGATCCGCTTGGCTTGTCTCTTGTAGACAACGAACCGACTGATTCACAGTCTCATACGCGAGAGTTGAGCTTGCTCGCCCGCCTTGGACAGCGTTTTAGCGCACTTTGGCTGTGGCAGCAGCGTGACGACGAGCCGGTTGATTCGCAGTCTCGCACGCGAGAGTTAAGATTGATCGTTCGCCTTGGACAGCCGTTTGGCGCACTTTTATTGGCGCAGCAGCGTGGTGGGGAGTACAAGAGGATTGCGTCAGATCAGAACATCATTGCACGAGTCAGGGACATGGCTTCTGTTGGTCACATGGTGGATGTTAGGACGTTGGAGATATTGTAACTCCCAAGAACGGCTATCTTCATGTATACCTGATATTGGAGTCTGGACAGTACCCCAAGACTTTGTATTGTATCTCATACTGTCTCATGTAAGTCACCCACCCCCGCACATGTGATCTCGAGATCTTCATAATACCACCGTTAATGTAGTAACCAGTCACAGCTCGTAGATATTGACCTGCATCTTGACGTGTACTGTGCTACAATATTGTAACGACGCTGGCACTAGCCCCTGACTCGCTTATTCCTGGCATGTTTCGTATCAATCGAACTACACACTAGTGTACTGCAAATGACTTCAGAGGTGCACGAGCTGCTCGGTGTTTTCCCACTTACAGCCTTGCTGACTAAGGGGATGGGTTTGTTTTCCCTGGACTGGCAACAGTGCTCACAGTCGTACATCCATTCTGCCATGATACTGAGTCGGCGTGCGAGTTTGCCCGTCGAAAGGAGTGAACCTTCAAGGCGAGGTAGAATGAAGAAAATTAATCTTCCTTTTACCATCCCTGGAAGATTCAATTATTCACCCATGGGCAGTTCCTCGGAGGTCCTTTCACTTCGTCCTGGACAAAGTTGTTACTCAACAGAATCCAAATCTGTTTCTCTTGGACTGCGCGGATTCGAAACCTGCCGACGACAAGGTTTCTTTCTATCGGAACACACCTTGACATTGACTCATGGATGGTCTCCTCAGAGGTCCATCTAACTGGTCTTAGCCAAGTGGTTCAGAATCGAATTCTGTTTCTCTTGGAGTTGGTTTGAAACCTGCTGACAACATTTTTGCGGTCCAAGATCTTCGGAGGCCCGTCTTAACTTAGTAGGCCCAGTCACTGCGCCGACTTGGAAACTCCTTTTTATGTGATAGTCTGTCCATGAAGAGGAATTCACCTTTACGCCTCCGAGGGTCGTCTCAGAAACAGTAAAATATGTCCCCGAGGTGCGTACGTGCCAACATATATTCTCGACAGACTGACCAAACCTGTCGGGATTCACCACCAAATGAAAAATGTTAATGGGGCCAGAGGCCGGAAGAATGCATGCAAGCTGGGGGTGGAACGAATCTGTCAGTCAGGAAAATGACATAACCTCCCTACCTTTAGCTTTCAAGTCATCGTCGGACCTCGGTCGCATGTAATTTGCGTGCGTTCCTGTTTCATGTCGATGCCGAGGCAGAACTAAAAAATCAGTCGCGTAGGGTCACATCCGCGACAGACTCGGAGCCCGCTACCATGACCATCGTAGTCACCACTGCGTACGACAGCTGCGGTACAGGGCGAGCATAGATTCCTTCAAGAACTTGATTATCATACCGCGCCTTGTTCTGCTGAACTTTATTACCTGCACCTCATTCCGCCGATTGTGGTACCATCCCCAGCGGACCTGTTCACATGGTAAGTAGTTCTGCAACAAGCCCAGACATGAGAATATGCAGTTGCCGTAAGGGCCGTGGTACCCGCGCACGAGCTCGCACCATAATTTCAGATTGTTGTGAGGGGCGCCAAACCGTTCGTACACAATAATTCGGGCGCTCCGACGCTCTCCCTCCGCGGGGGGTTCTGTGTTTGGCCGCGTGTTGATTGGGCGGCGCTCCGATAGAATGGTTTCTCCGGTGCCGGTGCTGACGTGCCTGTCATGGACTGGGAGCAGATTGGTAGGCGGGTTATTTTGAAGACAAGGACGTCGGAAGCTAATACCCTCGCGTTCCTGGCCCAAAATATGCCACTTGGCTTGAAGCCAAGGGAGTCATCAGTATATGACCCGAGCCCGACGTCGCTGTGCGTCAGATCATGTTCTTCCTGATGGACTTGTGGTTTGAAGACGCAAGTGGCTTTCACCCGCGCATCTTTGTCTTCGGGAAATACACAGGATGCCTCACTACCGCAGCTTTTGTTAGTTGCTCGGTGCTGATGTTATACATACCATTACCTTTCCTGAGAAAATGGATGCATAGGCAAGTACATCAACCCGGTCCTTCTTAGTGCAATTGATAAATTAGTGTCTGGGAGCGAGCGCATCATGAAGTAGCTTCCGCGCCATAGAATTCACACTCCTCTCTGATGAAGGAAGAATTGCTACCTGTATGTTTTGAGAATTGCATGTTTCATTTTGAGCGATACCCATTTTAAGTTATTCTTCACGACGTCGGCGTCTCTTTAGATTCCATGATGGCGCTAAGTATACCGCGAAGACAGGAACACATCCGGGCTCTGCAAGGAAAGGCTCTTTTCTTTCTTCAAGGTCTGACTACGGGAGGCTAAAGTGGCCAAGGCGTGATGGACAATCGCGGCTCATGCAGATACACCTCAGCGATGACGCATCAATGTCTCGGGTTGTACAGTTTCCTTTATAGATTCTGCAGTTTCCCTGGAGATAGTCATGCGTGGTTTTGCGTTGGATGACAATCTCCGCATGGCACAACATCTCAGTCAACTCTTGGTAATCTGCTATCTTCATCCAAATTACAGGACATCTTTCGAATGCTTGATTGTCTTACCAACCCGGACATCTTCATGGCACTTACCAAATACCAGATTCGAAATATCTGACGTTGAAGACGTCATTATACGCAGATAAGTCGACATTTCATCACTGGGAAGCGCAACTTAACTGCGACGTTACGTAACGCTCAACACACTGTAATGGTGCGGTTTGTGCGGATCACGAGTCAAATCATTCATTATCATGTGTTGCAGAACGGACCCCTCATCGGAATTATCGCACGTCACACGTTCATGACCGGCCACCGACGGGTTCCGTGAACTCTTGCTCTGAACTGGTCTTTTGGTTAAGTGCATTTCCATTCCTCGCATGCTTCAAGCTTTATTCAAAGAGCACATACCGTACACTCTTCAAATTTACAGAAATTTTAATCCGTTCGAGGCCGATGCGCAAAGTTCAAGTTTCTTATTCGTGACATTGTGTCTACAATGGGTACCTTCAGACACGCGAACCCACATTAGCGCCCATCGATGTCATGTAGATGATTGGGGAACAAACTTACCTCTTCTTCCCTGTTACCCTACAAATAAGGGTCCCATAAGCATAGGCGGCTGTCTCAAATCAATGAAGACCCAGACTATTAATTTTATCTAGTTGAGAAGTCGTCATTGGACTTGGGTGGGTGGCCTGATGTTCAAGAAATATGCAAATGAATGTGGCCCGAGTTATGGTCGATTTCGCTAGTTTATCCCTGAGAAAATATCATCAAGCCATCATATTCGGTCATTGTTTGAGTCGTAAAGTTCACCATTTATACCGCGAAGCTTGCATATTTTAAATTCCACCAATAGAGGTGAATTGATGAAAGGCACAGAATTGTAATACGGCCTCAAGGACAAACCTTCCATGTGAGACGAATTCTGTATGGGCTCATAGATTGTCTTCAAGCATTCGACAAAAAGTCATATAGTTGCGATAAAAGTTAACCGCCGAGTTTGAGGACCGAGTAGATGCGTTACTGAGCCTTATATTGATGAGACCCTAATCATAACGCCTCAAAAGATCACGAACTCACGTCATGATGAGACATTGATATGCTAGAATGAAATTCAGGGTTGGTGAAATCCCCGATCATGAACTTCAAGACTGGAAGTTCATGGGCGAATCACTTGTCGGGGAACCATCCCGAGTGTGTCAAGCAATATGATACTCCGAAGATGATCCATGGCGGGTCCCTTGATTGGCACCACGAGTGCGGATGGCCCTTGACGTCGGTATGATTTCATCGACCTTGATTGTGCACCCGATTCCATAACCTTCGGAACTTCTGCGCCCACAGGCGGAATGCGAATCTGATAGGAAAGAAGCTTGACCCAGCACTGACAGAATATTTTCAGCAGTATGCTCGTTGCTTTGTGAGCGTGGGTAAGAAGACCACACAGAAAAGGAAAGCGCAAACCTCTCTCTGATGACTCCACAGAGGAGCAGGGCATCGAGGGTGTTGACGGGTTACTCCAACTGTGGGATATCATAGCTAGAGAAGTGATTTACGCATGACAGAAGCTTCCAGTTGACAAGCCAAGTGGAGCAGCCCCATATTTGAATTCAGTAGTGCGGCTGCAAGACAGGGAAAGTCGGTACGGAACTGATTTGGTGCAAAAATATGTGTGCCAGGAAGCCTATTCCCCGCAAATCTACACCATAGGCGAGGCTTGAGAAATGTCCACAGAGCTGGGTTAGTTACCGAAGGCATTGCAAGAAAGTCCGCGATGGTTTAGCGTTGTCCTGACTTGCGGTTCAAAGTAATCCCGAACTCCCATATCTGCTGTGGGGCCCTTTTCGAAACGTGAAAATTCGAAACCTCGCCTCTGCACCGTGTGGAGCTTCGAAGGTACAGTTCCGGGAAATCGACAGACGCGATATGGAAATTTTGCTGTCCGCTGGTTGAAAATGCGAGACTTTTTACCGAACAACACGAGTCTAGGTTGCAAGCGAGATTATAGGCCAGATACATAGAGACACGTAGAACCCTTTGAAATCGAGGAGAAATGGTATAACCTTTCGAGTCTGCTTATCTCGGCAGATAAGTATGTTGAGTTAAAAATGTTTCTTCTTGCTCCGTTTACTAGTGCCGGGATTGTGGCGGAGAGGCGCCGTATGCATAATGATTGGGCGTTAAGAGAGACCCATCATTCGAAACTGGCAGAGAACATCACGGTGTCAGTGAACTTGATGGGTCTTTCCGTGGAAGGTTGATAGATCTAGAGGAACAACAACTAAAGTTGTTATCTATCAGATTTTCATGTCATTCCGAACCGCACTGACTTACACCGCACACTGTAGTTGTGAATGGCGTTGTTCAGCCTGGCAATAATCAGCGTTGCTGCTTAGAACGTTCCTCAGACATGCTACTCACCTTCCGGTCACCTTGGTATAACAGACCACCAGAATGCGATGTTAGATAGCCGGTGACGTGTCCATGGTCAAATTCATTGACTATGACCATTAAGGAAGGATTTCAAATCACCAGGATGTTGTCCTCTCTATGCAAGCGAGAATTGCTGTTCAACACTTCAGCTTATCTCTAGATATAATTACATTTTTGGTAAAGAAGTCTGGATGCATGACTCACTGGGAATGGTTTCTGAATGAACGTTTGAACATCTAGCGGTAATTTCATGATGTCCAAGATTGGTGGCCCCAACTTGTGAAACGCCAGGAATCGGCATACAGTGCCGCATCTGCGATGACTCCATGATGAATCAGGTCTTGCGCAGGTAAGAGGTCCTGATCCACGGAAGAAAGCCAATCATTCTCTGTGAAGATAGAAGATTCCTGAATGATAGAATACTCGGTGGAAACCACGGTCTACTGATGGTGTTGCGTAAAGGACCTGAGTTGGACGGAATTGTGGCCGATAACGGTGGAAACAGAAACGGCTTATCTTTCGCACGTGTGTTCTGGATCCCGTAAGGTTCAACGATATTGAGCTTACTCAAGTAGGGCCAGATTTTCAAATTTAATTTTCAACATATATAATCCCGTATCACCATGACAGAGAACCACCCTTCTCTCCTCTGTTATCAGCCTGCTACCAGGTGGTTCGGGTTCCGCTTACGCTCATTAACGTTCGTAGAGTCCACTAGGACTTGTGTTCTGAATCGTTATCCATTGTGACATAGTCAGTTTTGAACATTTGACTCAAATATGTGATCGGACTCACCTGTCGAATGGAACTTGCATCTAGTCTCGCCTAGAATCGGTCACCGACAGCCATTCTGTTGTGTCCACGCCAGTTTCACCTATATTTACACCTAGATCACTGCTGCCAGTGACGTCAATTTCCGTGGGGGCAAACTTTGACTTCGTTTTCTTCTGGCCCTCATGTCTCAGTCTATCTAGTGGTTATCGAACAGCATATTTTATTCAAATAAAGGCAAGCTTTCATGTTGATATCACTTCATCATAGTCTAACTCTTCGAGACAGGCTCTTGATAATCGCATTAGAACATCAATAACCTTTGTTGCTGGGTTTCTTCTATCACTCATTATATGGCTCGCAAGATGTCTCAGCCACGGATTTTATTTCCTAGTACCGACCCACAAATTCTGCAGAACGGCAGTGATGCAGGGCGTCTTTCACCTCAGACCCTCCAACAGGTGTCATTTTTAGGTCACGGTCCGTGGTCTGAGTCCGACACGACAGATTTCCTCGATGCAAGCGATCTTGACCACGGCAAGAGCCTTGTCGATCCAACCATGGATCAGTCATCCATACGCTTCCCTTCCACTGATATTTATCAGTACGACTCGTCCAGTTCCACCTCTTCCACCTCTTCCGCACCTTCTGACGATTCACACATCGTTATACCGCGCTCTCGGCGAGTCCGTGGGCAAAATTCCAACTCATCATCTCCCACACTATTGTCTGTCAAGGCCAGGCACCATTCAAGTCCTCGTGCACACCAACCGGACAAAAAGAGTGTTCAACTGCCGGAGCTCAGTGATGCATCTGATGTTGACACGGTGCGGTTGACGCAGGCACCATTTGACAATGCTGGGAGTGTAACGCCCACCCCGTTTAGGGCACAGGCCCGTCAATTTTCTTCGGAAATGCGCTCCAGCTCGCTTCCCCATTTTAACTCAAACGTCAAGTCTCAGCCCGGTAATCCGAACCTATCCCCCCAGACGCGATCCATTCGAAATAAGTCTGGCCAGCTTATCAAACCATCGCTCAAGCACGCGAAGCTTCCCAGCCTGTCGATTCCCACTGGCACGGGTGGTGGGGTCGTGCAAAGTGAACCCACAACGCCTACCCTTTCGAAGGCAGTACACTTCGACGTCAAGCTCGAGCATGTCAAATTGTTTCTCTCCAAGCAAAAGCCTGTTGCAGTGTCGCGAGATCGTGACCCAGCCACCGATACCAGCGGTACTGAGAGTGATTTCCCCTCATTCGTCCGTGGGCCACCGGACAACTCTACTGAGAAACAGATCGAGCTTCAGATTCGTAATATGCCATCCATCCCGCCAAAAGATGCGGACGTAATCATGCAAGGGTTCACTTTATCCCAAAGCGATAAGTCCATCACCGGACGAGTCCGAGTGCGCAATATTGCGTACGAAAAATGGGTTGCTGCCCGGTTCACCTTGGATTTGTGGCAGACGACGAGCGAAGTTACCGCCCATTATGTGGAATCTGTGGACGATGGCATGTTTGACATCTTCATATTCACGATAAGGTTGCATGACATGTGGTCGCGTATCGAGGAAAAGACGATGTTTATTGCCTTGCGGTATACTACCGCAGGTAGGCAGTTCTGGGACAACAACAACGGTGCCAACTACATGCTTAAATTCGTCGGGAAGCTTGTGACGCGGAAGGCACCCGCTACCGCAGGGTTTCTCATAGGGGGTTCAGGTCCCGAAGTCAGGTCGGCAAGAGTGGATAGGGATCCTTCTCAGGCATCTCGTTCGCCGCGCTCTTCCGTGGCATTGACACCAGAAACGCCTCTGTCAGCGAGGTATAATTTAGGTTCTGCACTTAACGTAGCTCAAGATGGGGGCCCTCCTCCCCTATCTTCCCCAGTTGTACGGACCCCCACGTACCCTACAGAGCTCTCCAGTGCTTGGTCGAAGCATACTCCTTATCGCGTCGATAAGATACCGCCACGCCATACTCGATCCGTTACTATAGGGTCATCTAGGGATCTGGAGAAACACGAGCAGGTGCAGATTGCGCAGTCAGATTCTCTAAACCTAGATACTCCCTTTTCAACACCCCAGTCACGTGCAGCACGCGAACGCAACCATCGTCGTGGCTATTTCGATAGATCAATGGGTGGCACACCGCGTAAAACCCTTCCAGGTCCTGCTCTTCTGAGTCCGTTTGAGGAACGGACCCCTACTCGCAGCAGTGATCCCGTGCAAGGACAGCCATCCCTCTTCAGCAGGTTTACTGCTCAAAATATGGCTCGGATGAATAGCGCGAACTCCACTGCTTCTGCGTCTGACTCGAGTTCCCTAACTACTCCGCTTACGTCTTCGGGGCCCAGCACACCCACTTCTTCCGACGACAAGTCCTCTCTTAATGATAGCTATAGCCAATTTCTTAACCGGCAAGTTCTAGTCCTGGATTAGTCGACACTTAAGACTGACGCCCTATTACAGATTCTGCTTCTTCACTGGCCCTGGCTCACTGACTAATCATTCCTCTGATTTAATCACCCGTTCGCAATCTGCATCCGATGTAGAAGCGTTGTTACGCTCTTCTCCTCACGATTTCTCTTCTCCCTTGCGCGAACCTGCTTTCAATGGTCCTCGTTCTTGTAGCTTGAATAGTATCTCTACTTGTCAGAGTAGTTCGACTACTCCACGCGGAAATCCAATGCTCGATTGCCCCATTCCAGTGGTCCATTGTGAGTGTCTGCTCTGAGACGTCGGCTAGCATCGCACTCACTCCTCTACAGAACTTATAATTTACCTATAGACTAACGGTACTGGGTTTCACACTACAGTTCATGGCTTGCCATTCACGACCCGACATATGATGAAACGGACTTGAGTTATCTTATGGCAGTCATGACAACTTGTACATTATGGCACTTCTTCACATTTCCTTGCACACGGCTTCCTCACATCGTACAAGCATTTTCCTTGTTTATCTTTTCAGCTATCTCATGCTATCGTTATGAACCTTCTAGAATGCATTTCTGGCGTTGTAGTGCCTCTGACATATATTGATTGACAACGTAATCACCGTACTATAGAACGCCTCGGGACAGCTCTTATTTCTCAATACAAGTATCTTCGAGCTCTCAGTTTGTGGTGACAAGATTTAAGAGCATAGCACGATCGATATAGATAATTCCACCATGCCTGTGAGATCAGTACCGCCCTCTACGAGGACCGTTGGGATGATACCCCCTACCGCGACCTGTCCACCCACCCCTGCGGTTACCCCATTCCTCACCCCTCGAGTCGGCCGTCCACATCTCTTCCTGTCCGGGAAGCGGACCACTTTGTTTCGGAGCGACGGCCGAAGGACCTGCGCCACCTCCAAAATTGTCCGCCTGTACCAAACCCAGGAATAAAGTCATCCGAACTTGTCGGATCGTCGCCCGAAAACGGCGCGCGTTGGGTATAACCATTATCTCCCAAGCCAACCGCTGTGTCCTCGTCCTTGCCCCACCACTTGTTCGTGCCACCATAGCTGAACCCAGGGACCATCGCGTCGTCCTCATCGTCCTGCCCGCTCATGTCTATAATTTCGGGGGGCTTCTCGCCACCGCCGGAGAAACACTGATGTCGCGTCTCCAGGGCGCTCGCGCGACCAGAAACGCGTGGTGTGATCGTTTGATGCGGTCACGAAGAGATGTCCCATGGGGTGGAACGCCATCGACCAGATGTTGGAATCGTGTGCTTGCGATAGCGTGGCGCGGGGCTGTGTGACAGGTTGCAAGGTCGTGGGTTCTGGGCCGCCGAGGTCCCAGTGGAGCACGGCGCCCTCGGAGCCGCCAGATACAAGTATTGGGTGCACGGGGTGCCATGTCACGGCTATAGTTTGTCAGTATCCGGCGGAGTGAAAGTAGGCAAGGCTTACAGCAGACTTCCTTCTTGTGGCCTCTGAGGACGCGGAATTCCTTCATGGCGCGGATGTCAAAGACGCGGACCGTTTGATCACGGGAGGCGCTTGCTACAAGGTTGCCGTTTGGAGACCATGCCAAGCCTTGTATTGTATTTTTGTGCTGATGCCTAAGTCACTCGTTAGTGATGGCAATAAAATGCTTTGGTGTACTTACAGTGTTGAAAGAACTGCTCCAGTTCGCGGGTCCCAGAATTTTATTTGGTTATCCTTGCTTCCAGATACTAGAAGACCTTTGCTAGGATGCCACTCAACGCACTTGACATCCCACCCATGTCCTAGCGATAAAATCAACGGACCAAACCACTAAATGATGAACAAAACTTTATACCTGTAAGAACACTTTCTTCCCGACTCTCTTCGAACGACCATATTCGGATAGTTGAATCATCGCTTGCCGTTGCAAAGCGGCGATCATCTGGGCTGAAGCTCAAGCCTCGAATAGCCTCACGGTGACCGGCCCACGCGGTTAAATTATTCATATTCGGTTGGAAATACTTGATTATTCCGTTCTGGTCTGCAGAAGCTAGGAATGAGCCAGAGTGTGTGAACTGAAAGGCGCGGACGGCGGAATCGTGGGCTTGGAGAATAGTCTCGAAATTAAATGTGAGACCGTTCCAGAGGGTAAATTCTCCACTTGTTGAGCCCTGTCAGTACTCGCCTTCCTTCCGGAGTCCACTAAAATAGTGTTTGAGAGGTTTGAAAGAAATGTTAATGGTGGTACGGACTGTGACGACATTGACTGGACAGCGAATCTTGTTAGTTGAGGTGTGAATAAATTTGGTGCACAAGGATGTCGAAGAATTTCCGGGATATGCAATTGGTGGGAGTAGCTATAAACAACGAAGATTTCTTCAGCAGCTACGCGCCACGAAAAGAAAAACTCGCACGTCAATAATGAAGGGAGGAGCGGGTCGCATAGAGGGAACATATGTCGAATTAGGCCGGTGTTTGCGTAGCTAAACTCGATTAGACGTATAATTGTGTATTGATCAAGTTGCTACATACAAGATTCCACCTGCCCATACCCGCATTAAAATCAACAGTCCGCCGAGGTCTTGTCTTCTTTACGGCTTTCCCGTCTTGCAACTGTCTGGCAGCAGCCATCTCTTGCTCAAGAACTCTGGCATCATCCATAGGAGGTGGCTGAGGATCAGAAAGATATCGTTTGGGTGTCCATTCTAGATGAGGATGTAAAGGTGGACGTGGAATTGAGCTCGAAGGTAAGAGCATTGGTATGGATGTATCCGCGCTCAGCATTGGCAGCGCCATTAAATCCTGGTGCAACTTTTCGTGTTTCGAACAAATGGGAGGCCTAGGCTAGTAGCACGATCAGTAGCTGAAGTTATGAATCGTATACTTGACTTCGCATCAATGAAATGAAACGCGCTTATTTACATCTGTTTGTTACGCATGACGACGGTTCCGTTATTGACTCCGCCCCTGCCATGAGATTATCATAGTGAAGTTGCGCACTGACCACAGGCACTGCAAAGCAGAGTCAGAAATGCCAGCAAAAAAATCTGCCAGTTGGTTTAAGGAGAGAGGATGTGTTGGTGTATTTTCTCCCTCTCTCTTTCCTCCTAACCACCATCATCTCGGCGATCTTCGAGCTCAAATCTCAAATTCTGACCTACAAACACTACAATCAATCAAATGGCTCGTACCAAGGTATGTAGATACTGTTCCACTCTATCGTATATAATTTTGTGAGAGGAGAGGGGACATGCTCATCGTCCCGAGTGAGCGGTGCACGAGAAGGAGATGTTGTCAAGTGCCGGGTGCTGTGGCGCAAGACCTGTGTTTGGTGATTTTCTTTCGCAAAGAAGGCACCACGGAGGTTTGAAACCACGCATTCTTGTTCCAGCCGCATCTTCCATCCTCCGGAAGACCCTCTCATGCCCCGATGGAACTTCCAATGTCGTAACATATGTTTCTGACGACTTTCCTTTTTTGGTAACTTCAGCAAACCGCCCGTAAGTCGACAGGAGGCAAGGCTCCTCGCAAGCAACTCGCTACCAAGCAGACCAGGAAGAGTATTGCGGTTAGTATTTACTATTATATATACTATGGGCTCTCATTAACGTCGTCATCGTAGGCCGCCGCCACTGGAGGTGTGAAGAAGCCTCATCGCTTCAGACCTGGCACAGTCGCCCTCCGTGAAATCAGGAGGTACCAGAAGTCCACCGAGCTGCTCATCCGCAAGCTCCCCTTCCAGAGGCTCGTGCGCGAGATCGCCCAGGACTTCAAGGTATGACCATATTTCGCTTGCATGTGATACAAATGCTGACATTGCTAACCACTTATAGACTGACCTCCGCTTCCAGTCATCCGCTGTTCTTGCCCTGCAAGAGGCTAGCGAGGGTAAGTCGATGCATCTTCGGACTATCACTCTAGTTCATGCATGTTTGCTTATGCAGCTTATCTGGTATCTCTCTTTGAGGACACCAATCTGGCTGCCATTCACGCTAAGAGGGTCACCATGTAAGCTTCATCCTCTAAGTCACTAATAGTTTAGTTGCTCACACATTTTCGCAGTCAGCCCAAGGATCTCGCTCTCGCTCGTCGTCTCCGGGGCGAACGTTCCTAATCTACCAACCACTCGACTAAATGTTAATTTCGATTCATACGCGTTTCGTAGAATTTATTTGAAGTGCCTGCATTCATCCCTCTTGCCTCGTTTAAATATGCTTTTATTAAGCTTAGGATCTACATGTACTATATGGCTCGTTCCTTATGAACGTATGTCGGGACTCGAACCTAGCTCTTAGTATCCTTACGAAACAAATGTCAAATCATGCCTTGCGACATTACTGCACTTTACCAGGTTTTCGTGATTGTCTGGGTGAGTTTGAAAGAGCAACTAGTCAAGCCTAAGCCTGCGAGGGTGACGTTTGAGCGGTGTATCCGCGACTGTGTGCCTGCGTATTGCGAGCAAGCCTCAAGGTAAAGTGGTGAAGAGCACTACGCTACCGGACAAAGCCCGAAAGACACTGAGTGGCTGACTAAGCTACGGTGTTACCCGGCCGCTACTCCGCTCCTCGCCTAGGGGTCCCCCACTCCAATGTTAGAAAAGGGAGAGCAGCCACAGACCACGCAGTATAGCAGGAACTATCTTCATTCATTCATCTATCTATGGTATATAGAGGAGAGATCACGTTGCGAGCATGATGTTGCTGTCATGGTGGAAGCTTCGTGGAAGTCCGACAGACGACTCCTTAGGCTGCCGCAACGTATGTACATCATAATATAACGCGTTTGGCCGCGCACGGCAAAGCCCGCTACCGATTTTTTTTTTTGGACAAGCAAGTCTATTATATAGTCATTGACACTGTAAAACAATCCTTTGCGTTTTGCTAGCTAGAATTCGGTCCAGTTGTGACTGGTTATCTATTGCTTTACATAAGCCATCTTGTCGTTTATTTGTTCGTGGTTGTGGTTTGTTGTCTGGATGACGCGTTCTGTTTAATGTTGGCCCGTTCCTTTCCTTCATCACATTGTAGTACCAACCGTCGAAAGTAGGAACGCGAACCGGCCCAAGCGTAGACTCCACAGCCACACCATAATAATCGGCAACAGTCCACGGCACATTGTAATCATGCAAAAATGACAACGACACGGGTCGAATCACGAACCGCATCATCACCACTACTCCGGTAGCGGGAATCACATGAAATGCAAACGGACGGTTGCCGAGTAGGACCGACCGTCAGGTCGTAGGTGGTACGACGTTCAAGTAAGGAGTCGATGGTAGTATGGTGTAAGCACGCTGGCTTACCTGAGTTCCCATAATCAGTACATATACTGTCGCTGATGCTGAAAGCTAAGCTTTCAGTATTTCACCTTTTGGTGTAACGGTTATGCGGGCGGCAGTCTGACCATGTTACACATTGTTATGGTTTATCATGAATCGTCGTCACGTTGATGCAGTGCGCCTAGGAGTTTTGCCAGGTTTTGCCGATGCGCCAAGTGCCAGTTGTGCCGGCACTTGGTCAAAATTCGGCCAAAAGCAGTTTTGCCCTCGACACTACTAAGGACTGAAATATTGCCGTGTTCGTTCTTTACGTTCTTCGCTGCTTTACAGCTTCATTATCAACGTCTACTTTGATTTAATCGAACTCTGGCATCGATTGATCCACGTTTCTAGTCGATTTCATGCGAGAATGCTTACTCCGGTTAGTTAACAAAGGCAGGAACTAACACCATCCCGTCGCGATCTTTAATCTTCTGGCCTTCCATAAAAGCACTTCATTATGGGTATATCTAGCACGAGATAATCATCGTATGCCGATCAAGTTCGCGCCCTCCCACATCGATACATTTTCTGGAAACATGACCGTAGTCTCAAATGACCCCTCTTGGTGGCCAGCTATCGATTCGGCTCTCTTTCTCAGCTATCTTATAGGTTCGTGTAGAACTAGTCTGATCATGGCGGTAATGTCTCGGTCTAACCTTGACTGCGGTTTCGCAGTTGCTGCCTCTGCTGGGGTGATGTACGATTGGGGTGAGCAAGATAGATTTCGGGGGCGGCTGATAATCTCATAGTCTCTTCAGTACTCACATTCGGACAGGAGGTGGGTTTATGCCATTAACAAAGCAGCCATCTCGCTAAGAACAGTTTTGAAGGTTGAACTGGTCTGGGTAAGCCGAGGCTCGCGTCAGAACGGGATAGTCATTAATTCGCGACAGAGGCAACGCTGGTCCCTCATGACATTTTTGTATTTGAGTGTATGTAGTTCGTGGTATATGTGCGACCGAACGCTGTGCTGACTAGAAGATATCCTAGGTGCGCTATCTTGGATTACTATCTGCTATGTATGTCTGGAAGGCTACTGAGCAAATGGTGTTGTGCTAATCAGCCATTCTTGCAATCAGCGTCGGCATACTATGTATATCTCCTCACACACTATTTTTTCCTCTTCTGACTGGCGATATACAGTATATGTTCCGACAATTTCGGGGACAGATGCAGTGAGCATTTTCCACCAATGCCAGCCATTTTCGTCTAATTAATCTATTCCAATGCAGGGGTGAGTAAGATTCTCTACTAGCTTGTTGGTTCGAGACAATGACTGCCACAGCTGTGAGTTTGTTTCGAGCGTGATCCTCTGAGGCTGATGACCAACTGGATTTATCAGGCCTAATTATGCATGCTGCACTAGATTGGATGAGTGTGGTCGGGCATGTAATGCTAGGTGGTGAGCGATTTGTCTCCAAGACTTCAGCTATATCCACTCGACTGAAACGTCACACAAGTCGTCGTGATCGCTCGCTTACATGCCATGTATCAGCGATCTAGAAATGTGCTGGCATTTCTCGTTGTCATCTTCTTGGCTATGAATATCTATAACGGAGTAATGGCCACACTCGCAATGAGGCTTGTTTCAGGGGGTGAGTTAAATGATGGATCACGGACTTAAATGCATCAGGCTCATTCACGAATACTAGAGGTGTTCATTCTCTCCGGAACCTATCATTGTAACTTTAACTACAAGGGAGATAGCACACTTGTGTGTACCATCATTTGGACACTCAACGCTGTGTGGCAGGTTCTCGCACTGTGTCTCGCAGTTCGGATTACTGTAAAACACTTCCGTGAACTGCACCGATATTCGGCAGGAGGGCTTATTGGGGATTGTTTCACGGTGTTAATGAAAACTCATTTAATTTACTTTGCAACGTAAGCTCATAATGTGAATGTAGTCCCTTTTTTCGCTGACCTTTCGCACGCGCTAGCTTTTTTGCTATTTCTTGTTTTGAGCTCAGCCGTTTGTTTTCAATCATTTCCGCGGTACGCAGACCCCTCTCTCACCTTTGCTTGCATCCACGGTTCATAATTTCTATAGGACACATCTTCCCTGGAATTTCGGATGTATCTTTGTGTTTGTCAAATTTCCTTGCTCGTGCACAGGTTTGTGCTAGGACCACGCCTGATCCTTAGCATTCGGGCACATAACGCTAAGCTCGTGGGCGACTGGCATTCAGCAACTGGCATGTCGTCAATTGCTTTCGGGCATATTTCAATCAGCAGTGTGTAGCAAGGAAAATGTTCGGTCTGATTAACAGTCATCGGTACTCCGCAGGGAGCGGCAGAATATGTTTTCTTGTTTCAGTTTCGTTGTGGTACTGTATGTGTTCGAAAGTAGATTTGAAAGATAAATAGGTCAAACAAATCGTTAATTAATATCTTATTGCATTGGTACGCTAATGTAACATGGTCAGACTGCCGCCCGCATAACCGTTACACCAAAAGGTGAAATACTGAAAGCTTAGCTTTCAGCATCAGCGACAGTATATGTACTGATTATGGAAACTCAAGTAAGCCAGCGTGCTTACAGCTAACCACCCACGAACGAGCAACACCCTGAAGACATTTCATGGCCCGTCTACGAGCTCCCAATGTGAAGCGCGGCGTTTCAGCCTCACAGGCCACATACATCGACTGAAGGTCAACCGAGAGTCACCAGTCCAATTCGACAATGTGACTTACTCAGCGGCTCGAAGAACTCGCTTACTTCAACGTTTTTTCATTGTTGACAGCAACTTTAATTAGTTGGAAGAATAACATAACGTTGACATAGGAGGGATCCTTCTGCCGAGTCACTCATATTGCGAATTTGACAAGAGACGCGACGAGCCTTGGTTGACCTCCAATCGATGTATATGAGGCCTGAAATGCCATACTTCACGTTGATAGTACTGAGGGGCAAAGTGTCTACTAAAGACTCGGATGTCCTGTTATGGGGACGCAAGGTTAGTACACCATGCATATAGAATCCACCTGGAGCATCGTCTGCGGGACGATCTGGATGTTACGCAAAATTTTCTGATGACTCCCACCTTCATACATCCTGCCATATTAAGGTCCAGGATGACTTTTTAACCCCGAATATCTATGCATAGCCGCCCCTCCCCACAATGCAGAGATATCTAAAGAACCGTACTTTAGTATACACACCGGTCAAAGCACACAAAACGCACAAAATAATCGCCGATTGCGGTCCGTCACCTTCAACAATGAGTATAGCTTGCATCTTAGTTGTTGTTGCACTATGATCACCTTGCACTTCGACATATCAACGCTCTCGAACCTTATCACTGCTCTTCCTGAAACCGATTCACTACAAATCACCCCCTGATTCCACTGGTTATGCGTTCTAATATGTGGGGCCCCTCGTTTGAGAGGGGGGCTGAAGGTGTACAATACCTGAACAAGTCAGTTAACTTATCATCCTACTACGCTCCACATAGCATCCTTTACCGTCCGGGGGTCGGGCAACCCAAGAGATAACGATTGCACGACTGGACAGACAGGAATATCTGCCCAGTACTTTAGCCTTGGCGATAAGACCTAAGTCAGCTTGGATCAGCAGATCATGACTCGGTCGCCCGTCGGGGAGGATCTTCGATTCATTAAAACTCACGTGTTAGGTTGCAAGTCCCTATATCAGTTCTGTCATATACATTATCTCGTCTTTCTTCACAACAAGTCGAACTTCTGTACACCGTGAATTTTCACCTGGTCAGCGTTTGAGCCATGTCAAAACAAATCCGTCTCGGCATTCTCACGCCTTCTTCAAATACCGCGTTGGAACCTCTCACTTTCCAGACCGTTTCCTCCATTCCGAATGTCTCCGTTCATTTTTCCCGTTTCCCAGTCACGGCGATCAGTCTCTCAACCAGAGGTCTCGCCCAGTTCGACCACTCAGTCATCATGCAAGCCGCTGAACTACTTGCCCATGCCGAAGTTGATATGATAGGCTGGAGCGGAACAGCAGCAGGATGGATGGGATTCGAGAGTGACGAAAAACTCTGCGAAGCCATTACCAAAGCCACGGGTATCCCCGCCACTACCTCCGTATTGGCTTTGAACAAGGCTTTGGATATTTTTAAGGTCAAGAAGCTTGGACTGGTCACGCCTTATCTAGATGACGTCCAGGAGAGAATTGTGAAGAACTACAACGCCATTGGGATGAAGATCACCTCGAAGATGGAACGCCACCTGCGCATTGAGAAGAACGCTGACTTTGCCCTGATTGGAGAGGTTGTATTGGAGAGGTTGGTAGGGCAAGTGGTTGAGGGGGGAGCGGAGGCTGTTTCGACGTTCTGCACGAATCTGTTAGCGGCGCATAAGGTTGAGCTTTGGGAGGCAAAGTATGGCGTTCCAGTGTTGGATACTGTCACTACCGTCACTTGGGATATGTTAAGGCAGTGTGGGGTAGATACGAAAGCGATTAAAGGGTGGGGGAGAATATTCCAGGAGGCATGATTAAATTGATAAACATGACAATAATTGTTCTGATGCATTGAAGATGATCTACGAAAAATGTGCGATATATAGTCGCAACGGAATCGACTTGAAATGATGATCACACGAATTGTAAAATCGGTTTGAAGGCGGAACCTGCACGTTGAAATTCCCACGACTCTTCTACTTTCAAAAATTCTTGAAGCTGTCGACTTCCGCTTCACAATTCTAATATACATGCTCTTATCAAAATTTCACCGGTTCACTGACTGGCAAGGGCCGAACTGTGTTCGCAACATGAATTATGATTCGCCAGGCAGAGGTCAGACTGATATAACCTGCCCCTAGGCATGTTGCCGACGCGAAGTTCCTTCGGACTCACTTCCGGAGTTCTGTCTCTCTTAAGTGGAGACCGTTATTCTTCACCAACTGAACTATCAATATATCACATGCACCACTGATGCGCTGGATGGGCCAACCCACCTTTCAATGAAACACCCACTTCCAAGTTCGAAGACCTTATGTAACGAACCTACACGTTGGTCCACCCCTAAGATAGCACAATCGACTGGAGATATCTGTGGGCATTCTGCCTCTGAGTCATGCTCAAGAATCTGAGTCTCACCAAAGAGCCAAGATGGCCACTTGTCGGAGCGCTATCGTACACAACCACCTTTTTCATTGTTCTACTGTCTTCATTTGGACCTATGGCTGGACTTGTTGGTACGGTGACTCTTGTTAAGCCACCATTCTTCCACACTTCCACATGTACTTAGACCTCCACGCTCCTACTTTCCACACCATGCCTGGGCCTTACCATTTCGTATATAAGCCACCATGTTGTTTCTCAAGTTTATTCACAACTTCACCCATCATCTCTTACTGCTTCGACGTATTGAAACACTAAACCCTTCTTCAACTTTGATGATCATAGAAAACATGCAGGTATGTTCTTCCTCTCCTGACCTTACCTGAATTCCCCCTCACGCATGTCTAGTCCAACCTTCCATCCAAAAGCCCCCGTCGCTCTTTCGTGCGCTCAGTCCTTCAGGTAAGTTATTTGTTTCTAACCTGTACATATTGTGGTAACTCACAACTCCCCTCTAGCGCATCACAAAGAAAAAGGACACCGAAAAACAATATCCGGCCTTCCTGGATGTGAGTCTTCTCCCGGTTCTGGCTCACTATATATATATTTAACACGATGGTCTGTCAGGCGTCTGCAATACCTGACATGTGCCCTGAACATCCCGACTTCTTCATAGGCATGCATGATAGAAATGATGATTCCATTTCTGCCGACAAGTGAACTAGAGAGCTGACGAGTTGTCATTAAACCCTTTTTCTAATGGCTTCATTTATTTAAACGTGGTACGAGGCTTATGGGTTAAATATCATAACACATTGTACTGAACAATTTCTCTTGTAGTGCCTCGTATCACTACTTTATTCTGTATTCGTTGGTGGGGATTATGCCCTCAATGTTGTGCTGAACCAGAGAAGCCCGAAACTGTGATCAAGTCCGATTTAATGTCCATCGTCGATCGTCACGTCATCAAGTGTTAAAAATTAAATAAACAATGAGATTGAGAAAGTTGAGGCCTACTCATAATGTACTGATAAGCTCGATCAGTTACCATGCATAGACTCAAGTACTCAGTGCTATCGGTCTGAAGAGCACGAACAATGTGCCGACTCGCTGTGTCAGTAGTACATTAAGAAGTGGAGAGAAAACATAGGACCTCGCAGAGCCCGGTCCGTCCACCAGGGGAAACGGGTCGCCCGGCCCGTTAGACCCGTTGCCCCTGGTGGACGGACTGCAAAGGGAGACCTAAGTACTTGTAATTTTATGTAGCAAGCCGACAGCCTTGCAATCCGATATCATATGCCTATTTATGCCATCGTTTGCAAGTCGATGGGAGCACGGACAATGGAAAACGGAACCTTTTAAACGTCACTAGTACATGGCTGTTCGTAGATTTACCAGCTTGCAGATCACCACGTCATCTATTACAGAATATAGCGGAATCCTTTTTCTTTAACTCCCTTATCCTGCTCTTCTTTCCCCAGCTTCGTGTTCAATGTCTTCAGATGCTGCCGGAAAATCCAGCTCATTATAATTGTAGTACAGCTAGCGGCGAGGCAAATAGCATACGAGTACCGATAGGTAGGGCCCCAAATGGATGGCCAGGCGTACCTGCAATCAGCCTTGTTAATGAATTCTTACCATCATACGATTGATGAAACTACTCACGACCCTGCAATACTGCCGAGTTGCTGAAGCGAATTGATGAGCGAAAAACACACTGCACGCTTTGACGGCGGTCGAGGAAATGAGGTGCTGATCCATGCGACCAACAACATAATTCCTGCATAGGCCTGCGCAATGAGGAACCTAATGACGGCTAACATCAGTGATACGTCCGAAATTAAATCGTGTACTTACAATGACAAGTATCGGGCAGCAGTGTTCATGGTACACATTGAAATAATGAACCCAATGATAGCAACAATGTTTGATGCGCCCATGTGGTAGAACCGTTCCTGTGTTCTATCAGAGTGCCTGAAAAGTTGTTCATATCAGTTTCTAGATCACCTTAGATAGAGGCTTACCTGGTCCATACGAATGCGATAATGGCAGCAAAGACGAAGGGGGGCGCAACAAGGAGCAGCGTCACCGTTGGGTTGTACCCAAGTGTCGCAGTAAGAGTGGGGAAATAGACAGTGAAGGACAGTGCTACCGCTTGAACAGCACATATCAACGAGAACCACCACACTTTCCAGTCGATGACAGCGAGGTAAAAACCGTGACCGCGACCCCCATGCTCAGTCTCTGACTGGTCTCCGACACCAGCATCCTCCTCCATACGCTTCAACGCAAGCCGACGCTCGTCATCAGAAAGCCACTTCGTGTTTGTCGGAAAGTCCGGCAAAATAAAGACAGCAATTATCGCAACAGAGATAGTTAGAGCTCCTTCAATGTAGAAAAGCCACCTTAGCAATGAGATTCAGACCGAATCCCTCATTAAATTAGTTCAACTGAATTACCTCCATGCGGCTTGTCCGAGGTCGTTGTTCATGTTCACAAGAACACCTGATGCAATGAGAGCTCCGAAGGCATTGCTAATAATGTTCCCACTGTAAAGGTGCTGTCGATAAATATATTTGTTCGCCAGCATAGTGGCATCCTTACCAATAGAGGATGGCTAATCTGACACCTATTTCTGTTCTCTTGTACCTGCACATTGGATTTCAGGGCGCCCGCCGATAGTATACTCGATATCCCACAAACCACTTTGAAATCAAGAATACGGCCCCAGGAAAAAATGCTGCTTCCACGAAGCCGAGAAAGAACCGCGTAAGGAGCACTCCGACAAAGCTATTATGAGTACTATGGTCAGTAGTCAGTCAGACATCAATGATCGGTCATACTTTGTAGTAATCCCAGTCAAAGCCGATACGACTCCCCAAATAACCATACAAGCAGGCAGATAAAGCGACGGCTTCCCAATGTAATTGAGAAACATGTTAGAGGGGGTCTGCATGATAATATATCCGACAAGGAGAATAGACAAGAGCGTCGCATACTGTTGACCCTCGAGATGAAGGTCGGTGGTGAGCTCTGAGCGCACCGTACTTTGTGCTTTGTGAACGGTGCGTCAGCGATGTATGACAAAGACGTACCTGACATTAATCCTATCAATCTGGTATCAGAGTGAGATAGAGACAAGACAACTTGACACGAAGTCGCTCACATAATTGAGGATGTAGATCAGAACCAGGATTGACATATGCAGGTCGAGTTTCCATAAAAGTTTGCGCTCCAGCTTATTGCGCGCCTCTAGACCACCGAATTCTATGTCGAGATCGAGTTCTTCGTAGTCTACATGCTCCTTTGAGGGCAGGATCGATGCAGCGTCTGAATGGCCAATTGACATGGAGGTAGTGGTGAATGTGAGAATGCCCCAGATAGATCTGTATTCTTCATATACACAAACCAATTTCATATCGATAGAATGCGCTTCGAGATTGTCCTTTGCGCCGCAGTAGGCGGTAACAAAAAAACGCTAGTCGTCCCTTTGGGTGCAACGTGCCAACGGTGAACCTCTATGTTGGAAAAGCGTCAACCACTAACTAGTAACAACCATGTTCGAGCTTGAAGGTGTCTGGACAGACCTGTCTCGATTGTAGTATACATTTTTTTCGGCGGAGATAGGGTGTCCGAACCCGCGGTGTTTGTGGAGCTATAACTGCGTACCGAAACCCGCACGTTCAGCGTAACCATCCGAGATATCGCAGTATTGCAGTGCCATATGACGTTGATGGGGGGGAGGGAGGAGTCACATGCTGCGGTCGAGATTAGGGTAACGTGTTGGACTCGGTGTAGTGCAAACTGAAAGCAAGTCTACCTCAGCTTAGCTAAGGTCCTTGGCCTCTGAGCGCAGGGTACGGCCAGACGAAGTACTAAGTCCTTGCTCACACCGTAATGAGTTCTGTGTAGTTGGATTAGTGACTTCCTATGAGTTGTGTAGAAAGAAATTTCAAACCCAGTCACCAGCGGCGATCAACCAAGTATGATCTTTCTATCTATGCTTGGTTACTTATCCCAACTTGTATTCGCATGTCAAATTGACCTCCAGCAAATCATCGTACGATCTAAATGGATCGTATCACTCCTAGGCCTGGCGCGCCGGTTCCCGACTCCGCCAGGCCTTTCCACTTTCCATTTTCCTGTCCCGCCACCATCTTTTCTACTAGTGTAAGTAGAAGCTTCAAATGCATTAAGAGAGAAAACGTACGTGTATAGAAATGTTACGGTGGACCCACTCAACAACGCATGTACATACAAAGTCATCTCATCAGCATGGGTGGCGCGTCTAAAACGGGCGGCAGGAACGGCGGACTGTTGGGGTACGCCTCACAACAGGGCATTCGTGCACCCAGAGATGCGATAGGGACACTGGAGGTCCCTTAGACTAGAAAATATTGTCCTACATAGAGTGTATCTCTGCAAAGGACAGAAATTGGAATTAAAAAAGAGGGATAGGGAGAACACACCCGAAATGTGGTGGTCAATCACTGCAACTGAGTTGCTGTCAAAGGAAATACAACCTGCGAATAAATTAATCACGTATTGCATGAACTACAAACGTGGCTATGTTCGATAACAGCTCGTCACAGTCAAGAACGAAGGCTTTCGGGAGAAGTAAAGCATAATAGATGGTATTCAGGGTAATGAACAGCATCATAGTATATGGGTAGTCTGAGAGCACATGCGCAACTGAATGTGATGGACAGTACTTTCGACACGATCATACACTGTTGGACGGTGAGGGAGGGGGAACAGAAATATAGGACACATGACTTACGAAGAAGCAGGAGAAAAGACGACAATGAAATAAAAGACCATAGTATTGTCAATAGACGTGCTGCTTATACAGATTCAACGGTATGATTCAGACAGAAGCATCTCCTACTACCGTGGGAATCGGGAATCAGGCCTCAGGACCACATCCTGTAGCAATTACGTAACATGTTTTTTTTTTACTAGCACTCTTCATCTTACCTCCAAATATTATCCTCACCCCTCACCCCCCGTATGGAGCTTCGAATATCAACGCCGTAAGACTTGTAACATATGTTTCTGACTAGTTTGCTGTTTTTATAACTGTTAAGTCTGCATGCCGCAGCCATCATGATGCTCCTTGCGAACGTATGTCGGGACTTGAAACCTATGAAGTAGTTGCTTGATATATTACCAGCGTAGAGAATCATTACTTTTCTGAGAAAGTTGATTTATTGTTGCAGCATGTAAAAGAGTAAAGTAAGCTCCGTTCCAAGCCGTTGGCTGTTGGACAGCGAAAATAGGGCAACAATATATGAAGAATAAATGGGCCAAAAAGATCACGGCTACAATATCAAACACTATGAAGGGAAAACCCCACAAAACAAGAACAAGAAATCCGCGTAATGTGTCTTGTTCATGCAAAAAAAATCAATCATACTCCTCCTCATCCTCCTCAGTAGTAGTATCTGTGGTGTCAAGCCCTTCATTAGAATTAGATTGAGACCCCATTGACCTTGGACGAGAATTTGGGCGAGAACGAGAACGGTTTTCAGCATGCCGCGCGATCCGTTGCTGCTCACTAGCTTCCTCTGGAGTAAGCGGATAGCTCGGGACGCATTTAAGCTCGAAAGTGCAAGGCAAGACGTCTCCACAAGCCTCTTTAATGAATTCATCATTACGAACAAGGCCTCCCCACCTCGAATTACTACAGAGCCAATCAAGGCGTCTCAGCTGCTCGCCCAGGTGGCCGCCGGGGACGTTGCTGTCCGTTGAGCGGTTATATTGATACGCTTGCCAAATCTCCCGTCGACGACGGGTTGAAACGCCCTCGTACTCCTTTTTTGCGACGTCCCCTTGAAAATATGCAGAAAGGGTTTCGATCACTTCGCCACAAGTCACACCAATGTTTCGGCGTCTGGCTTTGACAGAGATCATCCACGGGAATGAACGTGAGATGATGCGGATGTATGACAGGCGCGGGAACGTGGCGGGTGCCTCGCGCCCTTTGATCCACGAACGCTTTGGCCCGGTTGTGCGATAACAAGTACTCGTTGGGAAAATCATGTTCCAGCGGAGGTAGTCTTCATGCGAGTCTGTGGGTGGAGATAGGAGGGGATTGACACTAATCGTTGCAGATACCGCCCTTACAAGAAAAGGTTCAAGAACGGGCCCGTCTAATAAAATGATACCGAATCAGAAAACATCCATCTCAGCCCGAATATGGGGTGCCTACAATGTGGCCCTTCTGCAAAAGGGTCGATACGGTCCGCACTGCTCGTCCACCGGAAGTTCGCACGAGCAGTGTCAGGCGGCTGTGGTGGTGCAGGGGGCGGTGCAGTTGGGTGCACCCATGGTGTGTGACCAGCATACATGTTCGATGGTGGCATGCCAGGCGGCCCACCAGGTAGAGGCATCCCCCACGGTCCTGCAGGAGTAGGAAATGCCCCTGGCATAGGATATCCCGCGGGCGTGTACGCCCCTAGTTGGGGACCCCAGCCGGGAGGACCTGGCGGTAGCGGTTGCTGGAACGTGTACCCTGTCCCTGGCGCTGCCCAAGGCGTGCCCGGAGGAGGTTGGGTAGGCACATAAGGTGAAGGGTTGCCGTTGGGATATCCAGTATAATCAGCCGAGAATCCATTACCAGGTGGCGCTCCATACATGTTTGGAAGATTAGCAGGAGGGGGGAAGTAGGAGCTTTGAGGCATGGCGGGAGTGGAATGTGCGCTGGGTATGGGAGGAATAAATGGCGTGGTATTGTACGGTGTCGGAGGGTAATATGGGTACTGCCCTGGCGTGCGGGGCTGTTGAGCCCACGCAGGCGGGTTGTGGTTCTGAGGTGCTGGAGGAATGACGGGCGGCGCGAGACTTTCGGGAGAGGGAAGGGGAGGTATGAAGGGAGTATTAGCTGTCTCAGGCGAGTCATAAAGCATTTCGGGCTGGTCTTCTAGATATAAATGTGATTGTTGGGTGTGTCACGCCGTCACTGACCGAAACTAATAAATGCATCAATTCAGGATTAAAACATCAAGGTATAGAATTCGCCTCACAGGAAATGCAAGGAAACCCAGGTTACACTTATTAATACACAAGTAACTCGGGACGTGTGGCACAGACCCAACTTGAGGTCGTTGAAGGATAGATTTGAAGAGATTGTGCCGATATCTACGGTCTGAGTACCCAAGAAGGCCTGAGAAGGGAGCATCACGTCAACTATATCTTGAGATAATTGCCAGTACCTCTTTACCTGCGGATAAAGTTAGAGAACGCGCTCAATGTATATGATGATTCTAAATGGTGAAATCGACTGCAGTGGTTCAATTTCAGGAACTGAGTAATTTTCCTGCACTGATTCAATCCCACAGCCTTTCGAAGTATAGACAGCCGGCACAGCTGCTGCTATAGAGTTCAAAAAATCCAAGCAAACTGGCAAAATGTTCTTTGGGAAAAAGAGGCAGTGGGAGATGAGAAAGGATTTAGATAGGCCGAGTGGTACCCTTCGCGAGTCAGTAATCAGTGGCTGTGCCCTGCTTTCACATTGCAGTGATTGCACTTTGTCACATCCTCTTGTACCTCCGGGGCGAATATGATGGCATCATGATGCAGCTCGAGCGCCTTCAGGTGCAGTCAAGCGTTATTGGAGGTTTGCGCGCGCCCAACGGCTTCCTTAGGCCTTTGATGTGAAAAACTTCCATCAGGTCAATTGTTATCCTGAGGCATGATCTCGACCTTGGAGCTTGGACAATTAAATCGCAACCTAGTCACCACCGCGTATCACAGGGTATGTAATATGTGTAGCGTGAGGCAATGACAGCTGGTGTGACAGATCAACATGACACGGGGTTCCTTGGTTTTCATTTCCATTAGTCAACCTAGGAATTACTTCTTAAATTGGATAGCAAACGAGTTTTTGGGCCCAAGCTCCTGATTTGAACAGTCGGCGCTGCAAACGGAGTATGTTGTGTCAATGCGACGGACCCTACTCCTGGACCTATGACGCACTTGCTTCCAAGAGAAACCGGAAGTGTTTAAAGTGTATATTCGCAATGCATATTCCGACATCATGGCGTATCTAGACCTGTAGTTCTCCCCTAGCTAGATATTAGAAGCAATTCAGAAGGGATAAGACAGTCGTCCTATCCGACAATAAAGGTGATTCTACAAAATTTCAGCGGTACCAAGATTAATTAAGTTTTTTTCAAAGATGCTGGCTAACTCAGCCCTGTTGTACCATTCGGGGCCTCCTGCCGTTTCTGGGCTCCAAGTTCAATACTGGGGACCCTAAACTCGCTATGGTTCGGGCTTGGCATGTGCAATGTCGGTAGCCATTGGGGTGATTCCTGGTCCTTCGTGAACCAGTTTCTATTCCTAGTCACGGTTCCCATACTGAAATAAGTGTAAATCCGATCACGACGATGATCTCGGAAGTAAAACTCCAGCTTGATCATCAGATCAATAAGTTAATTTCGTTCAGAGTAGCGCTAACGAAAATCGCCTGATCATACGTTCACGGCTCAATGATGCGTAGTGCAGGGGTAAGGCCTTCCTTAGATACGACAAGGGTTGGCATAGAGTATGCGACATATGATACATCATGGGGTACGGTGGGAAACGTGACGGTCCGAGGCCATCACGAGGTGAGGTTTAGTACAAAGATGTTGGGAGCCTTGAAGCCAAGACGCTGAATCGAGTAGCTGTCCTTCTTTGACAGGCCGTCAAAGTAGTACTTGTCTCGAAGCCAATCTACAGAGATTGCGTAAGATATTGCAAGATAGCAAAGCTATACAGATAACTCACCAACCCGCTTGTACCGATTGGGTGCAGGGGTGTTGTAATACATGTTCCAAGCTGCACCAGAGGCATTATTATGCGTAGCGGCCCTCTTGACCTGTTCCTGCAATCTTGGAGGGAGAACGTTAAATTCTGCGTCGGTTACATAATTCTCTGTGTACCTGAATCGGTAAGGTTAGACTCGGACACTACGGTGGCTGGACAGGTACTCACTCCTTCCAAATCGTGCTGCAGACGTCGCCCATAGTAACGCCACGCTCATTGTGCACTACCGTGCACCATGGGCTGGACTCGGTAATGATGATGAGGTCTTGAACGCGAGGAAGCGTTGCAGGCTCGTCTTTGGCAGAAAATGGGATATCACGATCCCGGTCATTGGGATTGAAGCCACCAGTAGAGCCTTGTGTTTACGAAACATTAGCTTCATCAGATATTTATTCTGAGGTGACATACCAGTAACGAGATTGAACATGAGGTGGAAGCCATGGTTTGCGCCAGCCATGATAGGGTGTAGCTGCAGCTCGGTATTGAGCAGATAAAGATCAGTCTGAGAGAGAACTGGACCGTCTATTTGGGCGCATTGATCTGTATGCGGCACACAAAGCTGAACAACCGCACTTACAGCCTACTCCTGCAGACCACTTGCTCACGGTTGAATCACCCATTGATGTGAGAGTCGTGTGATATGATGGTACTGACAGGTATTGATGGAGATCTACGACAGGATGATGCGGTATCAGAAAGAAATGCACGCAGAGGCGATGAGTCTATAGAAAACACTGGTATAGCAGGGCTTTATAAAATGGGGCTGCTTCAATTAAGTCAAGCTATGCTTGCGATATTTATTTGCATTACACGAGGTCGTGGCTGTGTTCTTGGCCGCTGATTAGATTAGATTAATTTATATCTGACTAAGTGTTAGGTCAATGTTGGGCCCTTTGATGGAAGATTCCTTTGAACTTGAACGTTTGAACACCCCATAACTTGATCATACCAGATTTATCGTCATCCGCAACTTCAGAAATGGCCCCCAAGGGTGGAAACGCAAAGAAAGAAAGTGGTCGAGCCAAGAAGGCAGAGAACGAGGCGAAGAAGCAAGATGCTGCAGCTGCTGACAAGGTGCGTCTATCTGCACCGCCAAAACCTTGTGTTCGGGATCCATTAATCGGTGTTGATAGGCAAAAAAGGAGGCTGAAAAGTGGGATGATGGCGCCAAGGGAAACAAAGCTAAGGAGGAAAAGGAAGCCAAGCGTCTAGCCGAGCTCGCCCGCAAAGCCGAGAACGCACGGCTGCTCGCAGAAGAGGAAGCTGCTCCCGCAAAAGCCAAGCCAGCACCCAAAAAGAAGAAAGATGTCAAACCAGCTGGTCCCGGAGCAATCGCAGCTGGAGGCAGCCCGAGTACAGCAACACCAGCAGCAGTGATAAATTCCAAGGATGAACCGTCTGAGGAGATCGAAAGCTATGCTGCAACTGGCATCGATAATGCACTGGATCTGCTGGAGGTAGTGACCGCAAAGATTGACAAGGCCAGTGTAGGGCAACAAGCTGCAGGTATCGAAAGGCACCCAGAGGCAAGATTATTTACCTTCTTCCTGAGGCTGTACTGATCACTGACATACATAACTACCACTTAATAGCGACGATTCAAGGTGAGAACTTCCATGGTATATTTCTGATATGCGATTTATAATTGCCCTAGGCTGCGTTTGAAGTCTACAAGGAACGTGAGCTGCCAAATCTGAAGGAAGAGGTACGGCCACATCCCCGGTGTGCGAAACACAAGGCTAACATTCTATTTTCTCAACTGCAGCATCCCGGGCTGCGCCTGCAGCAGTATCAGGTCAGTGCCACCATCAGCGCAATTTCAAGATGTTTAATGTTTGAATTCTACAGGATCTGTTGCACAAGCAGTTTCAGAAATCACCGGATAACCCGTGAGTCGTCAGGCTCATACAGCCTCCTTAATGTGACGATTGATCCATGTGTATTCGTGATCCAGCTTTAACCAGGTCACTATCGCTTACGACGCCACGAAGGACGAGAAACTGCAGTCTCTCAAGGAGAAACAGGATGCTGTGCAGAAACGATTGCGCGCATAACGATCGTTTTGATGTGATACGACTAAAAAGTCGTCTTGGATACGAATCCTTGGAGTCTGGGCATCAGAATTCGGGATATATGATAAATAGTAGCGTCTAGTACTAGTAGCGCTGCCAGCTGGTGAAGCTCAATTTGCTATCTCCAGAGGAGACTTCATAACAAACATCTGGGCCTGTCCATACGTATTCACACAATCCATCCATCAACACTGCGTGTATTGTTCGTGCGATCGGGCTGTGAAAGCATTAAATCGAGATGGGCCAATCGAAGTTTCCTTGAGAAATAGCTAAGTAATAGGACAAAGGTCTTCACTTCGATCGAGAACACAGATGGGCTCCAAGGACTGCCCACGACACCGCATTTCCGACATACCCTGTATACTTCAAATAATAACCTGTGTTCATGCTGCGAGTGTTGCTGCGCTAGCCCACTGGGTGCTCTCCTTCCAGATAATCGGTCTCCAAAAGCAGTGTGGCTGCCTATGCGATTATGTAACCAGAGATGTTTTTTTTCGCGTATAAGTTCAAAGTTAGACGTCGTTCGAGCCAAACTACTTCCCACCTCAGCGCTAGCTACGACATGCCAGATATTTCAATCCTGACCCAGCGCGCAAATTCTTTTGCATCGCCCAAGTCTATTCAGCCCACAAACTCGCTTGTGATAACACAAGTTCCTCGAACATTTTTCCAGCCTTCGATAATCGATGCTTTGCGCAACCACTTTGCTACATACGGCGAGATTAACCAATGGGTGCCGATAGCATCATTTTCTCGTATAATCCTCGTATATTATGCAGAGGAGACTGCAGAGCTCGCGAAGAATGCTTGTGATCCTCTTATTTTGACTCTCCCACACAGGTACGTGATTTGACTTAAAGTACTCAGCGTGTTTCTCATGTTTTTTGCACAGAATACCCACGATTTTGAGAGTATATCGTTCTGAACCCAATCCCATATTTTCGTCGTCATCACCAACAGCAGACGAAAACTTGCTCCGTCCTCCACCGATCGAAAAGAACTTCCTTATCTCACCACCTGGATCACCACCCATCGGCTGGGAACAAATTCGTGAAGATCCACCAAATGCTACACCTCTCGCAGATGATCTTATAGCTGCACTTCGCAAGTTGAAATTGCAGGAGAGGCGGTCTAGCCGAGAAGTGCTACTGGAACCTGAAGATGGTGTAGGAGTGGGGGTATACGTCGAGGACTGTGATATGAATGACGATGATACGGATGGGGTCGACTGGGAGTATGGCTGTCCATCCCCGGCCAGGCTACGATGGAAACCTATAGCAACCGCCATGCCACCAGTACAAGTGCAATGAAAATTGTAAGTCCTATGTTTCACCTTTCTCTAGGATGATACACATCAGACCTGTTCCGAGACCTGCATGCGGACATCTTGATATTGCCTTTTTTTTCTGACTCTTGCCTCGAGTAATGATTTAAACCTGGTGCTAATTTTTTTCCATAGTGTCACTGCAAATTGTTGTATCATGTCTACCCTGTCGGCACACTGTATATCACCATGTGAGCGCCTTTCCTTGTGCCCTTCGCTTGATGAGACACTTCAGACCTGTTCTGATCCTTGTGGAGATAACTTCTATTGCCAAATAATTTTCTGATCCATGTATATCACGCTGCGTTGAACTTGATACTGACCTATCGCTTCTAGGTTGTCGGCATTCTTTATGAGGCCTTTTTTCGAGTATTTCATCACCATTTCCTAGTCATTTGCAAGGGACTTGTATAACAGTTGTAACCACATGCCTGGACTCTTGCGCAGCCACAAACATACGATTACGAATGTACTTATTCCAATTGAGTTAGAATATTAGGGTTTCTATTGGCACTTGTTTCTTATTGCTGAAGCGCTGACGCTCGAACTTTTGTGCTGAGGGCGCGAGAATGTCACATTCTAGAGCTTTGACTCTCGACTAACTTGTACATGCCAGTATATGTACTCGTGACCGAAAGACTCGCAAAATGAAGGGTGAGATTGACCATAGTGAACTCAGGCGTTATGTTGCCGTGAAATATACTAGATCTCCGCACCCCAAACACCAGTTTACGATGATTCTAATTAAATCTGCGCAGCCCACAGCAGCATCATGGCCCCAACGGGTGGGCCGCTCAATTGTCGCGACCTTCGTGATGGATTACCAAATAAGGAAGTTTTGAAATGGACTTGCTTATTGTTCTTGGGTGTGGCATTGTTCTCTTGGGATAGCGGTTGAGCAGCAACCCGCCGACCTTATTCTTTTAAAATAACAAAAGGCCACACTCGCCATGTTTTTTTTGTGACAGAGCTTCGCGCTTTATTTCTTTACTTCTTGCTTTCATCTCGCTGCGCGTTCCTTAGCTTGACATGTTGTCGAGCATATTTGCTGCTACTTTTGCCTTTGGCGCGTCTGTTGGTGAGTGCGAAACTGCTTAATATCGACACGTCTGACGCTAACCATGGCTCAGTCGCGCAATCTTCGTCTTCTGTTGTGTGCGTTGCGGGTCAATGCCTGCAAGGTAATTCTAATACAACTCGTGAGTCCAAAGTTACCCGAGCATACATCGTCGTACTCATGGCTATGATAAGTTGGAGCAACTCTCTCAGCATCTGGAATATCGACCGAAGTGCTTCTTCTTCCTGGACAATATGCATCCACGACCAACCCAGAGCTTCTTCATGAGCTGTTAACGTCTTCTTCTGCTAAACTTTCTCCGTCTACTGGCTTCGTAAACTCGAGCGCCGGATCTTCAGTTGCTCTTCCACTAAATATTGCACTTCAGCCAGGCATGGTGATCTACCCGCAAGCTTTCTATTCAGGACAAGGTTCATATTCAAGCCTCCCTACGTCCCCCGTCGGAAATACAACCATCCCATTCACTGCTTCGTCATTTGCCCTCTCAGGGAACGTATGGGCAGCCGTATCAGCCGGAAGCAACAGCCGTGTCATTCTGTGGAACTCTGTTCCTGATGTCAGCCAGCTCCCTGCGAGCGCCTCAGGGTCCCTATCGTTGCTCAACCTGCAATCATCATCCTGTTCGCCGGCTTGTTCCGGGAATGGCATTTGTTCCGCTTCTGGGACGTGTCAATGTCAAAGCGGATTCACCGGTTCATCTTGCGAGTCGTGTTCGTCTGGTTTCTTCGGACCGGAGTGCCAGGCTTGTCCGTCAGGGTGTACTTCATGTGATGATGGAATCTCGGGCACGGGGCGTTGCTTGGTGCCAGTGGTTTCAAACCTGCCATCGAGCTGCAATTGTATCAACGGCGAATGTGGCGCCAACGGACAGTGTACCTGTATCAACGGCTGGACCTCGGCGTCAAATGGAACTCAATGTGCTGCATGCGCGGCCGGTTTCTTTTTAGATACAAACGGGAACTGTGAAAGTGAGTTATGACACCTTTTTCTGTCTCCCCAATCTTATTTTTGTTTCAGTTTGTCAATTGGGTTGTCAACAGTGTGCCGATGGCACCGGGGACTGCATTACTTGTGCATCGGGCTTTACTCAGGACGGGAACGACCGCACAATGTGTGATGCCATTCCACAAACTACGTCAAACGGCACGACTTGTCCCAGTGGAAGCTACGGCGCTGGGTCTACTTGCGCGATTTGTTCCCCGCTTTGCACGACTTGCACCGGGCCGAATTCGAACAATTGTGTCATTTGCGGATCTGGCACGTACAAGTTTAATGGGTCGTGCGTGACGACCAGCTCCGGGGGTGTTTGCTCAGGCTCTAATATGATTGCCAACAATAACAAGCATGAGTGCGACAGTAAGTGTGTCCCACTATGCACGTTTAACATGTACTTAATATGCGACTCTCAGCTTGTGGCCCAAAGTGCACGACCTGCCAGATATCCAGTTTCAATGTGGCATCTACCGTGAATCAAGCTCAGTGTACTGGCTGTCTTCCTGGTTTCGTCTTGTCACAAGGGACGTGTGTGACGAGCTGTCCGTCTGGTACTTTCCTGTCTCCTCAAGATAATTTGACATGCACAGGTACGGGCTATCTCATCTCAATTTATTACTAAATCAGACTGATGCCATCATTAATCCAGCTTGTTCTTCGTCCTGTACTAGCTGTGCGGGAAGCGCTACCACCTGCTTGACATGCGCGAACAATTTGCTGGCTTCAAACGGGCAATGCGTCAATTCTTGTCCCTCCAACACGTTTAGTTCCTCCGGGGCCTGCGTTTCATGCCACCCAGACTGTGCAACATGTTCAGGCGCATCCTTTAACCAGTGCACAAGTTGCAACAAAGCACTCCCTGTCCTTACAAGTGGGCGTTGCCTCGCTACTTGCAGCCAGAACCAGTATTTCGACACAACATCCTCAACATGCCAGTCTTGCGATTCCAGTTGTGCTAGCTGTTCAGGCGCCGGTCCAAATAGCTGCCTCGCTTGCTCAAGTTCTAGTCAAGTTTTGCGTGGGGGTACTTGCACTTCGGCTAACTGCACGAGCAGTACAAGTGTTGTCCCAAGTCTCGGGGCATGCCTTTCAGAACTTGTACTAGTCTCACCTTCTGGTACGAGCTCAGGCGCGCTTCCTTCGGGGCTAACAACTCCTACCACAACCACCACAACCCAACGATTGCAGTGGTGGGAGATTTTGCTCATGGCGCTTGGATGTGCTTTCATTTTTGTGGCCTTTTTGTATTGCTGGCGCCGCCGAGCTCGCAAGCAACGAGCAAAGGACACAGCGGCATTTGCGTCTGCTAAGGCCCTCCACAAGCAAAACTGGAGATGGCGACTTGCCCGCTTTGGGGAGAGGCTTTTTGGGCACAACCGTAACCCACGGCCTGAGTCAGAGGAAATTACTTTATGGAAACTGCGTGCCGCGGAGGAGGCACGGCACCATAAGGAAATGGAGAAGCTCATAAGTGCACACGAGTACTCTTGCTCAGGATCGAGCCGGTCTCCTTCGCCCCTCCCTTCGCTTCATCCCTACAAGCGTCGCGGATCACACGATTACTCCAATGCTAATAGGCTATCGGGTTCCATGTATTCCCAGTTGACGGGGGAGGTTCGTTCCGGACCTGAACCTCGGCAGCCTGTCAAGTCGAATCTCTTGACTTCTCGGTTTTCGACAACAACACTTGGATCTTCGGCACCCAAGAAACCAAACGTGTTAAAACGTCAGCTGACACCTTCTAGACCGCCAACCCCCGCTGAGGCGTACGCTGCGTCCGTAAGGCAGTCCCCGGAACCTGGCTCACCGCATTGCATAATACCTACAAATACGGACGGATCTCGCAACCCTTTCCGTAAATAAGCTATGTTTTCTCATAATTCTGCATGGACCTCGAGGATTAGACTGGATCTTTACCCACCACGATCTTTATAACCACGCGCATTGTACACATTTTTTCGTCAATATACTGTAGCTTACGACTATGATCCTGTATGGAGTGTAATGTAGCACTTTTAGGTTTAGCTGTCTGTGTAAATTGCACAATGCAGTTGGTTGGTTGCGAACACGAGCTTTACATAAGTCTATTCCCCTTTGCGTTCGTCTTTCAACGGAGGTTTCTCATTGTGCCTGTGTTACATCGAATGACCGCGCGAAACTCCGCAACCAAACACAGCATTGCGGCAGTTAACTATATCCCATCACGTTGAATTGCCAAGTACCCATCTCCGTCCCAAACTTCCAATGTGGTAAGTACCACGGTGACGTTTGACGCCACGTGTATGCGCACGCCGCACGGCTTTCAGAGACTCCAAATTTATTGATATATACCATTAATTAACACAAGTTGAACTTTAACGCCCAGTACTGCACATGACAGAGCCATGACTTATAAGCGGTCCGACAGCAAAGTGGGGATTCCGCTTCCCCACATTCCTCCTGCGCTTGCTTCTTTTGTGACTGGCGCCTCATGGATGGAATGCCCGAATGCTCCTGGGATGCTGGTCCTACTTCGTTTGCCTCCTTTGGCGATATCCCTGGCAATTTGTGCAGTCCTACAGATGATTGGCCACGTCCTTTCCGAAATTTGAACCACGACGCTGCCTGGGATCACCTGGCGGCGGCCTCCAACCTCCACAGCGTCAAATTTGACCCGACTGGACGGTGGCGGGCAGATGCCCTCAACTTCCAACCTTGCGCTGAGACCTCCTCGCAAGACCGTTATGCAATTCAGGCAGATACATATTCGAGGACGCATTTGGACCCTGTCTGCGGTTTTTGATGGTAGGCGCAGTTTTGAGAACGTGCTTGGTCATTGTGTCGTTACCGGGAATTATTCACAGGTCACCTAGGCAGCCATACCGTTGAGCATGTGGCTCATCACATGCCTATCATTGTGCGGGAACACTTGGAGTTGATCTCTGAGAAACACGGTGACCGTGTTGTACCACCGCCTTTAATCGCGGACATGTTTGCGATGGCCATTCGCGCTTTCGATGACGCTATCGCCAATGACGTCCTGGAACTTTTCCCGGGCGGTTTGTCATCTCTATCTCGCTTGTCGGACTTGCAGATCCAGGAAGTTCTCGATGATCAACTTTCTGGAGGGCAAAATTACACGAAGGCGAGGCTGTGCTTGTATGGTACTACTGCGCTCGTAGCTCTTGTTGATCCTGATCACCAAAATCTATGGCTTGCCAACCTAGGTGACTGCCAAGGATGTACGTAGAGCGTGACGATGTTGTTCATCGTGACGGCTAACCTTTGAATTCAAGTGATAGTCTCGGAGACTGATCAGAAAGCGTGGAATGTGGAGGTTTTGACGCGATTTCATAATGGGGAAAACCCGCTCGAGGTCCAACGCGTCATGAATGAGCACCCTGGTGAGCCGGAGTGTATTTTGGATGGTCGTGTGCTTGGAGCTATTGCACCCTTTCGATGCATGTTACATTCATATTTCCATATCTTACTATTCGCTGACCTACTCGATTGAACAGGTCTGGGAGACACCCCCTTCAAACAACCACCCGAGTTTACACGACGTATTCTCTACAATTTATACCCCGGTCAGCACGACACATCTCCTTGGGAAGAATTCTTGATGAGGAACCACACGCCTCCATATATTTCGTCCACGCCGGAAGTCACGCATTATCCCCTCGATCCATCCCCCCGGGCTCCTCGCAGATATCTTATTCTCTGCTCAGATGGGTTCACGGACATATGCGGCACAAATCAACGTGCGATTGTTGATCAGTGGGTCCGTGCAGCCGCATGTAGTAGCTCAAGAGAGCTAGACTGAAAAAAGCCTGGCTCTCCGACTACTTTGGCAGGCGCTTGGTAATGATCCGACGAGCGTATCTCGTGTTCTGACTTTGAACATGGACTCACCTTGGTTAGATGATGTGTCTATTGTTGTACAGTGTTTATAGTGTATCATAGCGATAGTTTAAAGAGCCTACTTATTGAGTTATTCAACGTTAACGTGCTTGCTAACCCACGTATGGAACGTGTAGTGATTGAGTAAGTGGTTTATTTGCAATTTGTTTGGTTTTGGGGACCTTTGATAAACCAAGACAAACAACGCTTGCTTCACTGATCACCGGGCTGCCGTACAGGACGCAAAGACCATATGCTTGCCTCTTCATAAATCATTGTATTGCCTTAGGGAGGCTGATGGCGAAGCCACTTCAATCGTCTGCGTCTACTGATTCCTCCGACCTCTTTGGCCCTGACGATCCAGAGTTTCTCGAGGCTCTCAGGAACGCAGTGCTACCTGGAGATCAAATCACAGCTCCTCGCCCTGACACTGAGTCACTGAGTCGCAAGCGTCCTCGTAATGAAAGCTGACGAGCAGCAAGTTGGGACGACATCGCACGGGACACTGACCCATGGACTCGGTGACACCGAAGATGATCCCGAGATCTATGGCGCAGTCTCGCTTTGGACATTTCGGAGAATACATGCATCGCAAGCGCGCCAAACTCCAGATACAGAATGCAGCCCTTGATGCAAGCCAAGACGTTGGCGCTACAAAAAAAATCTTTAGCGGTCTTTCAATATATGTGCGTATCTCCACTGTTAGCGCAGGAAGGCAGCGCCTTAACTTTGATCGCAGATTAACGGGTGGACGAATCCTTCAGTTCAAGATCTACGTCAATTGATAGTGACGCATGGGGGTGTGTTTCAGCCTTACCTGGATAAGAAATCATTAGTGTCTGCACCTTCTTTATCACTCCAGTCATTTCACAGAGATTCATCGCTCCTTATACAGGACCCATATCGTCACTTGCTCACTGACGGCTGCGAAGATTAAAGATTGGAAGCACATGAAGATTGTGAAGCCTGATTGGCTAGTGGATAGTGCCGCTGCAGGAACCTTATTTCCCTGGAGGAATTACATTTTCAAACCTGAGGCCAGGGTCGATCAATCTCAAGGAGCGCACACGCCTCAAAGTTACCTGTCTACGGATTCATGTACAGCAGTACGCTCTAGTATGCGTAAGCATGAAGAGCTATCAACTAACCAGGTTCCCGCAACGCCTGCTTCCGGCGAGGCAGATACTGCCGCCCCTGAGGCTGTTGACCCTGCATCTTCGGCATCTTATTCACCTCGACCGCTCCATGTTACAGATCCTGGCACGTACAAAGATGCTGCACGCGTTCCTGGATACGCCGTTCATACATCAAACCCCCTAGCAGAGCGTGTAATGGCTAATCCTGAATGGAGAGCCGCACATACCTCTGTAGCACCAGATTTCATAGAGGGTTTTTACAAACACTCACGGCTGCACTACCTGTCTACATGGAAGGCTGAACTAAAAAATTTGGTTCAACAAGCCCAAGAAGAAGTTGAAAATGGGTCGATGCATGAGTCTATAGGCAACCTTCAGGACATGGCTAAGAATGGTGATGCCAACATGAGCGAGGTACAGCTCGCGGCGAGGTCTCCATCAAAAAGGAAAGGAAAAGAAAAAGCTCCAGGCTTGAAGCGTGTTATCATGCACTGCGACTTTGACTGCTTTTTCGTTTCCGTCGGCCTTCTGAGTCACCCTGAGTTACGAGGCAAACCGGTTGTCGTTTGTCACTCGCAAGGGAGCACAGGGGGTGCATCGAGTACAAGTGAAATAGCAAGCTCAAGCTACGAAGCCAGGACATTTGGGATCAAGAACGGAATGAGGTATGCCACACACATTTTATGTATTGACCTATGGGTGACAGCTATCTTCAGCCTTCAGCAAGGACGTAGGTTGTGCCCTGATCTTATGACTATACCCTACGAATTTGAGAAGTATGTATTTCCCTCTTCGTTCACTATACTCTACCCAACATGAGATCAGATATAAACAGCTGTCGTTGCGTTTCTACACCATTTTAATGCGTCATGCAGATGATATTCAGGCCGTCTCCGTCGATGAAGCTTTGATCGAGGTTACCACGAGTGTTTCCCGATGTGCTATCCGGCCGTCTTCCCTAGCATTCATGGATGATCCTGCAAGGTCCCTTGCAGAACAGATACGGTCCGAGGTCAGAGAAGCAACAGGCTGCGAAGGTTCTTCACAATGATGTGCCCGACCTCACTTACTGACACAAGCCATAGTTAGCATTGGCATCGCAGAGAACATACAACTTGCTCGCATCGCAACGCGTAAGGCCAAGCCTGCGGGATCATTCCACTTAAAACTAGAAGATGCGCAACAGGTTCTCGCGCCGTTAGATATCGATGACCTCCACGGCTTCGGACATTCTACGCGCCAAAAAGCGAACGAGAAGCTCGGAGCTACAAATCTCGGCGAACTCGCTAAGAAAAGCAAAGCCGCACTGTGCGATGCGCTTGGCAAGACTACTGGCGAAACTCTGTACAATGCGATCCGTGGCATCGATGAACGAAAACTCGAGTCTGACAAACCGAGGAAGTCTGTCTCATGTGATATCAACGTGAGTGGTTGATAAGTAGTTTGGTTTGTGTAGTTGCTGATATCTGATTTTACCTAGTATGGAATACGTTTTGAGAACGACGACCAAGCCAAGGCATTCATCCACCGGATGGCTGAAGAAGTTTCCCGGAGATTGAACGCTATCAACATGTGTGGACGTTCTTTGACTCTGAAGATTATGAAACGTGATCCGAGTGCACCTATTGAGGGACCCAAGGTATTGAGGATTGTAGGCCGTATTCAAACCAGGCACTGATGAATGATCACTGTTTAGTTCATGGGGCACGGCATCTGTGAAACGTTCAGCAAGCAAACTCTATTAAGCAACGCAAACGGTAGAGCTACAAGCGATCCAAAGGATATCGGTGAACACGCATGGGCGCTACTGGATTCTTGGGGATTTGATCCGAAAGAGCTGCGCGGAATAGGCATTCAGATACAGAAACTAGATACGCCGTCAGCATCTGACACCACCGATCCTGGGCAAGTGAAGTTGCCCTTCCAAGCCAGAAGCTCCAAACCGACTGTACAAGAGAACACTGGACAAGATGTCCCCCCAGTGCCTAGGATTACCACTGAACCCCCTTCGCAAGATGATCCACTCCAGAATAAGAATGAGGTTGGCCCTCCACATCCATTGCCTACATTGGACCTTCCTTCTTTCTCTCAGGTCGACAAGGACGTCTTCGATGTATTGCCAGACGATGTCAGGAAGGAAATAGAAGTTGAATATCAACGCAGATCACGCTCCCCAATGCCAGTGGAACAACCCTCTCGTGACATCCAACCGAAAATCATGGTCAAAGGCGTCAACGTCAAAAGAATCACTCAACAACTTGCACCGAAGAACAGAACGAGCGTATCCCCCCGTAAAAACACGCTCTTTGCAAAACGTGAAGTCCCATCGTACATGCGTGTATCTGACGCAGAGCTTCGCAAACTTGATATCGACCCAGATGTGTTTGCTGCCTTGCCTGTGGATTTGCAACGTGAGCAGGTGATCATGGCTCGACATGCGAGGAGTGGAAATCTCCTTGAAGAACGCAAGATCATCAAGGCTTCTAGTCGCGCACCATCTGCGCCTTATCGCAAGAAACCCCCTCCTCAGGCTAAGCACCCGGAGCCTCCTTTTTTGAAACAGCAGGGCAAGCAACCAGGAGAGAAATTGCACTTCTCGGAAACTGGAGACATTCAGACCGTCATCGAGTCATGGGTTAAGGGATTCACAGAATATCCTCCGAAGCAAAAAGACGTTGACTACTTCAGCAAATTTTTGGTGCGGAACGTAGAATCAGCTGATACAGGCATGGAGAAAACCATTGCTGTAATGAAGTGGTGGCTTATCCTCTTGAGGAGGAATTGGGGGGTGTATGAACGCACGAGCGGTGCGGAGAATCATGATGGAAGCTCGACTGCGGAGAACATCGGGAGAGCTTGGTGGAAAGCATTCTGGGAAGTGAAGGCCAAAGTTGATATTGTTGCCAGAAGACGATTTGGTGGTTCATTATCTCTCAAATGATAGTTTTGATCTAATACGTAGTAATCTACTAGTATGCTTCTTCATTGACTTCCTTGGTCCCAGAAGCTAAGAAGAGCTCGACAGGGTGTCCATGTTTCTTCGCCTTGCAGGCTGTTACAAATGAAAAGTTAATCAGTCCAGCACCCTCAAACACGGCTTTGATGTCTGCTTCCTCAAATCCGCCCTTGTGCGCGACAATATTGTGTGCTCCGGTGGGAAACAACGCCTCTGCAGATTCTGCAGAAGATGGCTTCATTAAATCTGCGACCAAGAGCGAACCCCCTGGTTTAAGGTATGATACAAGAGTCTTCGTGACATCTCCGATAGAAGGAAAATGGTGATACGACGATGCACACTAGTAATTGTCAAGGCGAGAACATGGAACGTTGCAGGTAGGGACGTACCACAACCACATCAAACTTCATTCCATCCAGCTGATTTGGGGCAACTGTGAGGTCACAGCACACAGCCCTCATCTCCTCGGGTGGTATACCCTGATTTGATACGCTCTGGTTGTACTGGTCAACCATGCTCCGGCTGATGTCCACGCCCACGATGCATTTGGCATGCGCAGCGAGTTTTTTGGAGATCAAACCTTGAATACGACGGATAAATTCACAAATGCGCTACGAAACCCTTCATATACACGACTAACCTGTGCCACAAGCATAGTCTAAAACCAATGTTGAGTCTTCCTCGAATGGATAAGCTTTGATCATAGCTGCTCCAAGTCGCCGAGCTAGCTCATGCGCGTCGGGATGATCATTGTACCGATGACCATGCTCATCGAAATAATTCTTGTTGAATTCTTTCAAGTTGTGTTGATCCTCGTGGATTTGAGGAGAGCCATGAGGATGACTATGAGGGCAGTGGCGTTGAGCATGGTCACCGTGCTCGGCCATCGTGCGAGCGCTTATGTTCTGTTTAGGTTTCCCACATTTGAGTCTTAGCACAGCATATAGCATTCATATGCTGTCGTGCTCCAGGCCGATTGATTTCCTTTCGAATCGACAGAGATGTACATAGCCCCGAAGAATAGCTGGCATAACATATATCTTTGCAGAGTCATGGGGTGCAAAGAGTAATCAATGCATGACGTAAGATCGAGGTAAGTGAAATCAATCGACGTAGACATAAAACAGGTATCAGGAGGTGTAGGCATAGAAAAGAAGAGGCATGAGCATGAAACTGAAAAGAAAGGGTGACTGCTCAATCAATATCACAGAGTACATCCATAACTCGGGTCAAATAAGTCTTGTGCGCTCGAGCTTAACACTTGAAGATTGAGAAGTAGGTAAATCAGCAATACTTCGGCTATGATAGCCAAGTCATTCATACACCACGAGCATTCTTGTGTCAGTTCGCGGTATCAAGGATCGTGCGGAGTGTCTCCATCTCGCGATGGAGGAGGTCGATCACACCCTCCATACTACTCATCTTTCTCTTCACGCTTCTCAGCTGCACAATTGTGGATTCGGGGGCTGGGATCGGAAGCTGGGGCACTGACACATAGCTCATGACTTTGGGTTTATTAGTGAACTGTATGTTAATCGAGTGATGCACTTACCGACTCTAGGCGGCCTTCGCTGCACCACAGAAGTGCCCATGCGACGAATGGACATTTTCATTTTCCGCGCCTTTATCCTCTCCGATAATCGGGGATGAGGGCTGCCTTGCACGCCAGACTTTCTTCGCTGTCTGGTGGGTTGGTTGACATCCAACTCACACTTTTTTTTCAGTCGCTTGCATGCAGTGCAAACTAACAGGAGGCCAGTCTTGCCCCTGGCTCTCATGCATGTCTTGCCTTCCCTGACACAACGAGGGCAGGGACCAGCAACGCTGACGGCACCCGATCGTGCTGTCAAGGGGTTGGCCTGAGAATTGTCAATTAGTATGCTACCAGAAGTCAAACGTGTTAGTCTTACTGAACTGCCAGCTGCCTTCAAAGATAAACCTGTCGGTGTTTTGGTCTGAAGCCTGTATTAGTAAAATAACTGGACTACTGTTAGTGACTTGCTTTCGCTTCAGGGTGTTGCACATATATCACTCCCTTCGACGCGCCTTCTCCCATCTTGTTGACGGTATTGGACCTCGTGTCTGCACAGATTCGTTTGTACGACCCGCCCCTCATAGCTCCTGCAAGCGGGGTTCGCGATTCAGATTCATTAATCCCTCGTTTCTTAGATACCCGGTGATTGGACCGACCCCTAGACTGGTCTGTCGGCAGTGCTCCATCTTCGTCGGCATTCTCTTTCGCGTGAGCCTGCGACTTAGGGCCAAAGACACGCAGCTGGCGCTTGTCAATTGCACCGGAAGCCACGGAAGCATTATCGGTGAGTAAAGGAATATCATCGGCAGTTGCAGCGGGTGGCTCAGCAACCAGTATGGCACCCTCAGGGAAGGCCTGCAACATTTGCTGATTCGGATGAACATACCACGTCTTGTTGATCAGTGGGTGCTTTTCGATCCTTGGATCATCCTCTCTAATATCTTGCCAGTTAGGTATGCCAACCCACTGTTTGTTCTTGCAGACAGTGGTTATCTCTACTGCCGCCGATAAGAAAATGGGGTCGAACATTGTTGCCGCTGAAATGAGGTTTTGTACACGGAAGAACTGCAGGACAGCTTGATCAGTACACATAAAGAACCTGAATTCAGACCTACCAATATGTGACCAATCTTTCCCCGGTATTCGACGTGCTTTGGGTCCCCAGGTTGGAGTTGGCGAGCAAAACCCAGAAGCCCCCGAATCGTGTCAGCCTCCATAGCTAACGCCCTGTTTTGTGATGAAGTCATGAGCTTCGTAACGAACTGTTGCGCAGATGCTGCAGAGGACATCGTCTTAATTATGATGGAAAGATCAAGCCCAGAAAAACTGCAGCAAACTCCAAAAGTAGCACCCGCGCGCGGAGTCGCGGACTCAACGTACTCAACGCGTGGAATTTCAAATTTAATAAACACGTCGTTCCACGTGACATACCAATACTTTCTATCTACAAAGTAGAGCATGGAAACTTGCTCAAGGACGAACTTGCCATTACGCGAAATATGCAAACAATGCATTCCCCTACCGATTCATTGTTACTCTTTGACACCCGTCGGTTGTACGAGACCAGTATACTGTGAATGCTCCAAAAAAGAGGTACATGTGTTGCTGGTGAATCAGAATCTTACTAATGTCTCTGCGAGCGTCCATATCGTCCATACACGAAAGTCGAAGATGACCAAAAAAACTCATCGATTGCAGAAACCATTTGCCTCGCACACCTATCAAGCTGGTGAGTACGAGATGCCTTTGTATTAGACGGGGCTCAGAATATATTGCTTACCCTAATTTCACGGTCTCACAGACCGCAATTGCTTTCATCAACTTGGGTGGCCGTGACGGTGACGCGCCCCAAAAACTCAGCCTGTCCACCAGTGAGACCGTCCATAGCCTCCTGCGACAAGTTGAACCCATCCCGTGCCTCATCACCGACATCAATGGCGGTAACGTATTTGGTGGTGGTCACCGATGGGCTGGTGTAAGTGATTTCCCAGCACGACCCACAGTATGCTGAGTTCCAGCCCGTGATCTGGGGCGCACCTCCGATGTAAGGGAAGTTTGGAATAGAGCTGAAAGTGCTGTAGCCACGCGACTCCAAGCCATTGGAGCCGTCTGAGCAGGCCACCGTGTCAAGTGAGTTGGATCCCATATCGTAGTTGGTATCATAAGAGAGGCTGTAAGATGTAGCAATGGTGCACGTAGCGAGGGCAGCGATGGTGGAAGTGATCAGGAGCTTCATCATGGGTACAAAAGCAAAGTTTTCAATGGAAGATTAACTTGCCGAACGGTGAGGATTCTTGAGGTTGGGAAGCAGTGGATTGAATGACTTACATACTGTATGAGAGCCCTTTTATGCACCAAGGGTGACTTGAAATTAAGCCGCACCACCAGAGTCGGGTTGAAATGTCATCACTTCAGTGAGAATTCAAAAATCCCTTCTCTCGTATGGTGTCCATATGTAGTGAAACGCAGGACAAGCCAAGCGCGGCAATTCTTCACCGTTGCGTTGTATATAGATACAAGAACTGCTTCTTGAGAAAAAAGGAAAAGAACATGGGCATGGGATCACCCCAACAAGGCAAATTCCCCGCACCTGCGCTGCGTCCGATCCATTCCTCCGAGGTAGTAGACGGAGCACCATGAGTAGGTGAGCCATGGGCACTCCTATTTCGAACCTTGGCCGCCATGCAGCGAAGGACATAGAGTCGAGAATCAGTGTATGACTAATTGATGGGACGCGTAAGTAAGTCAGGAGAACCATTTTGCAGCCTCGTGGCAGATGGTTCTCGACACCAGTATATCACAATAAAGGACAGGGCAAGCAGTCTTCCGCTGAGGCGAACCATGTCAAATTCGTTCAATGCAAGTATGGATTATTGTGATCCCATGCGAATGGATCATTAGCGGCGAGAGTCTAGCCGGGTACCATTTTATTTCGCCATCTCGGACATCGCAGCCCATCTGTGCAAGCAAGAACATACCTCCGACGAGTCACTGTTATGTCCTCAACCAAGTAGATAAATTTGTTCCAATGACCCAATAACAGGAGAAGGTAAATGGTCATGAAACCATTGCTCAGTGCTCACTGTCGCTGGCATGATCTAATAGGTTGGGCTGGACCGAGCGTTAGAGCAAGGTAGAGGATTTAGGGCGGCGCCTAAATGGAACGGTTTTAGAACTTACATACAATTATGCAAATAAATATAAATTCAAGAACGTTGATGTAAATAATCCAATAAGTTCTTTTGCAGCATATGCATAATTCGCTAGTAGCCTTCACATTCCTGCATTTCTACACCTTCCTGCAATTCCTGCACGCAACTGTTGAGTATTTTTATGGCCTTGTGTTTCCTGCATTGCCTATGCCCAGCTGCAGTCTACTACACACCATTGCAGAGTTCGAAATACTTCAAAACTTCGGTGTGATCATGAATACCTTCTCAATACGACGCTAGCGCATCTTACTTAGTTCCTCCCGCCATGATCAACACTATCTATTCGAACGAGACCACGAACGCGACAGAAAGTCTGGTATTTAGCAGTCTTTGGGTGCGGTCAGGTCAGTGCAGATTCTGCTGTATATCTTAGCACCAAAGGTCTGTCTGCCCCCGCCATGTTGCATCAACCCCTGATCTCCTTGTCGCCTACCGCGTATCTTGCCATGCCCGCCACCTTCTCACAGGACGCAGGTTATCATATATGCACTTTTCCGTCATGTGCGGCATTTCTTGGCACCTGCTACACTTCTCGTTGCAGGAGACCTTGCGTGTTTTCACATCATTGTAGTACAAACTCGAGCGACGCCTGGCCCTAGTGTATTCATTTTTGATTCGCGGGAGATATCACAGTGATGAAGAGCGCCTTCATGGCCATCAGTATATTGTGGGAATGATGCTTGATGAGCAATTGGCTCAGGAAATGCACAGTAAGTGATGTCTGTGCCTGGTTTGCGTCTCTCGTCGTTTCAGATGAGACTCATCTCCCAAAATCTGACGAGGACAAGTTTGCATCTTGTGCCAACTAGGTATTTACCTGCGTTCTGTGTTACCCTTGTCTGCTGCTCTAAATCTTATTGTAGACATCGCCACGCAAGTCACTCCCCGCATGAGCTGCGCGATGCGATAAGCACTCTGAGCGAATTTTTGTCTTCCAGACTCACGATAGAGTGCATCCGGGAAGCCAAGTGCTGGACATTCTTGTTGATGTCACTAGACTATCCCGAGCAGTTCCTCGTTGACTTTCCTGAATTCGCAACACTCCTCATGGCAAACGGGTCCAAACCATGTTGCGATGATCCTGGCAAGAGTGCCATTCGAAGATCTCTCCCTCGCCTGCCATATGGTCAGTATGTCAATGTTTCTATGGGTTTCAAACAATACGGCGTCTAGTGCTGGCTGCCCTCTATTAACACGATGTACATGGTCTCCTCTGGCACTGTCAGGGACGTGTCACACATACCGATACCACTGGAGCAGGCGAAGGGGAATGTACTGGGTCGGACACGGAGAAGTGGCGGATGGCGAGCGCTGCAGCGAGGTCAGGAGGGTTTGTTTGTTTTCATCGTGTCTCGTTCTGCGTCAACGCATAACCATTTGTAGCGATACCTATCATTCAATTGCGAATATAAAAACTTACTGGAATAAGATCAAACGCGTAAATATCACTATCAACGATTATCGATGCACATCGACCTATGTATATTTTGCCTGCTCTCACTGGGCGTTAGCTCGGGGTGGGGTGCAAGCAGGTAGAGCCGCTCGGGAGGGTGGGATACCTGCTAACGAAGCCGGTCACGTCGAACGACTTTCGGGTAACTTCGAAACAAAAATGTGTTGACACAGCATACCATAAGAACGCTTGATTAAAAGGGAGTGGTGGGTAGGTATAAAGAAAAGGCTGTAGGTACGAGTGAGGAAGTGCGAGGTACGACGAGCTCTATGTCGTGGCAGGGAGAAAAACGAATGTAGGAAGCGAAGTTCCAGCGCGTTCGCTCAGCTGGACGTATGCTACATCACCTGGCACTTGTACATGACCTCAGCTCACAACTGCATAGTATAATCACGGCAACTAGATGTTGAATCCGAGTCCTCGCATGCATTCAACATGCTTCTGGAGTAGCTCAGCACATTTGCCTTCTTCGCTGCCATTCTGGAGAAAACAAGCATCGCGAGCAGATTTCGTTTCTGGGCAGGCGCAACATCTGTTCACGCGTTAGTCCAAGTCAGTCGGTATGGCGAATAGAAATGTCTGCACTCACGGTTTGAGACCTTGCGGGTTGAGAGGATTCATCTTAGGGTTTGTGGGATCATATTTTTCTTTGGCAGGTGCCGGTGCCGTTGTTGGTGACCACCAAGAAGAAATCTGCACAAAATGGATACAAAGAGGTTAAACAGTAAAGAAAGGAGGAAAAGAAGCTCACACTTTGGAACATACTTATAAGTCAGTACCTGAGCCTACGCGTTTAACTGGAGAAATTTACGATTAGCTAATGTAAATGACCGGCAAACCTCGGGTTAAAATGCAGGCACATACATGGACCAGGAACCTGTTTCGCCAAGTCCGGACTCTGTCACATCTGAATCGTTATGCCCTGAGCTGGCAGTGATAAAACTCTTGTCCAATGGCAGCTTTACTTGACAGCTACTACGTGGAACCAGATTAAGGATGCTACTATCAGTGGTACAGAATCATGGACTGTACCATCTCTCCTACGTCCTCCTCGTCCTATCAACCCTTTCAGCTAGCGTCGTCGGGCAAACATGTATGAACTATGGTGAAACTTCCCCATCTAACACTTCGAGCTGTCTTTGTCCTCCGGGCTTTGGAGGTGCTACTTGTGCACAACCAGGATGCGGTGGCACCATATTTGATGGATCGAATCGCTCTTTAGCTCAACCATCTACGTCCTCGTCTGGCTTCGCGAACTTGACCGCGTCCGATTGCACCTGCGAAAGCGGATGGGGAGGAGTGGGCTGTAATGTTTGCACTACCTCTTCAGCATGCCAGGTCGCGTATGCTGCGGTCAATGGCAATGCAAGTGCAACCTCGGGGCTTGATGGTCCAACTGGTTTGAATGACACTATGGTTTGCAATACTGCCCCTACTGTGTGGGCAGCTAGTGAACTTAGCTGTCAAGTTAATGTTAGTGCAACATTGTTCAATTCGAGCGTCTAGCGTCTCCAAGTTGACTTCTCTTTCAATCTAGAATCCCACATTGGAGGCACTGTATCCTCTCCAATCTACTCTGAACATTCTCCGTACTTTGAACAGCTCGCTATCACCCTTGCACAACACCAGCGGGACGTTATTGTCGCCCTCCACTAGCTCCTCTATCTACGCTCAGCTTATGTATGCTGGCGTCGAGCAATTCTTTTGCACTGCTTCGCCTTGTACCCAAACATTATCCAACACCACCACCAGTTCGGGAAATACTACCTCGAGCACCTGGACGTGTCAAAATCTTTCATGTACCTGTATCCAAAATGCCACATTCTGCGGTGGTGTGCCGGTCTCAAACCTCACAAGCACCATTGATGGACTCACCGGGACATTGATAGTTGCGTGCGATGGCACTAATACCTGCCATTTTCAACAGGATACCATCAATTCAGTATTCGGAAGTCAGGGTTTATCCATGGAAGGCTGCGTCTTTGGTGAATGTGTCACTCAGGCCGTCATCGACACGACAAACGCCACTTCTTCTGGTGCAGCTGCATCGGGTGAAACTGAACTAAGCGGGGGAGTTATTGCAGGACTCGCTGTTGTCGGGGTAATAATTGTGTTTGGGCTAGTGGTTGTAGCGTGGGGTTGGTATGTCCAACGAGCGGCGAAAAAGTTACCTTTCAATGGAGGCCAAAGCGGCGGAATAGGTGTTCGGTGGTCCGATATTTCATATATCGTGCAATCGTCAAAAAATTCACCGTCCTCCCTGTTTTCCAAATCTACCATCCGGGGGGGAAAGATCATCCTCGATAGCGTTAGCGGCAGTATCGAATCAGGTCAACTCATGGCAATCCTTGGTCCTAGCGGAGCAGGCAAGACTACTCTTGTCGAACTCATCGCTGGTAAGACAAAATCAGGCCAATATACAGGATCTATCGCGTTTCCTCCCTGTGCCCCTGGACACCATCCAAGGGTAGCTTTCGTCCCGCAGAGTGACGTCCTTCCTTCGATGTTGACTGTCCGCGAAGCCCTTACATTCGCCGCATCCCTTCGCCTCCCCGAAGCTCTTCCTGCATCCTCAAAGGCAGCGCTGGTCTCCGCCGTCATTTCCAAACTAGGTTTGGATGGCATCGCCGAAACTAGAATTGGCGCAACTGACGGGACTGGTAGAGGTATCAGTGGCGGAGAAGCTCGACGCGTTAGCATCGGACTCGAACTTGTTGGTTGCCCGGATGTGCTCGTTTGTGACGAGCCCACCAGTGGACTAGACTCAGTCAGCGCCTTCCGGGTTGTCAATGTGCTGAAGGAACTCGCACGTGAAGGTGGAATTGCTATAAGTCATCAAGGCTCACATGGACATCGAAAAGGCGTGGCGGTAATCTGCAGCGTACATCAGCCAAGTTCGCGACTTTACCACACCTTTGACTCTGTTCACCTCCTTTCCAAGGGGCGCGCGCTGTACTCGGGGCCGGGCGGATTAGCACCGGCACAATATTTCATGCGCATGCGAGAAGGGGGAAGGGCTGGGGCTGATGTCTTGCCTTATGAAGAGGGTTACAACGTTGCAGATTACCTACTTGACATTGCGAGCGAGTCTCCTGATATCCCCGGCATGCCACTGAGCCACAATGCGGTTGGAGAAATAGGGTTAAGTGCCAGCAGCGAGGAGAAGGCCGACGGAGGGAAGGATGTCGAAGCTCTCCTCTCTACGCAAAATCTGGCACCGGGCACGTATGTGGCAACTTTCCTGACGCAGTTACAAGTACTTTGCGGACGCGAATGGAAAGTTTTGAGAAGGTGCACGCACTTTTAATCATTCATCTTGATGACCTCTAACCTAGTCGACTTCGGCAGAGATAAGACCCTATTTTTCACGCACGTGTGTGTCGCCTGCGTGCTCGGTGTATTTTGCGGTATGTACAAATGATTATGCTAGTAACTATGCTAAATATAGTGGTAGGTGGTCTGTACTACAAGACTGGTTTGACTATCGCCGGATTCCAGGCCAGAGTCGGATGCCTTTTCTTCATGGTAAGAAGTTATGGTTTTATTGTGCAGACTCGATATAAAACCGCTTTCAGGGGTCTCTCATTGCATTCTCATCCCTCAGCGCGCTCTATAATATCGTCGAGATACGACCCCTCTTCCTTCGTGAGAGGTCAAACTGGTATTACAGGTTTGTCAATTTCTTTTCATAGAGATTCTTTCCTCAGATTCCTTTAGCCCAACAGCCTGGCTTCTTTCACGTCTGATATTCGACGTGATACCCCTTCGCATTATACCCACTATCACTGTATGCACCATGTAAGTTACTTCACTTCCATCATCCATACTTGTGGTCTGATCTAGGATTTCAGTACATACTGGATGGCTGGGCTTGCACATGATGCAGTTCATTTCTTCAAGTTTCTACTCGTCATCGTTCTGTACACGCTAGTCATGACACTCTTTGTATGTCTTTTTTGCTATCGCGCCCTACCTCCTCCGATTACTGGTTGGGCACACAGAACTTCCTTCTAGGAACGACATTCCGCAATGGCGGGATTGCGATCTTGCTTTCCGCTCTTTCCGCACTCTACCAAATGACCTATGCCGGTTTCTTTGTCCACCTCGCTTCAATACCGCCTGTCTTGCGGTGGCTGCGATGGCTTTGCCCGCTCAATGTGCGTGTACTTGACATCTCACGTTTCACGAATGTTCATTTGATCCGCCAGTATACCCTTGAAGCTATTTCAGTAAACGAAGTAAGTTCAGGACTGATGATCAAGGATACCTTGCAAGGCGTACCCGTCAATGTATCAGCGACCCTCATCATGCAGCTAGTGAGTATCATTTGATTCATTTCTGTATCTTTCCTTTCGCATCACTGACTGATCACTGCACACAAGCTGTTTGGTTTTGGATTAAACAATTATTATAGAGATATTCTTGTGCTCTTCGCCTTTATAGCTGGGCTTGGTGTTGCTGTTATCGCTATGGTCTGGTTGAAGGTGCGCGAGAGGCGGTGATGATCGCCTTGTGAACAAGTTGCTTGCGCAGTATTTGTTATATGTTAGGACCGTTGACTTGGTTTTTCTACTCAGTTCATCGTTAATACAATAAGTTTTTTCTCGACATTATCCGGCTTCATGAGAGCTTTCAGGGCCCATTGATGTTTTAGGGCGAACGATGACTGGGTTAAAGTTGCAACTGGAGGATATCCGATACACTGCTGGTAAGGATTCATTTAACGGCTTGTCCAACCTTCAGCAAGAAGATCATATATTTTGTGCGAGCTATCCCTTTACCCAAACAATTTTTCCATACGGCGTCCAGGCTTGCCCCGCCTTCATACCTGAGTTAACGAGGAACGCAACCTCATAGATACCCTGGCCCCTCTCTTTCAACGTCCAGCGTTCGTCCGCCGTCTCCGGCACGCCGATGATGAGTCTGGGTTTTCCTCCAGCAACATCTGTTCTAGGTGTATCAAGCACCCAAGTTGCTCTTCGCGATGTGTTAGACACAGGTGATCTACCGACGATCGACGTCATAGTCGCTTTCATGTCCGACAGATCGTTATCCTCCACCAAAATTCGGACGTATGCGACCCCAAGTACTCCAGATGGATGTTCTGCATTCGAAGGGGGATCGAGTGGGACCTTGAAAAACCCCGATCTGAGACAACCCCGGATAAGTATTAAACAAGGCACATACCCTCCATTCCCTTGGTGTGACATCTCCGCAGAAGAATGGAGTAAGTCCTCGATCAGCATCCTGGGATGGTGCAGAGATCCGCCACTTTAACACCTTGCCGTCGCTGCGCTCTCTTCCTCCATCAACTTCTGGATCATACCGAATCCTACTCTTATCCTTCTTGGCTCGGGAGTTTATAAGCTCTGATATTGAGGTGCTGGAAGACCCGAGGAATGCGTAGTCGATCCAACCAGGTTCCTTCCATGCCCAAGGATTGGCATCCCGTTTCTGGCGCTCAGGCGATCCTAGTGGGTAATGCGACGCTGGGTGAGTGAAGGAAATGAGCTCAAGGTATGCGCCGTCTTGCAGTATCTGCACCCAAAATGTTAGTAAATAGAATTTTGCTATATACTTCAAAGTTAGGTGGTCATACCACGAGCGCATTTTCTGTCAGTCCCCCGGCATGTGTACCGCCTGGGAGGACACTACACGCCGCATTCGCCCTGAGATGTTTTCAAAACTTGAAAGGTGACGCACTGGAAACCAAGGTCTCGGAATTGCCGCGATACCTCATTCACCGAGCCAGGAGGTGTGAGATGTACGATGTGATCAAGAATCTTGGTTGAGGGTGATGTATATGACATGGTTATGTTCACAAGAACAGGTAGAATAAGTATAGAACAATAAGCGACGATAATTGTGTTCGTAACTACTAGTATTACTAGATATTGATATCGCCAGCAATAGAATTGTTTTCTACACTATTGTGACGACAGTCCAAGAAGTCCTTGCTAAGTCCGAATCGTAAACGTCAATTTCAGAAACATCCTGGTCCAAAGCAGCGTCCAAGAAGCTACAATGTTCGAGTGTGATTTCAATCAATGGTATCAGGCAGGAAGCTCATGCAAGGTCCGCAAAGCCAACGCTGAAGTTTCCGACATTAAAGGCGGTGTACACGTTTCTCAAGAAGACGTCACCAAGAATCCATAGATCTGAAAACATGTCAGCGAGGTGAGCTCTCAACAATCCAAGACCGACCTCCAAGACCGTCACTGCCTGCGATACCACCAAGGCAGGTGTTTCCTGATGAACCATACTTGCCAAAATTGAAGGTCTCCGCGGAAAGTGCAAATGACTTCCCGCCAAGGGTGATGGTCACATTTGGCATTGCGTCACACGGTACTTGAAACAACGTTCAGACAAACACAACGATGAAGCTTTCAAGATGCTCACGCGAGTATACACCTCCACCTACTTCTGTCGCATTGATAACTGCGTAGAGCTGGCTGACGTAGGACGTATCGCCCAAAATCAACGTAGTCCCAGTGTCAACAATTGCGGAGAATCCATTGACGATTTCTTTCCCATCGATCCCGATGGCATCACCAGCGACCTGCCAGTATCCCTGACAAATACACGAAAGATGTCTAAGCAGCGTATTTCACAACTTGCAGCTGGTGGCTAGTACTCACCTGTTGGGTTATTGGAAGATACGTGAACGGAGCGTAATATAGCGCAGAGTTCACGCCACCAATGTAAAGCTCAGAACCAGAGGATGCAAGTTTGAAAGCAAACACTGGTTCTGGAACAGCTCCTTGTGAAACCAGCGTCTGGAAAACGGAGTTTGCGCCATACTCAGAAACGGACTCGAAAGCCATTCCCATGAGCCCGTCCGCACCAAAGTTCTCAGACGAGAGCTCGTATGAATATAACGAGGCAACTCCAAGCGTTTGTGCACTGGCCTGCAATATACTTCAAGAATTTAAATGAAGGACAGCAAGAACACTACGTACCTTGAAGCCAGCAAGTAACACGGTGTCCGTGTATAGATCGCCTGTAGCCATAGAACCATCACTGTACTCCACTGTGAATGTCCTGCCAAGGGGTTCAGCGGACGAACTACTGTTGGGATTGTAAATTTCATGTCCGCTGCACGCTTCCCCGCAGCTTGGTCCAGGTAGAAAGAAGTCCGTCGAACCAGTGTCACAGTCAACTGGGGTGTTCGCATCAGTGCGTCATGCATAGTACGATCAAGTCGGAAATGCAAACTGGTAAATGTATACGGCGGAGTGCCGACTTCAATTTTTCCGTACCAACGCTCGTTTGAGTCGTCAACTAGCGGGTCAGACCCTAACACTTCCGCACGCTTGGCTGGCGATGGGGAGAAGAGGGCTACGCCAGTGTTTCTTTCGAATGCAGCAGCGCCCCGCAGTAACTTACTAGATATCTGATAAGTGGGGGACACTGAACAATCACAGTCACATACGTCTCTGTGCTGGAGATATGAGCCCTGATTGAAGCAGGGTCAACATATCCGTCATCGGTCCTGAGAGAAGATCTCTTTGTTAATGGTATTGAAAGAGGTTGTGGCTGCGGCAGAGTAATCGCCAACGCCTGCAAGGCAGCCGTTAGTGACACAGATAAAGCACGCATTACAGTGAAAGAACAGGAAATATCCAGTGGAGGTCTTCACCTCACAAACGGTCCATTATAATGAGTGTGGAACGTGCACACTGCAAATACACCAAATGGGCGCTGTAACCACGAGGACGGTCTACCGCCGTGACTGAGCCACGCAACTACCGACCTGCAACCACCGAAGTTGTCGTTGTCCTGCCTTTCTTGCGAATGGGACGCAATGAACCAGCCCGTGACCGAACCTAATAGCCGAAAGTACGATTCTAGTCCATCATGATATATGTCATGGCGAACGTCACGGTTGAACCAAAACTAAGCGAAGTCTACCAGTAGTCTTCTTTTCATGTTCGCTTATTGGCGGACGTTTTCCGGCCAGTGTTCGGCTGCTTTCTGAGAGTGCACTCTCTGGTGGAGTCACTCCTCGCCGACTCCGGACGCCTTTGCCTCAGTACTCGTGCAAAGGTCCACATTACTCCCCAGGAAAGAACCCCAACTGAAGGAGCTGCATGCATCAGGAAAGCTTTAACAACCAATAGACAGTGGACGCCGAATATCCGCGGACCGCATGAAAGTAAACCCCAGCGTATGTGGAGCCTCGGATGTCCTACTATGTTTATCGTACGCACTCACAATACCTAAGTCAAAGCCGGCGTCGGTGCTCTGATATTCGTTTTGGAAGCCCGCGAGACTGCGGGGGAATTGCACATATGCACATAGTACTACTCGTGAGTCGTGACTCGGACAACAACTTGGGGTGGGACAATCCGGTAATGCTATAGTCCCGACGTGAAGAACTGGTTTTACTGTGAAAGCTCTTGCCACCCTTCGATGGTAACCATCGAGTTTCAGTATGCCCAATGACGTCCTAGTAAGCGTTTGCTGCATACCCGATGTTTCAAACACTCGTGAGATGGTCACCGGTTGCCATCCCAGGCGGTGCACATGTTGGGGGACAAACAGAAAATGTGCTCATGATGTGATCGAGCGCCGCAGCCTAACCAGGCAAATTTAAATACACGTGGTATCAAAACTCACGCGGCTGCAATGCGCACCCAACGTTTGCAAGCCAGGCTAAATCCTGGTACTAAGTGTTGACTCTTTGAAAGTGGTTCAAAAGTGAAGAGGTGATACACTGGTGCTTGATTCATTATCGCAGGAGGGGCGGGGTGCACGATATATATGACCGAGGGTCTCGCGTCAAGGCGTCACATTGATTGCATTCAAGATCAGGCGGAATGACTGAATCGATGGTGACGGGAGTCCTATATTCGTGAGTTGTGACACAGAGAAGTCCTCTCCAAATCCGAATCGTAAATTTATCAGCTTCGTAAACACCATAGTCCAAAGCAATGTCCTGCTCGAGTACGATTTCCGTACGGTCAGGCAACTGTTACCAAAGCTCATGCAAGGTCCGCAAAGCCAACTCTGATGTGTCCGACATCAAAGATGGTGTGAACGTTTCTCATGAAGACGGCGTCGCCAAGAATCCACTTGAAATTGACCTGAAAGTAAGTCAGCGAGGACAGCTCTAGACCAGCTAAGACCGACCTCCAAGACTATCCTCCAAGACTATCAAATATTGGCGTGGATAGCACCAATAGAAGGTGTTGTCTGATGAATCAGTAGGGTCCGGACTGAAGCTCTCTGTGGGAAGCGAAATCGACTTCCCCCCAAGAGTAATGGGCATGGCATGACACGGTGCTTGAAACAACGTTCAGACAAACGTGTCAATGAAAACTGTTGAGCTGCTTACGCATATATACACCATGTTCTACTTCTGTGGCCGTTCGTAGTTGCGTAGAATTGTTTAACTTCGGAAGGAGTGCCCAAGATCAATGAGTACCGGATGCGACAAGTGGCGGAGAGTTTATTGACAACGGTTTTCGAATTGACCCCAATGCCATCACCATTTATCGGCCAATACACAGCACCGCTGGCACTTACAACTGATGGTTCACCTTTTTGGTTACGAGTATACATGAACGAGCGTTTATGTACGCAGAATCCACGCCACTGACACGAAGCTCAGAACCAGACGATGCAAGTTTGAAAGCAAACACTGATTCTGGGACAGCTCCTTGTCGGCGGTCCCCAGGATGGAGTTTTTTCGTTGATGGAATCGAAAGATCTCGGAGGCGTAGCTGCGGTAGAGCAACCGCCCATGCATGTAAGTCAGCGATCGAAGACAGAAATAAAGAATGTATTTGCTGTGAGTGAAAGACAATTCCCAGACCTACCAAGTCCCCGTTGCCTATCCTATGGCGAAATTTTTAACATTTGGTGCAAGATCTAGCTAGCTGTGCAGTGGCGGTGCTTTTGATCGATCACGGATTGATGCTGTGACGCAGTGTGCTCTTATAAGTCCGAAGCTCCACTCTTCTCACCGCCGGGCGCGCATACGGCGTAGATGAGTCGTCGCCGGAGCGGTTCTTGGTGGCCGATTATGAACACGGCCCCCTTGAAGTCCTGGCATTTCGTTATGTATGATTAATGTCTGAAAGCCGGACCGCGGATGCAAAGAAAGTCCACAACTTACCATATGGTGCTACGCTGCATGGAGCAGTCTGTGAAAGGTCGGAAAGTCGGAAAACTTTTTAAACCCGATTGTCCTGCAACAGGAGAGACGAACTTCAGAAAGCATGATACAGCTGTCGGTATGGATTTACGTTCACCGCAATTTAGCGTGATGGGGAATGGCGAATCGGAGGAGATTTACACATGTAGTAGAAAGACAGGCCGGCGGGTCCGCGGTGATAACGTTCAACGCGAAATACGGTCATTTCGACCCAATTACAATAGGTGGTTGTAACAGTGCCCAAAGTCACCAGCCAGCCTTCAGCCTGTGCCCCGTGATAGAACTATGGTAAACTTCACGATCAGAACAGGACGGTCCGACGCAATTAAAACTCAAACACAGCTGATCGCCAGACACCGCCACAGCACAGTATGAGGCCCCCTGAAGCTCTTTATTATAAGGTCTGTCCGTCCAGAACCCCAAATTCGGCCCTCAAAAATGTAACTTGTGGAGCGTTAAGTCAGGCACTTGGAAGTCATCTGGTGGACAACCCAAAAAGTGTTTTGGATATTCGCCCTTGACTGATTATGTAGCACATAATCAGCGGTGGGCATTACCTGGACCATGCACTCACAGTTGGGATTGTCTCTCAACTTCCGCTGCGCAAACAATGCGTGATTGTTTGTCATCACGCACGCGAGACGCGATTCGGAAAAGCAAACCGAGATCAACTTGAAATAGCACATGAATCCAGGAAACACCGAAAGGACTTTTCTCTGGTCATTCATAGTTGCCCAATGCAGCGCGCTGTGACTTCAATATTGGGTGTCTGAAGGAGCTTGGAAGAGTCTGCCGTTGGGAGGTCGGTGACGCAGGAGTTCACAGTAGGTGTGATAGAGGAACTAGCCTAGGGAGGAATTAACGTGAGGAGACAAGATCGGCGAGATAGAACGATACCATTTACAAATCTGCTAGTTCTGCTTGGGTATGTCGAAAGGATGACAGCCATCTGCTTTGGACAGTAATATTGCAGATGCGTCGTACGACGGAACATCGTGCGGTAGTACAGGCCTTGCTATTATCAAAGTGCTCAAAACCAGTAAGTAGCCATTGAAAGTGAAAGATGAGAGACAAGCTAAATAGCTCGGCTTTTCCCGGGTTGATTTAAGTCGCTTTGAGTTTGCGGCTGGCGGGATCCAAAGTTTGGCTGGTCTGCGACGCGGTGCTGACTTGCTTGGCTGGTGGTGGCTTCCACATCTCCGAATCCCAGTCTTCTAAATTGATTCCAATCATACCTCCCCGTAGACGCATCCGCGTTCTTGCACAATGCAAAGTGGAGAAGAAATTGTTTTCGTCAAACTACGTTCGCGAGTTCGAAGGAGTGTAGCATATGAACACTTAAGTCCCCTCCCCTTTCGGATCCTCGCGCGCCTGTTTATGAACTGGATACAGTGACCCTTCTCCTCTCCGAATCAGCTTTCACCACCGCGACACTGATTCGTGTACCTGGCCCTCGCCTACCCTTTCTCCTCATACACCTCCCTCCCCCATATCTTCTATGCTCGCTGTGTCCTCAGTCACGCATTGAAAATTTAAAATGCGCTAGGGGAAGTCGGCTCTACTTTCTAGAATTCCGCTCTAGTGATGTGCATGGTCTGCTTCATGGAGAACTCGATGTTCGATGGGAGCGTGATCTGGCGGCTTGGCCTGTGTACATATCACGGATTCCTCTATCTTGATCACATTTTGCAGACGTGCCGACTGAACGTGCAACGGTGTTTGCGTGTCAATTTCATTACAGCCCAAATTGGCTCTCACTGCCGGTAGTCCAGATGTCTCGATATATGTGGGGGACCAGCGTCAAGCAAATTCCATATCTTAGCATTCGCTGACGGATCTGATTATTCTGCACTCAGCTCGTGCCGTCCTATGTACATTGAGCATGGCATTATATTAATCTATCTAGATGAGCTCTCCATCGCTGGCTACATTCCAATCATTGTCACCGTTTACATCCGAGTCACATTGCGAATATCTATAACCAAATACTACTGGAAATCTGGATTGGAGGGCCTGCAGCATGAGAGGAATGTTGTTTGTCATTTACGCACAGGTACAAGCATTATATCATGTATTCCAGAGAGGACGGCGCAGCGAATTGTAAAATAGGACGACAGTAAGATAAAATCGGGTACAAAACATATGCAGAGCGATAAGTTGAGAGGCCGTGGTGCAAGGAACTCTAGGGTGATTTCCGCGCAGTCAGGCAGACTAAACTGAGGGTCATGCAAGCTCCGCAAAGCCAATTCTGCACTGTCCGACATCAAAGGCAGTGTACACGTTTCTCATGAAGACGTCTCCAAGAATCCATTGCAATTGACCTGAAGTTATGTCTCCAAGGTCGTAGCCTACGATCCCACCAAAGCACATTTTTCCTGATGAATCAGTAGGGCCCATATTGAGGGTCTCCGCGGAAAGCGGAAACGACTTCCCCCCAAGAGTGATGGTCACGTTTGGCATAGCGTTACACGGTACTTGGAAAAATGTTCAGAAAACCATAACAATGATGCCGTCGAGCTGCTTACACGCGTATAAACCTTTATCAACTTCTGTCGCATTAATAGCTGCATACAGCTGACTGACGTAAGTGAAATTGCCCAAGATCGCTGAAGTCCCGGTGTCGACAACGGCAGAGAATCCATTGACAACCCCTTTCCCATTGATCTCAATGGCATCCCCGGTAATCTGCCAGAACCCCTGATAAATACGTAAATGATGTCTGAGAAGCGCCCTAGCTTACAACTGATGGCTCACCTTTTTGGTTACTGGAGTATACGTGAACTCACCTTCGTATAATGCAGAGTTCATGCCACCAACGCGAAGCTCAGAACCAGAGGATGCAAGTTTAAAAGCAAACACTGGTTCCGGGACAGCTTTTTGTGCAACCAGCGTCTCGAAAACGGAGTCTGCGTTAAAAACGGAATTCGACCTGAGACCCATTCCCATTAGCCCGTCGGGTTTATCCTTCGGGAAACTGCCGGTTGTATTTGAGGCAACACCAAATGTTTGTGCAGTGGCCTATGACATACTTCACGAATTAAGACGAAGGATTGCGAGAAAACGACGCACCTTGAACCCAGCAAGCGAGACAGTGTCCTTATATTGATTGCCTGTAACCGTGGAATTATCGCCATACTTCAGTTTGAACGCCTTTCCAAGGGCCTCAGAGGAAGAACTACTATGAGGATTGTATATTTTGTGTCCGCTGCAACTGGCACCACAGCTTGGTCCAGGTAGAAAGAGGTCCGAGGAACCGGTGTCAACCTCAACTGGGCTCCCATTAGTGCATCCTACTGACTTCATATGGAGGAGTACAAACCGGAAAATGCCTGCGGCGGAGTGCCGACTTTGATTATTCCATACCAACTGTTGTTTGAATTGTTAATTAGGGGGTTAGACCCTAACATTCTCGCACGCTTAGTTGGCGATGGGGAGAACAGGGCTATGCCAGCGTTTCTTTCGAATGCAGCAGCGCCCCGCAGTAACTTACTAAATACCGGATAAGTGGGGGACAACACTGAATAATCACAGTCACGTACGCCTCTGTGCTGGAAATATGAGCCTTGATTGAAGCAGGGTCAACATATCCGTCAGCGATCTTGAAAGTAGTTTTTTTCATTAATGGTATTGAAAGAGGCTGTGGCTGTGGCAAACCAACGACCAACGCCTGTAAGACAGCGATTGAGGACAGCAATAAAGAACGCATTGCTGTGAGTGAGATAGAGTAAATCAGTGGGTAGAGGGAGAAGAAGGTCTCGAAAGTGTTTGATTTGTCAGTTTCTCCTAAAGTCTTCAAGCTCCTTTAACTTTTTCTCTCACATTACCATACACCTACTTGATGAATTTCGATGGCGCCTTGCCACATACCGCTGTTCCTGTTGGCGTTGGTTGTTTCACTTGGTCGTCCGCATACTATTGGCTAGTAGTTCGTATATATCTTGACGGCTTGACATTCTGTTATGTTAACTTCTCATAAAACACAGACTGTGCCTTATCACAGTTGATCACGGTCTCTTGAGGGCGAGGACTGTGACACGGAGAACTTTGAATAAGTAGCATGATACAGCCCGTTTGGGTCCAGGACAAGTAGTGGCAAGTGGTGCACACTGCGCAACACGCGAAACGCGCACTTTGGCGTGACTGTAAATGCAAGCCGAATGAGACTATATATCATGATTCATGATCATGAACACCGTGATACTGTAGCCAACCAATTGGCTGAAATTTTTGCTATATGATTTTGATACATGAATGTTGTGGTGAACACTGAAATATACAATTTGACGTTGACGGAGTTTTCCGGCCCGTTTCCGGTTACTAGATCGTCTCTCTTGCCGGTTTCTCCTCCCATGGATATATAGTGGTTCCGTCTAGCATCTCAGGTCTCACAGACATGTCCACACCCGGTACTCGAAATTTTTTGACGCACTTGCTAAATACTGATCTCGAGCGCTTGTCGCATTCCAGATCTTTCTGTTCAGTCGCTGTTCAATGTGAAGGGCAAGATCGGTACGTATGGCAGTGCCACACTTCATGATGGATCACTAACCACTTGTTCCACCAGCTCTCGTCACAGGCGGCGGTACTGGTATTGGCAAGACTATTGCCTCAGCACTCGTACAGAATGGTGCAAAGGTCTATATTGCTGCTAGGAAGGAATCCCAATTGAAGGATGTGCGTGCATTGGTTTCCCAAGCACAGTCAAAGTTCTAACAGAACATAGACAGTGGCTGAGCTTAATGCCAAAGGCCCTGGATCCGCAGACTACATCGTAGCAAACCTCAGCGTATGTAGACGTCCCGGTATATTATCAACTTATGATACTCACTCACAATACCAAGTCGAAGGCTGGCACAGACGCTTTGATATCCGCTCTGGAAGCCCGAGAGCCTGCGAAGAAATTACACATCCTTGTGAATAATTCAGGCGTCTCGTGGGGGTCGTCATTCGAAAACTTTCCAGAGGACAAGGGGTGGGACAACGTCATGGCTGTGAACATCAAGAGCTTGTTTTACTGTGAGTGAAGCCTTGTCTTTCGGTGATCATTATTGAGTTTCGGTATGCCAAGTGACATCTGGGTAAGCATTATTTCCATATCTAATATTTTTAAAGCTCACGAGCAGGTAGGCTATCAACCTGGCTTGAAAAAGATGCAAGTGCACTCGATCCCGGCCGCGTGATTAATATTTCATCAACTGCGAGTGTGACACCCCACGCGGAAAGCCTGGTTAGCGCAGATGGGAATGGGACATGGAGTTGTGCGTCATCGTGTTATGCGACGTGATGAGCCTGATGCTATTTTGTCCCCTTCAAGATAATGTTAGTAAGGCCGCAGGTAAGAAAATATCCGTCGGCAGGGTTGTGTAGGGCTACGCTGAACGTCTTCGTAGTGAATCACCTGACATCAATACTGGCTGTCAAGTTGGGACCACGGAAAATCACGTATGTAGAAACTCTAGTTCATACTGCCCACTCCTGATATCTCCGTCCGTAGTGTTAACGCGATCTGCCCTGGGTATGTACTCAACACATTGTCATTGGAGTGGCAGCTTATTCCCTCAACAGGATATTCCCTACAAAGATGACAGCCTTCGGATTCAAAAACGCAGGCGAGGAAAAGATCGCATCCCGACAACCCATGGGTCGTGTTGGCCGCCCTTCAGACCTCGCTGGTCTCGCACTGTTCCTTGCGTCTCCTGCCAGTGCGCATGTCACAGGTGCACATATCCTTCTGGACGGTGGTTCAACATTGTCGAGTCAAGGGATTGCACCGAGGGTTAAACTATGATTTGTCACTACACACAACGTTTAGTTCATATACATCTATCGCGCGTTCTGCGCTGGAATCTCTTATTGCTACAGCCACAGTACAAATCCAGTTGTCCATAAAACGAAACGGCCAGAACGGGGTATCATTCCAAAGTTGTACAGAGTCCTCGACGCAAAACAGAACAAGCTCAAGGTCCGGGTATTCCATTGCCTTTGATCGTTGTGTCACTGGACGATTTCCCGGTGGGTCCCGGCCAGCCTATTCCACGCCATTTTCCTAGAGCTGCCTGTTCCAAGACCGCACGGTACATCGCAGAGCTGAATCCTACACACTGTAGTCCGATACACGCAATACGAAGGGCACCGACAGCATACAACTGTGCAGTCTCGTAGATGTTCTGGGGCGAAAGGTTCTTTCGGCCTGCTAGAGTCTCCTTGATAAGGGTTTGTGTCGTCTAAGTCCAAGTCATGATGATAGAAATAGCGCAAAATGAACTTGTTTCACCTCAGTTGAAAGAGCCTCCCACTCTTCTGTGGTTAGATCGTCCATGCGAAAAGCCTTGTATACGCCAGCGTAGTACCACTTCCCGTCCTTGTTGTAGAAGCACTCTGACCAGAACGAGAGCGACATCAAGAAACCGAGATCAAACGGAAGACAACAAACCAGTAGGCCTATTCATGGTGCCGATCACATCCACCGCAGTCCATCGATGTGCTGTTGTTACTCGGGGATTGGTGCTACATTTGAAAACGGGAGTGAGCAGATATCCATGCTCTTCGCGCTCTGGACACCAGTACTGTTGTCAGCTGGCCGAGGACACGATAGTTTGACAGGCTAGGAAAAGACATTCATCACCCAAGAACTTCGTGCGTGAGCTCTATACTGTCTTACGAGCTTTTGAGAGTCTGTATCAGACGTGAATAGACTTCGCGCGATATATATAGGGTACTGACACCAGAAGTATTGCCCAAGAATTCATGCAAGGTGTATGACTGAGGAATGAGAATTGGGTTTAGAGCGTCATCTGGGATGTCAGCTGGGAGAGGAAGCGTCGCAAGAAGTGCTTGTCTTGCAAGAATCAATTTCTCAGGTCCATCACTGAGCGGAAGTGGTTCGACAATATTCTGAAGACCGAATTCCTTTGACTTGGCAGAAGAAAGCGCATATATCGACTTACCGGATGGTCGAAGTCGGCGGTATCAGAGCGGTGTTGGCCAGAACAATTTTCGAGACGTGCGCAATAGTTTGATTGGAAGGACGGACTGAACGAATTGGAATCACACTGGCTTTCTGGGCGGAAATCTAGCGGTGGCAACCTTGTGGAAGGTCCGTTCGGAGCGTCCTGGAAAATATATATCATCGATTATACTCCACACCAGTTAAAATGCTCCGTCGTACAAGAGGAAAATCCTGAGCGGTTGCATTACCGTCCTCCACGTATACTTCTCTCAGAGCTGGTTGTGGGATATCAAATGAGGTGGAAGTGTCTTGCACCGGAAGCTGCGTAGATGAATCATCATCCCTCGCCACGGATGTGGCAGGGGTAGAAGGGCGCCTCAGATTGTCTAGCTCACACTGGAGTCTATCAATCGTTGCTGACTTTTGCCGAACAGACACGTAAGCGTCTTCGAGGCGTTCGACAACGGTGTCTCTGGCAGCTATAACTTCCGCCACACGCATTCTTTCCATTTGTATTATGAGGGCCAATCCAGCAGCATCGGATGTATCCTAAAACTGAACGGATAAAGACAGGAGATTTGAATTGAGTCAGTGTTTGAAACAACGGGTCCTCAAGCACGATTTAAAGGTCACCATTCGTTGTGCAAGTTCGGTTGGGGTATTGGTGCACGTTCCTACATGATGGTTGTAAGAGAAAAAATGGTGTGTATCTGAAGCGCTCTGTATCCTCCGATCGCTGAATGACATTATGGTTGGTAACAAGCGGTATGTACTCTCGAATTGCTAATGAGGCTTCATATACATACCAAACAAGCGAGAACAAACATCAATGCATCGTGACATCCCGTGACCGAAACGATGTAATTCCACATCGATGCGCTAACAATACGTTAATTCAACTAAGCTCTTCATCATTGCCGCTCTGGCAAGATACTCGTGAATGTATGCAATGAGCAAGCAGTACGATATTCCTTATACATCATGGTGCATCAGGTGGAAGGGTACGGGGATGTCAACTGTATCTTCCAAACGAGTAACTACCGATCTAGGGATATGAACAGCGTGCTTGACAGTCCAATCCAATATTTTCTCGTAGTTCCTGCATTGGTGACGGGTGTTGAAGTTAGGGTATGGGATTTTGTGTCCCTGAACCCAGTTCCATGTTATCATCGTCACGTCAGCATTGCACATGATATTCTGCCTAATCATTTCAATGCAATGATCTGTGATGTATACGATGAGCAGGAGGTGCATCAATAAAAAGCATAAGTACCAAGATGCATGCGGACTACTTCAGGTATGTCCTGGAACGAAATTTCTGTGGGTCCGTAATACTCAGGCCACGAGGCTTTGCGAAGTAAATTCTACAAACGTGAGGCAAGAACGATTATGAGACTTTCGGTATAGTATAGCTTACCAGACAATGGAGTTGGTGAGGGACTTCCATGGATGCCATGAAACCCCCGCCAAATTCGGGTGGATATTTGACCTTGGAAGGTGAATCTACTTCACCGGCTTTAAGGATATCCTCGAGCGACATTCGAGTTGGTAGCACTAAGGTTTCATAGACGCGAACAATTACTAATTAGGATGACTGGGAAAATTTGAGCGACGCACCATCGCGAGCTACCCTGGACCAAGCGGCATCGATTTCTGGAGAAGGAGGGCCACGATAGATAGAAGGAAAGTCAAGGGTTCCATTGTATCTTACGACCGTGGAGTCAACAGCAACACTTGCTGGAGCTGTGATAGATCGTCAACACTATGAGTTAACTATCCGAGATGTCTGCTCACTCACAGTATATAGGAATATCGTCATGCAGGTGGGGCGAAGGCGTGCTCATCCATAGCGCGAAAAATAGCATCGATGTGCATATCAACACGCCGTGGCTCAACATAGGCCACACGCAAAGGATATGCGACTTGGGATGAGGTTCTGCACGGACCATTTCTGCATCATCAAATGATTTCTCCTCACTATCATTGTCAGCAGAATCGACGGGAAGGTACTGTGAGGAATGTTTGACCATGACCTTGGGGGAAATCCGTTCGCTGAACTCGGGTGTTGTATAGATAGTTAGGAACACGCGAGGGCAGATGCGATACATATTTCGAGAAATATATAGGAGTGAATTAATTTTGGATATGTCCCCAATCGGCTGCGTGTCAGGTGTGTCAGGTTATCGAACAGCAGTCCCGTCGGTGCGAGAGTCACATGCCCCTGGAAGGGATGGAGTGATGGGGATCGGAGGATTATTCCGGGGAAGGAGAAGTGTTTGATCGAAAGAAGTCCAAGGACTCTGGGTGGACATATGAAGATCAGCAGCACGACAGTGTTTACTTACCGTTAACTGAGCTCCAGCTGATTGGCAATTCAAATTGGACGGTGTTACTTTGAATTGATCAATATAATTTTCAAGAGTTGCTTACAGGGGCCATTTGCAGAACGCTAGAATACAACAGCGGTGTTTGAATTTAAATATCCGATCGAATACCGCACGGCGGAGTGAACTGCACTGAATTGAAGTTGGAGCACTTACGCTTCGCTTCACTTCGCGAAATCAGCATGGTGTTTCGGTATTACGAAGTCAACCAAACTCCCGCCGTGTCCCACGTTTTCAAAGTGAAGCCTCAAAGTCACTTCACTTCGACGGTAAAACTATAGCACGCTAGGGCCCTCTCACGCTCTCATGAAATGCGGGCCGTACTAGTACGAAGAAGAGCTTCCGAGAACAAACAATCTCCAGATCAATACTTGATAGCTCCACCAGTAAGGCCCCTCTATGTACTTAGGTCCTGGCTTCCAACTTGCCCACGAGTACGACTTGTGTTTCAAGTGCATCCCGAGTACTTGTCTTGAAACTCTACTAACTTCAAGTCTTTTGCTTTCGCCAGCCATGCATAAGGAATATTCTGCATCGTATTCTCCTGTCAACAATTGTAACGACATGAACCTTCTTGATAACAATACAGAAACAAAACCTCCTCCAAAATCCCGTCTCCTTCGCTGGTCGCCATGGCTAAGCCACGGTGTGCTGATATCCATAACGATGGTGTTCTTCGTGCTATGGGCGCGGGCGCCATCGATCGATGACATAGTTCTGTACTGTAGGTGGACAGATAACATCAACGTACAGGACATTGCTTATTCGTCATAGCTCCAGCAAACGAGGCGATTGAATCCATCGGCATCATAAGATTCAATGGAACTCTGGGCACCCCTTCTATATATCGTGGCAGCCCGTCTCCAGAAATCGACGCCGCTTGGAATAGGATATCTTTTGATGGTTGCACCCTATGCTTCACTTCCATCATAGACATTTACTGACTATATTTACCAGTGCGTCCAGTTCGTATGACGCTTGAGCAACTGCTCAGAACTGGGGAGAAACCTTCTCCGGTCATGGTTAGGTATCCGGACGAATATGGTGGAGGTTACATGGCAACGGTAGAGGTCATTCACCAACTCCATTGCGTAGTCAGTTGTAATACAGGGAGGCTGGCCGAACTTTACTCACTCACCCTGTAGGACATGCTTCGCAGAGTCAGCTGGGGCGACTATAATAATTCCTCAGGTCATAACTTCCACGAATCCCCCGAAAGCTTCCGCATTCATCTCGGTAGGTACACTGTTCCCTGCCTAGCACGCATCCTGCTTACTATTATGTTGTGCCTCAGACCATTGCATCGAAATGCTGAGGCAGATTATTATGTGTCGTGGGGACGTGACAATGCTCACTTATGACTGGGTGAAGGGAGTGAAAGATCCTTTTCCTAACTTCAACATTCCTCACCGATGCAGAAACTTTGAGAAGGTCTTGAATTGGGTTGATGAACATCGTGTTTTTGTCCCTAAATCCAAAGTGGTCCGCTTAGAGGATAACGTGGACCTGTCTTCCCCTCCTTGATTGCAGTCTCGATATATTCTCTCCCAATGATTGCTCTCGCGCAGATGACGATATGACGAATGTAGCCTACTTACGAATGTCCTTGAACATGTTGCAAAGCCGGATTATCTCTGCTAAATAAATTAATGATATCGTTTGCAAAACACATGATAGCGTATCTTCAAGTCGCATTTTGATACAGTTTTCACTAATAGACTGGCATAGGCTAGCCGAATGAATGTTCCGTACTAAGTCCAGGTAGCTACTACGGTGGTAATGTGCAGTAACAATTTCTGAAATGGACTCGTCGGAGCATCTCCTTTACTAGTATTTTGAATTAGGAATTGCCATACAAACTTATCACCGAGGCATGGTAGAGAAGGCAACGGCGTCATCCAAATATCATCTGTCCCCGGGTCTGTAGAAAGGGGGAGAACATAATATGACTCAGGGGAGTTTGGTCGCAATTCGGATTTGAATTGACCGTTTCTCGCAATGGGAGACTTAGAGCGGACGGTATAAGAGAATGTATCTGAATCATCTATGTACCTAGGTCCTGGCTTCAAACGCAGTCTTCGAATTGCCAATTTGTAAATGCGAATTACAAGGCCCCCTTTTATCAAGTACTTTCTCGCGTGAGAACCTGGTAACCCTATCATTGATGTCGTGGTTTGGTTGTCTTGCCTCTTTTGGATTGTGGGCGTTGAGTGATTTTTCAATGAGACTGACTGTTCACTAGTACTTGGAATTCGAACAATCCCTTACAAAAGTTCTGAGTGGATAAGGCCTCAGCCAATTCAGGTGACCCGAGTCATGAGTGGACCTACAAAAAGGTATAAAACCCTCTCGAAGATTTCAATGTAGTGCATTGACGAAATACTAGTCGTACTACCCTCTTAACTCAAACATGAAGCTTTCTCTTGTCTTCAGCGCGCTCGTATCCATTGTGGGTCTTGCTACGGCGTACCCCACGCAAGGAACCATTGCGAAACTTTCCTGTGAGTATTCATGCATTGATTTATTACCATACCGCGGTTGATAACTATAACCTGCTGCCAGATGTGGAGAAGCCCACCGACCTGGTGGAGAAACGCGAGGAACTTGACACCGATCTCTTCTTATACCAGGAATACATTGTTAAGAGAGACGAGGGGAAGCGCGAGGAACTTGACACTGATCTCTTCTTATACCAGGAATACATTGTCAAGAGAGACGAGGGGAAGCGCGAGGAACTTGACACCGATCTCTTCTTATACCAGGATTACATTGTTAAGAGAGACGAGGGGAAGCGCGAGGAACTTGACGCCGATGGCCTCAATCACATCTCTCACCGAACTTGATGCCAGGTTCTACGCAGGCGAGTTATAGCCATATATCTTATTTCATGTGGGAGTCATCCATCGTACTAGGTCTGGCATCGTTGCATCCTCACTCGCAAGTCATTCCCTGTACATCTACATATCTTGACTCCTTTTTCCGATTTCTTCATTTCTGACACATTGCCGCATGCCCGTGTACTAGTAGTACGATTCCGGTTGTCTCACTCTTTGACTCAATCACAAACCCAGTGTTCTTGCCACTAAGCTATCATCTGATGACAATGTTAGGGTTCTGGGAATTAAGGATCTGGGACGCTCTGGTTGACTGGCAAATCAGCACGACCCTCTACTAGTAAGAGGCTGCACAGGTGTAAATGACACCGAGTTCAGTTAAATTGAAAGAGCTGAGAAAGGTCCGAATCATAACAGGTGACCATGTGCATGAATTCCGGTGGGAGTTCGGTTGACTTCGTCGTACTGAAACAACGAGCATACATGCTGATTCTGCGAAGTGGAACGAGGCGCAAATACTGCAACTAACTTCGATTCACTTCAGTTTGCCCCGCCATACAACCCTACACGGTATCCGGTCAGATATTGAAATTCAAAAAATGTAGTTTTGCGTTTTGGCCTAGCGATCTACAAATGGCTGTGAGCAACTGTACGGTGGGCAACTCTTCAATGAATCAAGTGAAAATTATTAACAATGAGAGACTTCGTACTATCCAAGTTCAGGTTTAAGTTTTCGTAAATCATGCTGATCAAATTAAATTGGCAGTGTCGATACCGTCCGATTTGAATTACCAATCTAGTGGAGATCTCCAGCGCTCAGTTAACGGCAAATATACGCCGTCGTGCCGCTGATCAGTACTAGTGCATATGTCCGTCCAGATTCTCGTAGGGTCGCTGGACTTCTTTTGATCAAACACTTCAAGTTCTCCTTCCATTCTCTGATCCCCAGCCCACGCTTCCCCATTGAATGCTCCCTCCCTTCTAGCGCTCCCCTGGGGCCTGAGGCATGTGACCCTCGCACCCCAACACATCTGAGACACAGCCGATTGGGGGACATATTCAAAATTAATCCACTCCTAAATATTTCTCGAAATATGTATCGCATCTGCCCTCACGTGTTCCTAACTATCCCTACAAACCCCGAGTTCAGCAAACGGAGTTCCCCAAGGTCATGGTCAAACATTCCTCACAATACCTTCCTGTCGATTCTGCTGATAATGATAATGAGGAGAAATCATTTGATGATGCAGAAATGGTCCGTGCAGAACCTCGTCCGAAGTCGCATATCCTTCGCGTGTGGCCTATGTTGAGCCACGGCGCATTGATGTGCACATCGATGCTATTTTTCGCGCTATGGATGGGCACGCCTTCGCCCCACCTGCATGACGATATTCCTATATACTGTGAGTGAGCAGACATCCTCGGATAGTTAACTTGTTGACGATCTGTCACAGCTCCAGCAAGTGTTGCTGTTGACTCCACGGTCGTAAGATACAATGGAACCCTCGACTTTCCTTCTATCTATCGTGGCCCTCCTTCTCCAGAAATTGATGCCGCTTGGTCCAGGATAGCTCGCGATCGTACGTCGTTCGATTTTTTTCCCGTCATCTTAATTAATAAATTATTCACGTCCACGAAACCTCAGTTGTACCAACTCGAATGTCGCTCGAGGATATTATTAAAGCCGGCGAAGTAGATTCACCTTCCAAGGTCAAATATCCACCCGAATTTGGCGGGGGTTTCATGGTATCCATAGAAGCTTATCACCAGCTCCATTGTCTGGTAAGCTACACTATACCGAAAGTCTAGTTGTTCTTGCCTCACGTTTGTAGAATCTACTTCGCAAAGCCTCGTGGCCTGAGTATTATGTACCCACGGAAATTTTATTCCAGGACCCGCCTGAAGTAGTCCGCATGCATCTTGGTACTTATACCTTTTTATCGCTGCACATCCTGCTCATCATATACATTACAGATCATTGCATTGAAATGATTAGGCAGAATATCATGTGCAATGCTGACGTGACGATGATAACATGGAACTGGGTTCAGGGACACAAAATCCCATACCCTAACTTCAACACCCGTCACCAATGCAGGAACTACGAGAAAATATTGGATTGGGCTGTCAAGCATGCTGTTCATATCCCTAAATCGGCGGTCACTCGTTTGGAAGATACAGTTGACATCCCCCTACCCTTCCACCTGATGCAGCATGATGTATAAGGAATATTGTGCTGCTTACACACCACTCACATTCACGAGTATCTTGCAAGGACGACAAGGATCGAGAGTTTAGTCAAATTAATGTATTGTTGGTGTATCAATGACATTGGAACACATCGTTTCGGTCATGGGATGTGATGCATGTGATGCACTCGCTAAATGACCAATACTTTCAGCGTCTAGGTCTTTGTTGTTCGAGTCACGCCTCGATTCTGAGATGTCTGATAGCAAAGCCACAAAGGACGATAATGATTCAACAAGATTGACACGGCTATAATTTGCTTCTATGGAACACCGGTAGTTGCGAGTCACCAGAGCATAGCCGCAGGCTTCCTTGATGCCGCCAAGGTCGGAACGAAACTTCTTTCAAGATGCTCCTCTGCATGTGTTTTGTCCGACTGGCTTTACTGGTTGTCTTTACGCCCCTAAATAGATCTTAAAGTTATACATGTAGCTTGAACTTTGACTTACTACCACACTTTTAATCATGTTGCTGTTATCCTTGAATACATCGAGCGCGTTACCTGGACTAATATACGTGAAATTTTCATCAAAGCATGATGAGAGAAGGATTCTGTCTACACTACAGAACACCTACTAATGTGCGGTCCGATCAATCCCTCCGAACCCTCACCAATGCTCCTCTCAAATTTCGCAAACGGTTCTCTCGAACCTTGTTGCATGTTCCTCCCGGGCCTCGTGGACTCGTGGGACATACACTAGAGGCTACACAGGTGTTCTTCGGTCCACAGAAGATAAGAGCCACATGTCTCGAGAGGAATTTGAGAAATGGGTGGGAGGTTCTTGCAGGAGGGACGTCTCAAAGATAGGTTATTGCATACTACCCGGACCAGGAAACCCCACTGAAAGACCGTGGGAAGCTCTAGAAAGTGCCTGGCAAGGATGTACTAGTACAATGTGAAGTTCATATACGTTGACAATTTACATGTTCTAGATTGTTTATCCTCTGAGCCTGTGGTTCTACATATGATACTCTCCCTGAAGTCTTCCTGAACTCTGCCAGCTGTGACCATTCTGATGGAACTACCGAGTGCTTCCCCAAAACCCGTCTTCCTATTGCCAGTATCAGAGCTATTATTTGAGATCTGCTGACCGCAGACACCCATGCATATTACATAACACAAGTCATGATATCCTTTCGAAGGACTTCCATCATGGAGCCCCCGCAGTGCTTGCGTGCCGAATGAGCGCTGCCCACCGCATTCCTGTCCGCCTCCTCAAAGTTGGAATGCCTTGGTAAATCCTCGATGACTTTTGAACGACAGGCTAAATAACTAAGATAATAGATATGTGATATTTATGGGACGCTAAATGTTCCTATGCGCAGCTATGAAGCTCAGATTGATACAACCAATAGAAACGTCATGGGCCTCAAGAAACCTTCCCCTTCTCTTTCTTTCTGACCACCCACCCATCCCAGCCTATCCTCGTATTTCGATACATCCTTGCGTCGAATATCTTCCCCGCAAGAACAAAACCGACATTATCCACTCTGTCCATGACTTTGGCGACGATTAGCGCTGTAGCTATGGGCGCCCATTCTTCTGCGGCGCAGCTTAGCCCGCCATGTCCGAAAGCAAGTAGTTGTATATCGACTGGACGTTCATGCTGAGGATGGAAGCGCATCGCATCGAAGGTCTCTAGATGCGTGCCATATACACACGAGCGATGGACAGCTCCGATGTCAGCTATCTCTTGCGCGGGATAAAACAGACGCTTCCACAAAGGGTATCTGGTTTTGCGCGCAATGCGCTGAATGGGTGGGTGCAATCTCAGGACTTCATTAATGATGGCTTCTACGCTCGGTCGAGTGTTCTTGACTTTGAAAGAACGGAATTGCTTCTGGGTGGGATTTTCATTGAAATCTAGGAAAGCATTGTGCATGTGCTGATTGCCATTCGCGTAGGCCAATGTGACAGCAGCTAGACGCCACATGGACTCATATGCGGGAAGAATAGTTTCTAGGGCTTGAGAGGCGCGCTCCCCCCCGACCCATCTACAAACACGTTCCCTCATCGCGTAAAGTTCGTCAGGATAGAGGGGAATTCGCCGCGAGGTATTGTCCGAGTGGCGGTTGAGTGCGTTGGTCATGAAGGCGACATCGACAGGGGAAAGGGTCCCAGGATCCACACCATAAAACCCAGTAATTATAATGCAAAAAGTTACGCTTTGTATGAAAGCGGCGAAGTCGACCTCTCGGCCCGGAAGGAACATCTCTGTGCATTTCTCAGCACATTTCACAAATCTTTGCCACCCGGTACATTGATGGGGGCTGACGGAGGCAACCAATGCTCTCGCGTTTTGTATGAAGTTGTCGTGCCCAGAGGGGTCGAGTATTGCACTCGAGGATGTTAGAGCGAAGTGTTCATGAGGATAGACGCGAGAACGGATCTCGACTTTATGTTCGGTGTTTCTTGGTCTCAGGACCGCCTTGACAGCGTCAGCTGTGCGGTGGATCCGAGTGCGGGTGACATGGCATGCCCCGAAAACGACGATGGCCAACGACCAAAAGGCTGCTGCTACTACTACCATGGAAAGCGCCATTCTGAGTGAGTTTTGCACTTACCAGTCTGTTACACTGATTATATGTGAATAAGAGGATCGTCCATACAATACCCACGTGTTCAAACATCCGTCTGGTACGGCCACTGCCTGTAGTATTCGGGTTTGCCTCGCCCGTGCCGCAACACAGCATATCGATGCAGTGTGGATAACCTAGTGAAAAATACTTCCTCCTCTTTCTGATTGCAAAGCGAGGCCGATGATATGCTCCACAAACCGTCGATGAACTCCCTCTTTGCCCCAATCTAGTGCGTAGTTATAATGGCATATGATCCACTGAAAATTCTGTAGTATAGCAAGAATCAATCACATACTAACAACTACAGCAAAACGCTTTCATGTTCGTCAATGAAGCCTGAAGCCGAAGCCGGCTAGAAGCAGAGACCGTAATGTTTCCGTGGCGTTGTCAGAGCTGTCAATTTCCGGAGTTGTTGCTGCCACCACAACGATCTTGTCCACACCAATGAAGAAGAGACCTGGCCGAGCGTGCCCAGCTTGGAGAATAGCCCCCGAGAAAAAGCTGTAGGACGTCGTGCCATTATCCTTGTGACCTTCGTTGATTCGCTGTAAGTATGCCATCGGAAGGCAAGCAGAACGAATTCTGACTGCCTGCATAACTACGTGCTCACCGATGGCGTCGGACTTAACGTGTAACTAATGCGAGTGTACAGACGCTATGAGCATGGATGTGGCTGTTGCACATGTTAGGGTCGTGGCAAGTCGAGTGGCGCAGCAATGCCGTCGGAAAATCTTGAATAGTCAACGTGATCTTCGCTATGAGCTTTATGTAATAGGAGTCGGAGAGCTAAAAGAATATCAAGGACCCTTTGATTCAATCGAATACGTACGCATGTCTAATAAGAACAGTGCAATGCGTACTGCAGCAGATCAGCGAAGGGTCGATATGCGTGACAACAAAGTGGGAGAACCGCTTCAAAGCCGTATGTAAGTCGATTTGATCTCCAATGACCTCGGGCTTCTACCGTTGACCACGAGCGCTTCGCCTTTCCGAATTCAACAACTTTGCATACTTCACCCCCAACTCTCGGGTACTCTCATCCTGAGGGCGAGTGGCTGGGATACGGCGATATTCCACACCATCCTCGGCATCCGAAGGAATTCTCAGTCCGAAACTGGCAGGCTGTCTGTCTGCCACCCTCGTAGACACGTTCCGCAGGCACCAATCAAGGGCTTTTTCTGTGCGTTCCTTGAGTGCGTAGGCTTCCTCTGACTGATAGAACGCCACAGGGAGGCGATAGCTGAGCCACAGATAGAGCACGAGCGATTTGTGGAGTCCTTCAAGATTTACGAGGCCTTGAGACGGCGCACCAGCAGAAGACTTGCCGCCGGACATCATCCCTTCCACATTCTCCAATGCTTCTATATATGGGCCGACTTGGAGGGCGTGCAAAATAGGGACTCGGATCTTCTCGTTGTATATTTGACATAGGCGAGCTGTGAATTCCACCGCAAGGGGATCTCGCCAATTCATGGGTGAACCGCCAATGAGGAGTCTATCATACAGCTTCATATGTTTGGCATGGGTTTCGATGAACTGAGATCTTTCCTCAACTTTGGAGGGAACGAAAGCACGGCAAGGGGGTCGAACGTTGGAGACATATGGAGCCACCTCTAATAACGTTCGGTGCGAAGCATCGGCAGGAAGTGCTTGAAGAACACTCTCAGCCCAAGCCAAGGTAGGAGAGACGCCTGCAAACATGATAGGATCTGGCTGGCTCAGAATCGCAGAGCAAAGCATTGGGAGATCATGTGCGTGGAGAGTCGTGACGAAACCTCCAGGTTCACCATGCAGGCCGTAGCGTCCTGCACGCCCAGCAATTTGCTTAATTTGGGAAACTGATAGAGCGCGTTCGACAGTACCGTCGAACTTGTGCAAAGTTTCGAAGATGATGCGTTTGATTTTGCTAAGGCGAATGAGACGGGTGATACGATGAAGGGTGCAGGGTACTCACAGATTAAGTCCCATGCCGATGGCATCACTTCCGATCATCACATCATAGCCACTATGAGGATTATTGAAGAGCGCCGCCTGTTCGGCACGGATCTCAGGCGGAAGTCGCCCATATGCAACAGCACAACGCAAGCCTGTATTCTCTTCCACCTTGCGCTTCAGCGCAAATATGCCGCTCCTCGAGAAAGCGACAAGACAGTCACCCTTTTGAACTCTACTGAAATCTCCCTCCAGAGATTCATCTTGAACAGTAAGAGGCGTCAAACGCTCATAGCGGTTAATGAAAAGCTCGTCATCCGTGTCATTTAAGAGAGCTTGGACAATTGGGACCGCAACTTCTTCGCCACATAGATGGAGTTCTTCGGCAGGTAGACCCAGCACAGCAGAGGTCCATGCAGATCCACGGTCTGGGTCAGCAAGCATCTGGATCTCGTCCACGACTGCCACTTCCACCGGAAGACTAAGAGACGTCATCTCTACCGTGCAACTTACAAGACCAGCGTATTCGGAAACGATCCTAAACTCCTCTCCAGTGCGAAGGTTACACTCTCGTGCGTACTTCGCCTTCCCTTCTTTCCGCACAGTTGGTCTGGACCCTGACTCTTCGATTATATCCATGTTCGTGGATGTGTCTGGCTCAGAGTCGGCGTCAGGGTCCATCCCGAGGGGCACGATCTGACCCTTATTGAGCCGATCCCAAATTTCATGTGCGAGTAACCGCAGCGGGCCAGAGTAGACACCAGTCTTCGCCGCAGCGAGCGCACGTAGAGCCATGTGGGTCTTCCCACTGTTAGTAGGCCCAACGTGCATGATGACCTTGCGGCGCATTGAACGCGCTTTAGGATACATATCTGCAGGGTACGATATATCTGCAGTGGAGTATAGATATGATATTTGTTCCAGCGTATTCCGCGACACTGATTTCAGGAGAACCTCTTGTTGCTTGGGGTCGGACGCCCAGGAGTAGAAAAGCTGAGTGAGAATTTGGTCTAACCGGAGTCCTCGATTCAGTTCTTTGGTTGTAAGAATAAATCTCTCCACATGATATTTTTTCTGCTCGATTGGGTTGTGAAGGAGCCCGGAGCTGACCTCTCGGGCGAATATTGAGAGAATGGACTGGACGTCTGTGCGTGGTACCCCGAAGGACTCCAGGCGACGGTGAACGTGCGGAAGATTAGCCCATTTGTGGACCTGTTTCTCCATGATGAGGAGAGTGTCACTAGCATCCCGTACCGAGAAACCGTCCAGGATGTGACCCTTCTTTTGCTGAGGGTTGGAACGACCACCATGTTTGAAGCCACCACGTTGATTACCGGGAAAATTTTGTGGAGGATAAGATGAATTTTTTGGTCGCTGACGCGAGTCGTTGAAGCGAAACCGACGGAAGTGGATTTGGCTTGCCTCTAACCAACTTTCAGATTTTACACATCTCGAAAGGAGAAGGCGACAACGAGGCAACATAACGACAGACATTATCCAAGGAGAATAGAGTTATGTTGAAAAGTTTACACCGGCTTTATGAAACCATCGAATAAAGTTGACCGTATTCTGCGAACAAGGCGTCTTGAAAAAAGCGGTTGTTTGGTGATGTTAGGATCAGAAGGCTCACTCAAAATTGACTCGTCAACTGCAAGTCGAGCTCACCATAGCTAGTACACTAGCCATGGCTGCCGCCATTCGTCCTATGCGACTTGCTGCGCTGACGCGGTCACGCTGCTCCATATTCCAAACTGCATATAACCCCACATCAGCACGTACTGGAGCCAAATACCTTCGCGCACGACTTCGCGGGCCTTCCATGGTCAAATACTACACTCCAGAAGCCAATATTGCACAGATCATGAGACAATGGCCTGAGTTGGAAATGAGAAACTTTGCAGAGGAGGAAAGACTGCAAGATGTGGAGGACAAAAAGAAGAGAGGGAAGGGTGCACCGAAAAAAGCCAAGGAGAAAGGTAAGTTGAGACTTTATGACGCATTTGCACAATTAACGCTTTGTTTCAGGCGACAGTCGCAGAGCCAGCAGGAGGCGATAATGATGCATTGTTGTATTTCGTTGAAGGAACTTATTATACCATGCTCAAAATTAAACCATCACCGTGCCTGTCAAAACGCCGTCTCCGCTCAGCATATTCCCTCCATGCCTACAGGATCATTTACAGAACCGTCATAAGTACCCATCTCCGACAAAGTCACCGAGAAAAGGTCGTCGAAGCCCTGGAGAAGACCTGCATTCTGTAATGCAATCTGATAGTCCTCTCCACTTGTGTTCAACCCTGTCATCCACTCCTCCAGTTCAGCAGTACCTGTAACGAGAAGACTGCGTAACCTCGTTCGTTCTGTTTGACTTACAGGCGAGGACCGTATTGGTGGATCTCCGGGTTTAATTTCGTCCACACGTACAATGAGGTCGACACCCTCTCCTGCAGCTGGATCCCATACTTGGTTCTTCAACACTGCTGACCATGCTTGGTCAAGGTCATCCAGGAAATCCAAAAGCGTTTGAAGCTCCTTCATCTGTGGAGGATATCCTGGCACAGAAGTCATGATGTCGCCAGTGAGGCGAAGGAGGAAGACGGTTCGTAAGTAAGTGGAAGGGTCTATAGGTGGGATCTGCAAGATAAATGCCAGCAGTTTCTGCATAGCATTAAGATATGCAGTGAGAGTTGGAAGTTTCGTCATTGACGGTTCTAAGCTGTCCACAACTATCTCAGTACTTCCAGAGCTTCCGCAACACATTGACAGCCGACCGTTTCTTAAATGCACTGGTGATATCCATGAAAGAGTCTTCAACATACTCGACGGCTTTTCTTTCTTGAGCTTTGGAGAGCGCTTGTGGGATCTTTAAGCTTGGAGGTTCATTCCGGACGTTCTCTTCAGCTTGCATCTTGAGTGCGAGGTCAGGAGGGGTTGCCAAATCAATGCCAAACACATATCAATACACGCGCTTCCTGCCTGAACTGGCTTAGATCATTTCAATGGTGATTATCTTTCCATAGGATATGCCCGTCTTGCAAAGTTCGGCAGAGTACTGACTTCCATGACAGGCTGGTGACTCCAGTTTCAACTGAAATTTATCGACTAAGCATGGTATCAATATCCAAGGCTGAGAAGGCCTACATTCAATCCTCCTTGCAATCCGATCCGCCATTACGAGCAGACGGCCGCGGTTTGATAGATTTTCGAACCATAGCCCTCGAGTCTGGAATTGCCCCCATCGCAAATGGTAGCGCACGCATTAGCATTGGTAGAAACGCGCAGGATGGCGGAGGGGGCACCGAAGTCGTAGCCGCTGCAAAATTGGAAGTTGAGAGCGTCGGCGATGGCGAGGGTGTAGATGGGGGACGAGTAGTCTGCTCTGTGTCTTGGTACGACTTTCTTGCTATACCTTCAAAAGAAAAGACTGGACAACTTGGAATGATAGTTCTCCCACTGCATACCCTCTTCTTTCCCCAAATGCCCTAGATGACCTGCAGCATGATATGACGTCCGTATTAAATGCTACCCTCTCTCATCCGACAATTCGACCAAAAAACCTCGGTATCTTACCTGGAAGGAAATCTTGGTTGCTCAACCTTGATGTCATAGTGTTTTCTGATGCAGGAAACATATTCGACGCGATTTTCATGGCTGCGCGCGCCGCTTTATGGGATACTAAGGTGCCTAGAACAAAGAGCGTCCAATACCGCGCGAAGAAAAGCGATCGGAGTGATGCAACTCAAGCTATGGACATGGACGTGGATGAAATGGCCCATGTCGGCAGCGCACTGGACACGCGACAGACAATTCAGGTGGCTGACTTCGAGCTTCCTGACTACTGGGACGAGGGCGAACCCCTCGATGGAAGACAAACATGGCCAGTTTGTCTGACTCTCAATTTGGTTCGTTGTTTGTTTTGAGCTCAATTTCAATGGTACGTGATTGACATCTGAGCAGTTACCAACCTTGCAATTCCTGGATGCTACTCTACAAGAAGAAGCTTCTGTACCTCTCAAGCTCCTCGTGTTTTACTCCTTCCAGTCAGATACAACTCCACTGTTACGGGGCATGCGCTTGCTCGGGACAGGCGTCTCGGACCTCGTACAGGTCAAAAGCCTCTTGAAGGTAAGCATCCAGCACGTGTTTTATCGCTGCATTCTAATTCTTGCAGGACGGGGAGAAGTACGCTCGGAACGTGTGGGTCGCTCTTGAAGGAAAGCTCAAGGACGAAGACCTGAGACGCAATCAAAAAGCCAGAGAGAGATTTCTTAATAGATAAACTTGCAATCATATGGCATTCTCAGTGACTCTCGACGACGTGGTGAATAGCAAGCGATTTCATGGCTTCAAGCAGCTTAAGGTCGCTGCAGGACTAAATAGTAATTGCTACCTTCATGCTAGTGGCTGCGGAGATCTTGAACCGTTGATGCATCCAGGCACTCGTGATTTGAAACCTGTCTGTCCATTTACAGGGAAGTTCAGTCCACAGGCATCGGACGCACGGTAGATAGAAGGCATAGACCGTCCTGCCTGAGAAATCGGACACAGGTGGGGGACGTCACGCGTAACAGCTCAGCCACCAGCGTTCCAATGAACTCAACACTCTGCTCTCCAGCCAGAGATCTTGAACCAGTAATAGTTCTCACCAGCTAAGCATGCTCCCTCCCAGTCTGCTGACCTGCACGGGACGCCCGAACTGTCCGGACATCATATTCCGAGTGCGAGAACACCGCATGGAATGCTGGTCTATTTCGTACGCGGGTGCTGACAGCGTAACTAGCGGGCTGTACGAAGCATATAAAAGGAGTAGGTTGCGCGGTACATTTCTGCAGCAGTTACCCTCCACCAGCCTTGTCAAAGTAAAACCTCTCGCCAACAACTCGTCATGAAATTCACATCGGCTGTCATCTCTCTCCTTGCCATCGCTCTTCCCGTGCTCGCTCAGACTGAGAGCCTTTCCTATGATAACACTTATGATAATGCTGATCAGTCTCTCACCACCGTCGCCTGCTCAGATGGGCCCAACGGGCTCATCTCCAAGGGCTACACGACTCTTGGTCAATTGCCTACATTCCCCAATGTCGGTGGTGTCTACACTGTTACGGGATGGGATTCAGTTTACTGCGGAACATGTTACGAAGTGACATACGACAACACGACAATTGCAATCCTTGCTGTTGATGTTGCGAGTGAAGGGTTTAACGTTGCGGAGGCAGCGATGAATAAGCTTACTGATAATGAGGCTGAGTTTTTGGGGAGGGTATCGGTGACTTCAGTTGAGGTGGACGCATCTGTATGTGGCCTTTGAAGGTAAGCAGGTCGGGTTTCCTTGTATATGAAAATCGATGCTTATTTGGTTTGCATTGATAGACACCATTGATTACTTGAATTCAGGTTCAAGGACAAGTTTAACTTTCATACTTTTGGGTAATTGTGCCACGATACGGACTGAAACTGGACATTAATTATGTATGAAACTGTATGTGAATGTTTTATTCAGCTTAAGATACATATACGCACCTACGGTAGTACAAATGAACAGCTGCCCACCCAGCCACGCTAAAATCTATAGACCCAAGACCGAGCGAATGCAGCCTCGTACCGCCCTGCTAGTGAAGCAAATACCATAAGAGGTTCTTTCGAAAGCGTCCACAGACCTGCCAATATAGGAACTACCGCTGCACCTGCGATAATCTTGCGCGTCCGTGGGCGCATATGGAATTTCCGAGAAGCGAACCGCGATGCTTGGATGATTTGTGCGCCTTCGACTGCATGGAGCATGACGCTCGCAACCAGTCCACCATACAAGATCCAGCTCCGCCAGGGAAACCTAGCCAAACCAATCTTGATAAACTCGTAGTCCACCTCTGAGGGCCCTACTGCGAATATCGGTGGCGAAGGATTGGCAGGGGAGACGCGGTGGGTGTAGAAATGTATAGGAAGGAATATTAGAAGAGTCGAATATGCCGTGATACTGAGGGTGCTGGTAATCTTGCGAGGAGATGCTGGGCGCGGATCGATGATCCTTTTGACGATGCTTGAAGCTACGTGGGCTGCCAGAGGTATAAAGAGGAGATATCTCTCCCCAAAGCCAGTTTGGTAGTATTCCCTACCGAGAAGCTGCGCCAGTCATGATTCAGACATCATCTCCTTGTTACCAATTTGATGATATTGTGACACCTACCATAACATTGGAAGACAAATTCGAGCCTCCGACATTTGCGAGTACTGGTGCAGACAAATGGACAATGAGGAAAACTGAAAGGAAAGGCGCGGAAATGTGGGCGACATTTGTCAAAACTGCCGCTGTCTGTCTCAGTTTTGACCCATCTCCCTTGACTGATATTGTTTCTACGTCGTTAGCGGCCAAGAACGACCATTTTGGGTTTTGAAACAATCCAAGAAAGATGCTGCTGAGAGTCATAGAAGTTGGCTTGCAATTCGTGGGGAATCGTTAGTAGCCGCCGTTTGCCGCAACTTGAAGCGACGTACTAAGCGATTTACAGGAATTTTGAGTTTCGACTTTCTAGTTTGCTAGCATTATACATCCTACAGGTAAGTAACTCGAATCCGTCCCCAATTATACTATGCACATGAATTAATGCGAAACGAGATAAATGTGGATATGCATGGTGGAGAGGTGCCAATATTAATGATACTAGGACGGGGCAAGGGACTAAATATTAGTATTAACTAAACATGAAGAAGTAAGACGAAACACGCCGTCTGGATATGGAACAGATGGGAATAGGGCTACAGGGTTAAGATAGCGGTGATGGAAATCATCCCCGCGGCCGAGGTTTTGTGGGCTGGGTCAGGTGCGTGTCGGAATTCTACGATTGTGTGGCTTGCTCTTGGAAAAGTGCAGGGTACTCAATATCGCAGGGAATACCGGGTGCATGATCAGGGTATTCGGGAAGGGGAAGGAGATTGGTAAAAAAGTCAAAATTGTGTAAGCCAAGGGCATAAGCTTCTAGAGCCTGTGCGCGCTCCATGTCTTCATAAGGTGCTAATAGCGCATCACTATGGGACATTGGTTGCCCCGGCATACAGGGGGAAAGGAGGTCGCCGTTCCAGCCAGGAATGGAAGAGGCGTTAGCTGTGAAGGAGGAATGAGTGTAGGTGAGTCCGCCCCGGCTGTTTGGGGATTGATAGCCGAGCTCCAGTGCCAAATGCGACTCGGATGGGTCGTCTATCGAGCTGTTATGCTCCTGTATTATGGGCCTAAGCACACATTGAGGGAAAAAAATCGTATCCGAAACGTACCCCAGTCGATGTATCGAAACTGTAGGATATAAAAGGAGATGCATCGTTTGAGGCAGCATGCCATTGCTGTGGCTGCACCTCAAATTCCTTGCCAAACCGAACATGTGCGGCCTGTGACACATAATCAAGAGGACGCAGTGGCCACTCTCGTCCTTCAGCAGAACGAGACCTGCATAAATCGTCCTTCGGAGCATGTGAGGGGAGGGTGGGTGTGGGGAACGCGTCGGGAAGCGGAACAGACGACGATCGTCGCTGAGCTGCGGAGCAATTTCCAGGGGCGTCTTTCTGTGCGGAGTCTCCGGATGCCTCGAGACTTTCGCTCCCTTCTTTCTCGATGGCCTGCTGATATGCAACCCCTCCGTCCTCTTGCGAGTCTTCATCCGCATCTGTGATATAAGTAGGTACTTGCTCGTCTGAAGAATCCAGCAGAAAACTGCCGTTACTCAGGCCCAAATCGTATTGACGCTTCTTCAGCCCGGAGATTTGCCGCCTCATTGGACGAAAGCGGTAGTGGGGGTAGAGGCGTGCATGCTCCTCCCTCTCCTTATCTGCGAGCACCTTATATTTGTCCTTGTCAGAAGCAGACAGCTGCTTCCACGCCTCAGCCGCCCGCTTTGATAGGGTTTTGGCTGTAGGATTCGGTGCCTCCGATTCCTCGTCGCTCTCTTGGGCTGCCTGACTGTGCTTGCGCGAGTACTCACAGCGAAAGATTATGAAGGCGTTTCTAGGCCGAGGGATCCAACTAGGATCCCTGCTCCTGTTACGCTGTGCGCGTCGATCTGATGAAGGAGCCATTGGTTGGTGAGTGATACAGGAGGTGGACGCTATAAATTGTCTGGGCAGGGGATATGTTTGGTCTGGAAGATGAACGTCATGGTCATCCTCCACAGATGCAGGTGACCATCCGCGGAGGACAGGGTGGACAGTGAAGACCATTGAAGACCTTGAGGGAGTTCCAGGCAAACGCGACAAGGAGTCGTTTTGTTATATGAAAACCTACCGTGGATCTCGGATCTGCTGCTTGCTGCCGCTCCAAGGTCGGTTGTATTTGAACTCAGACACATGAAGGGGATCAGTTTCGTGTTGTTTTCGACGACAGGCTGATCAAAATTGAAACCTGGTCGGTGAGCCGAGCCAGGAAATTGAAACAATTGAACAACACGAAAACAGCTTGGAAATGTTCCCTATAATTTAAATAGGTTAATGACCAAGACATTATTCGATCCGTTCGATCATCCCAATCTAGATCACTCCTAGCATTATACCCCATACATGATAACCGCCGATCAGTATGAGATTGCGCCGTGGATACTAATTCAAGGGTAGAAGTGCGGTCTGTATACCTGCACGTTAAGGTGAGATCACTGAGCCCTGGAAGGTTGTAGCAAGTTTACTTGTGCCCTCCGACAGATTCTTCACTATCGATGCATAAGTACAGTTATCAGATATGCTCAAGCGGAGGCTTGACCGCAAACGGATGTCAACGCGGCAACTTTTAGGGTGCTCGACAATCTTGACATGCGTGGGATGGCAGTGCCAAAAATGGCCAAAGCGACCGAACGGCAGTTGTCGTGAATTTGGCAAGACGTTCGATGGACAATGCTATGATCATGGGGACAGTGAGTCTCACTATTACAGGAGGAAATGCAAAGGATACTTCAATTCCTCAGTTGGCATGCAAGCTGGTGGCAACAGGAGGGTTCAACAAGGCACGCTTCACGTGCACTGGCCTACACCGATCACCATCAAGGAGGGCTTACCAGTTCCCACGCATATTACCCCTTACTGCCCGCAAAACAGTTTTTTGACCCAGTTTGTTTAATTACGTCTTCGTTGAGGTGAGATTAAGTAATCATTTTGAGATCGGGCCAAATCCTCACTGCCAGCAGCCAGTAGTGCAGTCTCCGTGGACTTGACCAAGCTCACTGATGAACGTAGAATGATAAACTCAGAAATTAATATTATCATGATTGTAGTTACATTCGTTAATGCACCACAGGTGATGCAAGACCTAGGCGTGTTTTGACTTCCATCATGGTCACCTCGGACTGTTCAATAGCGCGGACAGCCCCGCGACGTGCTACTTCATCGAGATATGACGTTTCCTGACGAATGCGATCGAACTGCGCCCGAGGCCCCTTGAGGAATTCCTCAACGGCCTCTGCGACATCGCGTTTCAAAGTTCCGTGACCCTGGCTCTCATAGGCTTTTGCGACCTGGGTGACATCGCTGTCTGTGCAGGCGGCGAGGATAGTAAGCAGATTTGAGGTGCCCGGGCGGCCTTGAGGATCGTAAGTGATACCCTGAATGGAATCTGTGACAGCAGCTCGGATTTTCGATTGGATCTGGGAAGCGATATCGGTGAGCAGAATGCGGGACTGGACGTCGGGTGAAGATTTCGACATCTTGGACGTTGGGTCTTTGAGCGACAAAATCCGCTTCGATGGGGCTGGAAAAATGGTTCAACGGACATACATGTACAACCTCGGATGCTTACTGTTGACGTAGGTCGGAAGGGGGAACAGGGGAGACGTTCCTTTGAATGTTCGGTTGAAAATATCAGCGATATCTCTGGTAAGTTCTATATGTTGCTGTTGATCGTCGCCAACAGGAACGTGAGTAGCTCTTAGCAGCATATCAGTAGTGTCAACAATGACCACTGCAAGAAGGCCCACTTATAAACAAGCACATCGGCGGCTTGTAGCACAGGATACATGAATAGGCCAGCGTTGAGCATCGACTCATCCACCATGTCCTCTGAGCCAGAGTTTCGTGCCGCAGCTAATCTTGACTTGAGGAACATAAGAACGGAATTTAACTACACTTGAAAGACTGCACCTTCCAGGTCGTCATCCGGCGCAGCTTCCCCATGGGCGTTATGCAGCTCAATATCCAGGAGAGTTCAGTATGGTGAGGATTCTAGGTACTGTTAGCCAAACGGCTACTAGGATAGAGCAAATAGATACATGGTCCTGGTGGAACAATATTGACCGGTCAGGATCGATGCCTATGGCGAGTAAAACAGCCAGCATGTCATTCCTTGCAGCCAGTAGGGCAGCAGGATCCTGTGGAAGGGTCAATGCATGCCATCCAACAATCGAAAACAGCAGTTTGTCCTCGGGCTCTGCAGATTTTTGCAGCTTGACCCAATTAGACAGTGCGCCTAGGTAGTTCCCTAGCTACTACTATGTAAGTTGTTCTATATCAAATAATAATAATATGATCTTACATGAGGAATACCAGTTGGTTGGATGCCAGATAGTATCACGCGTCGCGGGCGTATCTGGCAGACACGTCGGGGAATAATCATGTATGACCGAGCAAGTAGAAAAGTGGTTCAAACTCCGACAACATCCAATTAGGTACGGTAGTCTGGACGTCACCTGGTGCTCTGCTTTACTGACGTCCATTACCAGCTCATCTGGCGACCGCAGCCACATGGAGTACGATCCCCTGGTGGACCTTCCTGGCGGCGACAATTTTCACGATGTGACTGCGTTGTTTGAGGATGCTGCCGAAGGTGACCAGAAATGCTTGTGTTAGCCTACCTGCCCGCTCAATATTGTCTAAGCCATGCATCCTGGAGCTCTCATATTGACTGACGGATTTACTCTGCTGGATGCTATGTCGTCGTTCGAGGTAAAAAAAATCTTCTTTCCGAAGTCCAAACAACTTGCTGATAATGTTTGAAGATAGGCGAACCACGCTTCGACAGCGGCTTGGCGCTTCTGAACAAATCTAAGCCGTCATTCAATCCTCTCGCCCCGCTTACACCAGAGGAAGTGTGCTGGATCATCGATCGCTCGTTTTCCTGCGAGGTAAATCAGAGACAGCGTAAAAATTTCCACATGTATTCATTTGTTCCATGTCTGGCGCCCAGATGGAATGGCACTCCGGTTACACTCTTTCTCAAACCATATATTCATTCCTTTACGTTCACTCCTTGAAAGAGATTGACCCTGACCTCGTTCCCGGGGGCTCACCGCCACGCTCAGACAACTTGCGTCCGCCAGAGCTAATTACAGTCGTTCTAAGGGCTGCTCTATTGGGCCTTCTCAAGTGTTGTGACCTGTCCTGGAGGGAGCTAAATAAAGGGAATGTGTATGATGTTCGTCAAAGTACCGCTTAAGTTGCCAGCCATGCTCATCTATGACCAGGCCGAGGACTGGCAAAGCGAGAAATGTGACGTGCCTCTCTCTGAGGCTCTACCCGTCAAATATATCTGCAAGGTGCTTGATGAAGCGTGTCATTGGCTCGAGACCTCGGCCAAAGGTGTGAAATGGCTCACATAACAATATTCACCTAACGTTCATGCGATGACAACCATAGTTCAGCAACCTTGGCAAGCCATGCTGATGAACCGATTAATGCTTAGGAAGGTTTGGGGTGTTTCTTCTCTTTATATGACAATCTACTGACTTGTATCAGTCACTAATTGTGTTGTTCGAGACACAATTGTCTCAGCCTCACTCTGGTTTGCTTCCGACAATGATCAATCTAAGCCTGCAATTATTGCATCCTATTACTACAGCCACTCCGTTAGAACCTGCGCCAGATTCGCCAGCCCGTCTCGCGTTCGACCCTCAGTTTCCTCGTGTTATTGTATCATACATCCCCCTGCATGTCATACAGCTACCCGATCAAGCCCACACCTGGGCTTTGCTGGAGGGGCTGTTGACATCGCTGAAGAACGTCAACGATCTGGCAAACACAACTGAGCTGACGACATGGGAGGTATATACTATCACTGCTCTTCCGTCGTAAACATTAAATCTAGCATCAGGTTGTTGGTAATCTACAGCTGTGGTGCCCACGGCCCCATAGTCGGTTTCCATACGTGCGTTCAATCATCCAGGCGAGTAATTCGTGCATGACAATCAATCTAGTCGAATTTTATGATAATTCTAGTCCGCGTTCTGGGATGGCGTACTCGTACTCGACAAGTTTGCACTCAAACATGTTGTGGTCCAGTTCTTCCACGAAACGCTGAACATTTCCTACGACGTTTTCACGCAAGATATCATGACAAGATGGGAAGGTTCGGCGCCTCCACCACTTGCACAGATTGAACGCACCATGACGCAGGTTTGTTTGAAGTTGCGAAATCCTGCATACGTGCTGACAGAAAGACAGATATTGATAGCAAACATCAAGTCGCTATGGTACAACCCACCACGGCGCCGCCGATTCTGCGCGAAGTCACTTTTTGACTGGCATGAGCTGTTTGTCGTATTCATGGACGTGTGTGTACGCCTTGCGCCCTTGGTGAGTGTAACAAATGTAAGCAGTACCCTGTGGACTCACTGGACGATGACTATCAGGAAAACCAAAAAAAGCTTGACCACGTCCGTCGCGCCAGGGTAGCTGTACTGATGTATAGGCTGTCTATAATCCGCGAAGTCGTTCTATCGGGATTTCAACTGTCACTTTATACAAATGAAGAGCGCGTGTTTGCGTACTGGTACGTCGTACAGGTGCTTGAAATGCACTTGTCCTGTATAGATCAACTTATGTCAGGCATGTCGAGTGGTACGTGGTTTGATGTTCATAACGGCTGGAGTTAATTCTTTTCATCAGACTCAAATGCCTACTTCGAGTTATCATATCAGTCGCAATTCCTCACGGCATTGCAGTCCCTCTCAATAACTGTCTTCGCTGTAAGTAACGGTGAATGTCACTCGTTCCAGATCCTGACTCGACGGAAAGATCACGGTTAAAAAAACGACCTTCTCGTGGCGACGTACGAGGCTTAACTTTCTGCGGCGCTACAAGTGGGCTTTTACGCCCGAGTACGAAGACATCGATCTGCAACCCATCGGACATCCCAGCTTCACCAAGTTTGCTACTGCGTGCGAATCCATGCAAAAGGCAAGTGTTCGCAGTAACCGGAAAGAGGTGCTTGTTTAAATCAAAGATAGGTTAAAGAGTTCTCTCTAGATAGCATCGCGCTTGCCATAGAAGTTCTATCGTGTTTGCTAACGTCACCCGATGGCTGGGCGGGACGATGGAGTGAAGAACGGAAAAAGGTGAGAAAATATTTAGTTGTACCTAATGCAGATTCTTATCCTCCGCCAGTTTGTCCAGAAGCTCCTGGATGTGTGCATAGATTTGCAGAGACAGCTCCCCTCAACCGAGCAGGCCTTGACGACATGGGATGTGAAGACTTTGAAGTGGGATGCGGATGTTCATCCTTGGTTTCCAATTATCTCTGGATTCCCTCCAGTGCCACCACGATAGATTGGGTGCTGTTTTTGTACCCATTGATACAGACACAACGTTCCTCACATCTGGAAGACCGTGTTCCAGCCACTAACAATTAATATGGTGTCAAATCTATCATGCTTGGTATGAGGACACATTAACACGGATCAAGTCGGTCAGCTGCGACCCCTACTGTTATCATCGATTAAAATCAAGTAACAAATTAGTTGCAAACTCTAATCGTGATCTTTGGAAGCATTTCTGACGGGTGACCTCGCCAGGTACGCAAATTTATTAGATCGTTCAACGGCCGCTTCTGACGAGTGTCACCGCGCTAGCTATATGTGCGTCATTTGTAAGCCTAGTCACTGGTCGGAAGTTTTGCCAGACCAATGCTCTCAACTAATTGTTTAATATGTCCCAACGATGCAAGAAGGTACATGGATGATGACAGTACTCTGCGAGATCCGTGCATTTTTCTTATCTTGTTCATCTCTTTCCTGTCAACGTGGCACCGACAGGACTGTACACCCATCGGCTGCCAATGAAACTTCTACAACAAGTGTTCTTAGTCATTGTTAACGATTCGCCAGACACAGATGTATTCTCATTTGGACGTGTGTACAGCATTTCAGTCAACCCTCCCCTGGTCTTAACCAAGGTGTGTGACCTTTGGCAAGTCGTTGCACATTCGATGACAGCGGCCTGATCGCGCATCGAGTTCGCCCCCCCCCCCGGCCCATCTATTACTACAGATCTCCCTTATTCCCGTAGCCATTGACAATACACTGGCGCTCCGAGACTCAGAGTCCTGACTTCATTCCTCCGCGTGCTTTCAATCTATTCCAAGGAACACAATTTCCTTTTATATTTATCGTCGTAATCTAAACGTCTTTTTGTACAAAACATGAAACAAAACAGGAAGAATAGCGGTAGTTATAAATCACGTGACTTTTATTATTATGACAATTTCAGATCAGCTGAGTCTAACCTACTCAGTATGCTTGCCGCACTCTATTTTCTGTCTGTCATCATCTGACTACAATCAACCCAACCCACCCCCAATCGTATTACTGAAATGTCGTCGCAACGACGGGTGTCAGGAGCTATTACTAGACTCTCAGCGCGTGCGAGCCCATATCACAGTGCAGTCACTTTGCTTGAAGCCGGAAATGCGCATCAGCCGTCAACATCACTGTCCCCTAGCCCAAAGTCGTCGAAGCGTATCAAGCTCGAGGTTGAATCCAAGACCTCGAATATCTCAGACCGGGCACGTTCCACTGCAAGCCTACGGAAGACGTCACCAACTTTGAAGCTAGAAGAGACGGTATCTGAAGAAGATACGAATTCGAAAGTGAAGGTCAAGTCCGCCAAGAAACCTAAACTGATACCACAGTCTCTGGACACTCCACATCCTGCTCCACCACGCTGGAAGGAGGTGTATGACTCGATCAAAGAGATGCGCACGCAAACTGTCGCTCCTGTAGACACTATGGGGTGCGAACAAACCCAGCACAAGGAGACAGACCCAAAGGTTGATATTCATGCAATCTTATACGATGACAGTCTTATTTTGTATGGCAGAACCGACGGTTTGCTATACTAGTTTCTCTGATGCTATCTTCCCAAACGAAAGATGAAGTCACGAATGCAGCTGTTCAAAAGCTGCGAGCTGCCGTAGGAGGCACGCTATCTGTTGCCGCCATCATATCTGCGGATGATTCTACAATATCAGATGCGATAGCAAAAGTTGGCTTCTGGCGACGGAAGACTGGGTCCGTTTATTTTTCCATAGAGGGAGAGTGGCTATATTCACGTTTTCTATCAGGTATATTAAGAAGACGGCTTTACGGTTACGGGACGACTTTGATTCAGAGGTACCCAAGACGGTGGATGAGCTATGCTCATTGCCAGGAGTCGGACCTAAAATGGCGTTTCTTACGCTTCATGTCGCCTGGAATCTGTATGTGGTGAGTCTACTACGCCCTTTATGAATTCACTAACGCACTTGCAGCAATCACGGTATTGGTGTGGATGTGCACGTTCATCGTATTACTAACAGGTTGGGATGGCATCAACGGCCCACCAAGAAGCCTGAAGAAACGAGGTTAAATATCCAGTCCTGGTTACCCATCGAATTGCATCGCGAAATCAACCACATGCTCGTCGGCTTTGGTCAGGTGTGTTTGCGCTATAGCCACGGGGAGTCTCGTTGTAATCTCTCTTTTGCTAAACAGACCATTTGCGTCCCTGTGGGACCGAAGTGCGACTCGTGCACGTTGAGCACTAAAGGGCTTTGTCCAAGTGCCAATACAACTCTCCCGAAAAGCCCGAAGAAACGCAAGAGACAATCTTCTGCAAACATTGAGCGCGATTCTAGGACCAAAGATCGATATTGCAATCGAGTCTTGAACTATGAAGAGTTGATGTTCTTCCGCCCCCCACCCAGTAATGCATGCATATATTTTGTGATGTCTATATTCAATAACTTACTAGCAACTCACACAAATAATTACCCAGATTAAAATGCTTATCTCGATCAAAGGAAACAAACTATGTTGGACGCTGTGATCTGAAGAGTCTTAATTATAGAATGCAGCATTTTCTAGTTACACAGGTAGCTCCGGCATGAGAGGAGTGAACTTCCTCTTCATTCTTCAGTGAATGAAGACCACCGCTCTCCACGCTGCGCATGGAAACACATTTCCGAATTGGCCACACGACTTGTTTCTGGGGCCTGGCTCATTATTCATTGGCAGATTAGACTATACAATCTTCCAACCTGTCACTTTTTGAGCCTCTAGAGGTAACCGAAGCTAGTAGCCTGGCGGAAAATTGTCACATCCATGTGTTCTTACTAAATGATTTTTTATTCCTTTAGTACAGCCGTCTCCTATCCTGATGAAGTTCGACTCTGACATGGAGCTCTCTTTGTTCTCCGGCGCCCATAGTTGATTTCCATTGCTCCCAGCATGCTGTGTTCGGGCCCCGGGCGAGGAATACATGTGTGTGCAATCATTCGTGGGCACAAACCTATACATAATCTATCATAATGGGTATCTCCTGCGAATTGAATATCAATTAACCTTGCACAAGCTCGCAATGTCTTTATCATCAGGCGAAGGGGATAGATCCATTAACAACATTTGCAGAGTCTATACAAGCAACAGCAAACGCAACTACTTATGATGAGTTTCGACCTTTTCAGGTTGCTTACTAATGATCCAAATATTGGCAGGCACTGGACACTGGACGTCCGCGCGGTTGTCACACGATTATGTGCCCCAGGTAAGCAAGTGAATAGGCCTGGAAGCATGATGCTTAAACTTAAACGCTAAGTATAGGCCCAGACGCTGGACAGGCCATCCTGAGGCGATGATGAACATCAGTGCACCCATCGCATTTCTGCCATTCGGTGTGAAACTCGGAAATAATATTTAGAAGAGACTCGAGCGCGGCAAAGTTCAGAGGAGTGACACTTCCTCGTGGCCAGCTGAGCTTCGTATACATATAGTTCGGAAACCAAAGCGATCAGCATTCAAGTTGCGTTTTCTGTCGCCTGTGTAGACTCTGCAAATGTTACTAATGGGCCTATCTTGATGACAAGGACATTGCGAGCTTGTGCAAGGTTGGTTGATATTCGATTCGCAGGAGACACCCATTCTGACAGGCTATGTATAGGTTTGTGCCCACGTATCTGCGAAAGAATATGAAACATGGAGTGACGAGGTTGGTGTCTGCATCGCCTATCGATTCAGGGCCATCGATGACTGCTATTTCAGTAACCAACCGAATGTATCACAGTGACACTATTTAATACTGGGTTGGTTAATCCTCGGACCCCACCCACTCTTTCAGTAACAGGCAGGGATTCCATCCGTACTACTTACACCCACCCATGTCGACTACAACCACAATCACTCCAGAGGAAATCCAAGCTTTGGACCTAGACCTCCTGACAGTCCCAAAAATCAAATGCATCTGCAGTGGGCCCTTCTGTTCTTCGAGACCGATACGCTTACCTATTATTCGGATATCATGCAGTTGCCGCTTTAACGCTCTTTACTTGGGACTTGAGTGAGTGAGCCCTCTTTGTTACTTTATTCTGGACCGTTGACAGAAACACTAGTCTTGACTTTTCCTCACGAGGTAAGTTGTTCAACCGCACCTGAATTATCGCGGAAGCTCAGCAGTGACAGCTTAGACTATGGGTGCGTCCAGTTAGACGGACTTTTGACTATCCAATGACGGGGACCACTTGTAGAATGCCAAATGGACGTTTGCAAAAGTTCTATTTTTCGTGGTGAGATAAGGTCTGCATATTGGTCGGGCGTTGTACCTTATGCTTCTTAGAATCGATACTTTGCACTTGGGACAGTTATCCTAATAACATTTTGTGAGTTGTGCACTGAAGTTTGCTGTTATACCCGTATATCCACCGCTCATTGCTGAGATGTAATGCAGTGACGTTCGATGTTACACCCACATGGGCTATGTGCGTTATCTCACCGATCACTGTTACTGATACTAATTCGGAATAGATGTGAGCTCAGACATCTTCATCCCTTAACCTCCCTCATGGAAATGTTAGGTTCTGCAAATACTATCTTTGCTGTCATCGGTATGTAGCATACTCGGTCGAATTCGATCGGCTTTAGTCTGACAATTCCCAGCTTTGTTACTAGTGGCCAACATCGAAAGTAAGCTCTCTGAGCCATCCGACGTACCATATACTCATCAAAGTCTTAGTGATTCTCCAACTTCGATTATACGCACTGTACGCCTATGGTGCGTGGCAATGCAAATCTTTCTGGTTGATACCTAGATGATATCCAGATAAGAGAATTGTCCTCCCTGTGTCAGCATTATTTGTCGCGGTCTTCAGTGGTATGATGGTGATGGCAGTGATCATATATCAGTATGAGAACAGTGAGCTTCATTAATATCACCAAGTATGTATACTGATCAGAGATCAGACCACAAAGCTGAGATCTTTGGTGCATGTGCCATACTTGGGTCCGTGGATTGGCTGTATCTTTTCTGGTACTTACTCCATGGACTGTCTTTGCGACCTACTCCTCATTCTCCAATAGGGTGCCAATGATGGGCTTAGACCTTGTTCTTGTCCTGTTAGCAGGCTACAAATCTCTTCAGCATTATTTCCAGGTACCGGACAAGACTTGGTCTGGTGCACGTCTTATGCGTACCTTTGCGCGAGACTCGATTATTTATTTCCTTTGGTGAGAGCACATGCAACGCAGTGGGTCGATTCTGATCCAAGTACTGCTTTGCTATTTCCAGTAACTTTTTGATATACCTGTTCAGCACCTTGCTGGGCAGATTCGGCCCTGGTGAGTATTACCAACTTGGCGCGATCACGGTCACAGTTGTCCCACCTATATCGGCGAACCGTCTCCTCATCAACATGTATGACTCGGCACACGCCGAGCAAGAGAGAGATACGAGGTCTGTCGTTCGCATCCATCTTTCGCCAATGTATTTGACATGATGGTCAGAGTACACCACGATGACATAGAGCTCGCATCCATAAGTATGGAGGGTACTACGATAGATAAATGGGAGTAAGCACCCCGTGTGTAGGGCTATGACCGACATAGGGTCTTCGATCCCAAAGGGCAATAAATCTGAAACAAAAAGTATGGAGGGCTCACTTGAGGTGCAGTCGTTCAATGATATCAGTACTGCCAAGCTTACATAGCCGATTCTACGATCGAAATGCTTGTCTCGAGTAGATCTTCGAGTGTGCTTGGCTGAGTCTCGATGTCAAATCAATCAGACGTTCTACTTAGAAACACCGGAGAACCCGGTGAATAGTTGTTTTACACCTGTGTTCGCGGCGAGGTATGCACACCTGTGCAATAATTCTTGGGCACAAACCCTACACATCAGGCGAAGGTAATAGGCCCACTAGCAACATTTGCAGAGTCTACACAGGCCACAGCAAACGCAACTATGAGTCTATATGATGAGAGTCTCGAGTCTCGACCTTCCAGTTGCTTGCTTATGATGATCGTAGCCGCGGCGAGCGCCAGTCCCCGACTCCGTTGTTCGGCAAATTCCTCCATTTGATTCCTTCCTCCGAAGCACGCAAGCTTGTACATGTTGTCTTCATCGGCATCGCCACTGACGCAGCAAGTCCTCGACTTCCTTTGGCTACGCCATATTATATCTTTCAGTCCATTTTCCCTCGCACTTTTGCGTACAAGACCCATTCACACAAGAGGTCCACGTCCTTTAGAAACCATCTGAACTTTGTTCACGATGTACAACAACAACAATATTCCATAGGGTGAGCAGCGGACAGAGATTCAACTATATTGCCACAATCCTGGACGATCTTGAACTTCGATTGTGCAGCGTGCCACAGAAGGCCCCCGGATTTGATACCGGATGTCCATAAGCACCTATCCAGGGTAGATATATAAGGCGTTTGGGGGACCACCCTTAATCAAACTCGCGCACCTTTGACAATCCTCCATCTCGAATCAGGTCTCACTAATGTGTACTATTGGCGTGATCGCTCATCTATCAGCGTACCCAGTCAAAAGGGATCTTGCTGACTAGGTACTGGTAGAATGTTGTCGTTGAGATCCGAACATCGGCGCATGCTACTGAATGGCGATTGTGAATGCACTGCACATGAGACGGGTATGCAATCCATGTTCTTTAATGAGGTTGGTTCAGCAGCCATTATGATCGCCAGCCAGGTGCAAGTCGAGGGAGTCCATCGCTGGAATGATGCTTAGACTCAAGATGACCCACTTCCGACGACCGACTTTCATTCAACTGTCGTGTATCACTGTAACAATGTCATGATTACAGCAGTTTGCGAAACTAATGGCACTGGCGTATTGTGGAAAAATCACGATTGAGATTTGGGACTTAGTTTTTTTTTACCATTCTGTGTTACATAATGCCGCATCACACGGAGATCTTCATTTTGTTCTTTGGTGATTTTACGGAGCTTTTTGAGGGAAACGCCCGCACGATGGAGCTCACGGTGGATGGTGGTGTAGTGGAGTGCAATGAAGCGGTTGCATAACATGAGTCGAGTGATCTCGTCGAGAAACCAATCTGGCCGGTGGTGGACCAGTTCCACGAGGTACTGAACATCCTCAAGATTCAGCTTCCTCGGACGACCTGTGAATTCACTCCGTGGTTTGACTACATCGCCGGTGTGCTGATAGAGCTTTCGGATGCGGAAGAATGTGCGTCTCGAGAAGCCGACGCAATCAAGGATTTCACGAAGACTAAGGATATCTTACTCATACAGGCGAATGGCAGCGAGTTTGACGTCGGATGAGATCTTTCGGTTGACCATACTAGGTGTATTGTTGTCCGACGTGGTGCAATTGTTTGAATTTTTCTCTAAGTCTCAAAACGGTGAAAATTTTCAAAGTCCCAAATCCTCAATTATGATTTTCCCACAACATGCCAGTGCCATTATATACGCACACAGCTGTAAGTTCTTCTATGTATAACCAGGAGACAATGGACATACCACATACCACAAAGGCATCTTGTAGACCTTATTGATTCATTCCAGATATTAGCGTCATACTGAAGTTGCAATGGGTCTATATGCAATCACAGTTGAATTAACGTAACGATAGGATATCCTTGGGGATAGAGCGAGGGTCAGAATTTACGGACTGGGAGGTGAAAATAAAATGAAGCAGCTGTAATACAGCGAACTGTCCACTTTCGCAATAAAGTGAAATAACTTTGTTCTGAGGTGGTATTTGCGAAATAGTGACACTCACAATGAAGTACTTATTAAACAACAACTCCATCCTAGGGGCTAAGTCTATTGGCGTGCTGCACTGCCTGGATATGATGTTGACGACATCAAGTTCAAACATAGTACAGAAGAAACTTTCGGAGTGGAGAGAGTGCGGGACCATCAACTTGAATGTGGTCCTTACGTATAGAAAGATGGACATAGCACTAGGCACGGACCTGAGCGCTTGATCTACACAGCAATAAGCTGTGAAGCGAACATGAGGATGATGCGTGGGATGCACCTTAAAAGACAGCCTGAACGAATATGTGGCCAGCTTCCTCAACTCCCAACTAAACGCCCTTTGATCGTGATGATCGAGCACTGGGTTCGTCTAGACAGTGCTTCCCTTGAGTGATACTCTAGGCTCTTCTGTAGGTTAAAGCTGACCACTTGCTTACCAGTGACTCACAGAAATTTCTTGCATAACGGCTCAGCAACTGCTGCATATACAATTCCGAAGCTGTATTCTAGGTGAGACTCGGAGTGCCGAGCATGTCTTCCTGTACCAGTAAGATGCCAGAAGTAATGCCACGCTGGACTATGCAAGGCACATACCCGCTGGGTAAATGGTGCTATACATCTTCACGGCGGGAGTCACACCATCACATATTCGACGGACGGCTTACTCCGACTATGGGACCTAGAGGGCAGTACACAGATAGGAGAGGGTTGGCAAGATGGGGAGGATATTGCAGGAGTGTGGTCCATGACATCATCTACAAATGGCAAGACAATTGCAAGTAGATGCGGTGGCGGGGAAGTGAGTTTATGGGACGTCAAGACGAGGAAGGTTATTGCCAGATGGACAGGACACACCAATACTGTGAGTGCGTTGTGCTGGAGCGCAGATGGCAATCAAGTAGGGAGCGGATCCTGGGATGGGACAGCAAGAGTCTGGGGTGTCAAGAGCGGCAAAACTGTCCAGACAATCAGAGCTGGGCACTGTTGGGTGACCGCGGTAATATACTTGCCCGATGCAACAAAAATTGCAACCAGTGGAGACAAAGATGATGCAGTCAAAATCTGGGATGTGACGACAGGCGAACTGTGCGAGACACTCAAACACGATGGAATGGTTTGGAGCTTGGCATGGACGTCGGACAGAAAGAAACTTATCTCCGGTTCATATGGCTCAATTAGGATACTACTTGGGAGGAGATCGCCGTCCTGGAGGGTCACACTAGCTTTGTCTGCACCATCTCAGAATGAACGCCTCCTTGCAAGTGCATCAAGCAATAAAACAGCACGTCTATGGAATTTCAATACCAACCCCCCAGTCGGGCCACCCATCCAGCATGAACATGATTTGGAATGCGCGGCCCTTTCCTCTGATGGAAAGGTCACTTAGTCACTTGCGAAAACAAAAACGCGTACACATGGGACATTCATGCTATCCTCAAAGAAGCTGGCCTTAAAGACCTCGTCCAACCTTTATCTAATGTATATTACATGGTTCTCCGGTAAAAACCACACTAATCTCCCACTCGCGGGTCCCAGCGCAAAAGTCGTTAATGAACATACGTGACATGTTCCTTCTACTATCTTAAGATTATCACTCTAGAGCAACGTTACGCGACGTCCACCTATTCAGGCCCGTCAAATACCGCCAGCCTTTTTTGATAATATGCAAAATGGTGCACAGGTCAGTCGTTTACTTTTTTTGACCAATTCTTGTTCTGACCTATGTACTTCTCGGTCCTCCGCAGCACGCGGTACCCATCATCGTTCTCCTGTAAACGGCCCTCTCACATCCATTCTCGAACGCTTTTCCGCTACTTTCACCGCAATACCGATGACACAACCTCTCTCCAGCAACGTCCAAGGTGGTCCATCTTCTCTCGTAGTCTTCATATCGTTGAAGTTCCTGCAGTACGGGACAGAGGTATGTAATTTCTTCATATGCGTTTCCCATCGCCATGGTTTAATGGTCTCTGTCCAGGTTATATTTACTGCTCCACCGCCGCCACAAAAACACAGCAGCAAACCCAATCGCACGGCCATGGGTCGCCCGCGATACCGCCTGCTCCAGGTACTAATCCTACTATACCACGTCCAAGACATGCGCATTCGCTACCTGTCCGTTTGTTGGCTCATCTGGTACTTTTTCTCTGCTGCGCGTCTCCTCAACACGCCGATGCCAATGCACAATCAACACAGCAGCAGCAAGGCCAAGCCTAGGCCCAGGCGTCATCATCACAGACCCAGTCTGCCGTTCGCTTCGTGCTGTTTCTTTGTTGCACATCTCCCCCATATACCGATGGTCATTAAGGTACACAACTATTTCATATCATTTGGCAACTACGTACAGCAATCTTGTTTCCTCGCCACGAGACTTGTACAATGTATCAAACTCAATGTCAACCGTTGCGAAAGGAACATGCTAAGATCAATTAAGAGGATGAAAGCCTGGGAGCTGGCGCGGATGATGGTACTGGGTAATAGGGGCCGCATAGCAACGGAGGGGATCCGGCAGCTCGGTGTTCTGCCCCTATGTCAGCTCCAAGATTCTAGCTCTCTCTACGCATCCCACCTGCACCTGCGGCTGAACTGGGTTACCCTCTACCAGGGGAATCACCCGCCGATGCGAACATGAGTGCGTGCGCATGAAATCGTGTACATAAACCGCGACATCACAACGACGCGTGAACAGCACTTGAGGAAGGATGGAGATTGTGCAACCGAAAAGGGCAGGATGACAGAGGACGAGCTTACCAGGGCGGGGGCTTCAACCGCAAGACGAAGGCAAGAAAGATCCAAGACAGGCGGCATTTCAAGTGCAAAACCTGACGGGCACATGGCAGAAGCTTGGCAGGACAAGGAATCTGAGATATGATGAAAAGGGGGCCATAGTATGCAAGGCCGCAGAAGATGAAAGAAGAATGACAGAGACAATCGAGGACAACACGAGCACGCGGATGCAACAGCAAAGTGACGGGATGGAAATGGAGAGGCGCAAGTCAATAGTGCACGGGGAATTAACGTTTCATCGTTTAACGAGTAACTACTTTTTCGAAGAAAATCGATGAGATAAATATTAGAGACTTCACCCAGTCAATGTCACGCGACCACGATGGCCCGAGTGCTTCGGGCCATCTCGGAAGAAAGAAATCTTTTCACGCGCACATGAAAATACAGGTGCCTCAGGCTAGACGTTTGTTTCTGACAGAAACCCTCGCTACTTTGTAGAGTGGGGGATGAATGTTAGCACGCACTGGACTTCGTGAGATTGTCACATGGTTATGTGCCCCAGGTAAGCGAGCCTCGAAGCGTGGCGTTGAACCTAAATGGTAAGTGTAGGCCCAGACACAGGACACTGGCCCGCCATCTTGAGAATATTAATCAGATAACGACGAACATCAGCGTACCCTGGGCCACCGCATTTCTGTTCGGTGTGATAATGTTCAGGAGAGATTCAAACGCAGCAAAGTTTGGAGGCGACACTTCCTCACGGTCAGCTGACTCCTTTGTATACCTTGTATACATAATAATTTGGAAGCCAGAGCGATCAGCATTCGAGTTGCATTTTCTGTTGCCTGTGTAGCTCCGCAAATGTTACTAATGAACCTATCTCCTTCGCCTGATGACAAGCACATTGCAAGCTTGTGCAAGGTTAGTTGAAATTCGATTCGCAGGAGATACCCCGATTCTGACAGGCTATGTATAGGTCTGTGCCCACGTATCTGCGAAAGAATATGGAACACAAAGCGACGAGGTTGATATCCACAATGCAGGGCCATCGGAGCAATTGGCCGAATATATCACAGTGACGATATTTAATACTGGGTTGGTTCACCCACTCTTTTAGCGACAGGCAGGGATTACGTCCGTACTACTTACACCTACCCATGTCGACTACAGTCACTCCAGAGGAAATTCAGGCTTTGGACCTAGACTTCCTGAACTCCCCAGCAATCAGATACATCAACAGTGGGCCCTTCTGTTTTCCGAGACTGATACGCTTACCTGATATCATGCAGTTGCCGCTTTAACGCTCTTTACCTGGGACCTGAGTGAGTGAGCCCTCTTTGTGACTTTATTCTGGATCGTTGACAGAGACACTAGTCCTGACTTTTCCTCACGAGGTAAGTTGTTCAACCGCACCTGAATTATCGCGGAAGCTCAGCAGTGACAGCTTAGACTATGGGTGCGTCCAGTTAGACGGACTTTTGACTATCCAGTGACGGGAACCACTTGTAGAATGCCAAATGGACGCTTGCAAAAGTTCTATTTTTCGTGGTAAGATAAGGTCTGCATATCGGTTGGGCGTTTTACCTCATGCTTTTCAGAATCGATACTTTGCACTTGGGACAGCTATCCTAATAACATCTTGTGAGTTGCGCACCGAATTTTGCTGTAATACCCGTATATCAACACTCGGCGCTCATTGCTGAGATGTAATCCAGTGACGTTCGATCTTAAACCCACATGGGCTATGTGCGTTATCTCACCGATCACTGTTACTGATTCTAATTCGGAACAGATGTGAGCTCAGACACTTTCATCCCTTAAGCCCTCTCATGGAAATGTTAGGTTCTGCAAATACTTTCTTTGCTGTCATTGGTATGTAGCATACTCGGTCAAATTCAATCGGCTTTAGTCTGACAATTCCCAGCTTTGTTACTAGTGGCCAACATCGAAAGTAAGCTCTCTGAGCCATCTGACGTACCACGTACTCATCAAAGTCTCAGTGATTCTCCAACTTCGATTATACGCACTGTACGCCTATGGTGCGTGGCGATGCAAATCTTTCTGGTTGATACCTGGATGATATTCAGATAAGAGGATTGTCCTCCCTGTGGCGGTATTGTTCGTCGCGGTCTTAAGCGGCATGATGGTGATGGCAGTGTTCATACACCAGTATGAGAACAGTGAGCTTCGTTCATATCACCAAGTATGTACACTGACCAAAGTTTAGACTACAAAGCTCAGATCTCTGGTGCATGTGCCATAGTTGGGTCTGTGGATTGGCTGTATCTTTTCTGGTACTTACTCCATGGACTGTCTTTGCGACCTACTCCTCATTCTCCAATAGGGTACCAATGATGGGCTTAGACCTTGTTCTTGTCCTGTTAGCAGGCTACAAATCTCTTCAGCATTATTTCCAGGTACCGGACAAGACTTGGTCTGGTGCACGTCTTATGCATGTCTTCGCGCGAGACTCGATGCTTTATTTCCTCTGGTGAGAGCATATGCAACGCAGTGGATCGATTCTGATCCAAATACTGCTTTGCTATTTCCAGTAACTTTTCGATATACCTACTCAGCACCTTGCTGGGAAAATCTGGCCCTGCTGAGTATTACCAGCTGAGCATGATCATGGTCACAATTGTCCCACCTATATCAGCGAACCGTCTCCTCATCAACATATATGACTTGGCACATACCGAGCAAGATAGAGATACGACGAGGTCTGTCCTTCGCATCCATCCTTCACCGATGTATTGGCATGATGGTCAAGTGCACCACAAGGACATAGAGCTCACATCCACAAGTATGGAGGGTACTACGATAGATGAACGGGAGTGAGCCTCCCATGTATAGGGCTATGTTCTATATAGGGTCTCCGATCTCAAAGAGAAATAAATCCGAAAAAATATGGAGGGTTCACTTGAGGTGCAGTCGTTCAATGACATCAGTACTGCCAAGCTTACATAGCTGATTCTATGATCGAAATGCTTGTCTCGAGTAGATCTTCGAGTGTGCTTGGCTGAGTCACGATGTCAAATCAATCAGACGTTCTACTTACGAACACTGAAGAATCCGGTCAATGAGCAGAAGCGCTAGTTTTTCTCCACTGATCTTGAACTTTGAACATAGTTTCAACTTGGTGGCACAACTTTTTTGACGGCCTAGCTCATGAATTGTGCAGTACTAGGGCCCAAATCAAAGCTGCGCGGACCTCCATGCGCAATCAAAGTTGCTGTGTTCACAGTCTTGCATACTTTCTAATTACGTAAATGCATTGCATCCTCTAGTTACTAGTACTATTCTGGCTGTTCCCTTATCCCCTTGTTTGACGCTTGTCAGCATCATCTATTGTGGGGCTTGTTTTGGTGCCTTAGCGCCCATTCATATTCAAGATGAGTTGCTTCCGATTCTATTCACATGTCCACCGGTGTTAGTAGGCAACTTTGAACCGGGAATTATCGAAGTTTGTAGATATGGGTTCATGCCATGCGTCAGTTCTGCCTGAGTAAAACAAGCTAATTAGCGATTTCTAGTACGGACTGTTCCCCATCGTCCAAAGATTTCAATGATCAATCATATTAATTTACATAAATCATGTAAGATTGATATTTAGAAGTGATAGGGCAAAGTTGCCGATGATGTAACTAAGAATATTTCGAGCCGCATTTGCTGCCTGTGCAGCCCGAGAGAGGTAAATGTTGCAGCGCCAATGACTAGTCACCCTCCGAGTTCGCCTAGCGCGGGTTCGTGCAAGCTTACCATTGCAAGTGAGTTGAGAGACATTCATTCTGACAATCGATTGCCTGGACAATATATATACTAGGCCGTTGACCACTTATCTGTGACGAATGAATGATCATATGGCGCGGATCTAGCATGGAGAGGTCAATCTCGAACTTCGGCTGCATCGCCACTTTCAAGTTCATTTAGAAAACTGCTATTTAATAACTGCTTTTAGGCCCTCGAGTCCCGTCCGCTCCTTCCTCCAGCAATAGGTTGACTATACCCTTCCGTATCACACCCGCCCATGTCGACCATTATCACTCCAGAGGAAATTCAAGCTTTGGACCTATACCTCCTGACAGCCCCGAAAATCAAATCCATCAGCAGTAAGTCCGTCTGAATCCTTGAAACTAATATGTTCACCTAAGTATCATTCAAATGATATGCAGTTGCTGCTTTGACGCTCTTTACGTGGGACCTTAGTGAGCGAGCCTCTTTGTGTTGTTATTCGGGATCATTGACAGGATCATTAGTCCTGACTTTTCCTCACGAGGTAATTTTATTCATCGATTTTTGAACTGTCGTAGAAGTTCAATGGTGACAGGTTAGATTATGGGTGTGTTTGCTCAAGTATAGTATGTTGGCCAGCAAGATGACCAAGACTTCTCGCAGAACACCAGATGGACATTTGCAAAAGTTCTGTTTTTCGTGGTGAGAATGAGTCCATACGTCGTGCGCTTTACCTGATGTCCCCCAGAACCGATACTTTGCGTTTGGAACAGCTATCCTAATGACATTCTGTGAGTTGTGCGCCGAAGTTTGGTGTACCCGTGTATCGATGCTCATTACCGAGATGCAATGTAGTGACGTTCGACGTCACACCAACCGAGGCTATGTGCGTCGTCTCATCTTTTTTTGTTGGTAATGCTCATTCAGAACAGATGTAAGCTCAAAAACTCTCAGCCCCTATCTTGCCCTCATCGAAGATCAGGTTCTGTAAATGCGTTCTTTGCCGTCATCGGTATGTAGAATGCTCATCCACGGGCAACAGTCTACTCAACTCTGACACGCCTCAGCATTATTGCTGGTAGCGAATATTCAAAGTAAGGTTTCCGAGCCGTCTAAAATATGATGTTCCCATCGAAGCTCCAAGTGATTCTCCAACATCGAATATATGCACTGTACGGATATGGTACGTGGTAATGCACATATTTAATTCCGGTTTGTACTTGAATGATATTCAGACAAAAGAATCGTCGTCCCTGTGTCGATGCTGTTCTTCACGATCTTCAGCTTTATGATGATGATGGCAGTGGTTGTATACTTGTATGAGAAGGGTCAGCTTCGTTAATATTCTTGAGTATGTACGCTGACCAAAGTTTAGACCATGAAGCCCAGATCTTTGGCGCATGCTGTTTACTTGGATCCGTGGATTGGCTGTATCTCTTTTGGTACTTACGTCCATGGGATATTATCGTGACCCTCACCTCATTCTCTTCAGGGTACCCATGATGGGTTTAGACTTTGTTCTTGTCGTGTTGGCAGGCTACAAATCTCTTCAGCACTATCTTCGAGTACCAGACAAGACCTGGTCCGGTGCACGTCTTATGCGTACCTTTGCGCGAGACTCGGTCCTTTATTTTCTCTGGTGAGAGCACATACTACAAGCAATGCAGCGGGCCGGTTCTGATCGAAGCACTGCTTCGTTATTTCTAGCAACTTTTTAATATATCTCTTCAGCACACTGCTAGGCAAATTCGGTCCTTCTGTGTATTATCAACTTGGTGCGATCACGATTACAGTCGTCCCACCTATATCGGCGAACCATCTCCTCATCAACATGTATAACTCTGCACACGACAAGCAGCCCACTTGGAGGACGGCTTCAGAAGTTAAGACTTCCCTGCAACTTGTGAGAGACACATCGAGGTCTGTCTTTCGTACATCCGATGATGTTATTTGACGGTGACATGGTGCTCAGAACACACCACGAGGACATAGAGCTTGCATTCCTGAGTACGAAGGGTTCCGAGTGGACGGATGCGACATTATTTGAATGATATCAGTCGGGTTTGGAGGCTTTGTGCTATGTGGTTTTACGAGTTCGTGCCTAAATACGAGACAATCTCGAAGCACAATACCAGTAGTACTTGCCCTACTAGATCCACCAGAGCGGAATGAATAGGTAGTGCGTATATATCGGGGTCAAAACCTCTGGACCACAATAAATCGGTCAATGACCGAGCTAAAACTAGTGAGGTGAAGACCTGTCGCGAACTTCAACAAACATTAGAACAGGACGGACATGAAACTCACTGCACAACAAAAAAATAACACTGATAATATGGCAAATATTATAGAGAATTTTAACCATCCAGATACGCGTAGGATACAGAGAAATAAAATCACTATCGGGACCGTGATGAGAATGAACGTAACCATGACAAGTTTGGGGGAAGGTTCGCTTTTGTGCAGGTACGTGTTCGCAGACGCTGTGTGAAGAGCAGTTGAGAGTCGGGAGACAAATATAGACCCAATGCTGCCAGGGAGTCCTGTTGTCCTGCGTTATAAAAATATAGACAGTAAGATTCGCCCAACTCACCACTAATAACGATAGCGAGAAGAGGGAACCCTTCATAGCGGGAGACGAACATATCAAGCACAATGCCACTAGCGCAAGAAATCGTCATTGCGCCAAAAAGTGGAATCCAGCCCTGATAGAGTAAATCCTTGACACTTTTGTTACGCCTCACCAGGAGAACACATATCGTGGCGGAGAGAATAGTGAGTATGCAACAAACGAGAGGAATGGGAGTATTAACGACATTAATGAGGATAGAGGAAATGCCGCCAAGAAGGCTGAGTGTGAGTAGGTCCCCAAGGCCCGATGCTATCGGTGGCGCAATATTATCTGTTAATGTTTAGAATAAATGTTGAATACAAGTCCGGTATCGCTTGCCTGGGTCACGGCCATACCGTCGACAGACGATGACTAGGAAAGACATGAAGACACCGAGGATAATGCTCGACAAGCATGTGGACGTCATAGCTGAAGAGGCTACCATGGTGAATCTGGCATTGAATTAACCATCACGCACTAGATGCGAAAACCACACATACCTGACTAAACCCGATTTCTGGTTGTCACCTGGAGACAACGACGGTCTGGGTACCCTAGCAGTGAGCGATAAAGTGCTACTCTGTGGAAAAGGGTCTACAGGACCCGACTGTAGCTCTGAGACCAAAAGACCGAGAAGCATTGCGACACAAGCTGCAACAAATGCGACGACAGTAGCTTGCACTTGCAATAGCGCCAGATTACCACCCACAATCTTGCGTTGTGCGCTCCTGTCGTCTAGTTCGCCCATATTAGCCGCAGTTCCCATTCTAGCAGAAAGATTCATTTCCAAGTTGCCTTTGAGGTTCAAGACAACAGGAACGATCATTATCAGCTCATCGATGGTGCGCATTGCCCGCCAACGCTACAAACACATCAAAACGAGACCTCAGATGTTACCACCGTACTCACTGACACACGGTCAAGGAGTTCCCCGGTGAATAGGAGGCTTATGGTAGTCATAAGAAGCGTGGGTGCACACTTTTTAAGCAATCAGAGGGATTTCTGCTCTGCAAGTTCTATCCACGTACTTCGACAACAATGCTGCCAACTTGTGACCAGACACTTCCAGAAGGTATCCGTTCGGGTCCCCTGGTTCTTCCACCTGAGCCCAATAGAGCGGCACTACCATCACTTCTAAGCTCCACATCATCGTCAATGTCCTGCGAATCGTATGTGGCCGTCCTGTAGCCCGTCCAGGGTGTGACCAGAACTCCCTGCAGGGTGTCTAATCCGATGTCGTCGCTGACATGTTGCAGAGGCGATTCTATTTCATTTCTAGAGGGCTCTTGCATGGTTTGTTCTGAGCTCTAGCGAGTCCCAGTCCAACCAGAATGTGATCAACGAAACCAGGCGGTCGAGGGAAAGTTGAGTGTGTTAGATCTTCCTACGGAATGCAGCGTGGACATCGACCAAACTGGGTGATACACGGGTTACGGGGTTCACACCGAACGTCTAATTTGGGTGTCAACCTAGGAGAACGTCAGGACATGTATGCCAGGGGCGATGTGGGAAAATACCTTCCGTAAGCGACGACAAGACGTATAATAAGTATTGATGGTGTCAGCGATTAGATTTTAGTATGGTCTGGTTCTCACCTGTTTGATCATCCCTAGGTTAGACGCAAGACTATGGTTGCTGGTTATTGGTTTTGCCCTGTATTTTTGGTTGTCAAATCCTGACATGCTAAGTAGCCACCTATCTCGTCGTCAGTGCTGCCATGTCTTCCATACTGTGCCCTACACTGCACCTTCGCTGACGCGGTTTCTCCTCGTCAAGAATACCTCGGAGACCATCCCCCTGACAAATGAACTTGAAGTGCTGGGGGCTTGCTTAGACTGCTTCAACAGAAGTCACTAGGGCAGACTGAGAATACCGGAGAAGACTAGAAGACCATCAAGGAATCTATGAGACAAAGAAGAAAGCGACAGGAAATGCAAAGGTAGGAAAGAAGGTGAAGGGTACCTGGTACATCAGATAGCTAGAAGTGCTTATTTTCGCCATTGATAACACGGCTGGGGATTGAGGAAACCGAAGTCTATTGATGAGTATGCTACAACCACATGACGCATTTGAGCATAAGTAAAAGAGACTGTGGGATGACGCACGTAGCCTCCGTCTAATTTCTCGTAGTTAGACATTGAGAGAACGAATAAAGTCGTCCTTTCTTTCAAGGCCATCACCGCTGTCACGGTACGTCGAACGTCACTGCAATTAGTAATCAATATATACCCAAAGGTACACTACGACCAAACTCCAGCATATAGTCCTGAAACAAAATCTCATCAGGGATAGCTGACCCGCTACCAAGCGCGAAGGATCAATTCTGTGAAGCATGAAGCGAAACGGTTGATCAATATACGCCATCACAGAAATTTCACAAGCGTCCATCTGTTGTTCTGCAAGTGCTAGCGTAGCAATACGTACACTTTAACTATACGTACCCACAATCTCTGTCGCCACTTTATTAGACGGAACGATTGTTTCCCTTCGAAAGGTCTGGCTCGGGGAGACCATATCACCTCCGCAACAGTTGGATCCGATCAAAAAATCACCCCGTGAGGAATTGTGTGGTGCTTGTCACAAATAATGGCGAGAGGCAAAAAGGGCTCACTCACATGCGACAATAATAGGGAGAAGTGAGAGCCTTTATTTGGGTTTCGAACTCCGCTGGGACAACCCGCCTGCCATGTCCCATGCATTGGTGCCGTCGACTTTCTAGTTATATATATATGGACTCTAATTTCCTTCATCCCTCTTCACTCTTTCATGCACATATACGAACCTCGTTCACGCCCGTTTGCGTACGGTCTTTGTGTTGCTTCAACGATTGAAGTAGTGCAAAGGGCGTGTTCACTGGCTTAAATCTACAGAGCCGCGGGAGTAATCCTGAGGATGCTTTTGCCGTTGCACACTCTCGTCGGGTTTCTCTCCCATCTGGGCAGGGAACCTGATAAGGGGAACTATCACTCACCTTGATGTGTAGTAGGCCACCCGGCATATAGGTTTTTTTACCTTATCCCTTCCATTGCTCTTTCCCGCACCTTTACTCACGTGGATACCTTCAAGCTGCTACCTCTTCTTTCTAATGCCGCTTTCCTCAACTTGGAGCGTCGCGCTGCAGCTCCTACAATCTGAGATCCAAGTTCCACTTGTTTGCGTCCCTCTCACTCCTACTGCCATGGGAATTGCAGCTCACCTCGGCTCTCTCTTGCATATGTTGGGGGCGCTATCACTGATCAGGGCTTCCACCTAAAAATGATTTGCTTCAATAAAGCAAACATTTCCTTTTATTCTCGCTACCACTACTTACTAAGACCGCTGCACGACAGCAAACACAAAGTATTTATCACAACTTTGTGTAATATTTGCAATAATGGGATTTACCAGTTGATACACAGAAGCGAGACGATCTCGAAGCACAATACAAGGAGTAATTGTCCCACCAGATCCATCAGGGCAGAGTGGATGGGTAGAGCGTATGTATCGGGGTCAAGGCCCTTGGACCACAAGAAATTGGTCAACAACCGAGCCACAACTAATGAGGTGAAGACCTGTAGTGAACTTCAGTAAACATCAGGGCAGAGCGGACATGAAACTCACTGCACAACAAAAGAATAACACTGATAATATTGCAAATATAATGGGTAATTTTAGCCACCCGAATGCGCGTAGAGTACAGAGGAACAAAATCTCTATGGGAATTGTGATGACAGTCAACGTGACCATAACAAGTTTTGGGGAAGGGTCGCTTTTGTGCAGGGACGCGTTCGCAGATGCTGCATGAAGAGCAGTCGAAAGTCGGGAGACAAATATAGACCCAACGCTGCCAGGAAGCCCTGTTCTCCTGCGTTATAAAAATATAGACAGTAAGAGTTGCCACTCTCACCACTAATGACAATTGCAAGAAGAGGGAATCCTTTATAACGAGAGGCGAACATATCAAGCACAATACCAGTAGCGCAAGAAATTACCATTGCACCAAAGAGTGGAACCCAGCCCTGGTAGATCAGATCCTTGACACTGCTGTTACGCCTCACCAGGTATACGCATAACGTCGCGGAGAGAATAGTGAGTGCGACACAAATGAGAGGAATGGGAGTATTGACGACGTTGATCAGTATGGAGGAAATGACACCAAGAAGGCTGAGTGTGACCAAGTCTCCAAGGACACGATGCTATTGGGGGCGTAATATTATCTGAAAGTGGAAAAAATTTAGCGTACATGTTAAATACAAGCCCAGCATAACTTTCCTGGGTCACGCCCATACCGTCGACACATGATAACCAGGAAACACATGAAGGAGCCGAGGGCAATGCTTGACAGACACGCGGACATCATAGCTGAAGAAGCCACCATGGTGAACCTGACATGAGATTAACTACCACGCGCTCGATATGAAAACCGCACATACTCTATCAAACCAGACTTCGGTTTCCCACCTAGAGGCGGTGGCGGCCGAGGCACTCTAGCAGTCAGCAATAAGGTGCTGTTCTGTGGAAAAGGGTCTACAGGACCCGAATATAACCGCGGGACCAAAAGACCGAGAAGCATTGCGACACAAGCGGCGACAAATGCAACGACAGTAGCTTGCACTTGCAATAGTGCCAGATTACCACCCACGATCTTGCGTTGTGCGCTCCTGTCGTCTAGTTCGCCCATATTAGCCGCAGTTCCCATTCTAGCAGAAAGATTCATCTCCAAGTTGCCTTTGAGGTTCAAGACAACAGGAACGATCATTATCAGCTCATCGATGGTGCGCATTGCCCGCCAACGCTACAAACACATCAAATCGGGACCTTAGACGTCACCACCATACTCACTGACACACGGTCAAGGAGTTCCCCGGTGAATAGGAGACTTATGGTAGTCATAAGAAGCGTGGGTGCACACTTTTTAAGCAATCAGAGGAATTATTGCCCTGCAAGTTCTATCCACGTACTTCGACAACAATACTGCCAACTTGTGACCAGACCTTTCCTGTGCCAGACAGTATCCGTTCGTTCCCCCTGGTTCTTCCACCTGAGCCCAATAGAGCAGCACTGCCATCGCTTATATGCTCTACGTCGTCGTCAAAGTCCCGCAAGTCGTATTCGGCCGTCCTGTAGCTTGCCCGAGGTGTGACCAGAATGTCTTGTAAGGTGTCTAATTCCATGTTGTCGCTGTCCTTGCCATCGACGCGTTGCAGAAATGACTCTGTTTCATTTCTGGGATCCTCTTGCATGGTTTCTGAGCTCTAGCGAGTCCCAGTCAATCCAGAAAAAGAACAAAGGAAAACTTGTGTGGAGCAACTGTGGTCACTTAGGGTTTTGCTGAAAGTGACGATTGTGGATCACGTGGGAAAAGAGATTATGTAAACAACGACAAAACGCTTGGTATTGAAGGTGTCAGCGTTTAAACCTTAGCAAGGTCTGGTTCTCACCTACTTGCTCGTCACTAATCTGGCACACAGAGTATCTTTTGCTCTGCATCGGTTACGCGCAAGACTGCAGTAACCGGTCACTGGCTTTGTCCTGTGGTTTTGGTTGCCAAATCTCGACGTGCCTAGTAGCTACCGAACTCGTCGGAAGCGCTGCTATGTCGTCCAAACTGCCTCACTATCCTTTACCTATTCAGACGCGGTCTCCCCTCTTCAAGAGTCCTTCGGAGACTGTCCCCCCTACAGATGAACTTGAAACGCTGCAGGCAGAGCTTAAATACCTTCGGCAGAAGTCATTGGAACGGGCCAAGAGGGCCGGAGAAGACTTGAAGACTATCGAGGAATCTATGAGGCGAATCAAGGAAAGAGAGAAAGGCAAAGCAAAGGCGGTAGAGAAGGTGAAGCGTGAACGCCCTTGTATGTCTTTCCGTTTTATCTATCTTAGTTTGAATTCCGACTCATGAATCTTAATCTCTCTTCCCCGGTCCACATTTTATCACTACTCAATCGACGGTTGAAAAATCCTCAAAATCTGTACATATACCGGACGTCAAATTCTTGTGGTATCCCGTTCGATCTGATGGATGCCATGCTCATGTTATTACTTCACGAACATCCTCCCAATCTGCCATGGTCTCGCCACAATGACGTTGTTGCAGTCACCCCAGCTTTGGATGGAGACGAACACGATCTTTCTCCCTCTGTCAACGGCTCTGTAAGGGCTCGAGCACCCTCGATACCGGTTTCTTCCTTCACCCCCTCTTCTAGGGCATCACTGGACCCTCGAAGATCGTAAGTCTAAAGACGAAGCTCCGGATGCACAGTCTCATCATTTCTCAAATTTCCGTTAGAATACCAGACGACATCAAGAAAAAAAAGAAGAAACGTAAACGAGATGAAGATAGTGACCTCGACCAGGGTAATCTACAGAGACCATCCGTAGAGACCGTGATTCAGATTCTTCGTACAGATTCCGGCCGCGCTGTGAAAACTTTGCCAGGCCCTTCTCTCAGTGTCCCTCTCAAAACGTCTAAATCACTGGGATTTGTGGCAAATCACGTCAAGGTATGTGATCTGCATTCTCTTGCACTCTATCGCTTCATTGGCGTCCTAGTCTTCATTTACACCCGACTTCACACTTCCACCCTCTACAGTACTACTACCCACCCGTCCTCCGATACCCGCTCCACCCGTTGCCGGTCCCAGTAATGCAACGGATGTCACCGAAGATTTCAGTAAGCTCAAACCGCCAGCGCAAACCCTCGTCAATACCTTCTACTCAAGCATTGAGCCTTGGATACGAGGGATTAAAGAGGAGGACGTTGGTTTTCTTGAATTTACTGCGGATGAAGTTGAGCCTTATGTGATACCGAAACTGGGCAGGCATTATTTGGAAGTATGGGATGATGCCGATATGGCCATGTATGGTGGGCCATTGCCTGGATTTTCGTCTGGTCGATTGGGTGAGAGCTCGACGTTAGCACCGAAATGGGACCCATCAACTCTGATGGAGGCAGACCTGTTGACGGAGGAGCGCAGTCACGGGCCCTTGACAGAGCGATTGATGAGTGCCCTTTTACCAATGCCAGATTCGACAGTATGGAAGGGTGTCAAGGCTGCCGAGGACGCTATGGAGGGCAGACCGGGCGGAACTGGTGCTGCAGCTGCGAAGCGGGAGAAAGTTAATGTAGTCGATTTGGAGGAGAGGGTTCAGGACACGATGCGGTTTCATGGATTACTCCATGAGCCGGTGAGTATACTTACTGGTTTTATGGCGAGTGTTTCATTCATAGCCCTGCTGCAGCCCGATTTTTCGACAAAAGTCGACGACCCAATTGCGACAGCTCTCAGGCATGCTCAACGTCAATTACGGACCGTGGTGGCCATGAACAAGGCCAGGAAAGAACGTCTTGCTGCTATTGCTCGTGATCGGCTTGGTTATCAGGAATATCTGGACCTCCGCTCTGCCCTTGATAAAAGCATAACGAGCGCCTACTCGAAAGTCCAGAAGAAGGATGAACCGAAACTGAATAAAAAGAAAAAGAAAATATCAGAGGTTAACGGGAGCGTGAACGGGACTACTTCTGGTGTACCAGCGCGCCAAAACCTTCACCTGCAGCACTTGGACTTGGTCCAGATGATGATCTTCATCTTGTAGTGCCAGAACAGTTGCAGCAACTCGTGGACACCCGGCGGCAGTGGGTGACAAGCGTCGGGGGGGTTTTTGACGAGAAGGAGAGGGAGTGTCCTGGTCGAATATGGGACCTTCCGCGGCGAAGCATTTATGAAGGGCTTGAGGACGCTATCCGCCACGATCTGGCTCGGTCGTTACATCCACATAGTACTGCATCAGATCAACGGACTACCCAAGGAAATGGAGATGAGATGGATGTTGGATGACATAGGAGACAGTAGAGCTTTGCCTATCGTAATCTATCTTATTCTCCCCGTGGATTACAAGTTTCTTGTACACCGCCTTTCCATATTACATGCGCGTTTAATACTCCTGTACTATGCAAAAGCGTTACACCTAAGACGTGATCGTAGCCTCAATATTCACCCTACATACTTCGCAATTTTGGGTTTTTTAATCGTTATCTTACGAAGTGTGTCTCCCTCAACTTTACGTTTCGTGCTCTTCGACTCCTTTACCATGGACTCTTTTGTCTTGCGGGGTGACCCTCCAAAGCTAGAACCAGCATCACCGCCCTCCGCTTGACCGTCAGTATCTATACTCGCATGATCACTGTTTATTGGGGGCTTGGCTCCGCATGGCACGAAATGATGCTTGAGTAATTCTTTTGGGTGTGAGGGGCGAGGAGGATTTTGGTGCAGAATGGATGGGTGCTCCGGAGGGCTTGCTCTTGATGGCTGTGCTGAAACAACGAGATGACGTGCAATCTCTTTTGGTGCTAAGTGTGGGATGCTCAAAAACCGTTCGTATAGCTTCACAGAATAAATAACTCACCTACGTACAGCTTGCCCATTTTTCTTCTTCTAGGAAGCAAACATGACAGTCCTCTCAGTTCCTCTGCTCCAGCGAACTCTGTATCATCGTCACCCATGGACCATATATCATAGACAGTGCTCTTCCGCGACAAGCTACCAACCTGACCGCTTCGTGAGGACGAGGGCGCATCAATCTCCAGTCCGTCAAGATGTTGGGGTTTGACCTATAACAAGCATATCATAAAGCCAGCAATCATGCATTCTGACAGACGCTTACCGAGTCTGGAACACGTATTAGCCATATTTCCAGATCGTCATCCTTCTGAACGGAGTCCCAATCGAAAGTCTCCGTTTCGAATGCATGGTCGAATAATTTATAACCAGGCGGAGGTTTGTAAGCCCAGTGTGGATTCTCTCCTTCGTTTTTTCCATTACCGGTGACAGTGACTGAGTGCGATTTTGACTTTTTCTTTGAAGTCTCTTTGATTTTGTTTTTTGAGGCTTTAGGTGTTATTTGTGCTGGTTCCGGAGATGACATGTTTTTGATAGCAGTGACGGACTGCAGATTGGGCTCCTGTAGGCAAACCAAATAGAAGGAAGAAGCTCGTTCCTGGGTCTTTATGTATGTTATGCTATGGATCACCGCGTCAATGACCAAACCGTGACGATGGGAAGGTGTTCGCCTCTTTTGGATTATTTCAGTTTGTTTGCCAGAGGCTTTAGAAATAAACAACGTGACTGCACAGCTGAGTTCAAATTATCATCGTTTAACGTTTAATGTTCGGCAGGCGCCCGGCCATCCGTCAACACCCACGCGATCATCGAAAGGCGAGTGCACACTGCACAGGTTCTCCTTAGTAGCTCGTTCGTCATGATAAGACTAACTTACACTATTACTAGCTTGCACGTCCGCAGCTGTCCGACTCGCCAACTCCAGGTAGTACTCCCAGCACCTCCCATAAAAGTACGCTACACACCGAAAATAGTTCTGAAATTCACAACCAGGAGTTTGCAATCAGTATGAAAAGAAATCTTTGCACCCAGGCCCATCTGATTGTATGGCCCTCGTCAACCATCAGCCTTACCAGTGATAGACACTGCAATCGATATCTGAGAGCTACCATGAACAATATATCATAATCAGACAGATAATTGATAATGATCATCGAGATTATTGCTATGGTCATCCAGCACAGCCGCGAACCCCATGAGGAGCTGAGCTTGCCTGCGAGATGTGCTTGAAGTTCAGCCTGTGTTAGTTGCAGGTCGTGGCTGCGTCGGCATGCTCTCGGCAGCATTGCGGACTTTTTAAGAATGTTGTTGTGGGTGAGCGTTGAGCGTTGCAAGGCCTTAGATCTACTACGGCACACACCAGAAGGATCATGACGCTGGAAAGTCCGCCAGTCCTGACCATTGCTGGAAGTGATTCCAGTGGAGGGGCAGGCATACAAGTGCGCATTTGTGCTACCTTCTCTACGGGAATCCAAGACTCTTTGACTGAAGGCAGACTTGAAAACATTCACTGTTCACGGATGCTACGGTGCAAGCGTGACTACTGCCCTGACTGCTCAGAACACCGTCGGCGTGCAAGCGGTATACGGAGTGCCTCCTGATTTCGTGAAGCAGCAGGTGTGTAACTAATTACATGGTATGATTCGGCTTGAGCCTTTCGATAGATAAACTCTGTCCTGGACGACATTGACGTCAAGGCGATCAAGACTGGTATGCTTTTTGATACCGAGAACACGAAGGCAGTCGCGCAGATTCTCAAGGGGCGCTTTGATGCCAAGGGGCACATTCCTTTAGTCTGCGATCCCGTCTGTGTCTCCACCTCCGGTCATGCCCTCTTGCACCCAGATGCCGTGGACACCCTTATAGACGAACTCTTCCCCCTTTCAGACCTCATAACTCCAAATAAAGCGGAAGCGGAACTCCTTCTTAAACAGCGCAATTTCCCGTCTCGCATCGAGAACTTACAAGACATGATCAATGCTGCTCGACGGTTGAAGACACTTGGCCCTCAAGCTGTGCTCTTGAAAGGCGGTCATTGCGTCTTTCCGCTAGGAGATCTTGAGAATGTTTCATCGGACGACACGCAGGTAATTCGAGACGATCTCCTGGACGAGAACTCGAATATCCTCCGGATTCATGGAATGAAAGAACAGCACTTAGACTCACTCGTAGTAGATGTACTTTGCGCATCTGACAACCACATCACCATATTTGCTAGGACTAGACTACAATCGACAAGTACCCATGGCACTGGTTGTACGCTGAGCGCTGCGTTGGTCTGTCAGCTTGCGAGGGGTACACCGCGTTTGTCACCTTCCTTTGACTGTTTTTTTTCACTTATCGCGATGAATCATACAGTAAGTGAGGCTGTAAGGCTTGCGGCTGCTTACACCCATACTGGAATTGAGACCGCTATTCCGATCGGGAGTGGCTTTGGCCCTCTGAACCATATTCATTCAATTACTCCATGTCTCGTCTCGCCGTACGTGGCTACTATAAAACACATGACAATGAACTAATTGTTTTGAATGTAGGCGAACCAAGACGAACCCATACCCACTCACAAGCTCCCTTATACGAAGTTCAAGAGTAATTTGGAAAGAGTATGTTCAACACGAGTTCGTGGTACTACTGGGCAAGGGTACCCTTCCAAAAGAAAACTTCATTCACTTTATCAAGTGAGGATTTCGTTGACGAACAAGAGAGAACGTTCTGACTTCCTCAAAAAGACAAGATTATCTTTATCTCAAATATTATGCTCGGGCGTATGCGTAAGTAGTTGGATCATCCCCACTTCCATTGTTAACGTCTCTCTTCCAGACTCCTTGCAGCCAAGTCACATGCCTATGCACCCATATCAGCAGCCATCAATGTGGTTTTTAGCATAGTTCAAGAAAGCTCGATGCACATGAGTTATTGTGCTGAGTGGGGTATCACAGAGGACGAACTGATTAACACCTCCGAGTCTCCCGCCCTGACAGCTTATGGGGCTTTCCTCATTGACACCGGATTGCAGGGTACGGTGGCCTATTTTGTTGACATTTACTTGCTAAAGGTATGGCTATTAGGTGATTCTATGAATCTCGTCGTCGCTCTTGCCGCCTGCCTGCTTGGTTACGGAGAAATTGGCTTGTGGCTCAAGGAAGAGGCTCGGGCGCCTGACTCGTGGGTTCAATGGGAGGGGAATCCATACCTCAAGTGGATAGAGGATTATTCAGGCGACGTCTATCAAAAGGCAGTGAAAGCCGGGTTAGGTGAGGATGCAACGAACGTTTTTGCTGCACACGACTCCATGTAACTTTACAGAGACGCTTGAAAACCGTGCAGCAGCGGACGCACCTTCACCCACCAGGTTCACAGATTGGCAAGATGTTTGGGAACGGTGTACACGGTTGGAGAAGGGTTTCTGGGACATGGCGATGAAGCTGGAAGTTTGAAGCTTGAGCGACCACGTTTATTGAATGCTCGCATATGTTATGTCGCTAGTCCATAATGATATTGCTGCGGAGATATCCTATACATGTTTCTTCGAACTATCAGCGTTTCACACACGCATCGAACATATATATTCTGAAGTGAACAGAACGGCGAGCGTCGCAGCTTCACGATATGTCAATCTCCAAATCCACTGGAGTCGGTGCGTCAGTCTCTGCATCGGCAGCAGCCTCGAAATCTGCGTCCGGAACGTCTTTATCTTTTTCTGCCGGTTTTGCGCGGGCTCGGGCTCGGGGTTTCGCCGTTCTTCTCGACTTCGTAGAGCGAGAGGGTGCCACGACCGGTAGTTCTTCTATCTCCTCCCCGTCCTCTTTTGCACTGGTACTCGGTCTCCCTCTTGCCTTTCCCCGTGTCCGCTTTCCTGACGCACGGGGCTTTCTTGAGCTGACGGTTCTCTTCACAGATACAGGGCCCTCGTCCTGGTCCACATCGTTGTCCCCTTCAAAGATCTCATTACGCGCCATTGACCGGTCGCTTCTTCGCTCTCCTGCGAGTGCAGTTCCCCGCTCCTCATCGATTTCCTCCTGTTTACGTTCTTCATCGGCAAGCCAACCCTCCAGGTCAGGCGGTATTTCTTGCATGGCAACACTTGGTGCACCTTGCAAATACCGCAGCTTGTTCCGAATGCTAACGGTTATTCGTTGTAATGACACAGGAGAGTTTTGGTTCTCGACGCGTCCTGTGAGGGGAGGATGAAGCTTCCACTGCGAGTCGCGGAAGAATGGATCATAAACTGTGGCTGGAAGCTCATCGGGTATTGTCGCCCCGACAAGAACGGCGGTTTCATATGTCCAACAGCGGCTGACATTTTTGATGGTGTAGCCTCCTCCTCCTAATACAAGCAGTGGTACATTGAACTTCCTAACAAAGTTCACACATTCACCATGAGCTGCGATGGATAGATTAAATGCTCCAAGTCGATCACATCCTAACGAGTCTGCGCCGCACTGCAAGACAATAGATGTCGGGCGGAAAGCCGTGACGGTGTCTTCAATGACAGTTTTGAATATTGTCAAGTACATATCATCATCGATCCCGTCTTGTAAAGGCACATTCAGGCAAAAGTGCTTGCCCAAGCTTGCACCGTTATCGTCGAGTTTACCCGTCCCAGGGAAGAAATCGCCGGTGTATTTGTGGAAGGATACCGTCATAACACGATTCGAATGATAAAACGCGAGCTCTACACCGTCCCCGTGATGGATGTCGATATCTATGTAGAGGACTCTGGGATGATATCTGTACAACTCGGGGTCAGGTTTAGGTATCACCTAGTAAAACGACCGCTCACCTCAGAAGTTCAAGAATTGCCAAAACAATATCGTTGACGTAGCAGAAACCACTCGCTTCTCCACGCTTGGCATGATGAAGCCCACCCGACCAATTAATTGCAGTATCACAAGCACCCGCCGTAAGCTTCCTTGCGCCTGCAAGGGAAGCTCCAGCATACATACGACAAAAATCATACATTTCAGAAAATATTGGGCAGTCTTCAACACAAGTTGAACGTGTCAATAAGATGCCGCATTTCGCTCTGGTTGTTTGGTGTCACGCTATATAAATTCCATAAGGTGGGCTATCAACAAGGTAGTATAAATTCCGCACCGCGAAAGAAAGTCAATGTAGTCATGGTCATGGTACATCTCTAACTCAGCTTGAGTAGCTGGACGTGGATTATATATGTGATGTATTTGCTTGTCAAGACCATAGCCCATGACCAGGGCGTTGGTCAAGGTCAGTCTGTGTGGTTTCATCGGATGGCGTTCCTAGCAGAGCTTGGTAAGAGCCAAGCCTAGCGATATAAATGACATGACGCATACCCCATAATGATGTTCACCAACGCCTTTGGGGAAAAAATATGAAACTATGGGACGAGAATGTGGCTTTTATTCATCTCTAAGGAAAATAGCACGATCATAAATGAAGTAACTTACATTGACATGTTCAGTAATTGGCTGAGCAGTACCGTGCGGCCCCCGATCGTCGAAGTAGGCAGAAGATGAGAAAGTAGTTGCTTGTGAAGCACGAACCATGAATGCCTATTGTGATCTGGCTGCACTACGTAGAATGCACTTCAGCTTCTTAGTATTAGAAACGTTGTCTGGCAAAGATGAGATACGGTGGCTCGTACGACGATCCTTGAGAGATCTTGACGAGGGGAATTGGGTTCTTGAAGTTGTAGTCCAAGTTAAGATTGATCACTGGCAAGCTTGAGGCTTGCTTATGTAATGTTAAGACCATCCTGCTCTTGCCATCATGTTGTGTGCGTATCGCTGGGTGTTAGCAACCCTTCCATTTCTCGTTTTTGTCGTTGCTTCCTCCGGTGACAGATCATCAAATTTTCAGAACTGCGTTTCTGCGTGTTATGTGGACTATTGCCATCCTCAGACGACGCTTTCACTTGCCCTCAGGCTGACGCGTTGGACGTGTACAGACGACTGCAAATACAAGTGCATGCACATGCTCACGGATATCGCAATCCGTGGAAGATCAACGATACATCAATATTATGGAAAATGGCCTTTTTGGCGGCTCTTTGGAATGCAAGAGCCAGCCTCTGTCGCGTTCTCACTGTGGAATATGTACTATCATATCCAAGGATGGCGCCAGCTTCGCAGTAGAATTCCAAGTGACCACCCGATGCGATCTTACTACTTAACATGGGCCACAGTGAGCATTAACGCCTGGCTCTGGTCCGCAGTGTTTCACACAAGAGGTCTGCCCTCAAATTATGTGTGATCACGTTTACTTATTGACTCCTTGAAGATTTGCCAAGCACAGAAAAACTGGATTACTTCTCTGCTGCTCTCGTCATCTTATATTCCCTGTATCACACGGTTCTACGGCTCTTCAATCAATATCCCACCCGTTCGTGTGAGGATGGCCGTATTCAGCGCACCCCCGTGCACCTTCTATGGTCGTCCGTCTGCATTGTAGCTTACCTCACCCATGTCACCTATCTCAGCGTTCTACCTCGGTTTGACTACGCCTATAATATGGCATTTAACCTTACTATTGGCTTCACGCATAATCTGCTTGTGGCTGCTATATACCCTTCCCGTATCATTACCCCTCATTCAACGCTTTCCTTTCAAATCAAGAACGTACAGGCCATCATACGCATCTAAGGTAGCAGCCTTTGTCGCTCTTACAACGGCTGCAACTGCTCTAGAACTCTTCGACTTCCCTCCGTGGGGTCGCATCATCGATGCTCACGCTTTGTGGCACCTCAGTACCGCCCCTATCGCGAAGTTCTGGTATGACTTCTTGATTGAAGATTCGTTGGATGATGGATGGAGGAAACCAAAGAGGTGAAGACAAATTCGCCTTTATTAACTGCCTCATAAAGTGCACTAATGGTGTGGAATCTAGTTAAAAATGTCCAAGCGTGTAAAAGTTTCTGCTCTAAAGACTGTGCTTTCTCCGTTTCTGCGCAAGCACGAGTAGAGAAACTGCTGCATCGTTAGCGTATTCACTTCCTCACTTCAGCGTACCGCACCTAGTACTGTATCCAGAGAATCCACCACAGATGACTCGATCTCCAAAAATGCATGTTGCGATATCATCCCCACCATGGCATAGCGCTTGTGGGGATAAAATGTTGCTATGGGGTTCGGACTTTGGGCTCCACCCTCATCAAGGCTGCGAAGCTGTTATTTGTTAGCTATATCGTAGAAATATTGTTGTTATTTCCCGACCTCCAAATTGGAACCTGCTATAGCCCAGGAGAAATAATTTCCCTCGCCGTCATCAAATTCCCATCGACTGCACAATATGGTAAAACGATCGTTCAGCATCACAAAGATGACTATACCTCCGTCGGCCTTGACCCTTGATTTTGCGCAACCATGACTCCTCGTTTATGAACTCTCCCTTGTACATGCTGACTGCAACGGGTTTGCCTGACTGGACCTTTCGGATGCTGCCGACAGTGTCATAGCGTTCTGCGCGAGTGTCCAGTCGGCGCACTGTCGTCAGATGCGACTCCCACTCAGGGGTTAATACCTCATAGTAGAGTGCATCAGTTGGGTTGGAAATGACGAGATTCTGAACGCTGGCGGTAGTAAACGTAAGTTTTTGGGTCATCGTCGGCATGAGACCTTGGCTTAAGACGGATGAATGTATGAAGTAGATTCCTTGCTTAAATACTTGAGCGATCTAACTCACACTCGATGCTTGTCTTCACACAATTTCTTTCGGCTTAGACTCAGGATCACAAATAGCCATGTGAACACCGATGAGAATGAGAAAAAGACCAGTGATGGTGCTTGTTGCGCAGTCCCCCGCTCCACTTGGCCAGTGTTAGAGGATTAGATCGTGGGTAGCCGCGGAGCTTCTGCCAGAACAAATCTCGCAATGCATCGGAGTTGCAAGGATCGCAGTCGCACATGGAGGAGAGGAGTCAGGAACTGATGATGCACTGTGTCGTTTCTAGAATGCAAGTATGTACCGACACGGGAGGATCTAGAGCGGGGAAATAAACTAAATGATCATGTCAAGACCCCTGCCTTCGGCCCATTCACCGAATAGGAGGCTGATACTTTCGCCGTTGTGTGTGCGACGTATGCTTTCAGCGATAGTAGAACTAATGTCCAGCGCTATTAACTTCGAAAATTGTTCCTTGTGCTCGTTTTGTGGAACGGTATTTGTGACCTGCGAGGCATATTAGCAGCACAACGAAAGTCATGAACGACTTACCACAAGCTGCTCTATAGGAAGGCTGTTCAAAGAAGCCATGTGGGCTTCCGCGAAGAGTCCTTCAGGGATCAACATCAGGCAATTGGCAATTGGATTCTAAATGACACGCACCGTGCGAAATAAGAACGTAAATAGTTTTGGCGCCTTTCTCATGCAGCGTCCGAGCAGCGAGTGTGAGCGTGTGGCCAGTATCTATCATGTCATCCACCAAAATAGCCACCTGGGGTGATCATCAATAAGGTTTCGAATAGACTATAAGAAGCAGGTGATTCCTTATCTCGAACGTCTCCTACCAGAAGCTCCATGCGTTCTGGAGCATTTTGAGACTTCCCATCACGTTTCCGGTGTATAAGGGCGAATTCGATCCCAAGTTTGTCTGCCATCGCAGTGACCCTATCCGCAGCTGAGCAATGAAACTGACGTCAATCCCCTGAAACAAAAAAACACGGACCTCTTGGCTCCACCGGCATCGGGACTGACAACAATACCATCTTGCCACCCGTCGATGTGCCTCTTGATGTACGATACCATCAAAGGCTCTGAGAAAAGGTTGTCTACGGGAATGTCGAAAAATCCCTGTATTTGACTAGCATGCAGATCCATAGTAATGACGTGATCGCATCCCGCGCTAACAAGCATGTTTGCCACCAGTTTTGCTGTGATCGGTGCTCTAGACTCATCCTTTTTGTCCATACGGGCATATGGGAAACACGGGATCACAGCGGTGATGCGGCGGGCGGAAGCAGTTTTGCACGCGGATATAAGGATCAGAAGTTCCATCAAATTGTCGTTCACATCGCTACACCCTGACTGGATGATGAAGACGTCTTCCTCGCGGACGGATTCGGAGATCTTGACGTTTATCTCGCCGTTGGAGAATTTTTTGGGCATACATGGCGTGAGGGGCACTCCAAGCCTATGTGGGTGAATCACTAGTCCGTGGGCTGTTTTGCTGCATCATTTAAAGCGGCAGCTCACCGCTCGGCCACGGCATGGGCGAGCTCTGGGTGACTATTGCCTGGAGAGCCCAAATCAGCGGAAGGAAAGTACTGGTGCCAGATGAACATACCCGCAAGAAGTCTGATAGAATTTCCGTGATACATAATTTATAAAATTGCTGGATGGCTTTATAACATAGAACAGGGTGAAGAAGAAGAAAAGGGTGACTGTTGCAATTGGGTGACACAGCTGACTGACACAGATGCCCCTTGCTAAAAAAAATGTCGATAAAATGACCTTGTTTGCGCAGCACAAATAATCTACATCTACACTGCCACATCAAACAGACACTCTAATAGTGATGTTTTCTACAACGTATTCTGTGTCTGCATAACCGAGGAGCTGAACTATGCGAGCGCTGAAGACAGCTGAATGAAAACAGCTTGGAAGCCAGAAACGAAAAACCCACCTGTTTAGGCCCCTTACACGGGAGATTTGCGCAGAATTGTAGTTTGCTAAACCTCGTCCTACTTCTACACAATCCCAGATTTCGCATTCGTCCATCTTTTCGATCAAATGGGTCTCATCGTCCGTAATCGTTTGAGAATCAGACATTATATCATCTGATAAAGATGCCGACGACCCTGAACGGGAGAGTGGAACAAGGGATGTGACTGAGGCCGTCACTGATGCCTCGGGTTCTAAGACCGGCGTGCATGGTGTCGTTGCGGCCAGATTGCAATATGGCATTTGTGCAACTTCCTTGGCCTCAACTGGAACTCCTTCAGTACTGCGGTGGACTAATATGCGAACTGCTTGGCCAGAGGCAAATGAACCTCGAACTCCGAGCACCCCAGCTGGCAGCAGGCGGCCACCAGATTCTCGACGAGACAATACGGCATGTGCTCCGGAGTCAACGATCACGCTGCCTGCTGGATAAAGGGTATGACTTGTCCATGCCTTTAGGTCTCGCATGGGAATCAAAGCAGGCTTAAAGACAGTATGTGGAGGCCTTGGCCAACTGAGGGATGCAGCGACTTCATCCAAATCGACCTGATTAAGCTTTTGTGGAGCGATCGGGCTAGCAGTACCTGAAGTGGGTACTGACGTGCTTCTCAGTGCTGTATAGTAGTCAATGATGTCGACGATCACTGAAGGCTGTTTGCTGGATGCGATAACAGTTGTTACGCCAGCGCCAGTTGCGATTTCAGCAGCAATTAATTTTGTTTCCATTCCGCCGGTTCCAAGGCTAGATCCTAGCGTTGATGTGCTGACTGGAGAAATGAGGTTAGGATCAACCAAATCACTACTGTATCCGATCTGGACCCGTACCTTGTGCTCGGATAGCAGCAACAGAGATGACCACATCAAGCTTTTTCGCAGAAGGATCTTTTCGTGGGTTGGATGTATACAGACCGTCGACGTCTGTAAGTAGGAAAAGATAATCGGCGTGAATCATAGAACTCGTAATAGCAGACAACGTGTCATTGTCGCCAAATTTAATTTCCTGTGGACAGTTAGCCCGTGTTGCTACTCATCGTATCTGTAGTAGATACTTACGCTGACAGATATGGTGTCGTTTTCGTTCACGATAGGCACCACGCCCATCGACAAAAGTTCATTTAGTGTGTTGACAGCGTTCAAATATCGTGTGCGCTGGGGTGTGTTCAATGCTTGAACAGGGCGTCTGCGGAAACCACCTTACATCGGATATGTCTCCTCTTGTTAGCAGAACCTGAGCGGTTCGCTGATCAAACTGCCCGAAGAGATTGTCCCATAATGCAATGAGACGTCCTTGTCCTATCGCTGCCAAAGCCTTCCGTTAATCAGTCCTAATCTCAGAAGGTGCAGAAGGAAGACACACCTGCTTTTTAGATAGACTTTTTGGTCTCTGTGGAATATCCATCGTCCTCAATCCAACTCCAATAGCCCCAGAACTGACGAGCACCACTTTGTGTCCATGGCTGCGAAGACTAATGACGGTCTCAACGACTGCAGAAAGTATGGACAGGAGGGGTTGGTGCGTTTCTTCATGGACGATGGAGGATGTTCCTACAGGGTTTTACAGATTACACATCTGCGGGAGGTGGAGCGGGGATACTACTAGTACTCGCCAAGCTTGATAACGATCGTGCTAGGAGTTCCACGTTTTGCTGGCCGTGACATTTTGCAGAGGTCGAGTATCGAAAAATCGCACACCAGTTGTATGTTGAGGGACAAGCGCGATCGGAACAGCAGCAGCACTAGTAGGTGACATTAAAATTATTGGACATGGAACGGCGGCGCCGGTAACATTGCCATGAGTCATGCAAAATAGTCACCGAATCCAACTTATGTTCATTCTTCTGCGAACCGTTACACCAGAATACAAACATCATAGCTAAATATGCATAAAACATCTCCACAGGTCATATGTAGAACTAACGACTCCAATCGTGTGGATGGCCCAAATTGTTAATTCATGGGAGCCTTGGCAGCTTCCTTCTCGCCCTTCAGGATGCGCTCGAGGTTGGCACCGATGCGGCGGCGCTGATCAAGGGTAAACTCGGGTTCTGGTGCAGAGTAGCCGAGCTCTGTGTGCTCAGTCGGTATGGTTGCAAGAATGTGCTCGTCGTAATGAACTTACTCAGACTCGGATATTGTATGGGTAACTCTTCAGTCTTCACCGGGAGAGCAGACAGATCAAGAGGGAATGGAGGGCCAATCCACGCATTCCGGAGTTGATGGTCTCTGGGAGGTCACTGTCAGGTGTATTACACCGGCAATGATCTGCACTCACTTTCTCTGCAAAGGCGCCCATGCCGCGCATTGGTCAATCAATCAAATGTTCGATAAGCAAATGAATTACCGCTTCACGGGTCAGCGGGTGCACGAGTATGCTTTGCAATTTGATTCCAATGAGCTGATGAGTCAACTTGACTGAGGAGAAATAAAGAAATACCTTAGATCACCCCTGTTCATACAAAGGTAGGAAAATACAGAGGAAAACGAGGTTGAAGGGACCCAGATCTCGTATGAACCTGGGACCGACTTAAAAATGATTTCTTTCCAGAAAGGGTATGATAGGCACTTACCGACTGGATGAGGACCGATAGGGTCGGTGTTCACACGAAATAATGGCACAGCGACGAACGCTCCATCACGCCTTAGACGCAGGACAGCATCACGCAAGTCCAATGCAGCCTGGTGCTGATCAGCGTTGCGCTGATGGAAGTAGATATCTGCACACAATCTTCAGCAACTAAAAGACTGATACCCGTACTCTCAACTCACGGAAGTGCCACTCTCTGTCATGCACAGCGCGAACAAACCATGACAGAGTCAATGATCAGTACTCAGTAGTGAATTCGGGGCACTCACTTGACTTCCAAGTTAACAACTTCTTCAAGGTCGGTTGGTGGGTGGTAGTCTGACATTATGACCCTCTTTGAAAAGGAAGCCCGGCTCCGCAGCTAGTCGTAACTACTAGCGCCAAGGATGATATATTTGTAAGTGTCAAGTGCCGTGCCCTTGAAAGGCGATCAGCAGACTTCAGAGACGGTAGAATGTGCAATACGCCTATGTGACACAAGTCAAAGGGGCGCCGGGATTGCCACATGTTATACAAGTTCAGTGAAAGACAAGCATTGATACTGAGCAACAATAATGGGTGCAAGTGTCATAGTTCCGAGCCGTGTCCGTGATTGGTATTTACCATTAATTTTCAAATTCATATGTAAATAAATAGCCCATCGGAAGTGTTGCCATGCAGCACGAGTGCGCAAGAATTCAGTGCGAAGGGAAGAACGAAAATATTTGCAATCAAAGATGGCGGTGACCGTGTTTTCAAGGAAGAGATGTACACTTAACGGTGGACTTTAAAGTTCAGGAGGACTTCTTATAGAATCACGCTCAGGCTAGTATTAGTGACTCTTGGTAAAGGTACCCAGGGTGAACGTTAACTCCCGTTGCAAGAAGTACACCAGCATGTCAGCAAGTGCGCCCAGACGGGTATCTCATCACCAATTGGAGCCTGGATAGCTCCGGCAACCATACCTGTAGGATTGATAGACACTGCCCAGCCACGCATGACTCCTCAGTCCTCAAATTCTGTTCCCAACAATTGACTCTGCCATCATGCTTCTGTCCCGCTATCGAGCATCTTTGATTAAATTTGTCATTAGATAAACGATTTATTCTACATAAAAGCGTACCAGTCTTAACCATATTCCATTGAGACATTTTTGGTATCGCTCAAGTCCAATGTCACATAGAACTAAGCCGTAGTAAGGCTGCGGTAAAACCCATGAGTTCTGTGGGTCATCGTATCTTCAGCATACGCAAGTCCTCTGAGTGTTGTTGTAGTTGTCATGACATTAGTGACTACGACTGTAGTGGTCGTTGTGACGGCAGCCTGGGAAAGGGACAATGATTGAGACAACACTAGCAGGTAGGTTGTGAGAGGTTGTGTCTGTGATAGACATGGTATTGATGCGGGACTTTGGAAAAACTGGCTTACGCGAGGAAGAGAAAATCGCGGATTATCCCCACCAGGTACCAGCAGCCGCTGCAGTGGTAGACCAGTAGTACTGACACCCTTAGGGTTCAAGATCGCAGGCACAGCCAAAACGGCCGGCATAACCAGCACTATCATGAAAAGTAGAGGAGCCAAGGATATTCTGCAGAGAATATTGCTGTTTGTAGTGTTGCGTTGACTTGAACTGCACAGAGTCCAGATGGGATTTGAATCGAGTCTTGCTGTCCGAATCGGAACACCGTGACGCTGACAATTGCTGAGCGCTGAGCTCCCAGAACCGTACCTTCGCAGGTACATATAAAGATGATCATCTGACTCCCGTGCGCTATCATAAAGTAATGGGCGAGGCGTGCCAACCGGCGGTTCATTGTCAATTATGCTCACCTTGTCATGCTGTGCACGGTGATCTTGGAAGTATACAACGAAGAACTATATTTGCGGAGGAATGAGGGTACATTTCACGCAAAGAGCAAGAACATGTATAATCAACTCATTGTTGGACAAGAGCGTGTTTTTGAACAGATTTACCACGCAATTCAGAGTTGCGAGAGCAGTCTTTTCTTTGTGGAGGGTCGACCAGAAGGAGGAAAAACTTTTGGTGAAAGCATCACTATCGTCCGCATTAAGCAAGCACACGGAGACGTCGTGTCGATAGTTAGCAACACGCAATACCTGTCACTGATGACGCGTCTCACGCTGTTAATCTTTACTCCAAAATATAACCATTTTCACTGCATGCCGGCCTCATTCGATCGAAGCAGCAGCTATTATCTGTGGTGGATGGTGAATTGCAAAACAGTTTCCTTTTGAAACTAGCTCACACGGCTACTTTCAATGACTGCTAGGGTAGATCTCACGCTCTCTCGCACAGTTCTGGACCTCAAAAGCTGATCCATTGGTTCATGGACATATACTGCATTTCCTGTGTTAACGGCCAAAGGTCACCGGTCACCGCTTATCATATATAAATACATTGTGTCCTGTCGGTGTCAGGTTAGTCTGGTATAGTGATTTTGTTACAGAGAAAGAAGGCAAGTTGTACCCGCGCAACTTGTCCAAGTCACGATAGGTGGAAGTAAAATGCAGTCGGTGTCTAGCTATTCCTCCGATGCATCAAATGGACTTCAGATATATGCCGCCACATGGAGGAGCGGACCATGACATTAACTGAGGGATAACCTCGCTTGTGATAGTTGCACTGTTCCCATTGGCATCGAATCATTGTGCCTTGGCATCCAGGAAGATGGTTGTCATGCCAATGCTGTTTTAAATCCTCCAAGGTTCCTTCGTATTCACAGCATGTATTGTTATATACCCACTGGCAGGGGAGGCAAGATGGCTGGTTGATTGGCAGTTCCAACTGAGCTGGAGGGACATCAGGAAAAGCCTCCTGGGTTAAAATCGAGTAATTTTGAAACTTCGTATAATTTTTCTTAATCACTCTTATTTAGAAACAAAGTAGATAACCATGTAGCGGCAATATTAAATTGTTTTGAAACAGAAGAGAATTACTGAGTATTATCTGAATATCGAGAAAGTGTGTCTATCAATATAAGAGTTGACCCAAAACACGTTACAGTCCTCGAGAATGGTCTCACTCATCCATTCTCACAGAGCTGAGTCTCCAAACTTTGGTATAAGGTGAATACTATGCATGATATTACCCACTGGCACAATACTACTAACTCTGTCACCACCTCACATCAATCTTGAGAGTTTATACAGTCTGTTGTTTCAGTCAGGTGCAGAAGGGAAGGGAGTGAACCATTCAGTATATGTGAGGTGAGGAGGAATGTTGACAGTGGGTGGGAAGAGCAATTGTAAAGACTTTGGGGGCAAGGAGAATATAACTCGAATTTGCCCCACACTGAAACCTAATGAGTCAATGAGCTGTGAGTCCTTGAGTAACAGCCAAATCATGCACCTTTGAGATCATTTGTAACCGAGTCTTCGCCAAGTCTAACAAAAACAGTGTCAGAGCGCTGATGAATGAGCTGAGAGCCCAACTTTTGTTGAGGTTTTGTGTGGACACTGTCCAAGGTAACATGTCCCTTGGTTAAACCACCAGTATCAATAGAGCACCATTTGATCTTGTGACAGATGGGCAGATGGTGGAAGGGAAAGTGAATGTCACCCACCAAATGATCAAGTTCTCGATCATGGAGTGGCACTGAATGATCACCTTGACATTTGTGCACAATGTAGTGTGCAAGGGCCTCGTGAAAATGAGTCATGCCATAATCTTCAACCAATTTTTGAATGCTGACAGCCTTTGCAGTGGGATGTTTTGTCATCACTTGTTCTTGATGGAAAGTCATATCAGGAGGATGTGAATGGTATGGCTCAAAGTGGTGACCACCTGCAAGACACCAACTAACAAATTTCTGGTGCTGTAGAATTTTTTCCTTTTGTTCGAGCCAGCACGTCATCTGAATGAACTCGTCCTTGTGGTTGGTAGCACAATAAGCATCCTTTGCTAAGTCAATGTGGAGGTGCTCGGTGTATTCGGTATTATAGTTGTCTGTTGTACTGAACAATGTGATCATGAGGTGGTAATGACATGCTGCATGCAACTTTGGTAAGTTGAAATTATTATGGATACCAAATTGAATAAAAATGTCTTTGTTTGGATGGAAATGATCCAATGCCTCGTCTAGTGAGTGAAGTGTCTCTGAGCTATGACAAGGGTATTGTGTGAGATATAGGGAGTTGAGTAGGCCATGCACTGCTTGAAGCAAATGACCAGCATTAAGATTGTTGGGCAAGCAAATGTCAATTATGATCCTGAGGATGAAGTGGCAAATTTGAGCGTGTTCGGTGCCACTTATGCATGACAGGCAGGTGATGCCTTTAGTGAATAGGTGGATATGATGGTTAGGAGGGAGCCGTCGACAATGGTGTCTTAATAACTGAGGGTCTTATATAAATGCATGTAAAATGTAATGACACCACAATTACACTGGGATAAGACTTCTTGCCAGTCCTCAATTAACATGGTCTATGACTTTTCTTCTTTTGTGGTAGATAACGTGTGAGTTCTTGGGAGGCTCACTAGACCAATCAATGTGATTAACTTAGCTGGAGCTTTTGTGTTATATCCCAACTTATAAACTTGTCTAGGATAAACCGTCTAGACACTGGAACATGGTTCCTTGTTAAGATAATTCTCTGTAGAGACTATGGTCTCAAATACAAATATGTTGACCAAAGACTGGTTGGTCAAATAGGCACAAAGTGGTGAGAAACTGGTCTCACAAATGAACAGATTGACCAAAGCTCGTGTTGGTCAATATCAGATAACTAGGTGAGAAGCTGGTCTCACAAATGAACAGATTGACCAAAGCTCATGTTGGTCAATATCAGAAAACTAGGTGAGAAACTGGTCTCAAATAAACTAAGTTTCTATCATAAGAAACTTATGTAATCTCAAGGGAATGTCTTTTCCCTGCACTTGGTACTTCAAAGGGGCTTTCTTTGTAAGCAACAATCTTCACAGTGAGTAGCTCAAACTGAGATTCAAATGATTGCAAGTGGGAGATCCTATTTTTTTGGGGGGGAGAATGGGCCCTCCTTATATACATTCTGTGTGGGAATATTATGTAAGTAAAAAAGCGGAGCAATGACATCAGAAGTGGAGCAGAATATTCCATAGGTGGAGTAATGACATCAGAGGTGAGTCATTGTGGAGCAGAACATTCCAGAACAAATGACATCATCATGACATCATAACTTTCAACAGAATACTTGCAGGAGTATCTGTGGAGCCATATGACATCATTATGACATCATACCCTGTAGGTACAATTTTGTGAAGTATCTGATGGGTCAGAGCATCCCAATAGAAAAATAAATCAAGGAAATACTAGAGAAAACAACTCAGAAATAATAATACAATAACAAGACACAAAACACAAAACACAGGCTTTTTAGATAGGTTTTTGTTAGGCTTTGAACTTTTCTCTATGGTTTTCTCTAGCCAAAGTGAATAAGCCAAAGGCAAGGCAATACCTTAACCTTCTTGCTTCACAATATCAACTAGGTCATTATGTGATTCCCATCTCACAAATGACTTTTCTTCAAGATATAATAAATTCATGAATCACAGAGGGGAAACTGAACTATATGACCAAGGTTTGAAACCAAGGTATGGGTTGACTAGCCTGATGCCTAAGCTCACAGACTTTGTCTTTTAGGGGGGCTACCTAGTAGTCATGTCCATGCATGATTCCCAAATCATGCAGGACAACAGGCATCAATCTCAGCCCCTCCACAAGCTGCTGACAACCATGCCAGGAGGTGCTTGATCAAACCTTGATATAGCTGGTGCAGGACATCTGGCATGATAGTGCGAAAGATATTCGTGAAAGGAAGATCCTCCCAAAAAGGATGAATGATAGGTTTGATGCCAGCAGTGGCACATGTGTGAACAAATGCTAAGTTTCTGTCGTTGAATGCAGCAAGTGCGTCCAGTACCTTGCTAAGTTTTCACAAGTGAAATTATATTGTATTACTTCCTGTATCCTTGGCATCGACATCACACTTCAGGCACTCTCCAAACTTGACACCTGTAGTCATGAGTTGTTCTGGGTAGTCACTGACAAAACTAGCAAATATCGGATGACAATGACAGCGAGCACCATCACTGCTATGCATCAAAATGCCCTCTGTTCCAGCAGGTATGAGTGGAGCAAGCACATGGTGTAAACATGTGTGGTACAAATTTGCGATAGTGCGATGATGAGATGCTTTGTTTGTAATGTGTTCAAGGTGGCTTGTTGGCAGATAAGCAAGAAGGACATGACTACCAGGTGAAGGCTTGTGGTGAAGTTCCTTTGGTATGTTGCCAATTGTAAGATACATGGGGTAGACAGTCTTGTTGTGAAACATTGTCACTTGTGTTTTGTTGGAGGAAATGATAGTTGGAACTATAGTTCTGCCAGGATGTTGTGCATCAAGTTTTTTCTAAGGACATTGAGCAATGAAGTCTGATATCATAATGAGTCTAACATACCTGTGTTTTCCACCACCATTTGCTGGTATGCATGTCATGGAATAAATGAACAGTCTTGTTGTCATCAGCATAGTGCCACTCCAGGGAAAATGTGAGATATTGGGTGAAGTCAGGATCCCCATATAATGACTTAACACATTCGATGATATCACAGTAATATACATCAAACGATTCACCAGTGACAATGACCTGTTCTCATTTGAATTTTGGTCATCCTGTCAGAAGCTCATGGTCAATGAGCTTGTTCAGCTCATTCATGTTTTTGAATGACAGTCCCAGCTGTTCACTGACCTAGTAGTATTGCTGTCAATTAGATACACATGCAACAAATAAAATCCCTCACCCTGTCAATAGATAGCAAGTCTGTAAACACAGTAGAGCTTGACCCACAAAGCTTGGCCCAATGTGCTACCTCCCATTCAATCTTCAAAGCAAATGGGTAGTACAGGTTCTCCTCATTCTTGGCATCAATGAGTTGTGCTTCATACATTGCATTTGCAGCCTGATCAGGTGAAAGACATGATGTTCTTTGACCAGCGCATGGGTCAGGATAAGGCACAACTACACATCCATGCTGCCCCTGTGCCTGAGCCTCGATGTCCTGACAAGTATTAGTATTGTGAGCTTCACCATCATTGAGATTGTTGAAGGGGCCGTCCTCAGGTAGCGACTGCACTGGCACCTCCCATTCAGGTTCGAAGAATGAGTCATCAATGTCCTCTCCCTGATAATGAGAAGATTCAGTGCCAAACCTTCAGCTTCAAAGTAACCAAAGTAAACTCACAGGATTATTGTCCAAGTCACTATCCTCTTCCTGTGAATGAGAGTGAATAAGAACCGAGCCTTCAGCTTCAAAGTAACCAAAGTAAACTCACAGGATTTTTGTCCGAGTTGCTAGAGTGTTCAGAGGCATCACTGTCAGCTTCAAAGTAACCAGAGTAGTTGAACTGAGAGTAAGAGCAGTCAGAACCTTCAGCTTCAAATTAACCAAAGAAAGTGGCAAACCTTGGGATGTCCTGACTCAGGTGCAAAATTTTCAGTGATTTTGTTGACTGGGTTTGGGTTTGTTTGGGAGTGTGAATTCCTGTAGAGTGCTTGACACCAGGAGTCGTGGCTCTTTGTGAGATGCTGGCTAAGGCCAGTGACAGTGAAATTGTCATGGCCACATGCTGGGCACACCTGGAGGGTCATACTAAAGAAAACAAGTGAATAAGTGGGCAAAAGCAGAAGAGGGTAAGCCTGAGGTAATTGTTTGAGACTGCCAACCCACCTAGTATAGTCAAGTCAGGGACAGACTGTGTCTGTGATGCATGTGGCTGTACTACAAAATTTAGTGCCGTCCATTCTGAAACTCAAATTATTTTACTCTTACCTTCTCCCTACCAGTCTCTCTAGTGTCTCACTCCCTACCCCTACCAGTCTCCCTAGCAGTATCTGTCAATCACACTCCCTACAAGTCCCCAACAATCACACTCCCTGGCAGACCGAAATTTCCACTCCCTACTTAATTTTTTTTAGTAATTGAAGTCCCAATGGAACAAGTAAAAATGACTCCACCTCAGAGTAAGTGACAGTAAAGACAAGCACAGACACAGTCTCAAAAAACCTCCATAGAGTTGGAGTCACTGGCATGTGGTGCAAAAACTAGGGCTTTGGAGAATGCAGGTGAGTGAGAAGGACACAAGGAAAAACTTGCTACTAACCTGAAAACAGTGTGGAAGCAGGACAAATGCAAGCATCAGACATCGCCAGCTGAGCAAGGCATGAAGAAGAGAGCTCCCAGTACCAAAGTATCCAAAACACCTCATAAACAGAGTCTGGTGCAGAAACCTTTGACACTGAGTACATGTGTTTCTTGCATGATATAAATTGCCACTTACTGATGTACAACAAATTGCGCAGAGCATCAGTGCATTGAATCTGAGTCAGAGGCCAGTGAACATGATAGCTTTAGTGAAGGAGATAAGAAAGGTTAGTCATCTTGTTCACTGGCCAAAAAGGAAGTCTTACAAGTCATGTGTGCACAGTGTCCCATTATCGGTGCCCTACCAAACTTCATCGCACTTTTGCCATGCAAGATGTGAATGTCATGTTACCAATCTCAGAGAATGAGCAGAGTGATGTTGGCTCAGATGATGCTCAGTGCAATGTCCATGATGCAGGTGCTGACAGTGACAGTGATGCTGATGCAGCAGGTCTTGGCAATGACTCAGAAGATGATGATTTAGATGCGGCTGTGAGGATGCTTTCAGATGAGGTGAGTAGTACTTTAACATTTTGTCAACATCATATGATAAGTCCTCACAAACAAAAAGGTTGCTTCACTGGTCACACACAGCCAGAAACCTTGGAAGTCTTCAAAGGTGTCTGACTCTGGTGCCAACTGCTCATCTGCTGCTGATAGGAAATGAGCAACAAAGGTGAGAACTGTTCAATTTAAATCAATTTTTTTTGATCATGGTCCTTGATGCATTAGACTCTGACCTGGGGCGATGTCAATGACACCATTTCAGAGTCCACTGAAAGTACCACTACTGGTGGTGAATTGTCAATTTCCTCTGACTTGAACAAAGATACTGCAAAACTTGTCCAAACCCCTGCAAAAAAAAGTGTTGCCTCACTTGTTCAAACCAAGAAAGGCAAAGTCAAACTTCTCAATCAGAATCTACAGACTCACCAGGTCATTCAAGCCACTATCTCTGAAGCCAAGTGCCATGTGATGTTTGTCCATGGGTACCCAGAATTAGTCAAAAAGAACCAGCTCTCAATGTGAACTTTGTTATCTGTTGCTGAGAAATGTGGTGTGGATGCAATCAAAGAATGTCTTCAAGTAGATGAGCTGTATGCTTTACAGCTCAGTGCCTTGGTGAGTTGATTCAGTTGCAGCACTTACCCAGGATAATTCTAATTGTCCTTAATTTATCTGAGGTGGATGCATGCATCCCAATAATGTGCTGTGAGCTGAAAGACGATGCTTGCACAAATGTTGATGGCTACTTCTGCCTTGGGCACAAGGACTTTGCAAAGGCGAAAACATTGATGGAAAAGCTAGTTTACATCTATGCTATGAAGTTCGATGTGAGTCCTTTATGCTTTCTCTGCCTGTTGCTGATAGTTGTACCTCTTTTTCAGCTCAATAATAATGCCACACCCATCAGGAACAGGCCCTACCAGGGTGAACTCCTTGTATTGTTGATATCTAACCAGCTCTTTCATAGCTCAAGGGCCATTGGTGTGAAATTCGCATCACGCTTTGTCAAAATTACCAAGAACAAGTCGAAGCATCCCAAAATTCTGATTCCCTTCCTCACACTGGTGGCAACAGTGGTAGTGTGCTTGTCTTTACTCGGTGAATATGCTGCTCAACTTTTCATAGGTCTATTCCACTCTTTTATGGAAGTTGCTTGGTTCTCCAGGGAAGTTCAACTTCTCTGGAAACCAATTCAGCAAAGTTTACAGCTACCACGTCAAGTCTCTTGAACAGCTGAAGCATGACACGCCTGGAAAGTTCCATTATATGATGGCAGATATTTATGAGGCTGCATAGTGAGTGTTCTTAGTTCTCGATGCTCATTACTGACTCATCACTTGGCTTACAGTAAGTTGAAACACAATGGCAGTACTGGGGATCACATTGAGGTGAATGCCTTCGAACTGCTTGACCTTGAGGGTATGGAGGAAGACTAGTGACAGGAATCTGCTCTTTTGGTGTACCTATGTAATTCAAATATTGTCGAGACTTGTGGCATTGATATATGTCTCTATTCCGGTCATTACTAGCTATTACATACCCTTTTCTAATCAAAAACTAATTTGTTCATGTAATGCTGTCTGATGGCGGGGAAATTGGTGAACATTGTATGCTGAAATTTGAAAGGATGGTCTCTCAAATGCTCAACAAATTAGTCAAATAGCTAATGGTTAGAAACATTTCTGTCAAAGTTTCTTGGGGTAACATAATCTATGCGATCTTTGAAATCAGTTGCTTTTTGAGTAATCCGTCAATATTTTTCGATAATCACCAATATTTAGCCCAGGAGGGTTTTCTTGATGGAGTTGAGAACTGGTGTACATGCCTCCTAGATCATGAAGATGATATCGCACATTTTGCGAGGGACCATGTGAGACAACAGTCCTGGGGTTGCCTGGTATCAACGAGCCAGCACTACTTGTGTTATCAGATTTAAGTAAGGTAGATAGAGAGCATGATAATTACTTTGGATTTGCCATCATAGGGATGACATAATGCATATCTGAGGCAGCCATGTTGCATTGAGAGGACACGAGCAAAGTGTGGCTGATTGGTCTCAGCCTGTGTATGAGTGTGAGAGTGCATATGAGCAAATAAGTGTAATGGCAGACCTGGGACCTCCTAGACTGTGGAGATATGGTACACTTTGCAAGGGGCCATGTGAGACAGCAGTTCTGAGATTGTCTGGTGTCCATAAGGCAACACTACTCATGTTGTTAGATTTATGTAAGGAAGATAAGGAGCACGCTAACTTGTGGTTTGCTATCATAGGGACAATGGAATCCATATCCGAGGCGGTCATATTACATTGTGAGGACATGGGTGAAGTGCAGCTGGTCAGTCCCAGCCTGAGCATGAATATGAGGCGACTATGAACAAATAAGTGACAAAAGGCATACATTGGGGATGCACATGGAGATACAGTGGCTCAAAAAAGTGTCCGAATGTTTGTGCATTTTCAAGTAATTGGATAATAGTAAGCCAGCACCTGAGTACAATATAAAGGCATAGTGACAAGTCTAAAGGTGTGACATCATAGCTATAATCTGAGATATATATCGTGGGAACTCGACCATATATGGGCAAGATATGGTAATTTTAATCACATGACTCATTTGGACACTTTTTTGACTTTATATCCAAATCACAAAATCCAACCATTCACAGATATTATTCTTTATAGAAGTGGTGCAATAATCAATATTTAGTCTTATTTTAATATTATTTATATATATGAACCCACATAACATCATGAACTTTAACATAATCATCATACAGCCCATCTCCTCTGCTCCAAAGGATAATATCCTTATTCTCTGCTCCTCTAGTTTGTCTATGAGGCAAATTGCTTCCAAAACTGGTCCTAGCAAGTTTACTATTGCTATAGTCATAAACCAGAACATGCTAGAGAAGGAAAATTATAAAATGGGATGGTCTTTCAAGCTTACATTACAGCATAAAAGAGCTATTGTTCATTAAAGTCTATCTGGCAAGGCTTCAAATGTTGTCCATGCCACCAAGTTCATCAATTCCACTATTCCCACTCCCATTCCCACTCAAACAGTCAGAAACACCCTTCAGGCAGCCAATCTTATGGCTGTAACCAAGAAGAAAATACCTCTTCTTTCAGCAACCTATAGGGGCCTTTGCTTTAAAGCACCAACATTGGACTGTGGAAGACTGGAAGAAGATAGTTTGGTCACATGAGATAAAAATCAATAGAATGGGGTCAGATGGCCTGCAATATGTGTCAAAAAAGGTAGGGGAACCATTAGGGGAAAGAGAAGTCAAGAATATACTAAAGTTTGGAAGATGAAGTATGATGGTAGGGGTTGTAGGAGATGAAATGGTGTGGGGATTCTTTGTGAGGTGGAAGGAGGCATGAATGTAGAGCAGGAAATCTCCATGCTAGAGGAGTGTCTACTCAGAAGCATGCAGAAGTCAGGAATTGATGAAGACATTATCTTCCAACTGGATAATGACTCAAAGCATACCTCAAAGCTAGCTACAAAGCTCATGAGATCAATGTTCTATCATTGCCAGCATAACTATAGCAATAGGAGACTTGCTAGGACCAGTTTTGGAAGCAATTTGCCTCATAGACAAACTAGAGGAGCAGAGAATAAGGATATTATCCTTTGGAGCAGAGGAGATGGGCTGTATGATGATTATGTTAAAGTTCATGATGTTATGTGGGTTCATATATATAAATAATATTAAAATAAGACTAAATATTGATTATTGCACCACTTCTATAAAGAATAATATCTGTGAATGGTTGGATTTTGTGATTTGGATATAAAGTCAAAAAAGTGTCCAAATGAGTCATGTGATTAAAATTACCATATCTTGCCCATATATGGTCGAGTTCCCACGATATATATCTCAGATTATAGCTATGATGTCACACCTTTAGACTTGTCACTATGCCTTTATATTGTACTCAGGTGCTGGCTTACTATTATCCAATTACTTGAAAATGCACAAACATTCGGACACTTTTTTGAGCCACTGTAAGTAGACCCTTCCCATAGCTGGGTAACAAGAGGTTGGTGAATTATGCAGGGAACCATGCAAGACAGCATTTCTGCTCAATGAACTATCTGACATCCATAGGACACTACTTGTGTTGTTACATTTATGTAAAGACAATAGGGAGCATACTAACTTGGGATTTGCCATTTGAATAGGGGCAACAGCATGCATATCCAATGTGGTTGCAATGTGTTGTGATGGCACAAGTGAACTGTAGGTATTTGGACCCAGCCTGGATATGAGGTTCATTATGTGAAAAATAAATGGTGACAGAGGGCATACATTTGAAATGCATTGTTTGTCATCGCCAGAGGACTGAAGCTGAAGCCAACACCATTGTGCTGGTTACTTTGGAGGGTCGGTGGATTATGCGTCAAGTCATTATTGTCAAGCATCATTGATTTTTGTGGTGTTGAGGCAGACATCTTCAAGTTGTGGAATGGGAAAGGCAAACTTGACCTAGGGGATAGGATGGGTTTCCTCCATGTCTTTATACCATGCCCCACCACAGCAAACAAAAAATGTCCAGCAACAATATCTGTGAAAATATTATCATAAAACAATCAAAGGAGAATGCTGTGGTCTTACGTCACCTGAAGAAATAGCTAATGCGACACAATGAACAAAGCAAAGGACACTTAGAATGGTATATGGATAGCATCCATTCTTTTGAAATCAACCATACCATTACATAATAAACAACAGTCAAGCAGACCATGATGGTGGTAATCATATGAACCACATGGTGAGAACCAGTGAGTGTCTATTGACCTCGCCATTCAGTAGCTAGTGTTATGTTCCATCACCAGATAGTCACAGTAATCATCCATACTTAATCACTTACCCTAGACTGTGCTGCAGTAACTGCAACCATCTTTCAAGTGCAGTAACTGAAGTACTGACACCTTGATTACCAATGATGAAATTGATGGAGTGATATTGCAGAATTGAGCCAATTTCAATACAATCTTGAAGTTTTACATCCACAGCATGTTCCTGTGGATAGTGATAAGCCCACAGGGACAGTCCTAGTATGAGGTTTTAAGGTTTATGCAGGCCAAACTTCTGCCAGGAGCCTGCAACAGCCTCATCCCTGGAATTCCACTTTCAGCATCAGCTAAAAATTCACAAGGAGTTCATATGAACTTGTGCCACCACAGCTGGTCAGGTTTTAAATCAAGTATGATAGCATATTTAAGTCCCACCTATTGAGTAATCACATATATGCCGAGTCACCCTATTGATGCTTTTGACCTACAAGACTTTCTTGTGGAAAGCAATTAGCATTCATCATTCCTAGGTTCACATGAGAATCTGTTACCTGGTCACAAAATTGCACCATTGCAGAGTGAATATATGTGGCAATGCCTGCATAGTATTAGATGGTTTATGTTCCAATAAATTCGCAGATTTCTGGTGTTTTGTCTGGAGAACTATAGAGTACAATCATTAACCGATTTGTAGGAAAATCAAAAGCTCAATTGTGGGAAAATATGAGATGGGCAGGCTCCCAGTGTCAGAACACCAACTTAAGTTATGTAATGTTAAAAAAAAAATTACACCCCTCTATTTGACTGTACATGACCCAAGTCAGGAATGCCATCCGAAAAATGATCTGGGGTTGCAACCTTTACCCTATTGATTTGAAAATAGCTGTAATATGATAAACAATAAATGATTCTAATTATACAATTCAGAGAGCTATGTAAGTATATTACATCACATCACATGATTATGTTGTAACATGTGATCAGCTCTTTTAGCAAAGCTCACCTTCCTTGTCACAGTAATTAAAAGGGCCCGACAGGTCCCATGGAAAACGCAAGGGACAACAAGGAAAAAGGGGTGTGTATCCAATTGCGCAGTGTGGAACAACATTTTCCAGGTATTCCCCATAATTGGGATGATAATTTGATGCTTTGTGCTGATTCACATAGTACATGGCTTCTAGATCTATAACCCTTAAGAAGCTCTGAAGACCCCATGCCAAACCCTCACAGCCACTCTTCCCCATAATGGTATCTCATCTCTCTGCCTTCAGGATCCTGAAATAGATCTTGCCACTTTGATATACTTCTCAGCATCAGCACCAAGGTTGATCAGGCACCTCTGCAAGGTTGGCGGCAGCAGCACTCCTGATTTCCCCAAGCCTGCCCTTGAGCGTACTAGTAGATGAACCAGTCTAGCCATTTGAGACCAAACTTTCCCACTTAAGAGCGGCAGGCCGAATTTTGGACGAGTAAGAGGGATCACTCCTATCAATCTGAAGATACTTGTAGCTGGAATTATGAAATGCGACTAATGATCAGAAATAAGGAAAAATAAGGCTTGGGTGCTTCGCTGTATAGCATGTGCCATAAGCTGAGAAGTGAATGCGGATAATATATGACCTGGGGAAACATAGACCATATCAGCTCAAGCTTCTGGTGTATCAAATGTGAGAAGTTAATCACCAGTATGCATGGAACGTGATCTGCAAAAATGGCAAGCGCCAATCTGATCCTCCACCGCGGGGCGTGTGCCATCCTGTTGGACAGTAGTCAACTACAGCACTGAATGTATTACAGTTTGTGGTTTATAGGGGTATCAATTGAAATGGTCGAATTGTTATTGGCCGCACGATAAATCACATGATAGTGACAGATTCCGTCAGTCGGAGATTTGGCAGGGCGGTACCTGTCTACCCGCCAATACGATCATAGAAAAGCACGTTCAACATCAATTTGGAGGCCTGTTGGGATGACTTTTCCATGGAAGGGATAGTACGCATTGCGATCAGTTGCCTTGTTGACCTAATCCTCCAAAGTCAGCTGAACATCCTTCGAATCTCGTGGTCCAGGTCCATTTCTATACTCTGAAATAGGCACGAGATGTGTGGTGCCTGTCACGATTGATATCAATACCCTTCCTCGACGCCCACTCTTTCTCAACTCGGTTTTGTTCGCATACACAACCCTTTTCCAGGCTGAACCTCATGGTTCGAAAATTATCACCTGGCCGTGTCTTCTCGAGATCGAGAGACACAGACCGTTCTCCGACGCCCCCTCCTAAATCACCACCACTTTCTCCGATCAGCATTGCCTTGCCTCTCTCCAAAGGCAGCAAGTTCAAGGAGGGAGCCGTTTCTGCTATCTTCACTACTACCGTTCCTACGGAGAGTATCACAGGCTCAGTCAGGTCGCATCACACCTCGAGGCTTCAGAAACGGTCTCATAGAGTCATCACACCTACATCCCCTATACACAACATGTCTCCACATGAGTTCTCCCCGATATCCTCCATAGCTAGTTCTGCGGCTTCATTCAAGTTTCTGTCCCCACTCCCCACGGTATGTTCCCCTCATTCCAGTGCTGAATCATATGTTGCTGTTGGTCTGTCGTAATGGCAGCCCCCTTGCAACAGCCTCAACCATGCATATTTGAATTTATAAGTTCTGATGTCGACATGCACAGCACACAGATAGGCACGCTTCAACAGGTGAATAACAAAGAAAATTCATACCTAGATAATCATCGTGTGAGAGAGAAAGATGTTTTCCAATGATGTCGTACATTCTATCCTTACACCTCCTAAGTAAAGCTAAGCAATTGACTCGACAAGATGAAACTGGATTCGTGTAGCTCGTACTGTTGGATCGATTCAGGTCTTCTCGCTCAGACCCCTTCCTGCCCGAGCTATTCCATCGTCATGGAACGCCCATCTTTGGGAAAGGTGGCTATCATCTTTCTGCGCCTGCAAAGCTTGAAATTAGCACCATTTGACTTTCGTCCACTCATGATTCATGAAGTCACCGATTTTGTTCTGGACTGCCGGATTCAAATTTAATCTCGTCTGAATATGTCTGCGCGACGCACGTTATGCGCATACTTCTCTAGAAAAGTGATATTCTCTCTGCAGGATGGCATCAATGGCTATGCTTTGTATGATAGCGCTGGCTATACCAGCTGTCTTGACTGCCCCTGCGGACCCTGGGGGTGTCAGCACAACTGCCCAGCTGGCCTCTGCGATTATCTCTCCCTCCGCTAGCCAGTCTTTCCACAGTCCCGCGTCAACATCCATCTCTGTCGGCACAACCTACCTGTCGATCCCTTCACAAGCTGCCGTCACAACAGCCATCGTAGTCACTGACGTCGTGACAACTACGATTGCAATCACTCCCACGTCTACGACTACAGTCGTCGAGACTGTGACTGCAACAACCACCGTGGCCACCACTAGCACGCCATGGGGCGGTCGGACAGCATGGGCGGCTCCTCCAGACATGAAAGACTTATCTGCATTTAACGTCACTCACTTCCCCAGCGGGAAGCAGAATATCGCTATCATCAACAGCATCTCTGCACTCACCATTGTACCAGGAGGACTCGTGTATGCACAGGATATAATCGAGTCACAGAACACGATAAATAAACCGAACATTACTGGCTTCACCACCGCCTTACAACTTGTTTACCCGGCAAACTCCGTCAACCCTGCCAGCAAATCCCCAGGTGGGGCGGAGTTTTATGCGTCGCCATTGAACCTAGGCGATGCCGAGAATGTCACAATGGAATACAGCGTCTATTTTCCCGTGGATTTCGACTGGGTAAAGGGCGGAAAGCTACCGGGTCTGTACGGTGGTCATACAGGCTGTTCCGGGGGCGCTGCTGCCGAAGACTGCTTCAGCACACGACTAATGTGGAGGCAAGGCGGTGCCGGCGAACTATATCTAGTCCGTCGATTCACTCATAGTATCATGCAAGGGCTGACCTTTTCACAGTACGCTCCAAAGAGAAAGCAAACGAAGGCGTTATGTTCTGATCCACAGTCCGTCTGCGATTCCGAGTATGGGCTCTCGATCGGAAGGGGATCATTCCACTACAGCAGAGGGAATTGGACGACATTGCGCCAAGACGTCGTGCTCAACACCCCTGGAAAGCAGGATGGAGCGTTCGCTTTGTTCGTTAACGGGATGCAGGCGATCAACCGGACAGACGTATTTTATCGCGACGCACCTCAGCAGAAAAAGAAGTCGAAATCAAAAACCATGTCTTCGACATCGCCAACACCACAGCAAACACAAGGTGGTCTGCTGGGAATTCTGGCAGTGACTGCCACAGCGAAAGAAGCTGTAGCTTCTCGACCATCCGTCACCCATACGGCACGAGAAGCGCCAACGATCCTCGTCGCTGACGGGATCTCTGTTGATAGTACCGGTGGTTCCAACGATGAACCAGCGGTTGGTTTTGTTGGGCTTTTCTTCAGCACTTTCTTCGGCGGGCACGGAGACGGCTGGGCCACTCCCAAACAACAGTATACGTGGTTCAAGGACTTCGCCATTATGCGCAACTTTTGATAAGATCGTGACCTATCAAACAACCACAAAAAAGGTCCTGTGTGTTCGCGACCAAAGAGCTACCCTGAAAACGATCCATACCGAAAGATTAAAACCACCAACAACCACAGAACTGCAGACATTACGAGCCACATCCCCGTTCTTGACACTGGTCCCATAGATACCGCCTCTTCCAAAACTTCCTCGAGGGACTTTGCCATCGCCTCCATTCCAAACATCGTCCGGGCACGATCCTGAGCTCTCTGCGAGAGCGCCTTCCTATCTGTCTCTGAGAGATTACAAATTTCCTTCAATGCTTGAGCCCACACCGATGGCTGGGGACGGTAAAGCCATCCAGTCCTTTGATCCGGGGGTTGGTCAACGATACTCTCCGTGGGGCCACCGCTGTCGCAGGCAAGCACTGGCAGGCCACATATCATGCCTTCCACTGGTCCAATTCCGAAATGTTCGTTAGCTGGCGTATACAATAGGGCGAGTGTAGATTGAGCCTGGAGTAGACATGAACGTTGCGCGGTGGTAAAGTTTAGGAGGAACAATATATCCGGCTCATTCAGGGTCATCTTCTGGAACGACGGTACTGACACGCGGGACTGTGACGGGGTGATGACGTTGTAAGTTAGATCATTGAATTGTGCCAGCTCAATGAGGGATTTCAGGGTGCGCATATTATCCTCTAGACGAGGATCATAGCCACCTGGAAGATAGTCAGCGACGAACTCGTGTAATAGCTTTTATCCAACCGACCAGCAAGAACCAGCCTCACGTTTGATGTACTCGGATCCTTGTTACGCAATATCGCAAATGCTTCTATTGCCAAAGCAGCATTCTTCTTCATTTCAAACCGGTTGAGGGACAATAATGTTCGCCGTTGTCTTCACCGAGTGTTTGAATGATCAATGCATGAAAGAAACAAAAATAGACTCACGAGGCGACCTGAAGGATATCGGAATCTGATGGGTCGATTGGTGAAGTATAGGCTGCAATATTAATTCCAGGATAGACGACTTTCAGCTGGTGTCTAAGGGAAGAGAAGTGCGACTTGGTTACTCGTGCAGTGAACTTTGAGTTGGCGAGAATGAGGTCAGCCTGTGCTAGATCTCCGTTAAATGTAAATTCTGTGCAAGGGGTGGTACACATACTCGTAGTCGCCTCCTCTAGCCAATCCATTGGGAAACGATAGATGTATTTCAGGATACTGACATTCTTCCCCCGCTGATCCTCTACGTAGGCACCGTTCGCAAGAAGCTTGTCCGGAAAATGGCAGTAGAAAACGACGCGCTTCCCACAAAACATTCGGAGGAAGGGTATGCAAGTAGAGAGTTGGTCAACAAAGAAGACGTCGTATTGATGTGCTGACGTGCACATGAGGTGCATTGTGAGATGTAGCTGCCTTGCATGTGCAAACATGATATGAAACTTTCCCTGTATAGATCGAGGGTAGCGGTGGAATTACATGATGGACGGATAATCTTCCTGTAACGAAGAGCTGTATAATGATGACACGATCACTGCACAAGTATTTCCTGACGTACCGTCTCTTGTCTCGTCAAAACAGTGGTGCTTGTCGTGATGAGAAGTGTATATATCCACAGAGTGACCCAGGGATTGTAACCCCAATGCAGCATCTACAACCAGCCTTTCGGCTCCTCCTACGTGTCATAATGTGAGTTTGGTTCCATATTCGAATTTATTATGACATACGTACCGATTCCTAAGTCAGGGTGAATAAACGCAATGCGCAATTTTAAGTTCTTCGCCATCATTCAAATCAACAGCTCGGGCTCGTGTATGTCTTGCGTTCTAACGAATTGTGACATATTACGTAATGATGACCATGTGTCACGCACGCCTGGCCCTTCCATGATGATATCCTACCGTGTGATTATAAGCGATACCTGGAAATTATCTTTTGTTTTCCAGAAATCCCAGATTGACAATTTTGTCAGTACTGGCACCTATGTTTCATGTGAGGTTCTGGCAATGCTGCGACCAACAGTTCCACACGTGGTCCGGCATCGTCCCAAATCAAGTGACCGTGGCGATTATAAACACCCCACAGTCCAAGGGGCTTATAGACCTATATTCGGAAGGCGTGACGTGACATTGTCCGCGTGATTTTGACGCGTCACTTACGAGACGCGCCTGCTTCCGTCCTTCACTTTAGGCTTGGCTTGGGCTTGACCTAGTACTCCTACATATGCATATACTGAACAGCAAACATGTCACGAGTCCCAGAAAAAAGGTCTGTCATTGTATCTGCACAATCAATGTTGCTAACTTGCTATGTTTCTTTTAGTGTTCGCGTGAGCTTCACCGCAGACGAGGACACCCTCCTCATGAAATACATTGCAACATATAATCCTGCTAAGAAATGCAGAAGCGGAAATGCCCTGTACAAGCGTCTTGAGGAAAACGTGAGTTTCTCTCATGTTTCTCTTGTGAAACAAGTTCTAACACTGATATAGGTCGACAACAAATGGAACTGGTCCAAGACACACTCTTGGCAATCCTGGCAATTCAGATACAGGAAAAATATGGATGAATTTGATAGGAGGATATTGAAGTATCAGAAGAAGAAAGGAATCAAACCGGAGAAGCAACTGGGGACGGAGCCTCAGTTGCCGCCTTCTGATGAAGAAGAAGCTGCGAGGGACTGTTCGAAAGAGACCAGCAAAGGAAAAAGGCCGGCTGGCGGCCAAGACAGTCCTGAGAAGCGGAAAGTAAAGCGAGCGAAACTGGAAAGAGACCAGCCAGATGCTGGGAGTAGTCGCTCCCCCTTGATGAAGACCAATGGGACACGCCAAATTCCCGCTGGTGGACAAAGTGACCAAGCTCGTAGTTCTCACCCTCATCAGGGGCCATTAGAAACTATGTCTGACGTGCCTCCACCTTCCCCGAAACCAGCGAGCACGTTCAATATTCCTTCGCTCCCTTCTCGCTCAGATACCCTGCCAGTCCCGTCGTCCCTACCCAATTCTCCTGTCAGGACCCTGCCACCAAACTCGTCCCAGCTTCCACCAAGTTCTCAGCCTTTTGCATCATCTTCACAGCAGGTAGTCACCCCAAAGCCGCCATCAGGGCCCAAACGAGTCTTGAAGCGCAAGTCCGTTTCCCCCATCTTTGGCTCGCTCTCGCCAACATGTGATCGTTCTACCCCTTTAAAGACGAAAATTCTCCCCAAAGTGGTAGAAGGGCACTTTACAACGTCACTCACTGATCGGCTAGGTCATGTGCGACTAGGTGGTCGTTCTGAGGAGAAACAGGCAGTGGCTTGGCCTCCCGTTCGGGGCAAGAAGGATAGAGAGAAGGAGGTAGCACAAGAACCAACCGCGTTAACTTCTTCAACGGCTCAGGAACGTGAACGCCATCCCGTCAATGGATCCGAGTCTCAGACATCACAACCGGCTGTAGTGCCTCCAAAGAGCGAACCAGAATCTCAGCAACCTCCAGCTCCTCTTCCACCACATCGTACAGAGTCTGAACACCACCCCTTCAGCCAAGTCCCACTTCCTCTCCCTCCTCATCCTCCACGTAATCACAATGGCGCAGATGAAGCCGAATCTCCTCTGAAGCATCGCTCGACAAACGGGGTGGGCCACCTCGTTAAGAATTTGTGGGACAGAAAACGAGACAACGTTATGGGCTCAGCATCGGTTATGGCCCAACCTGTGGCCGGGCCGTCAAAATTAACCACTACTGCCGGGCCTTCATGTCTCACATCCTCTGCTGAACTACCACATGGACAGCCAGTTGTTGTGCCTTCTGCCACACCAACGAGCAAGGAAAAGGCACACTTACCGAACACACCGTCGTTAGCTCAAATTTCTACTGAATCTACTTCGAGTACGATGGCTACCGTTCAACAGATACGGGTTCCATCGAAGAAAGAGTTTGTCCCCATCTTAAACGCTCACTCAATTGTCTCACCACAAGACAGGAATTCACGTTCGCCTGGCTCAGCCCCTCGCAGATTCAATATGCAGCCATTTCCCGTACCAGGTTCACCATTCCTACCTTCTAATACAGACAAGGGCAAAGGGAAAGGCAAACAGCGCGATGTTGAGCCTCCGGTGACACATGCTCAACGTCTACTCAATCGTACTCGAAAGCGACACCGGAGAAAGACAGTTGGTGGCTATGACTTGCCACGCATGGACCTTCGCACTCTATCAGCAGTGTCGACTTCTCGAATCTCTCGTTCTAGAGGCAGTAGTTCAGCATCACACTTACCTCACCGCCCCTCCCTCCCTGTCCATTCCACACCATCGGCCATCCCAGCTGACCTCTCCGGCTACCTTATCACACCTGGGCCTGCGATTCCATCAGTTCCACTTGAGCTTATCACGCCTGTTGACTTACCCCTGTCTGCCTCTGTCGGATTCAGATCCTTAATATCACGTATCGCTGCCGCGCATGGATACTCACCAGATGTCGTGCTCGAGGTTTACAAGCGCGTCGAAAGCTTGGAGGAGACTGAGAAGTGTGTAAGGGGCATGCGCGATGTTTCTGAGAGCTGGATTGAAGCGGCACTCAAGCAGAGGGAGCGGGAAGCGCGTAGAGCCAGGAGAGCCGAGAATGACAAGGAGAGCGACGATAGCGACGACAAACTGCCTCGTGGCTCTCGTCATCGACCATCCTTGCAACAAGCTTTACCAGAGAGGCGGTTGCCGAATGGGCTGCGGGTACGGCATGAACCTGGATTGCATGAGTTGGAATATAAGCCTCTGCCTACGAAACAGGGGCGCGCTAAAAGGCGAGCGTCGATGGGCGGAAGTACCAGTATGGGTACAAGCTGGAGGGCGGATGCAGGGCGTTACAGGACCAATCACGTAGGGATGAGGTGGCAGATACTGCTGTCGACAGTAGTGAAGGGAGTGATGATGAAGCCGCTTCAGGAGAGGAAGATGAAGAAAGCAGCGACGATGTCAAACAAGCAGAAGAGGAGCGTGTTGTGGAGAGGCTCGTTTCTGTATCTCCATTGGAAGACCTTCAGGATCAGGATGATCTCGAGTACGACGCCGGAAATGATCCCGAGCTTGCGCCCGATGATGCAGAGCAGCTTGATGAGGAACAGCATCACGATTTCTCACTCCGAGAACGTCCTCGTGCCATACGTATCAAGCACGAAAGCCTGACACCACCCTCACTTTGCAGGTTGCATGGGGATTCAGCCCAGAATGGGAAAGAGGTGTTAAATGGTGCTTCGCCAGACGTTCGCCGCATACGCTCAGTATCTCCGCCCTGGAACGCGGATGAGGGGATAACCCTTCTTTCGGGGAATGGGCAGATGCACCAGATGCTTGAGAGGCGATTGGGGAAACATGGCATGAAAAAAAGAGTTGCGCAGCTGCTGCGATAGCATTAGGAGTTCAGTGCACGAGCATGTACGTAGTGTCTCTTTTTTTTGGTAACGAAGCAATGCAGGAATTCACCAGTGTAATTAACCGTAGTACAATAACCTTTAATGTTATGGCTCACACTGTTGAGCGGTGGAAGTGGTTAATTGCCGCAACTTTTCTACATGCCGAGTGTTCGTCAGTGAATTCATCAGATCTATATTGCAGGGGTACACGACAGGAATCAAGGTATTGAAAGAAAAATTGCGTAACTCTTTCTTGGGTCAAGACCAAAGTCAATTTTATTAGAGTGAATTGCTAAGCCATACGTACTCAGCCCACGACCTATCAATATTTCTGGCCATCATCGTTCAAATATCTCACAACCGCAGCAAGAACGTCGCTGATCTTTGGACGTGAACTTGGCAGTTCAGCCCAGCACTGCTCAATCAAGCTCCAATATCGGGTGATCAATAGTGCCAGGATTAGAAGGCCTACGGCCCGTCTTTGCACGCATCATAGTGTTCAGTCCCGTGATATCGGGCCACAAGCGGGATCCGGTAAAAATCTAAGGAAAATGAGGACCAAAGCAAGACTAGTGGCAGGTCTCGTACCAGGTACATTAGGCATGCGAAAGAGTACACGTCACTTGATGGGCTTGGATTCGGCCCCTTACTATCGGCCTGGTGGTCGGGGAATAACTCTGGGGCCGCCCAGGCTAGTGCTCCTCCTATCTTTGCATCGGTGTATGTGACCGACAAATTGGTAAAGCCGCCCAATATCACGGAGAGGCCAAAGTCAGTCAGTACGGCCCTTTCGTTATCGTCGATCAGAACATTCAACTTTGGGGGAAAATTTGACATATTTTTCTGTGTGAATAAACGAGGCTTACTGGGGTGAGGTCCCCGTGGACTATAGGATGCTTATGAACTATCGATATTTTTGAGATTTTGAAGATAAAGGGTAACTCAGACATACGATATTTCAGCCCTTCAGCAATGTCTTTCACCTGTTAAACGTAGTAAAAGAGATGAAGTAAGAAATGAAAAAAAGCCTACCCAAAGAAGACGCCGTACATCATCGACATCCCTGTTACCCATGTATGCATAGAGTGATCCATTCTTCATCCACAGGGAAACCATGCCAACCATGCCTTCGAGATGACCGAAGTCCGTCGTAGTGCCCAACAACGAAGCTATGTTCGGGTGAGATAGCCTTCTCCAAGCTGCAAGTTCACGCTTCAAATTCTGTGGACAGAGACAGTTAACCACACGAATATCTGCCAGTAGACTTTCACGACTACCTTCTTTACTTCATCTACTCGCGAGGAATCCTCGACATGCATGACCTTAACAGCAACCTACCCATCATCAGACACTGACGTATGCAAATACAAACAAAGTAACCTTGACTTGGCCCCCAGTCTTTCTGTTCCAGATGGATTCATAGACAGACCCGCACCCTCCGTGAGCATCGGCATAATCCCGCTGCCTTTTGATCTGTCCGGTAAGATCTGGAGGGCCGATAAAAACTTGATAATCTTTGATCTTTTTCAAAACATGCGATGCGGAAGGTCGAACTTGTGGAAGAAGCGACAAACATGGTTCTATAAGTGCCCATTGGTCATCATCCACTATCGGACCCTTGGGTCGCGACGGCGTCACGCGTTTCCGAAGCTGGTTAGAAATGTCCACGGATGTTGCATCGTGCCAAGGCATGCGTTTTGTATATATCTGAAGGAAGAAGTACTTAGCTCTGCTGGAGAACGGTGTTCAATCTTACGTAAAATATGACACAGCCGAGGGAGTATATATCGCTTTTAAAAAGAGTCTTGGGAAGATGTTGAAATATTGCATCGTCCCTCTGAACGAACCATTCTGGACTAGTGAACTGAATTGCAGGCTTGGACGGCATCTGAGACTGAGGGCATGCGGCATCCCTCGAGGAAAGTCTCACTGACTGGCGGAAGCCAGAAAGACATGCGCCTTGTCGCTCGGTGATGAGTATGTTGTCCTGTAAGGAAGATTGAACGTATGTTCCCAGACCATGGCAATTAAAATCATACACTCTCTAGGTTTCCATGGACCACGAAGTTTAGATGAACTTTTGCACCTGGCCGCTCGCTTCAGTTGTTTCATAGCTTAAAAGACAACGTACGGTGTTCAAGGCCAGAGGAAATGTCACACAACTGAAAAGGAAGATTTTAGAGTAGAACCACACCGACTGCAAGCAGCTTACGAGAGTTGTCTTTGCAGGTATTTCAAGGGCTGCTCCATGAGTGCGAATAAACGAAGTGAGAGTGCCGTCTGCCATCCACGGCATAACCAAAGAATGAAACAGCTTATCCTTCTTAAAGCCAAGGAATTGAACCACATTGTCATGAGGAAGAAGGCGTGATGACAGCAACTGCAATTCCGGATGAATTTTCTGGATAATGAGAGAAACCATATTGAATCTCTGAGGCATTTGCTAGTAGTTAGTACACTGACTTCTGTGCGCACTTCGCTCGGATCGTCGAGCATGGACTTGTACGATTTGACTGCGACCTGAAGCACACAAATCAACCAACTGTAGCATGCGACGAACCTAACTTACTAGTTTTTTGCTATCTTTGAGACCGCATTGCTTCACTTCAGTATATGGTCCAGAAATACATAGTCCTTTTGGGGGCAATATTCGACTTGTAAGATTATAAGTCTCAGAGCTAAGAGCAATTATAATCAGTGACTTCTTTGCACAACAAAAAAATGGACACAAGGGGCCCCAAGATTTGGACAAACATAGTGGTATTCCTGTGTATCAGATGGATGAGCTAGTGATTTGTTGATACTCTAATCAGGGTCACCCACATTTACAGGCGTGCGGATAGGAGTGAGTATTTAATAGTTAATCAGGAAAGATGGACAGATGAAATGCAAAGAATGCGAAGGAACGCAAAAGAACACGAAGAACTTATACCAGATCCATAGACGCGCGCAGCACTTCTAAGTCGCACGTTCTGGCAGGGCTGTATCGGAACTTCCATCTGAGACTGACCAAACGAGCAAGAGATAAAATTGGATGTCGTTCGCCACACACGACGCCGTGACAGAACCATACGGGACCATGGGTGCCAAACCTTTGCCAAAGGCAGTATATGCTAAATAAAGGAGACCAAGCTTCAAGGTGGCGGTTCGCTGGACTCATGCGGTGCGACAACATTGACTCGTACATTAAATACGCATCCTACACATCATAAGCGCTTCCGCACTTTCGTCCCAACACAAAAATCGAGACCTACCTGACAACAGCACCGTCGCCTTACTTTCATCTCGTTGTAAGTCCCACCAGGGCTGAAGATAGACTGTCAGTCTCAACCAGCTAACACAAATCGCTCACTAGCATAGGCCTTGCACCCCCAACCGAATCCTAGAGCTCCCTGACGTTCAAACTGAATGTCTTCTCGCGCCAACAAGCTTGTGCCAGAAAAAGTCATCAAGGTCAATTGCGACAAGCAAAGGGTGCCGGTTATCGCATTTCTCTTCGGGGACCAACATATCATCGCCTGTTCTCATGGCTGTCTCCAAGTCATAGAGGCAAAAACTGGTGAACTTGTTGGTGATCCCTGGCAGGATAAAGAGAGAAGCCAAATTTGCGCAGTCGACGTATCACCAGATGGTGAGCGTGTTGCGACTGGCAGCAAAGATGGCAAGATACAGATATGGAAGTGGAATGGAAAAACCGCGAAGATAATTGCCGAATCAGAGAAGCACAGTACTGCAGCAAATTGCGTTTGTTGGAGTCGACACGATGGTGGTGCTCACATCGCTAGTGGCTTTGATGACGGCAGGGTAGCTGTCTGGCCGGTAGCATCAGGCCTCAAGAACCCCATAAGTACCGACGATACCCGCCTCCGATACATACACACGGTAAACTATTCACATGACGGTACACAACTCCTTGTGAGCGGTTACGACCGCGAAATATCGAGATTAACAATCGACGAGAAAGCGCAGGAGGTCGAGGTAGATGAGGTCATCAAAGTTTGCAACAATCCTGAACATGTGTCAAGTGCGACATGGGCCGTGACTGCAGATAGGCATGCAATTGTCACCGGCTTATCAGATGGGAAGATCAAGATACTCGAACTTCCAGGAAGGTCGGCTGCTAGAGCTTGAGGGACCGGGTCACTCTGACCTTGTCTGCGCTGTCGTTTTGTTTCCAAACAACAAACGTGTACTTGCAAGCGCCTCTTATGACCATACCCTCCGCTTTTGGGATCTCGGTGCCAAGCGAACAATTGGTCAACCACTCTCTCACTCTGCGGATCCGACCTGTGTAGCATTCGCAACCAATGGAACATCAGTAGCTACCGGTACTTGTGATGGCGAGGTCTACCTTTGGGATATAGCAGACTTTCTCTCTAGTGCAATGCCAACGGATGATGTGAATGTGGGTACTCATGTAAGATCCCATTTATCCGACTCATGTGCCGACACCGCGTCACTATCAGAGTCATGACGGGGACGCGATTGCTAGACCTCTCTTTAACGTATGTGATGCTCGTGTGGATGGTTCATGAGCGCTAGCTCACAAGCATACCCCAATCTACAGCCTGACTCGCCAATCCCTACTCGCCAACGTAAAGTCCAACGACTATCTCCGAGCTTCCCAGGACGGTCTCTTAACACTCCTAGACCACCAAGGCTGAAATACGGTCCGGGTTTCTTTGTAAGCGGCGCAGTCACTGACTGTTTTTGGTCATAAATAACGTCTGAACTGCAGGATGGCACGCGCCCTCTAGTCGTAGATGTTCCCATTACCGACACTCCAAGTGTTAGCAGGCGATCTTCTATATCTCGGCGTGTTAAAGTTACCGCATCACGTATGCAACAGGTTTGTCATGCTATCCCTTCCCCATTAAATTCACCATTAACTGAGTCAATTTCTAGGCGTTCAAGGTACCCCGAACACGACATGGAAGATCCCCAATGACTACGCACTCGGGTGGCATTCAAGAAGAAAGTCGACAGAACAACCATAGGGAGTATCAAGCAGCCAGTAGCACTTCGCCTCCCGACCAGCAAGCAGGAGCGGAAAGTGAACCTACCACACAGGGAGCTGTCCTTGTGCGACGTACACCCTGGGTCAACGCCTTGTTGCTTATGGGATGCATACCCCGAGCAGATGGACTGACGTGAATGTTAAGTACTTTGCGTCCTACATAAATTACGTTTCTCAATGGACATAAATTGGACAAAAAATACTTTGCTTTGTATCGAGTGTGGCTTCTGTGTTGAATGTTTCTAGTTTGGAGTCTTACTAGAAATAATTGCACCACATGGCAAAAGGGTATAAGCCCAGCCTATTTGCGAAAGGCTGCGCTGCTGCGGCTTATGATCATTAATTGGGACATCTTCCTTTGCAGGGCTGTGGAAAGTTGAGACGCTGACAGTGGGCACCGCCGAGTTAAGTATAAATCTACTTCAAAGACATTTGTAAAGTACAGCCCAAGCACAGGAGAAAAACAGCACATAATGATGTCAACCTATTTTGCGATCAGCAGTCTGAATTCAAGCTCCTTCGCAGAAATCCACAAGCTTCTTCGGCGGATGGGCGAGAAGAGCTTCCGTCATCAAAATTAAATGGTTCCCAGCACCGTTGGCTGAATTTCCAATGCTCTTGAGATACATCATTGCCTCGGATGGTGTAGGGTGCCTTTCCTTATGAAGGCGGCAAACACTGCTGGTTCATGCGCAAAGGGAAGTTCACCAGAGATGACCTAAAAAGGTGTGATCGATATCAAACGACTGCAGGACGTCACAATCAGTGACATAGAGCATACGTAATTCATGATGGAGCCAAAGGAATACATATCGCTGTGTCTAGAGGAAGCAAAGAGGTAAGGTCTATCCATAGGCGACGTAAGATTGCTCTTACATAGATGGTTTGAACGCTTGCATTAGCTCTGGCGCCATCCACTGCGCAGCCCCTGTGACGGGGTAACTCCCAGTGAGTTCTGATATTTGGAAAGACAGGCCAAAATCAGCGACCACCGCACGTCCATTAACATCTATGAGGATGTTGTTCTGTCCGCTCATTAGTCCGAGATGTCGACATGAAGTGTTGCACAGACATTTGTCAAATCTCCATGCACAACGCGTTGGGAATGAACTGGAATTTTTTTTGCAATCAAAATAGGACAAATGATAAATCTATAGCGCGCACGATAACGAAGGCCAGTGACGACATCACAGAGCTGTAACTTAATTAAAACGTTGATCGTTGCACTAGCTATTCGCCTATAACATACCAATTTTAACTTCTGTCGTAGTTCCATTGTCGGATACCTGCTGAGGTACGTTGAGAGTGTGCCATTCTCCATCCAGGGGCAAACTAATGCATCACAGCCGGAAACAGAGTAAAGATTTTGCGCGACTCCGAGCAGAGGTAGGATGTTTTCCTGCATAAGTCTTGCCCAAATCTTGAGTTCACGCAAGTACCCCTGACGCAAGACACCATGAGTTGACCCAGAGCACAATGGTGGGATGCCGAACCTCGCACAGTTTTTGAGCTGGGACATCGCCTTGGGGTCGGATTGACTTGACAGCTACCTGGGTATGGATCATTCATATATCCTCTCATTTGTACGGAGAATCGGTTGACCTGCGTAGCTTTCCCGTCCGTCTTCAAAGTGCACCTCCGTATGTCTGCAAAACCTCCAGAGACAGTGGGATTGGGAGGGATATTGCAGAGCATCTTTGTCAGGTTATCTGGAGAGATATTGGCCTTACTAGGCTTGTATTGATGTTCGAAAAATTCGAGGATCTGTGTTGCGGATGGTCGATCGCACGGTGTGAAGGAGCAGCAGCGTGTGATGAAGTTCCACAAAAGGTCATCGATACCGCCGCCCCCTGGACGTGACGGCATACGACACTGTCGAAGTTCGTTGATAATGTCGCCAGATTTTGAATCATGCCATGGCAAACACCCTGAGAAAACCTGAAGGCAAGCTTCAGAATAGTCACGATTTCCAAGCACACGCTCACGTGGAATAAGACACAGCCGATTGAGTATATATCACTGTTGATGATAGGCAAGGAATTGTCGCCTTCTTCGTCAACGAAGCATTCAGGAGCAGCAAATCGCACTCCACCAGACTCGGGTGCTCCTAAGAGTTGACTAGTATTAAGGTCGGTTGATAAGGAGAAACCAGTCAGATATGCTCGATTTTCCGGGCCTATGAGAACATTTTTCTGAAAATATGTTGAGAAACGTTGTATGGCTGAGGGATGTAGGAGAACGAACACTCTCCAGATTACCATGAACCACGTGCGACTTGTGGACTGCGAGCATTCAGGCAGTTAGTGTAATGCCTATTCCGACAGGATAAGACTGACGATAAGTAACTCCAGAGGCAATGTCGCGAACCTAGGGAAGTATGTTATCGCTAGACAAGGAAATTATCTACTTGATTTACCAAGGACAACTTGGTTGGCGTCTCAATTCCCGTTCCGTGGTACGCGATGTAGCAATGGAGATCTCCACTTGGCATCCAAGGGAACACAAACGAAGGGAAACTGCCACCTTGGAATTCTCTAGTGGTACCTAACAACTGAATGATATTTTGGTGATTAAGTTTCATGCGCAAGTTTATCTCTCTCAAGATTCGCTGAGACGTCATTAGAATTTAGAAATCAGCAGCTACTAGTAGGGGGATTGGAAGATACTGACACCATAGTATTTTTTATGCCTGCCAAATCGGACGAGCTTCACTGCGACCTGCAAAGCAAGATTAGATTGAAGCTGAACTAATCTCACAGTGAAGTCGACCACGAACGAGAGTGCTTTCGAGGCCACTTGTCAGCGTGCATTTGTATACATCACTGTAGTCTCCAGATGTGCTCAATATTGGATTGATGAGATGAGTAGCACTGAGTTAGTTGTAAGTCAGGAAATTTACACCAGGGCTTTCTGGGATACCAACAGTATGTTTGGTTCGGGATGCACTGGGTTCCTTCAAAGAACTGTGAGGGTGCCGTTCAACATATGACATGTACCTCTCACTCACATTTCATGCAAAGCTACAATGATCGTAGTTGTGATTGTATGTGCGGAAGGGAGATGGGCGGCTATTAATCAAGGGCCAGTAGTGGACAGCAATACAGAGTTGTGCGGGTACTAGTATTGAGTCAATGTCGATTTTCGACTGACCTGCGGCGGCGGTGCCTGCCATGCAAATTAGTACACAGCGTGGCTGTAAGTAGACTAGCGCAGTTACCCCAGTTTGGCTTCATGCCCCAAGAGGTCCTAATGTTTCTCCTTACGTAAATTATTGGTAAATTACGTTGATCTTATCGTTCAGAGTCCAGACCCTGGGGCTGAGTCTTCTCTGGAAATACATACGCCTTTCATGTTTTCTTGTCAATATGTTATGCTATGTTTCCCGCCAAGGAGACTTCTATCTGAAATATTGCTTCACCATACATAGTGGCGGCGTATCATGATGAACAAGAAACGAAAAATAGCTGATTTGAATTTTCTGGTAGGCGCTGCATGACATTTTCCCTCAAGCACAGCCTGGACTTGACATGGACACTTCTGGAATGCCTTCGATACTTAAGATAGAGAAGCCCACCTCTGAATGGGCTACGGTGTTTGCCAGTAGCCGTGATGAGGCTGGGGCGGCGCGCGCAACTTGGACAAGTCAACTCACCCCTTGTGGCACACAGCCGGGCCCGGGCGGCTGCTGTGCAACCCAGAAACTACATAAAGTATTGCACGGTCACTGTATCCATCCCTTAACTTTTCTACTTGCAGACCTCATCCGAGGCAGTAGCCTAGAGAATCTGCAGTGCTTAGCATCTCGTCTTCCAGTTGATTGTGCTTCTCTAGCTCGAATCACGTTCCCTAATTTAGTGAGTACTAGTCCCTCATTTCCAATCATGAAATCATAACAAGTTGATACATAGTTTTTAGTCGAAATTGCCGGCCACTGGATCTGTTAAGTCCCCTGGCCTTGGACTTACCTCGCTCAACTTGTCGCGGCGAGCATTCATTTCTGTGACATCATCCTACCATGCTCTCTACTTCGTCCAAACCTTATACCCAGAAACCAATATGTCTCTACGGCCAGGGAATCCACTCCGCGGCAATCTCATGCATCGATTTTCTAGACGAAGATCGACGCATCATCATCTGCTCCGAAGATGGTTCCATCCAAGTTCTGAAGGTGGACACCGGTCAAGTAGTGGGTGGCCCCTGGACAGATGCAGGAAGTGGGGCTGTCCACGCCATGGCAGTGTCGCCAAATCACATGGAAATCGTGACTGGCAGCCAGGATGGCAGGATACGCCTTTGGACGTTGGCCACCGGGAAAATGGCCGGAAAATGGAAGCAAGCTCACAGCCTCGCAATATTGTCTGTTTGCTGGAGTCCGGATGAGTTGCACATCGCCAGTGGGTCTGAAGACGGAACGGCGATCATTTGGGATACCAAGCAAGGCGATATCGTGGGATATCCGATCAGAACTGGCCACCCACATGTATACGCAGTGCGTTATTCATCTGATGGTACAACGCTCGTAACGAGTGGATACAACAATACAATCACTTTTTGGGACGTCAAGACAAGAGAGGTGCTCCGCTTTGTAGAAGCATGCCATGCATCGCAGCAAATCCACTGCGTCACATGGACTTCATATGATAGAATTTTCCTGGGATGTAGTAATGGAATCGCACAGACAAGAGCTGATATCCAAGGGAAAGTCGTCCGTCTAGGCGAACGTACTCGTCCTATCTGTGCCATGGTCTTGTCTCAAGACGAGCTTTTATTGGTGACCGCTTCTCTTGATAACACCATCTCTTTATGGGATCCGAAAACCAACCAGTCAGTTGGTCGGCCTTTGGACCATCCCAATGGCTTGAGGTGCGCGGCTTTCGCAAGAAACAGCAGACTGCTCGCTACTGGTGGTGTCGACAAGAGCGTGTACATCTGGGATCTTCAGGCGTTGGTTAGAGATGTTAATGTAAGCTTCCAAATTACAATATCTCTCAAGGTGATCATTGACACTCGTACTCGCTAGGTTACGGACAGCGAGTCAGGACCGTCACTGGGAACGTCTACAGCTGGTCACTCACTGATCGATGTATGTGACTCACCGATGGTCTTCTCTTGAGCTAAATAAGAGTTGGCCGCAGATTGACGCAAGTATTTGTCCCGCCAGTAACAACGCACGAAAGGATTTACGGCACGATGATACTATCGTGGTATGCCTTGCTTCTCTATTCAATTTGACACCTCACATCCAGCCTAGCCTGATCACACGCCTCGACTACCGGCACCTTTTGATGTGGCTACAAACATTCGTGTGCGTCGCAATCATCCCCATTGGCCTATTTATGTTTTGACATTATCACTTGTTGCATGTAGAGCGCATCGCCTCCCAATCCAAGACCATGGGATGAGCGTGGCGTAGCGCAGTCAAATTCCTCAACCAGAACTGTTGATCAAGTCGCTAGGGAGGTCTGTCGCATAGCTCACCTGATAATTTAGTCGAGTTGTGACACAGCTTACCACTAGGCATTCAGTCGTCCAAGACCATTTTCACGCACACGTGCTGTTGGAGCGGGGCACGGTACGCGAGAAAACTCTTCGCATGGCCGTCAAAGTCGTCCACCTGGCCAGCAGGAAAGTGCAGTGCACAAGCCTGTCAGGGTAAAAGACAATGTTTGGTCTCGTTTTTGGTTGTGTGTTGGTTGTTTGTCTCCCGCCGGTGTGGACGATTAGATATGTTCGCTTTGATTTATCCTATCTCATTCTATATCCCCACGTACTACTAGATACTATTTTGTTCTTATTTCTACTTATGTCTTCCGACGGGTTCGGGGTTCAGGGCGCGGGGTAGTACAATCAATTACGATACGTTAGTAACTTGGTTTTGTGTATGGGACATATTGTATCTGAATTGCTTATTTTCGGTGGATACAGCGCTCTAGACCAATCCATTCACCACTGTTTGACTGCATCGGATCCGGCAGAACAGACTGCGTTTGAAATGATCATTGTCCAACTTCACGGCTCGCGTTTGGGGGATGTAGGCGATTTGCAGTCAGATTAATGAATATCTCAACTTTCTACATTGAAGATGGTGGTCGCATGCTGTATGATCTGCATTACCTACTGATCAGTCTTAATATAATCTAGGGCCTCCATCGGAGAAGTGTCACAAATCTCAGGACGGCTGTTCATCGGCTGTTCAAGCCTAAGAAAATTAATCATTCGTCATATGTATGTATAAGTTTCTCTCATGTCATAGCTTCTATCATCCATAGATTAACTCTTTCCCTGAAAGCTCCCAAACTCCCAGTTGAAGCAATCCTGGTAACCCAATTAACGCTAGCGGTAAAACAAAAAAATTAAACAGACTTACAACACAATCCTCATCATCCGCCTTCGCCTCAGGCACCGTCCTGCCCTCCTGTCCTTCCTGAGTCCAATCTTCACTCAACAACCTATCAATGATTTGAACGATAGAGTGCGTTCGTACATCAACAGACCAGTTGAGGTGCGTGACGGTATCGTAGCGGATGACCTTGCCCAAATGGCAGCGTGTCTCCATGGCATAGCCTGCCATGCCACAAGACGAGGTAATACCAGTACAGGTGCCCATTGGGATAGGATCAGCTGTATGGAAGACGTGGGTGATGTGTTGTGTCGAGGGCTGCATGTCATCCGAAGGATCAGTATTTGAAAATGGTTGCGATGAAGAAGACTTAGACTCACCGGAGAAGGCAGGTGCAAACGCGTCGCAGCTAATTTTTCGGAGGGCGCTTCAAATGCGACGACAGGTGCTCCAAATGTCACGCCGATGAGTGAGGCGAGGGAGCCACCAAGGGAATGCCCTTGTGGATGATGAGAAGTACTCAGCAGATACAGCGCTTAAACACACCTATGAGCCAGATATCAGCATTTGGATATAAATATGTGACATTATTATATAAATTCTGCAGCGGAATCAGACCGGAAAATTAAGCTTTGAATTTGTACATACCAGTCCAACAGAATAATATAAGCTCTCCCCTATCAAACTCTTCTCCAGACATTCTTGGTCACATCTATAGCCACCCTGGTGGCAATCGCAAACCGTTGACCAAGTTGGACCAACTCTTGCACAACAGCAAGAAAACAAAAGATTATCGTTCAGCTTATCCTTTCGTACAGTCGGTCCACCACCACCTGTGATCCAGCCAGCAGAAGTACCCTTGATTGAAAGCACCACTGTTGAGTTGTCGTCCGAGACAAAGATATGCCCTCGAATGCCATCTGCGTCAGGTTCCCAACCAAACGGTGTGGACTGTTATTCGTTAGTATGTTGTAAAATGTATCATCAAGGTACAGGAACGTACCTTATTCCAGCCGTCCGCTATATACCAATCTGATGCAGTGGGTGACGTATATGCATTAGAAGTCATTTTCGCAAGTGTGAGCAACGTCTCTCTCTCTTCAACGTTCGGCCCGAGGACATCGGTTGTATCCCACAATACCTGTTCGCTCTGACCATATCTAATAGAGCGTAGCCGAGCGCTATGAAATGTCTTCGCCGACTGCGGTCTGTGCGTTTGGATGGTCGACGTGCTCATGATATACGAATCTGCGGAAAATAATGGAACCGCGTCGGAGAAGATCACCCGAGAATCGTTAGTTATAGCATGCTCGTGTCGCAGCTGGAAGGACAACGAGGTGCGGGCTGGCAGGACAGCAGGTGGTTGAGAGAAGTCGAGCCAAAGTAGTGAGCCAAGCAGGAAACGAAGAGTAGTAGGCAGTAAATTGAGCATTTCTGGTTGAATCTAAGGGTATCTATGCATGAGACGTGGGGTAGATCGTCGTTCTATCACAACCGTGTTCGAGCCTTGAGGAGACACATCTGCATGTGCTAAATTGGGAAGGTTGTGCTAGAAGTTGTGATTACGTCAGCTCAGATCCATTTTTTTGAATGCTAACTGCACACTCATCAAGACCGCGACGTTAGAGTTTGGACCGCCCAAGTTGAGTTGTCTGGTTATGCTCATCATGCTCCGCGATGACGGACATGAAGGCTTGACCAGACCACATGGACTTATCATATACACAGACTGTGGAGCTCGTACAAGCGCCCATTGATGGGCCGTGGGTCTAGCCCACCGCCTTCACCCAAGGATCCCACTTCTGATCCCTGAGTCCTCTTAAGGCGGAAGTAACCATCATAAAAATAAGCGGCGTCTCGCTAATGCTAGTATATTTTCTATCTATAACCATCTCATGGAACTCTGCCTGCGATACAATGACCCCACGCAAACCCTGCTCATGACCCCGGACGGCATAGTCATGTACCAGGTTAACACGGCACTAGGACCAACTACCACGATAAGCCGTTTTGAAAGCCACCCTCAACTCTTGAGCACTGGGCGGGTATCTTGCGTCGTTGGCGAAGTCGATAGTGGCCGGTTAAAGTTACTCAATAGTGAGAACCCGATAGAAATTGTGATGGTTTCGGGCGTGGAAGAGACCGAAAATGTCGACAGGTAAGGCACTAGATTTGATGCATTGACGTTAGTTTGAGATTGTAAAGACCTTGGACCTTTAATGGGCCAGACGATAAGCCGTACACATGGCAAATTATGTTTCGTTCTCCGGTGGTAAGTCGTTGACGAATCAATATCCGCGCTATCTCTGACTATAATCCAGTTGTTTGTATCCGGCAATGCACCTATCATTCTAGCACGATATAGACATGCAAAACTTGGTATCATATCACGATCAAGACGAGCTTTTCTCGAAATATTCCCCGCTGGAATAAATATCATCGATTTCGTCGTCGTCACATTTGTCTCTTATGCGAAGCATCATTGGCTAGACGAGCCCCACCATGAGTCTAATCCATCGGCAGTTTAGTCCTACAAGTCAGGAGGCTGTTGAAGGTAGGCACGCTCAAAAACATCGTCAAATTGTTGTTGTTGATTATCTTGACTCGTCTTCGTAACGGTTGGTCTCAATTTTCAGCTGGATATAGCACGCGAAGGATTGGATCATGCTTCCCTGACTCGGAGTGGGTTTTTGTAAATCATACCTGAGCTGGTGGGATACTCGGAATAGCATTTTGGTGAACTCCAAGCACTCGCTTCTGAGAGCTGAGCGTGGAGCGCGTTATCTATCCGTGATCTTGTACGTATGCTGCTAAGGTCGCTCATGTGCTCTGATCATGAGTGTAAACTTTCACATGACTGGTATTTTCACCTGCCAATTTCAAACGTGTTCCCAGAATTAAGCACGGTATTTTTGTAGATACCGCGGGTTACCAGTTCACCTTTACTATTGTTATCATATACCACCCGCATGGAATGGAACCGCTCAATGCACAAGTTCAGTATCCGTGTCCCTGCATTTGAATCTTGCCTTACACCGTATCGCTGTCAGTCCATCCCAACTTGGACATCGGGTTTAGTTGAGAGTGATATATCACATTGGACCGGCCAACTTTGTCCGAGATAGTAACATCTCGTTAGTCTCTATCTCCAGTGCTTGTCTAAGCGGTGACTATCGGTTCCCAGATATTTCAAGGCTTGCAGTTTTCGCTGCCACAACATCATGATGTCAATCAACCAACTGCATCCAGTACCCATCGATTTAGCCTTGACATTATCCAGTATATCACCTTTCTTCGCCGATCCCGCACGCCTCCCAAGTGTACACCCCGAGCTGCAAGGCCTCACCCACGTTAAAGCTGTGGGCACCGGATTGATGTCAAACGAACATGTATATAGACTGGAAGACGGAGAACGAGCTGCAGCTGTACTGGACATTTTGAAGAAAGAGGGAGGGGTGTCTAATGTGGTTTTGCTCGAGAAGAAGCAACGGGTTAAGAGAGATGAGTTTTGATTTGTGAGCATCGCTCAATGTATTAAACGTTTCTCGAAATAAGTTTTGATTCAGATAGAGCAGCTAATATCATTGAGAAAGGATATGATCCCAGGAGCTAAGCACAAGGTACGCAACTACATATTTTCAAGAAAACAAGCGTTTGTGGGGTAATAATAAATAAATAAGAAGACACGCGGAGCTAGTGCGCCATGAACAAAAAGACGAATATACAATATGATGTGTAAATCGATTATCTCAGAGCAACTGCCTGTAATTACTATGGTGGTAATGCGCTTCGAACATAACTCAGAACGTGGTCAATCGTTGGTCTGTCAGGAGACCATGACCAGCATTCTTGAAGAAAGGGTACGTGATGCCTGTCAACTGAACTGTCTGTTGCCATGGGTTGCATACCCTTGTGTCTAGCAGCCATGATATGAAGTGGGTCTTCCAGCCAATGATAAGGGAGCTTTCCGGATAGTACCTGAATTGTAACTCGAAATGCAGGTACTGCGGGCAAAATAAAGAGTGACGTACCTGAAGTATTACGGAACCGAGCGAGTAAACGTCGGAGCAGGTAGTCGGCTTTCCAGCTTCTTCGTCTGTAAGATGTATCAATTCAGGTGCAGCCCAGCGTATAGATCCTGAGTAGTAGGCTTCGCACGACGAGCTATCGCATTCTGCAAGGATCGTCGACAGTCCAAAATCTGTTACGTGAGCGTTTCCTCTGGAATCGATCAATATGTTGTGCTGTACTCGTTTAGCTTGTCAAAACACATCCACAGAGCTGTAACCTTACTCCAGTGAGGTTCCCATGAATGACATGCTCGTCATGAACTGTGGGAATTGTCAAAAGCTGCTTGTGAAAAAAGACACGAACCAGCACAAACGGTATTGAATAGCTGTCGTAATCTGTTCAAGCTACAGGGAGTGGTCGTCAAGACGATCAGCTCGAATCACTTGGCAGTAGTAGAACCCACCAGTATGAACTTGTCTCTATCCAATAGATTAGAGAACTCAAGAGACAGATAGTTCGTCAAAGATCCACGCTCCATCCAAGGAGTTACGAATGCGGGAAGCGGTCCAAATCCTGAGGTCGTCCCAAAAAAGCGAAGGACATTCTTATGATGCAACACTGCCCATGCACGTACTTCACCATAGATCCTCTGAGACACAATTAGCACGAATATTGAGCGAGCTGCCGTCACGTACCTTGCGCAATGCCCTTATCGCTTCATCACTCAAATCAAGGATCCTCAAGGATTTGATGGCTACCTGTTGTGAACTTCGTTGGCGGTGACAAATGAAAGAAGGAGGATGTACCTCTATTTTTCCATGGGACTTTGAAACCATGGTACATCGGTAGACATCGCTCAAATCTCCGATGAAATGAGGAAATCTATCATATCCGGAAATACGTGACCGAGGAACCTCTGTCGATTTGTCCTGGATCATGTCGGACCTATACAGTGCCTTCGTTAGACAGACAGACCAACATGACAAGATGTTTTTTACAGAGAATGCCATAGTACTTGCAGTCCAGTGACACCGCCAGTCTGATGGAATGGAAGGTTTGTTTCATGATTAGAAACGCTGAGAAACGTCGATTTACCGGCTTGGATGTTTGCTCACCTTCAGACAAAAGATATGTGACATCGCTGTACACCTCGGCCGCGGGTCACAAAGTCAGACAGACTGTTGGGATGGGATATAGGACGAGATAAGCAGGCGCTGGGATTAGATCTGGAAAGGGCCAACCTCACATAAGGCGACCAAAAAAGGATGGGCGCTTCCTTACATGTCATGGAGTCACATCGACTACTGTGTAGCCTATGCATCCTGTGAACAGACACCTCGAGCGCCAGTATTGCTGTGTACTATAAATAAGTTGGCTTTGAAGCGCTCAGACAGCAAAACTCTAATTTTGTGCACGGGCAAGCATCGGATCACATGGTTCGCAACTGTGCGATAGACTTTCAACAAACTTTGCATATGCATGCCTCTCCCCTTATACGTCTTTGCAAGGATCGTGTATCCTTTATGCCCGTCACCCCAATTCCAACATAACCGTTCGGAATCTGTCAATAACTCTATGGGACTCTCGTTCTAACCGATAGCATCGTGCATGCGAAATCTATTCGTCTTCGAATCATTGAGCTGATCTACGGCAGCCCTTGAAGGCGGCCCGTCCTTCGCTCTCTCATCCCTCTTATTCCCTCTAGTGAGTGCGCCGCTCACTACAAAGCTCCCTGGTTCAGGTGCCTTTGCATAGAAAGACTTTGTGGAACACTTCATAATCTGATCTCAATGCAGTCTTGGGACCTTGCGTGCGCATAGACGTCAATATCTACTGACCCTTGCATTTGCTCAGACTGCAATTCTTTTCTGGTACAACGACTATGGGCGCAATTGGGACTCGCACTGTGGACACTACCGAGCGGCTCGCGAAGCTACGAGAGCAATGTCGAGGTTTTTTTAACTCCTAGCGAGGACCGGCATAGGCACACATGTACAGCAGAAGTCTTACTGAACCTTCCTTGTTCCAAATATTCTAGTGAGTATCCTGCACACTCAGACGAACGTAGGGCATGATCGAGTGCTTCCGAAAATGTCACATCCACGATGGCGCTGCCCTAACTCCTGGTTGGAAGAAGCACTTAACGGCGGTGTTGAGCTCGACGAAAGCTAAGCCGCAGCTGAGCTTGAAGAACCCAGATCGTCAGTGTGCGATGATATTTTATATTGTTGCAGCTCACCTCCTATTAGTGCGTTGGACTTTTTTCATGGATCGTCATTCACAAGAATCTCGTTTACTGGATCCGATGCTGGTACGCTGTAGTAGTGCTGAAGTGATGAACCAAGGACTCTGATAAGCGTGATGATGATGTGCTACTACAAGAACCGACTTGGTTGTCTACATGTCTGACTAAGCTCTGGAGATCTCCGCAGAGCTAGGTCTCTGGTTCATGCTTTGGGATCCCTAGTCCATGCACCCCCCTAAAAACAATCGGTGCCGCCCTCGACACCGCCTTCTATCTTCCATTCTCTGATCTTCTATCTTCTTCTGTCTCTGCTTCTTCGTCTTCTGATTCTGATTCTGATTCTTCTATTGGTTCTTCATCCTCGTCTTCTTCTTCTCTTCCATCGTCATTTTCTTCTCTATTGTCTTTCTCTGTCTCTTTCCCTTCATTGCTTTCTTTCTCTCTGATTTTGCTCTTGTATTTCTCTTGTTCTTCTGCTAGCATTGTTCCTGATTGTGGTGTGAATGCTCGTAAGCGCCTTGCGCTGAAATCTCCTTGGATGATTGCCCTGTTCAATGTTTCCAGTGTGTATGAGTTTACTGTGTGTGCTTGTATTCTTCTTGGGACCAACCATCTTGGAATCAGCTTCCATTCTGTTTTGAAGGTATAATCTAAATTGTTACAGTAGACTTGTACTAATTGACCAATTTTGAATATGGCTTCACCTGGGGTGTGCTGCAATACTTTCTTGTCAAACACTGTTTTTCTTTTGATTGCATGTCTTATGATTTCATCGTAACCATCTAGCCATTGTTGCTCTACATATGCTACTTGTGTGAGAGCATCTACGGTGCATAGACTTGATGTGCTGTCTTCTATGTTTGTTTTTGGAGTGTTGATGATGAGTCCTAAAAGAAGTTCCTTGGAGAAAATTTCAGCGCTGGTAGCAATTGATAATTAAGAGCGTGAACTGCATTGTCAATGTGCTTTGGCCAAGATTTCAGTAGCTTGTCCCAAGCTGCTTCCTCTTGTTGATCTTCTCTGAGTTCTGGTGCGCAGAGTCTCTTTAGTACATGGAGTAATAACTTATTCATTCCTTCTACTAGGCCATTGACCCATGGTGAATATGCTGCTACTGTGTGTAGTTTGCATTTTCTTGATTCGCAAAATGCCCGTACTGTGTCATTATTAAAGTGTCTTCCACCATCCGCCATAAATGTCTCTGATGGCATGAATGTGTTGAAGATACTGTTGAGACTGTCTATTATCGTCTTTGCACTGCCCATCACTTTATACTTGAATACCCACGTGTGTTGTGAGAAGGTGTCCAAGTATACTCCCAAGGTGCTGTAACCTCCTTTCTCTTTCGGCAGGCTGAGGTAATTGCCCACTAGTAGTTCGAATGGATGTCTCCTAGTGATTGGTTCAAATAGTGAGTGTATATGTGTTGGACTGATGTTTTTACACTTAGTGCAGTTCTTTATAGCTTCTAGGATTGATGTGTCTAGTTTTGGGCTGCATATCTTATCCAAGAGTGCCATCTTGATGGCATCTCTACCCCAATGCCCTCCTTCTGTGTGAGTTTGCATTGCTAATATTTTCGCTTCTTCCTTTGATATACATTCTACCTTTGCTCTTGCTCTTGTCGCTGTTCCTCCTCTTAGCTTCCAAAGCTTACCATTTTCTATAATGTATTGTGATGCTCTATGTCTTGCTTTCTTCTTTCTTCTTATTTCCATGTTCTGATCTAAATTGGTTAGTGCTTCTACAACCTCTAGGAATATTGGTTCTTCAACAAATCTTGTGTGTAGTTTGTCTGTTGTTGCTTCGATTGTTGCGATGTGCATGATGTCATTGACTAATCCTGTTCTTGCTTCCCAGTCTTCATTTACAGGTCCATTTGCTTCTGTCTCCCATTATTGCCCTTGTGTTTTCCCATTTTCTGCTTAACCTGTCAGCTACTACATTTAACTTACCAGGTACATGTCTGATGTCCATGATGTGGTATGCCAGGATTCCCTCTCTCCATCTTGTGTGTGCTACGTTCAAGTTCAGATTGAGTAGTGTGTCTCTCATTGTGCTACAGTCTGTCTCGATTTCGATCAGGAAGCCCCAGACAATGCCTGAAAATTTATCTAATCCAAATTTCAGTGCAGCAAATTCTAATAAGTAAGATTTGTACTTCCTTTCTGTGCTCGATGTCCTCTTTGACACAAATCCTATTGGATGTAGATGTTCTACCCACTTTCCTGCTGGTGTTTGAGTTTTGATTCTCTGCAACAGGACTGCTGTGAAGCCTTCTGCACATCTGTCTGTTGTGATAACAAAATGTGATCCATCATACTTTGGCGCTTGTAACACCAGTCTTGATGTGATGGCTGTTTTGAGGTCTAGGAAGGCGTTAGTATGTTCTTGCTTCCACCAAGAACCTAATTGGAAGCCACTCATGGCTCGTCTGTATGCAGCTTTCAACATTGTGTTGCCTGTCAGTACTTTAAGGAGCAAATTGCGCAGTGGGCCTTCGTGTTTTGTGTATGCATTGATGAGCGTTCTATAGAATCCTGTGAGTCCTAAAAACAATGCTAAGTTCTGTGCATTCTGAGGTTGTTTCCAGTCTACTATGGCCATCAGCTTTGTTAAGTCTGGTTTGACTCCATCTTGTCCTATCATCCCTCCTGTAAATTCTGTTTCTGACATACAAAATTTGGTCTTGCTTGGCGCTATTGAAAATTTACATTTGTGGAATCTTTGAAATAAAACCATCAGCTTGTTGATCATTTCTTGAAACGTACTTGCCATGCAACTGCTGTAGAGACTCATGCCTCTGTATGCCTGTAGAGCCCTATATTGTGATGTATCTGCATGCAGTTCACAGCATGAACTTGCAGCATCATTCCCTATATCATTCCTTCACTCAGCCTATACATGCGCGATCTTCCCACACATCGCACACACTACTCTCCCATGACGCGTTCCCACGTGCATCCCACGCGCTTTCCTGTGCTTCATTGCCCATCATCCAGGAGCATCCATCCATTGTCCACCAAGTCCTACTGGTACATTTTTGCATTTACTCTTATCATGACACCATATTCCATCATGGACCCTTACTTACATATACCTTCTTCGTTCCTGCACCTTACTCGCGTTGGCTCCGCATCGTGGGAATGCGCTTAGTCGCCTTTTGCATGATAGCATTCGCATTTTTTTATCACTTAGTTAGCTACCACTTAGTTTCTGGGGAGTATCCCTTAGCATCCCTCAGCATAGTGCACGCATTTTTGGAGCCATAGTCAGTAGTGTTTTTGACAATCACACTCTATCATCATCGCATTTGTCGTCCTTGCACCCATCAGTATCAGTCATCATCTTCCTCTAGTCCCCATCGCATTCCTAGCCCTTTGCGCACTTTTGCCTATTAGCACACGACTTTCCCACGCTTCGCGCATCCTACCACTCTCTGCGTGCACCTTCGCCTCCGCGCGCGTGACTTTCCCACGCTTCGCGCGACCTGTGGATGTGTTGCACTTGCTTCCCCTTGGGTCGAATGCACTTGCCTTTGCAAAGTATAGCAGCCATAGGCAGAGCTGAGACGACCACACATATACTCTGACTTGGTATTCCTTTTTGTGCCATAGCTTAGTAGTTGATTCCTTCATCACCATCATCCATGAATAGTTCCATGAAGTGCAGTTACTAATAAGTCATGAAGTCTTGCTGCTAATGCTTTGCAGAATGCTGTCGGCGCTCCCATTATCCCCATTGGCATCCTTCAATACCAGAAATATCCTCATCCTTCAATATAGAATGCTAGGTAGGGACACCATTTTTCTGGTACCTTGATGGCGTAATATCCTGCTGTGAAGTCAAATATTGATATATACTTGTGTCCACTTAACCTCTGTTGTTTTGCCAGAATGTCTCCTTGTGGCATTGGCACTACTTCTGTCACCTTGTTGAGCTGCGCAAAATTCTGGCATATGCACTATTTCTTTGGGCCTTTATCTGTGGTTTTGTCAGCTATTGGAGTGTCTACTTCTTGTGGAGGTAATTTGAATGCTGGGGGTCTTCCTGCTGCTTGATGTTGATCGTTGACTCTCTGTTTCAGTTCATCCCATGATAGACCACCCACCTCATGTGCTCTCTGGGCAATGACTGTTGTTGCTGTGCATCAGATTAACTCTGGAGGTGCTCATTCTATAATTCCTGCTGTTAGCATCTCATTAGCTTAGTTCATTATAGAATTTTGATTGTTCTGGCATCAATGGTCTTTGATGCATTCTAAGGTTGAATGCCGCATTCTCTGGGATGTTCAGGTTTAGTTCCGTGCCTGGAATGGGCATTACTTCCTTTAACATTAATGTGAAGCAGTCTGCATTGTCCATTATGAATTGCTTCAATTCTTCTTGTTCATCCTTCGACAAGTCAGTTCCTATTGTTACTTGGTGCAGAATCTCCTTGACTCTTGCTGGCTTGAATGGGTCCATTTGTTGTGTGTATATTGACACATTGCTCCCTGTTGGTTGTAGTTCTGGTATCTCTCCCAGCAATTGCCCATCTGTTTCTTCTTCTATTTCTTGGTCTATTAACATATTGATGTGTGCTGAATGTTCTGCAGGGTTGTCTATGTCAAATCTTTGTTGTGATGCTGTTCCAATGACTGATTTGACTTCCCTTGAGGGGAGCATCTCGCTCCCCACTGTGCTTTCTCATTCTCATCTTTTCTCTCTTTCTTCTTGTGTCCACTGCTTTCTCTTTGCTTCCTTCCTGTTCAGCATATCATACTGTTGGTCTCCACTCTCCCATCACGATGTTCCTTGGGTCTTCATACCTTCATTCATCTGTCTTGGTTCTCATGCATTGTTGTTTCTCGTCTAATGCCAAATTGATGCTATCTCTGTGCTGTATCATTCTCTGATCTGCTATTTGGTTGTCTAATGTTGTTTTTTTCTTCGTCTAAAATGGTGATTGTGTCCGTTTTATAATCATGAATTGCTGCAAATGCATGTAGAGTTGGTTTTCCAAGCAAGAAGCCCCAACTTTTTCTGCTGTCAAAGACTTTGAATGTGCTTTGTGTCTTTATTCCTTTGATTTTGATTATTCCTGTCCATTTCGCTATTGATTTGACAATGCTTCCATCTGCCATTTGTAGGTGTTTGTTTGATTGCATCAAGTTGTGTAGTTGATGCTTGACTTTTTGGAAGATCAATGCGCACATTGTGCTAACCATGGCTCCATCATTGTTACGGCGGACTAGGATGGGCTCAACAACAGGTACTCAATAAGAGCACACCTGAAGCCGGTTCAATCCTTACAAATGTAAGGTTCTTTAAGACAAGTCAGAGAGAGTGTCTCTGGCTCAAATATCGGTTATCAGATGACTTAGGATTGGGGGTCCTAAGCGAAGGATAGTTCTGGGTAAAACCTAGTAGATTAAAGTGAAGTTCTAACTAAGTACAAGACCGGGTTTATATAGATGTAAGAGGTTTAGGGCCAGTATTGTATGCATCATCTAGATGAGTCAGAGATAAGAGATGGTGTCATCTAGATGAGTCAGAGATAAGAGACAGCGTCGAGTCAGAGATAAGAGAGAGTGAGTCATCTAGCAACAGCACGTGGTGGTTGTGATGTAATACAGCTGCGGATGATTGGTTGGTCTAATGATGGCACGGTAAGGTGCGGTCATGACGTAATACATGAGCGAGAAGAGAGAAAAGAGATAGGGGTAACCATGATTGTAACATTACCCCTCGTTTATGGATGAAGTCACTGACTTCAATTATCTTGGTTGGCCCAGTAGATAGGGTCCGCGTCGTAGTTGGAATAGAGCAGATCATCCTGCTCTTCAGTGAT